CCTTTGTCGGCCTCTTTAATGACCATGTCTGCGTTTTTTCAGCTTTTTAGTGCCGACCACTCTTCCGAAGAAAGATTGGAAAATTTGGTGTTACGATTGAATTTAGGTTTGTTGATATCGTGGCGACATTTTTTGATGAAAGAATCTAAAGATGAGAACTGGCCCTCTGGGGGAGTCCATTTAGACTATCGAATCTGAAGTGTTTCGAAAGTATCTTTGTTCGAGACGTTAGAATCGTCCTCTTTGTCGTGAAAAAAGGCTTTCAATTGAACGCGGCGAAGAAATTTTTCAACATCTTGCTTAACTGAGAATTCGTGCGTTTTTTTGGATATGGGAACAAAATTTAAGCCCTTACTGAGAACTGATTTTTCTGAATCGGAAAGTAGTAAATTTTCTGGAATGGTAACTACAGTTTTGAGGTCTCCAGGCAATGAGTCGCTAGTAATTTGAGGGCCGATAAGTTGGTCGAGTTTTTGGGCCTTAATTTGGTGCAAATGTTTTAAAAAGTTTAGAATTGGCATCCTGAATTTTGGCACGAATGGATTGTACTAAAACAGCTGGACAGATTTTGGAAAGTTCAGAGCGGCAATGTAGAATTTGTTCGCTGAGTTCGTTACGTTTTTGGCTCATAGCTCTGATTGTGATTCTCATAATATTACGTGAAAAATAATTTTGGGCGCGCTGAATTTGGTGACGATATTGATTAGAATGAGAAAAAGAAGATGGGTGAGAATTAGAGCGAAAACCCCTAGGAATAACTTTGGAATGAAGGCAACGGCCGATGAAATGGATGTGACTACAAAACCTAGTTTTGGCGAAAATGAGAACGGCTTAACGGAATGCTAGTCCTTTACTAATAGGGGGGAAAGGAAAAAAGGTAAGTTACGATTTCCTGGCGCGGCTCCTTGGTAAGTCTCTTCAGGCTTAGCATGGTCCGTTGCTGTGAGATCTGTGGATTTAAAAATTCTAAGGCAAGAGTTAGTGGTCGCAGCAAATAAATGACAAATGAATAAAGGGGTAAGTTTCTAAAGAAACTGTGGTGCTGCGTCGGTGGGAGAGTATAGCAGGTAATTTAGTGTTAACATGTGAGTTGAAAATGTAAATTAGCCACCGTAAAGGGTAAAAAAGCTGACATTTCGAGCGTTAGCCCTTCGTCAGATACAATCGCTCTGACGAAGGGCTAACGCTAGTACGCTATACTCTCCCACCGACGCATCACCACAGTTTCTTTAGAAACTTACCTCTTTAAGAAAATATGTCTACTTTCCTAAACTGTGTTTTTGACATTCGATTTTTTTGTTTAATTTCCCTGGTTAAAAGCGATCTATGATTTGTTTTTTTTGAGAGCGATCAAAGTGATAAGCAAGGTAAAGTTTTCGTGAATATAGTAATGAGCAATTACTTACGGCATCTGTCTTTTGGCTCAGCGCACAAGGTTCTATAAATAAGAAAGAATCACTGAACCATCACATGATCAAACTTTGAATACATACGTCATATAAGCCAAGTCCGAGGTATGTACTGTAAATTACGGACAGAGCTTTTCCGCCCGGTTTTATGGCCTGAGCGAAAAGCATGTAAAACTGTTTTAATTGTATTTTTGCAATAATATCTTTTGGTTGAGTTTCTCTGGAAACTATTGTTGCGAAAAATGAAAATCATTTCTGCCAATGCAGATCAGAACTTTGACAATTTTTCGCAAACTTTAGGTCCATTCAACATACATTTTTGGGCAAATCACCCATAGAAGTCTTACGAAATACGTCCGTTCCATTTGCGCGAAACTGATTAAGTTCCGGCGAAAATAAGTAACACAATTACTAAGGTAGACAAAAACCCTCAGTAAATTACTGCCCTTAAAATGAGCCAATATTAACAAGTAACATCTAGACGCGGATGAGGCAGGCGTGTTTCGAGCCTACCCCGGTACATTGATGGCATCATTAAAAATGGTGCTCCCAGTATTCAACTGACCCGTGAGTTTTCTTTTTGGTTAAGACCGGTATGCAGCTCTAAGGATATCCAAAACCCATTTCCAGAACCATTCAGTTTTCCACCCCATTCAGCCACTTAACCGTCGCCATTCCAGAGTATTTCTGACTATTTACCTTTAATTTTTTTTCCTTAAAGAAAAATGGAAGACGAATCGTGGATTGAATATGGATCAAAGTTGACTGGAGAGATTGCTGCAAAACTATTTTTAAATAGCGTGAAGCCTGGATTAGGGTCTGTAGTAGATTTCGCTCGAGCGGCGAGGGATTGCCGTGATGGTAATTATGCTGGTGCAGGGGTAAACGCAGTGAGTGGGGTTTTAGAAATTGGAACTCCCGGTACGTCGAGCGCTTGGAAGGGTTTTGCCCAAGAAAGTGGAAAAAAGGCTCTTATTCGAGCTGCTAAAGAAAAAGCGAAGACAGATGGGAAGAAATTGGTGGGTAAGCAAGTTGCAAAGAGTCTGGCAGAAGGAGGGATTGAGCAAACAGTCAACGAAGTGTTTTCTGCAAATACCAAGGCTACGTTAAACAACATGGCAAAATCTACAGGTCTCTCGTTGATTTCTAGTGGTGGACGTGACGTAGGCAAGACGGTTTTTGAGGATACTTCCCAGTACCTTGCTGAGTCAGCTTTGGAACACATCCTTGAAGGAGGCGTGAAAAAAAGTGTTCAAAATTTTCCATGTGAGGGAATGAAGGAAGCAGCCAAAAGAGCCATTGAGGAAAAGTATCTCGAATACTGTGTCGTGAAGCGTTCATTGGAATTTGGCGGTTCTGTATCCAAGGGAATGATAAACCACTCGTTCAACGCCCCATCGCATGCATTTAAAAGAGAGCCTGGGAACACCCTCTCTAACTACGCCTCTGACGAAGGTTGGAAAAGTTCCCAAAGCTTAAACTCCCAAGAGCAAATTCATTCTTTATCGGGTACATTGGAAAGGGAGCCTGCTGTCTTTTCTTTGAACCACCCGTCTAACTACGCCACTGACGAAGGTCGGAAAAGTTCCCATTCAACCGAAAGCTTATACTCCCAAGAGCAAATTCATACTTTTTCATGGGATACATCGGGTACATTGGAAAGGGAGCCTGCTGTCTTTTCTTTGAACCACCCGTCTAACTACGCCACTGACGAAGGTCGGAAAAGTTCCCATTCAACCGAAAGCTTATACTCCCAAGAGCAAATTCATACTTTTTCATGGGATACATTTGGAAGGGAGCCTGCTGTCTTTTCTTTTAAGCACCCGTCTAACTACGCCCCTGACGAAGGTTGGAAAAGTTCCCAAGAGCAAAGTCATAATTATTCACCGGGTACATTGGAAAGGGAGCCTGCCATCTTTTCTTTGAACCAGCTGTCCAACGACGCCCCTGATGAAGGTTGGAAAAGTTTCCGTTTAACTCATAATTTTTTAAATTTTCCATGACTTATTTTGGTTAGTTGAAAAGTTCGTTCCACTAAAATGAACGAATTAATCCTTTGCAAGGGTCACCAAACAACATGCACCAGAAGAAAGAGCCGCTAAGTAAATCAAAGGAAAACAAAAATGGTGTAGAACAGGGAAGGAAATCTTGTATTGCAAATCGCAATTTTGAAAAATTTAAGCCAACTTTCTTTGATTCTAAAACTGCGATGTAGCTCCTTTATGGTCAATTTTACGACTACATTTTATACTTCAGCAAATTAGTATCGGCCGAAAGTAGAAACATGAAAATGGATCACTATCTGGCGATTGCTGAAACCTGAGCAGAGGGGCATTTTGTTGCGCATGTCCGGTAAATTTTAGTTTGATACGGGAAACCGCTGGTATGCGCCTGCGTCGGTTTCCCTTTCGAGAATCACGAAAGAAAAGAAGCAGTAAAATACGTCGTAAAAAACAATGGTTCGAGTATTTGAGACAACCTTTCTTCTCATTTTTTCTTCTGTAACGTAGATGGAAGCAGCAAATCCTTGAAATTATTGTGTGATGTGTGGAAGGAAGTTATTTTCAGAATGCAAAAGATTGTTCGAGTCTTGTCTCGTGATTGTCTGGGCGATCGATGAAGATGATGTTATTTTTGAAGGATGCAAGTGGCCTGTCGAAGAGTACAAAAAAAAATTGGATAGTATACTTTTATCGTGTCATTGCTATCTCAAGTTATAGGTGATCATTTGAAGTACTCGCCTTTCTGTAAGCGTTTTTTAGAGCTTCAACTGTACTGCTAGTGCAGTGTACCTCCAATTTTGGCAAAAATGTAAAGTTTACAGAGGTTTATGTTTTGTTTCAAAAGTTTTTTTTTGACATGAATCACAACCGGCAGGGCCGATTACCAAAATAAAAAAGGTCAATGTCGAGTAAAGAAAAGTAAGACAATGCTAATGCTAGAGATATGGTAGCTCCATCTGGTTAGAAATGGAGGAATAATTATGGATTTTATCAGAGTAAGATAAAGTCTTTTCAATCATTAGTCTCGGAAATATCATCAGATATGATCGATGATGTGGGGAAATTGTGAAAGAAAACAAGTACTACTTTGGGCTTCCAGTTGTAAGATGAATAGTTAAATCAATTATTACCCAGTGAAAATCACTATCATTTATCATTTCAACTGCACAAAAAAATCCTATACACTCTTTGCAATCTTATTCTCCAACCTATTAAATTACAAGAGTTGTGTGACAATTCGATGGTCTGAAAAGACTCTTACACATGCTAAACAACAAAGAACCAGTAAGGCTGATATTTAACAGTGAGGGTAAAAAAAAAAGCCTTTTCTTTTCAGGAATAAGACTTAGTGAGGTCAAATTAAACTAATGTGAAGAGGTTTGTTGATCTCTTTATGAAAATTGATGCTCTACATCTATCAGATTTTAGAGAAATGAGACCTAAGTCAAAAGGGGACTTTGATATTGCATATTCTGCAGTAATGGGCATCAGCTTGGATGCCTATTTGCAGAAATTAATAGTTTTCAAGCCAGGGGTTTGGCTGTGCTAATTTTAAGGCAGAAAATCATAAATCAGTCGCTTAAGAAATTTTTAGCTCTGCCTGGAAGCTCAAACACTGTTATGGAACAGGACAATATTTCACCTGATCACTCCTCATATTGTTTTCCCATGAAATTTGGACAAAACTTTCAAAAAAACTTTATTGGTAATTTTATAGTTGCAAAAAAAGTATAGACACAAGTTGCATATAGCATAAGCTAGTTGAGGCAAGTTGTGTGGAGAGAACAAAAGATTGATAATTTATACCAGTAGTAAGCTTCTGGTACTAATGACATTCTCTTGAATGCCAGCTTGCCACAGCAAATGTCACACCTATCCTTTCTGTCAATAGTACTGACCATATGTAGTGGGGTCACTTCACATCTCCCTAAACAGCAGAGAACACAATAGTTAATTCCAATCATCAGTCTCAATTAAGAAATAAAAATTGAAGGATCAAGACTTATCTGGCAAAGAGAAATACAAGTCAAACTGGTTTGAAGACATTTTAACCCGAAATTCGTTTTCAAATATGACAGAAATACTGTAGTTCACATTCTAAAGAAAGAGAGTTCCAGCCCCTTGAGTAATTATTCATTTATTGTATCGCTCACCTCATGTTTTAAGAACCAGAGAAAGTTAGATAATTTTAATCTGCGAGTTTTATAGTACACTTCGACTCAAAATTCATTTCGTATGGCAGAAGTATTCTACTGAAATAAACAAGACAGAATGAAGCTGACGCCATCCGTTTCGAATAACACATGAACATGAAGAAAACGGCACCAGTTTAAACTCATGAGACAAAAGCCCACGGATTTTTTGAGGTAAATGAACTGGTTAGACCGAAGGCTAAATAAATAAACAATGAACTGACAGTGGTGAGAGATTTGGGGCCATGTGATAAAACAAGTTCTACCGAAGTTTATCCTCTAGTTAGCCCTTCAAGCCCAAAAGGGCAATCAGAAAAATTCTCACCAAAACACAGCAAAAAAATTAGATAAAACCGCAGATGATCGAGGCAAGACTATAAACGTTGTTAAGACGCATGCCTACGTACCAAGTACAACAGACTTGGAGAGCAAAATGGCCAAAGACAGTTGTGAGCCATGACTTTGAAAATCCACCTCAACCTCCCAAAAACGAATTCGCCGAAGGTTATAGAAAGAGCAACTCAATCCTGAAGCTGGAACATTTTTTTAAGCCTTGTGTCCAATGGGACAACAAAGAGAAAGAAGATAAGATGTTATTTGAAGTGATTTGAAGCTTGGGGGCCACCTCGAACTTAACGTAATTTTATTTCAAAGTTGAAGTAAAATAAGATCCAATTGTAAACTACCTTCTATTATCGTAACGAATATCTCACGATCGCCTCCAAACATCACTTCGTGATTTATAGAAGTAAGACATCAACATATTAAGACTAACCTTCAAGGTTTGTAGTCTCATGTGCACATCTTGATCGTCAGCAAATCAAATCTCAAACTTCAAGTTTTCGACTTTTTTTCGCGTTTTGTTCGCACTTTGATCATTAAAATATCCTCATCCGAAGAGCCAGCAAACTCCACAAGTATCCACAGAGTTAGAAATGGTAGTAAACTTGTCATACTCTTCCATCCCTCTCCAAAAAATATCACAGAAAGGTGTCGATCGCTCAGTTGAAAACCGGCAAAAGCGCGCTGAAAATATCGAAATGGCGCCGAACGCGCCGAACAAACTTTCTTGGCGCATGCGCAACAAAATGCCCCTCTGCTTGAAACCTGAACATCAATCTCGTTACCAGGATCCTCTCTCCTCCTCCCTTGAGAAAGGAAGGGAGAGAGGACCCCAGGAGCGAGGTCGTCTGACTATTTGCGTTCTGAGAGATATCGCCTTTGTTTACTACCAAAGGTTCCCTATGTGATTAACAGCAGGATAAATTCACCTATCTATCACAACTGTTGTAGATTTAAAATGATTGTCTTTATACTATATACTACTGTTAGTTTGTGTTAGGATGATTTATCCGAACTGAACCAAGTGTACGCTTTGTTACAATTATGAAGGTTGAGTAATGGCCAACCGGATGTTTCTGTAACTATCAAGTTTACGGTTGTTTAGTGTTTGTATTTGCTGACAGCTGTATTTATTCTCGACAGTATACGTTGATTATTAGGAGTTCTCAACAAACTGAACCAAATGTAGGCTTTGTTACAGATGCCAGACTGGGACTAAGGGGTAAGATTGAGTCATCGTTAAGTTTAAGTTTCACAATCTATGTATTATTAGTTTTTTTTTTCGGAGGATTTATCAGAACTGAAGCAAATGTGTGCATTGTTACAATTATGAAGGTTGAGTATTAGCCAACCAGATGTTTCTGTAACTTCCAAGCGTACGGTTGTTTAGTGTTCTGTAGTGTTTTATCAAAGTTTGTATTTACTAGCCGTTGTTTTTACTCTCGACAGTATACGTTGATATTAAGAGGTCTTAGCAAACTGAACCAAATGTAGGCTTGGTTACTGTTATGAAGGTTGACTATAAGCTAACCGGATGTCTCTGTAAACTACAGGCCTGCGCGTATTCAGTGTTTTGTAGTGTTTTATCAGTTGAAAGTTTGTATAGTTATCCTCGACTGTATACATTGATATGAAGAGGTCTTAACAAACTGTACCAAATGTAGGCTTTGTTACTGTTATGAAGGTTGAGTACTAGCCAACCGGATGTTTCTGCAACTATCAAGCTTACACGTATTCAGTGTTCTGTAATGTTTCATCAAAGTTGTTCTTTTGCTTATCAGCTGAAATTGTAGAGTATTTAGAGATTGACCGGTTACAATAATATGTGCATTTTTGTGTGTTCTAAAGGAAGCCTTTTGGTCATGTTTTGTTAAAGTAAGGCAAAAACCTAGACGACTCCTGACAATGTAAGTTGTTTTCTGAACAACTACCTGGGAAAGACTTGCAATTTTGTAGTAATATTTACCGAACCGTCAAGCACAGCTGTAAACTTCACTCTCAAGTAACTCACAGATTTAAGAGTTGGCTCTTATTTCAGCATTGAATTCCTAGACTTTTGCAAAACCATTTTCTAAAATCTTCCTCAGGAGTGAAATTATTTTACCCAAAAAGTGTCCAACATAGTGCCAATCTATGGTTGAAGTCTACAGAGACTGAAAAAATTGCGAGCCTGATCGAAATTGTTGCAAACTCCAAGTTACCTAACCAGAATATTCGTAAAAAGGTCATTGTGCTTACTAGGCCTGATGAAATTCCCATTTCACCAAGTTGAATTCAGTTTCAATGTAAGTTTCATATACTTTAAAAGGTAACCTGAGGCAAATTCCAATTGCATCCTCCAGGAGGGGAGGGGGAGGGGACAGGGAGTTGGGAGTGTGGGCAAGTGCCTCGAAGCAATGCATAGGCAAGATGTCATACTTCTTCGTCTTTGCCTACAAAAAAGCGAACTGTGCATTGACATAAACCACACACTAAAAGCTCAAGGCTGATATTCCTTTACATCAGCATCGGGTATTAACTTTCAGTTGTAAAAGTGCAAAAAGTCCCAACAAAGTTTAATGTACTAAACTTGAAACAGAGAAAGTTTCTACTCTGATCAAAAACCAATCTATTGTACTGCTTTACAGCCTTAAGGCAAAGTCTAAGTGTCTCTTATGGGGTTTTTGTATATCATTAACCCCATTACCCTCACTGTAACTAAGATATTGAGTAATAAGTATTCCATCTTGTAATTAACACTACACTTCATTAAAGGAGGTAGAAAATAATAATATAAAATTGCTCACACCATTTTGACACACTCCAGCAATTTTCAAGATTAAATGTTTGAAAATTCAATCCAGGCAGTAGGAAACTTAAATTTCCTGCAAAGTACTGGGTTTTCATACTTGATAAAATAAGTTTCCCAATAAAGAATAAAATATTTGAAATATGTGAGCGACGGGACAATGGCAACATAATTTCAAAACCACTCCCACAGAACCCACATTTACTTTTGTCAAAGAGAATATTTCTTAAAAACTTCCAATCAGAATGTCTAACTGCTCCAGATACAAAAATTGGAGTAAAACTACATTTACAAGTATCAGATCAATTCATGATATGACCAATCCAATATACTGTGAATTCCATGGAAGTAATATGGTTATTTGATTCTCAATACCATATTTATTAAATGTACTACGTACTTTTTAAATTTTTGGATCTTAAGAGTTGGTGCTCCTTCAAGGCTCAGGGCTTATTTAATTTTTAACATTTTCAGCAAGTAACAAGTTTATTTTACAACAAAAAAATGAATCATACCAAACATGAAGAAGGGGAAGGGGAGGGGTGGCTGGGTGCTTTTGAAATTTTCATTTCAACGAGGTAGGAGCTTATTCAAGGTTGGAAACTTAATCAAATCAGTATGGCAAATGTTAACTTCACTCGAAAAAAATAAATCCAGCTACAAGTTCATTGGGGTATTAACTTCAGGCAAAAACTAATCCTGGTAAGTCCTAATAGCTTCTAGTTAGTTCCAGTCCTATTTGCCAGCTTGCAATTAGATTTTTTCCAAACAAAAAAGCAATAATCTTCCATGTTTCTTAACCTCAATCTCTTACAGCCTAGCATTCATGTTCACTGCCTAAGAAAGATGGTCATTAGCAGAGCAGCAGAGTGCATAATCCAAAGGTCTCATGTTCGATTCCTCTTGGGGCTCAGAATTTTTCTTGGTCCTATGCTAATGACAAGAGGAAATAAAATTTTTCATTATTTCTTTACCAAGCTCAAAATTTGCCATCTTTCTTATTCAGTGTACAAACATGATGCTGTCAACAATGCTGATCACACAGGCAGACCACACTATGTGTTTGTGGTTAATAATTGTTGACATGAGACAAACAAAATCAATGAGGGTTTTGAATAAAGCTCTGAACATTGCATATCTAAATTACATCTCGGTCTGAATATCCTAATAAAGTTCAATAAAATGTTAATCCACTCATTTGAGGAATTTTTTCACCTTCATAGGCTGTTTGAAGTGACTTTTTACAAAATTACTTTTGGCCAAAAAACACAAACCACAAATACATAGTGTGCTCTGCCTGTGCTGATCCTAGCAGGATGCAGGACGCATGTCATATAATAAACTTTGTAATTGGCTAGCTCACTGCAGAGTCTGTGGCTCAGCAAGAGAGCATCAGAGTGCTAAATCCAAAAGTCTGAGGTTCAATTTCTCAAGAGGACTCAGAATTTTTTCTTTGTCTCACACTCCTGAAAAGGTGAAAAAATGTCTTTTGTGGTCACCAGATGTAGTTTCTGAGGATAAAATTTTCAGGGTGAGGTAAGGCAGGTGGGGGAGGGGGATTTTGATCAAAAAAACTCTCTTATGGGTGGGTATGGGCATTTTCTAAGACAAGTCAGTTACACCTTTAGGTTGACCTACTTTTTAGCTGGTCACTCAAAGGATGTGGAAGTTCTTGAATTACCAGTGATAGACTGGTGAAGGAGGAGCTCCAGTGTCAGTCATAGAAGGTGAGCTTTTCCCTTCATGGTAACCATCAAAGTCTTTTGGACAGCAGTACTTCCAGCCACGATACAGAACAAGCACAAGCAGGTAAACAAGAGGTACATATGCCAGAAGCTCTACGATCAGACTAAGGCCATTAAAGACTGATGTTGGTGCGTCACTGACAATACCCGAACTGAAGCTAACAATCAAGCACAAGTTTGTAAGAAGCACTGCATCAAGTCTGTTAAGGTACTCATACTGCTCATTGTAAGGACGAAGATACAGTCCTGTGACTGCAATGAGGACACAGGACACTTCCAGGATGGATCTCTTCAGGGGCCCAAATGGAACATACAAGGCAATCAGCAGGATGTAAATGCGACACAAGAAATAAAATGCTGCAAACCACCTGAATTCATTTTTAAAGCACTTCTGGAAGTTGTCATAGTACAATCTGAAATTTTTCAAATAACGAAAGTGCTTTAAGAACCATGGTGTAAAGAGAAGAATCAACGGTATGAACATAACAAAAAAAATAATCCATAGGCAGGCAATGATGGTAAATGGTAAGTGTTCCTTCCAATCTCTTTTGAAGTCGATGTTACCATTTGCATACAGCACCCATCTTTCTTGTATGGGAACATAGTGAACAATGTTGAATGAAATCATGGTCACATTTGTGTAACACACAACCAACAGAGTGCAGAAGGCATGAGAGACATTCCTGTTTATGTAGCAGGCAGGGCGGCAATTTGCAATCTTGGCCAAAATCACCAGTATGAGAAGAACATACAGTGGAAAAATGTAGTTCACACCAAGTTTCTGAAGGTTAGTCATTCCTTTGTAAAAGCAAGTTCCAGCACCATTTATTTCCCAGTTGGCAAGACCAATCACAAAAGAGATGAAGGGATCAAGTTTTTGTCCTTCTTGAAGAAGAAACAAAATAATTTGATAAGAATACAGCCAGGTGTTGAGGTATGTGGTGAAGATGTCCAAATTGATCCGAAACACCATTAGGACCAGCACAGGTGTCACAAAAAAGAATACCAGAGAAAGTAAAATGTGGACATTTGTACATGATGGTCTGCACTGTTCATTGCCTAAATTCACAGAGTAGCCATGTTTGCATGCTCCACACAGAATGCTTGTACCATCGCGTCCTTTGGTACACATTGTTTCAGGACTGTATCGGAAAGTTGGTTCACGTTCAGAGAGATTACAGTAATATGGTGGACAAGGGTATGTGCTGAATTTATTGTCTTTTACTCCACCCCAATATCCTCTCTTTAAGAACACATACTTGGCATCTGAACTACAGTTTGAAATACCTGACTCAACAGAGCTTGAGATACAAGAACAGGTCTTGCTATCTGTCTGCTCAAATCCATCATTACAATGTTGTAAAGTCAATTTCCCTTTGGAAGAACTCTGCACAACACGACCCACAACAGTGCTGAGTTGAACTTTAAATGGACGTTTTACACCTCCAACAAGATGCAAGCTGTAGATCTTGGGATGATCTCCAAGCACTAGAAACAACTTAGAAGCTGTTCCAAGTCCAACATTGCCTGCAGCATTTTGATTTTGTTCTTCAGTTATGGTTACTTTAACAACACCTAAAACAGAACTGTCCTTTTCATCAATTAACTCAACAGTTGGGTCGAAGACTTCACTTGGAGAAACCATCCACTCATTTTCATTGAACTTGATTAGGACTGGATCAGTAGATATTTGTGCTTCACTGCTCTTGTTTTCATCCCGATATAGAATTGTGTCTTCCCACTCCAGAGTTCTGTGGTTTATGCGAGGTACTCCATCTTCACGGCATCCTTGAAGAGTGGAAGCATACACTGAGTCTCCACCACCTGTTGCTACTACCAGATTACCCTCAAAAACTATTTGAGTTTGCCATTCCGTGATATTCTGTAGACTGAAGCTGTAGTTATAGGCAAGGAAACACTGTCGTGTCTTAAGCTGAGTTGTATTGAAGGCCACCACAGGAGGACCAGAGTCTTTCACATAAATAGCGCCACCTCTCTTTTGGGCAGTGTTGTTAAAGAAGTGAAGGGTGCTGTATGGCATAAGCATTAAGAATGAAAGGCCATACAATCCTAGTGCACCCCCCTCCCCTCCTGAGTTATTTCGGAATGTCACATGACCAAAAATGTACAGCACAACATTCTCAACCACCATTGCAGTATTGTCATTATGTTCAATGTACACAACTCCTTTAAAAATGACTGGTAGGGAGTAGGAATAAATTGCTCCTTGGCCAATGACTTTTTCATCTTCTGTCAATATTATGTGGTTTTTGTGACATTACAGTCCTCAAGAACAATAACATAAAGTTTAGTTCCTCTTGTGACAGAATTTGGGAGACCATTTACTGCTGCCTGCGTAGACATTCCAATAGCAGAACCCATTGTTGCTGTGTTGTTCCTCCAGGTACAGTTTTTGTATTCTATATAAAGCCCATCACCATTGCCTTTGAAAAAAGATTGCCATTCATAAAATGATACTCCTCCTCCTAAGATGGCAGTATTGTTTTCAAACTTGCAAAGTTCATACTTCATTTTGTTTGGAAGTAACCCTAGCTGATGGTCTCCAGCAGTGGTACCACTTCTGATGCCTCCTCCAGCATACGTAGCATTGTTGTTATGAAACACACAGTCTGTTACTTCAAATGTGTTGTTTTGCACTTTGTCATGAAATTCTATGAAAATCCCGCCACCCCAAATGGCAGTATTTTCTTCAAACTGACATCTAGTCACATGAATAACATTATTTTCTGCTTTCCCATTGACAAATATAGACAAACCTCCTCCTCTTCCAAAGGGAATGTGATCGTCCCCAATTGGAAGTTTGACTATTGTTTCATACGGTTGACTTGGTGCACAATTCTTTTTGAACGTACAGTTGTAGAAAGTGTAACTACTGTTGGTGTCAAACTGAGCCAATGTTGTTGAATTGAAATCAAAGGGAAAAGTTCCACCCCTGTAGGTTAACTCCATGTAAATGCCACCTCCTGCAATTGCTACATCTTTTTCATCATCTTTTAAGTTATCCGGCCGATTGTTCTCAAACCGAGAATGTGAAATACGAACCTCACCACCAATGTCGTACATGTTAAGTCCAATTCCGGGACTGTCGACAATATTGCAGTGGTCGATAACAATGTGTTTACAGTACACCAGAAAAACAGCTGAATAAAACTTGATGTGGGGATATTTAAAATCTCTGCCAGTGGTACTTGCATGCAGTCCGCCACAGCCACGCAGCAAGATTCCGCTCAGAGTAATATTGTCGCTGTTTTCAAAGGATAAACTGCCTCTATTCCCGGGGCATTCGATGGAAACTATCGAGTACGGATCGCCAACCAATTCGAACCCGTGCAAATTCATGAAGTCAAAATGCTGGCTGAGATTGTACGGCTTCTTTCCAGCTATTAGCTGCACAAGAGTTGAATTAATTACATGAGCTAAGGCATAGTCTAAGGTTTTACAAGGAATTGTTTCATTCCAGCAAGAGCTTGTGTCCACTCCACCATGTTGTGATACTGTAATTCTTCTTTTCCACGTCAATTCTGCACGCAGTGATGGGGCAACTGCTAAAAGGCAAATAAAAGGGATAAAGAAAGAAATTAAAGACACAGCCATCGCGACCTTACGCCCGTATCACTGGTTGTTTTCTTCTAATGCAGTCGGTTAATTTCCAACTTCGCATGTCAACTTCCTCGTTTTCACAGAAATCTTAAACGATGAGTGGCGTGACTTTCGTGGAACTTCGCTGATAAACCACGCCGGCTGAGTTCTTGCACGTTCTGCGGTCTGTCATCTCAATCAGATCTGTCAGCAACTTTTATTGAAGGTATTGGCCATAATCATGGATTAAACGCTCACGATGTGGTTCCAGAGGCAAATTGGCTCCAATTTCTCCAAGTAAAAGGTTTTTCTCGCTAGCTGCTGTTTTTTTGGAAGTCATTCAACGACGCATATCGCAAGAGTGCGTGACATCTAAGAACGGCTTAGACATGGACGCAAGAATTCAAGAGCTTGACTTTTCGCGCGTTTATGGAATCAGCATTTTTACGAAATAAGTTTTCCTTTCCCTTTTCCCTTTCTTTTGCATCAAAAATACCGAGTAACAGAAATCTGCCCTGTATTAGGACAGAGATCTTGCACTTCATTCGGTCGCGCTAGTCTTCTTAGTGGCCGTTGATAGGGATGTCACGGTCAAGTTTGAGGGTTTAAATTTTAAAGTTTAAAGTTTAAAGTTTCTGGCATTTTTTAGCAATAAAAGTGGCATTGCCGAATCAAACTTGGAAAAGAATACGTACGAACTTAGTGTTTCGTATTTTTATAAAATCAGACGTCATAAGCTGGTTGGGTTGTTTTTGTTTTGCGTTTTGAGATGAACATCCCGTAATTCCCAGAAAAGGTCAAAAGTTCCATTAAGACACCTAATCCATGGTTAATACTCCTAAACATGTTTGAAAGTAATGGGTATTATTATAAGATAATTTTCTTGCCTTAGATATAATAAGAAGGCTACAGAACCCGTTCATCACTACCAAGGTTTCGTTAGTAATTCTCCTTTCTTTCTGCCATATGATTATTTTAATCTTACTTCGGAGAATTTTGTATCGAATCAACTGATGATCTCCTACCGCGCGCGCACAGAAAAGAAAGAAAAACAAAAAGGCTTTACATGATGAAGAAACCCTCTCAGGTTTCGTAACCATAGCATTCCACAGCTACGATGAGCACGGGTATAGTTGATTCATTTTTAATATTCCTTGCTTCAGTATCAAAATATACAAATTTTTTTCAATATTCTAAATCGCTTTAACTAGTACGGGTTCCCAATATAAAATATGGAAAATATATCTTTCTTTCCATTGATATAAAATACTCCTACAAATTGATTATTAGACTAAAGAATTCCTATTAGAAAGGTATGTACATAATATTTTCCTAAACAATTTTCAAGTTTAGCTCGTCGGGACTCGTCTGACCCCGTGACCCCCGAAGGAGAGAAAGGTCACTATTTACCGCCTGTGGAGGGGGAGGGGGGGGGAGAAAGGGGTCAGAGAATTTTGGTTGTGTCATAATAAAATTTCCCTAATGCCCCTGATGTTATAAAATATTCTACTGATTCTCCCCCCACACTGGCAGTCACTTTTCCATAGTCCCCCTTCATACTCTTTTGGCTACGACTGAACCCCTCTCCACTCCCCATGAAAACCAAATGATATCCCATTCAAAAGCCTTCGACCCCCACCCCCCCCCCCCATTATTCCACTGATGATAAATCATGACCGATCCGTAAAAGATCCTGGAGACTAAAAGACAATGATCGCGATTCCGCTCCGGGTTTCATGTGATAAAACTTAATAGAGACTACTTTCGTCTCCGGAGAAAATTCACAGCTGTTGTCGATAAATCAAGGGGCTAACATTAACAAAGCATAGAGAAAATCAGCTGATGTTCTTGTAACAAAGGATCTTTAATTTGTTTATCGTTGCTGAGTGGTTACTTTACCCTGGGAAAACAGGATTCCTCCAGCTTTTAATCAAAATTTTGCCGTGTGAAGGGAGCTTAGTGATCCGGGGTTTATTCGAGATGCGATATGCGTTAAATCGACAGAGAACACTTAAAACCACACATCAATCTATATTATTCATTCACTGAAGCACATTCCTTAGTTTTTTTTTTGAGCACCCTAATTTGAAGGGAAAAAAACGGAGCTTCGATTGCTGATCAGAAACTAACGATATACTCATTTCTTTCGGGGTCTACCGAGCTCGCTTTTTTTGATGATAGTGGTCTCGGCTTGATTATCGTTCCCATTCCCTTCGCCGTCGTTAGCATATAAGGCGTGGGGTTCATGCTCGTCGGTTGAGACACGAAAAAGCCCCTTGGTATTATCCTTAGACTGAGCCTCATAGGGGGACATCATCGCAAAACGATCAAGCTCCGCATCCCCTATTGGACCCCCCGTGTCGAAATTATTTCCCATACTTATCCCCCCACCAGCGTTTTCACTGGGAGATTCCACCGCATTAGACACCCCGAATTGATCGTTCAACTGTAACGGAGCTCCCATACCACCTCCAGTCATAACCATCCCGTAGTCCCCACCGTCCGACATCCCATCCCCCATTGTCATGCCTCCCACGGGAGCCCCGCTCGGTTCCATGGAGCCAACATTAGTCGGGGATCCGGGTTCCGGTTTTGAATCTTCCACAGGATTTGGTTCATCATTACTGTCTACCTGTTCGGAGTCCAGGGAGCTGTTTCCCCGGGCTGACTTCTTCAGAACGAAGTTCAGCTCTTTGGCATCTCCCTCGGTTACTGTAACATCCTTTGATAAGGGCTCGTATCCCACGGCCATGGCGGTGACTTTGTAGCCCCCAGGGAGAAGAAGTCGCCAATAATCCCCATCTTTTGCAGTTATGATGTCTTTTTTACGATTGTCAATGCGGATATGTACACCAGGAATTGGATTTCCTTGGCCGTCCTTTACAAACCCTTTCACCCCTTTGTGTACCTACGTACAACAAAGGCAATAAATTTTATTTTCCACGAAATCTGCGAAATCGGCTGTCACTGACACTTGCAAGAATGTTTCTGGCTACATAATTTTTATTAATTACAGAAAAAGATATTTTTATGAAGCTGTTCAAATAAAATAGTATCCCAACAGTAAAAAGCTTTGAAGGCACATTTTCTGGTATCTTAATGTTAAAAAAGTAACTTGAAGTGGATTTATTTTAAACTCAGTTAGAAATTATTGAGTTCAATTATTCAATTCTTTTTCACGTTTTTCTAAAACTCTTTTTCTTTAATTTTTTATTTAATTTGATCCTGAGAAAAGTAATTTGATAAAATCTGCGAGTCTTTATGAATGCCAATTGACCGACCATACCAAACAAACAAACAAAAAAGTTTAAAATGAAAGCAGTTGGTCCGAACAGTCTTCACCAAAGCAGCTGTTGCTTTGACATTCCTTATTTTTCACTCACAACCGCCACATACCTGATCAATAAAAGCTGTTAGTGCTCGTTTGTTTTCCTCCCAGTCCTTAGGTAATTGGCTTGCCTCTGGGAACTTCTTACAGCCTTGTTCTATGGTTATCTCGAAGCAGTTTGAGTGCATGTAGTTATAATCCTGCATCCCCCCTGACACGCTGTACCAAGCTGCTCCATTTGTGACACCATCATTGAAGTGATCCGGGGGGACTTCAGGGCAAGGCCAGGGTGGATTCTTAAGGTGCATAGTTGGATGCACCTCAGAATAGGATTTGGCAAGCTCTTTAAAGACGTCGTCATCTGGAGACTTACTGTACTCGCTCTGCCCAGTTGGACTGTCATCAAATGGGTAATTTGCCACTAAGGAGCCGCCATGGAGGTTGGCACTCAACACAAAGGGATACTCAGAGATCCATTTCATCACAGCTATGGTCTCGATTTGAGGTGGTCCCGTCACGCTTTTAAAAAACTGGTCAGGAAAGTTACGGTTCAGATCAACATTGTTCGCATTGCTTCGTCCGATAATCCAATCCTTCCTGTTCTCACCTTCTGCTGCAAGCTCGTAGCCGTCCGGGTTCATACTTGGCATCAAGTGAATACGAGTGGTGTCAACCATTTTGGTGAGATTCGCATCACGGCCATAATTTTCACAGAATGCTTTCGCCAAATGCAAAAGAAGTTCGCGTCCCACAACTTCGTTACCGTGCATGTTAGCAACGTATTTGAACTCTGGTTCACCGGGCTCATGTTTGCCCGGATTGTCAGAGATTTCCACGACCCAAAGTTTTCGGCCTTGCACCGATTTTCCAATGCTGTAGAGACGCGTGATTTTTGGGTACTGTCGATGAAGATCTTGAAGATAAGCGGTCATTTGATCGAAATTATGGTGCGTCCAGTCGTCGTCGCCCAGCGTGCGTGTTTTTGCACTGGGACGTGAGAAAACAAGAGCCACCCGCAAATAAATGAAATATGCCACCAGAAGCAGTATTAATCGCTCCATTGTTCCAGATACACTGCACGCAAAGCTTTTTTGCGAGGAAAATGAAGATCTTCGCTCTAAACTCCTGGCAGTAACTATCCCGTCCTTAAGTTAAAGCTTCTTAACCATAAGCACCACCCTCCATCACGTCATTTTTCGAGCTTTTCCTTTTCTGATGCACACGAGCTAAAAAGCGAAACTGACCGGCTCGGACACGGTCTGTGATTGGCTGATCGGCTGAAAATGTCACGCAATCATTGAGCTCAGTTGCAGGTTGTGTTTACTTTCCTCTCATGAAGTGACTGAACCTGATTGAGTGTTCAAACCAAAATAAACAGGTCTCTGGATTTAGCTGTGACTACAAACATTACTCCGTCCCCTCTTGAAACAGTTTCGTCTCATTGGTCTCTGTTCAATTGGGTGTTAAACTTTTAGTAGATTTCCGTCGCCACGGGGTTGTCTTGGAAGGGAATTTTTGTTTTCTTATATTTTATCTTTCTCAGATGTCAAATAGTTTGGAGGCTGAACTTCTCGTAGAGAATCTTGAATTTAATAACTTCAAACTGCGAGATAATTTGGCAATTGGAACAATGGTGAAGCTGTGAGAGATGAAAGACAGAAGTTGGAAAAGGAAAGAAAAATTAAGGGGAAAACCGACTACTTCGTTTGAATTAGTATCAAACTTTGATCCACTTAATTTCTTTTTCATGTCGTGAACAAAAATCAGACATTAAGAGACGACTTCAGAAGCAAAACAAAGAAATAACCTTCACTTTATACAAATTTAGGAACAAAATTTGTCAAAAATCTTGAAGTCGATTCGCACGATTGATAATGATTAACATCCACTCGAAAATAATCTCAATTTCTGCGATAATTTAATTTTTTTTTCGCTTAATAGTAAGTGACCGCTACAAAAGGAGTTTGAACCAAATAACTTATGCATACCACATTGAACGACCATAAAACTATGTACTTTGTATGTCAACACGACGCAGGGTTGACATTCAATTAAAAACCGTTCGCAAAAATAAAGGCTATATACAACTAAAAAACAAAAGGCGTATTCATATACATGGTGAAGCTTTCTAAGTGCATGTGTTTACTAATATCCAGGCATTGACGGAGGAGCTTCCTGAGAGCTTCTTCGCTGCATTTTCTCTCGCTTTCTTTCACCTGGCGGCATTAAACTTTGAAGCAGTTCACCCCAGTGCATCTCTTCTTGATTGAGTACTGTATACAAATGCAGTCATTTCCTCCAGCGGAAGGACATGCAGCTATTCCAAGTTATCTTTGTGGAAGTTAGACCTACTCATCATGTAAATACTCGTAACGTTGCGTAAAAGTTAAGTAATACTCTTTTACTGACTTCAAACTTCACCTGAGTAGCGAATGAACTTCGCGTTGTTAGAAACTCATACAAACTTTCATGCATAAACAACATATTATACAATCTCATCACAGTTAAAAGCAACTGACGTTTAGCCAACAATTTATAGATATACCTCTTCTTTATTTAAGTTTGAAATGCTCTCGAACTTAGAGACAAGGCTCCGAAAGGTAATTGTTTCATAATAAATATTTTATAAAAAATGACATGTGATTTGTACTCTGGATGATGTATGTTAGGGCAAAATAAGGCTTTGAAATTTTTAAGTCACTTAAACAAGGAACCAGTTATGGAAGACTACGAGGGATGTGTTTCAAAGACTTTATCATCAAACCATATAAAAAAGGGTACATGAAAATTTGATTTGAATCCGCATAAATACGACTATGATTTAGGTTTTTGAATTAAACTTACAGACGCTGCGGCTGCTTTCTGCGAGAAAACTTCTGCTGGATTAAACCAAATCATCTAAAATGACAAAATGTTCAACTGAGTGTCGAAAGTAATTCGTGATTGCTCTGGTTTAACTGAGCTTTGCTCTGTGATTGGTCCAGAAAACTCGCAGCATCCTCTCAACCAATTAAATGCAAAAAACCATCGCAACTTGGTCACCTGCGTTTTCCCGCGCTTCAAGCAGTTAGCTTGTTTTCGCTTTGAATTCTCATTGGTTAATGATGATGTAAATCTTTGTTCTGATTGGTCGCTGGGAATATTTTGGTTTCAGTTTTTCGACACTCAATTGAAAACTGCTTTAGTAGTTATAAATGTTGTGGGTTAATTTCATCGCTGCTTTCTTTCATCTTTGTTTCAAGCCCATGTCATAGGAAACTGAACCAAAAAAAACAATATCTCAAGCAGTGATAACACCAAGCCACAACATCCACAGTACCGACTGCAGTATAGAAACGATTCAGAGGAAAAATAACTGCGCAGAAGTGTGCTATAAGGGTGTTTCTTCCAGTTTGTTTAGATCCGGCACCCGACCCCCGGACTTGCTAAAATTCTCCTTGGGGGGTGTCAGCGGTTTCAGTCCGTTAAAAGGAGTACCCAGCTTCAAGTCTCGATCCTCAGTCGTCGCCTCATTTTCAGAAGGAGGTCGCGACGCTTTTCTTGGTAAAGGCGCTAAATGTTCGGTCGACGGGCTGACTGGTCGGTCAGGAAAGGTAAAATTCCCTGGCTCTGATAAGGTATGTTTTTGTGAATGACCTTGTAGAGAGAAAGCCGATTGTCCCCTCCAAGGTGACAGAGATCCTAGGGGTTGAGAATCTGGGCTTTCGCGCTTGGCCGGTGGTTTGCGCGTCGGGTACGTGTTGTGTGTTAAATGAGCTAAGTTCTTGTGTTGGAGAGGCTGAAGGCGAACTTCTCCAAGAGGTTTGTGAGATGAGCTGACTGTAAGCGGTCCGAGGTGTGTTACAACCTGTTTGAAGGAATGAGAGAAGTCGAGTGTGTTATCGTCCAATTAAATGCAAGCTCATCCCATTGGGTTTCCGACTGAAGGATTGCTGACACCCTTAAAAAATACGCTGGCTCTTGTTAACGAACCATTAGTTGAAAGACGTTGAGCGTTAATCTTCTAAATATATTACAAAATTACTTCAGTCTTCAGAAAGAGAGAAGGCCAAACGATTAGCGAGCTGGTACACTGTGATCAACCATCTAATCGCTCACGTATTCTTACAGAAAAAAAAAAACTTTCCAAGGATATTATCGTAAAACAACAAATTCGTCTTTTTTTAAATTATGTTTTCAAGAAGTCACACTGCAGATTTCTGGAGAGAACTCGTTAATAGGTAAGAAAAGCTAATGAGCAAGTCAAACCCTCAAAAAAGACTTTGTTCGCTTTCAAAAAGACGTACGCAAAAAGTTCTCCACAAGGCCTCGTCTTAACTTGTTCCCCTCGCTTCCCTGGCTGACGTCTGAACAGATTTTCAAAGGAAAATTAATTCTGCTCGAGAAAATTTACTGAAGCAACTCAAATCACCTAATAATCCTACAGTATTGTCTTATTTCAACCTTACCGTATCAAGGCAATTCTGAGAAACTTACCTTGTCAGCCGAGTTCATTTTCCCTAGGCTTTTATGAGGACGCATATCGAAGGACTGAAAAAGAAGATAATTGATCGATTTTGTTTTTAATCAATATAAACCAACATTAAAGCTGCACGAGAAAAGAAAAATCAACGTCACGCTTAAAACATGCTCCAAACGGTTACGTTGAATGAGTGTTAGGAGTTTACCTGCACATCAGCACTTCTGCTCCAGTCCGCCATTTTACTTAATTCACTAAAGGCAAACAGACAAGAAAAAAAATGAAACTCAAACCAAATTGAAACTTACCTTTTGTTTTGTTGATAAGCATGAAATACAAAGTAGACACGCAAAAGACATTTCCCCTTAAAATATCCTTTAATCTTAAACCAGGCAAATAATGAAGACACAGAAAAAAAACTATCATATCTTTTTCCTTTTGGTTTTACTTCACTACACATTCTCAAATTACATTCGATGAATGCATTGTCTCGAAGAACGAGAAGAGGACCACTCATCCAAAAATTTGAAACGGAGGCTCACACCAGATTATTCAGTCCGAAGAGTGACTCAGTGAACGGTGATTTGTTTGTGATTTCAAGATTTCTTCACAATTAAAAGTGAAACAATATTGGTATTAACTACAAGCAGTCATCAGGTTTATTGTGTCCACTTACCCCTGTGATTCTAGGTGATGAAATTGCTTTGACTGCACCGGTAGGCTAGCCACCTGGGAAAAAAATTAAGATAAGACACTTCCGTAAGCAGTTTAAGCGTCCGCAGAGAAAAAGATACACACAAGTCAATCGATTTTAACCCATTCATCGACACCAGGAGCATATAACCTTGGTTCAGATAATTTTGCTTCTGTTACAACCGATCGATGAGACTTTCTTTCAGTCTGTCGTGCCAGGTTTTATCTCGCATTTCGTATTTGGTTTTTTGTGACTTTTTTGTCTCCAAGTTAAGCATTCGTAGATAAATATGTGGAATCGTCATTTACAGGAGACTTAAGTGATAAGGTTTGTATGACAACGTCAGTATCAAAAATGAACAATAACCTTCAATTTGCGGCATCATAATTTGGAAATGGCTAGAAATAATTGTTGAAATTCACTCAGTGGTGGGCCTAGCCCCAAAAAGAAAATCCTGAAGTGGAGAAAAAAATCTATCGAGGGTTTCCTGAGACTGTCCCTAAAAATTGTTTAACGAGATTTCCACATGACAGTTTCGTATTAAAGGGGAATGATTGCCACGCCATGCCATGTCCACTACTTCAAACTTCAATTCAATCTTTTCGTCAACTGCAAAGGAGGAGAGTTGGTTTTTAAGCACATTATCAACGCTTGGGAAACTGTATTCAGCCACCTTAAATCGATCACCGAAATGAATACTACACCGGGCACAGTCGTGCGCAAGTGTACACAGAAAGAAGCAGTTCTCACTGTGATAAGAACAATAACAAGGGATAAATTCCACAGACCTGTTGCACTTTTTTCTTCTTTTTCTTTTTGTCCCTTTTGTCATGTCCTAGAGAGTTTCTTGGTTGGTTTTCTTCACCACCAAAGTCTTGCCTCCTGAGTGAATTACAATTCAAAACAACAATCATGAACACAATAACAGAGGTTAAAAATCGTTATGCAAGGGAATTTGCCGGATTTAAGCACTGAGGAGATAACTTTTTAAAATCATCCTCACGGTTTTATTAGAAATCAGTGACATCCTTGAAAAAAATACAACTTCCCTGTACGGGCGAGGAACGCCAATTCTGTGCGTGAACCATTTCGTTCCAAGACTTGGGATAACAAGTATAAATAAATTTCTGCTGTAGCTGAAATGGTTGAGTTGGCATTACCATTGTGTATCTTGACGCTGTTTAACAAGCGACACCCCGTGCTCCAAAGTTGATGAGGGTAAGTCTGATTTCGAACCTCTTCTTTCTGTGTTCACTCCCATTTGGAAGGAATAATTCGATTGGAGAGCTTCTTCTCGAGTGGACGCAGCGGCATCTGATGAAAAAGGAGAAGGCACGGGAAACTCAGGTATGGTTTTTAGAAAAGCAGACACAACTAGCATGTAACGAAATAAATTTGCTAGAGTACACACAACCGTCAATTTCTACACTTACCTGTGAAAACCGTTTTCCCTCCCTGCCTATCATGAATTCCCTTCGCTTTTTGCAGGTCCATGGTCTGTGAATAAAACACAACCCACTTACACGAGTCAAAAGAGAACCTTTTTTCCTATGCCTTAAGGGATTAGTGCTCAAACTTCGGGTTACGGATGAGAGAGCTTACACCGACAGCGGTATTCTCTGAGTCGCCGGGGGTGGGGGGATCTGGAGGAATGTTTCCTGTCCCATTTACAGTCGGGGAAAAAAAGTTCCAGAATCTGGTCTCTTTTACGGCGTTAAGTAGGAAAGGTTCTCCTTAGGAGTATTCTGTTTCTAAGACTGAAGAAAAATTCGACCTCGATTCACTTCCCTCCTGTCACTTGCTTGTCAGTCACCTCAAAAGAAAGAAAACGACCAGAGGACGCCGAGAGCACCTAGAAGGTTATTGTGAGCCTAGAGCTTGCATTAACATGTCATGTGATCTCTTACGTCCGACTCTATACATTACAATAAATGCTGTACCTCACGGGCGTAACATTTCATACTGTGTTTCACAAGGTCACATTCACAGGTCACACAAAGACTATCAGCCACGTAAAACAAAAGTCTGCATTCTTAGGACCCATGAAAAGAGTTAAAGAGTCACACACCTCATTGCGTGACATAAGCGGCTGCTGAGGCCTAGACTTTACAGAAGCGGAGCCGTCCCGGTCCTTTTTCTTGCCAAGGATCACAGACTTGGTTTTTCTGATTTCTTCGGCGATTGTTGCTGAGCCATACGGCAGCTAAAAAATGTAAACATGATTTAAAAACCAGTTTCTTTTCAAAGGCTTTCGCCTCCAAACCTGTTACCTTTTTGGACAATTCAGATTCCGCAATGCTTAATTGCTGGCTTCTTCAGACACTTTGATTAAAAAATAAAAATAAAAAAATATTAACACAAATTGAAGAAAACGGCAGAGACTCCTTACCTTTGTATTCTTTGAGTGGTCAACCTCAGAGTCCTCATCATCTGCAGGGAAGAAGCTGTAATTAACAGCCACAAGATGGCTGGTGCTAACACCAGTGCTGGTCTTTGCCTTTGCCCTTCCTTCATCTTCTGTAACACTAGTCTTATCGCTTTGAGCGAGATTAGTTCTTTCCTCAGTTTGAGAAGTAGTTGCTCTTGCTCCAGTTAAATTAGAATTACGAGGTTTAATATCTACAGAACTGTAAACAGTTTGTTTCACTGATAAAGGGGAATTCCCTGATCCCTTTGATATTTCAACGCTTGGCGCTGATGTACAACTTTCAGACTTCTCGGAGTTTTCAATATCAGAAGTTCTATTTTTGTCTGATGAATCATCCTGCTGATTACTGTCCTTTGGCCTTTCTTTAGCAACCATCTGCTGCATGACGAGCTTCTTCTCAGCACTAAAATCTTTGCCAAGCGGTGGATTACCGTGCGAATTTGGTTTTATGTCTTGTGTTTTCAACTCTTGTAAGCTCTCCACTGCCGTGATACCCTGTGATGAGTATCCTTTATGTGAAAAATATCTTGATTTGGTTGGAATTTCGGCCTTTTTCGCAGCCTGTTTGAGATCTGTACTCTTCTCTTTCCAGGTTTTCTCAAACTCGTCTCTTTCCTGTTGAAATGCTGGGTGATTGTAAGCATCATCTATTGTAAATCTGAGCTTTGGATCCAACTGTAACGTTGCCTAAAGATCAAGCATTTTGAAATAAAAATCTTGGCATTTTCTCCTTGGAAAAAGCAACATTTTTATTCCAACACCACTTTAAACTGATCACAGATGTTGCAAAATGCCCAAGAAAGAGAGACAGACAGAGGAGGTGGGGGGGGGGGGTTGGGGTCATCCAATACCTAGAATAAACAAGGGTGTTGCAGGTAAAACAAAAACAATAAATTACATGAAAATTTAAAAGGAAAAAGGGAGGGATGGGGAAAGGAGAGGAAGAGGGGGGAGGGATGGGATGGAGAGGAAGAGAGGGGGGAGGGATGGGGGGGAGAGGAAGGGGGGGGATGGGGAGGGAGAGGGAGAGGGGGGGAGGATGGGGATGGAGGGGGGGGGGAGGGGGATGGAGAAGGGGAAGGGATGGGGGAGGAGAGGAAGGGGGGGAGGGATGGGGAAGGAGAGGAAGAGAGGGGGAGGGATGGGGATGGAGAGGAGGGGGGGAGGGATGGGGATGGAGAGGAAGAGGGGGGGGGGGAAGGAGGAGGAAGAGGGGGGGGATGGGGAAGGGATGGGGGGGGGGGGATGGGGAAGGAGAAGAAGAGGGGGAGGGATGGGAAGGGAAGGAAGGAGGGGGGAAGAGAGAGAGGGGGGATGGGGGGAAGGAAGGGGGAGGGAGGGGAAGGGGAAGAGGGGGGGGGAGGGATGGGGATGAAGAGGAAGGGGGGAACGAGGGATCATCCAATATCTAGAATAAACAGGGTTTTGCAAAGGGCAAAAACAAAATAAAGATAACAACAATAATAATAATTGTGAGCATTAATTTCCTTGCAAATCAGTTTACTTTATTTTTATGTCAACTCAAGTTCACCCAGCGATATAACTTAGATGAACACAGTTACAAATAAACTGATACTTTGGGAGAAGTTGCAAATTTATAATTTCTAGGAGGAAAGGGGTCATGTCAGGTCTGCCAGCTCCATTTCCCAAGTTCCTTCTACCTCACAGCTAATCCCCTACCATAAGTCTGTTCAAGGGCTGCACTTCTAACATGATTGAAACTGATTTCTGACAAAACTCACTTGCATGAAGCTTAGCATGATTCCACTAATGACTCCAGCATATTTCCTTCCTAATGTCTGAGGGCCGCTTGTTGTTGGAAACTGTTGAAAGAAAAAATTACAACTTGTTTATACTATAAGTAAGATAAACTATGTACATTTCTCCACAATAAATGACCACAATGAATAACTACAGCCTTTTTTACCAAATTGTTTATACTCTTTCACAAGTATTACAGGTCCAAACAATAATAACATTTACATCACACATACATGTAGAAAGAATCAAGAGAAATGGATAACATAGAGAATTATGTTGTGGTTTGGACTAAAATTCTCATATTAGATAAACTTTGATTTTTCTTTGTTTTAGATCTATTAACAATTTATCTGAGACTGAGAAAAACAAAATTAAAATGGTTATAGCTAGAACAAAGTTGGCCTAAGACAGATTTTTACATAATCAACAACATTCCTTCACACTGTAGTCTCCAAAATCAATGAATTTTAGGGCAAGCATACGTGAAAAAACACAAGTTTCATATTTTTAGTACATTGTAAAGATTAGAGCACATTGCCCAAATCATAGGTATATGAAATAGTAAAAAGAAAACAACAAAACTACAATTCTACACAACATTTTTCAGGTTTGTTAAGTTTTCAGCTGCCCAACAAAGCAGAAAAAAAAAAAGATGATACCTTGAGTCCTTTGAATCTAGGATTGTTGTTGAACATTTCCATTTGATCTGGGGGAAGCTGACCCAAAACCTAATGCCACAAACACAGAAACACAGAAATCAAGCCATTTTTAGTCAGTTATATATGGGAAAACCACAGTTCTTACAAAACTCCCACATCATTTGACAGATTTATGTACTAACCTTTTGAATTGTAAACAGCTGGTCTATTTCACTTTCTCCTGGAAAAACAGGCTGTCAAAAACCAAAAATAAGGAAAAAACAGAAAGGAAAATTGAAATCAAGAATTCTCCCTAAAAAGACTTTCCTACAACTTATAAATCAAATCAAAACAGTGGAGTCATTATCAAATTGGTTGGGATGGCATTCATCTGGTAAAATCCTATTCAGCCATTAACCCGCAAAAGTTTCAAATTTGTACAATGGTCACAGCACACTTACAAAAAAAAAAAGGTGATGCTAATTAACATGTTCAGAGTAAACCAGTTTATTTTTGTTCCCCAATTTTGTGAAAACACCCAGGAAATTCGAGGGTCCAGGCATCCCCTCAGGACTAAGGATATATGTATTCTAGAAAATTTACTCAATTTCCACCAACCTGCCCATCACTAAGTTCCCCGAGAATACAGCCAATGGCCCAGATATCCACTGGCTTACCATAAGAAGCCCTGCAAATTAGGTAGAGAATTATCAGAATCAAACATAATGTAATGTAAAGTATGTAACAATATACTAGGTCATTTCATGCAACATGCAACTACACAACCTTTATGCCTCAGATTTTCCCTCTGCAAAATAATGTAACATTACACTGATGAATGAAAAAATAATTTTCCATTTTCTACACCTACCCTAAAAGCAGTTCTGGTGATCTGTACCATCGAGTTGCAACATAATCAGTAAACTGTCCACTGCCCTTAACAGTCATGGCTCGGGCAAAACCTGCAACAATAAGGTGGTGAACCATTAAAAAATTCCTTTCCTGAGTTACTTCAGACTTATATGCCACATTCTTTTTGCATTCTATGGCATTATTAAAATTTCCAATTGTTTGAACTTACCAAAGTCACACAGTTTAAGAACCCCATTCTTACTTATGAGCAAGTTTTCTGGTTTGATATCTGTTGACAGAGAAAAGGAAGAAATTAGAGAATGAGAAGCAAAAAGATGGAGTAAGTAATCACTTCAAATGGAACAAATTTTGAACAAATTGTATGTTAACAATCTGAAAGTGTTCAAGATTTGTATTACAATACTTCTTCTGTCATTAGTCAGAGTACCTCGATGAATGACATCATTCTGATGGCACCACTTTATGGCTTTAATGAGCTGAAAAACATAGTTTCTAGAAGGAGGAAAATGGAAAAGAAATGTTATCAATGAATAAGAGGGAAGTTAAAAGTTTTAAGTTTGGGTTCTATGCCATGTCTTTCCAAGTTCACATGAAGCTCACCTGACTTGATTTGACGGAACTCCATTAGGCATTTCTTCTAGTAACTCAAGCATGTTCTATTCAATTAAAAGAGAAAATCAAAGTAAAGCTGATAGACCATCCTAGCTACTGCTACACAGTATGGTTAAAGAAATGAATTTACAAATAAAAACTTCAAACATGCAAACTTACTCTCTCAACATATTCAAAAACTAAATACAGTTTTCCTCTTCTACGAAATGCTTCCCTGCAGAAAAGAAATAAAAGAAGTAAACAAAGGTGCTAAAGTAACAACCCTCTAACAACCATGATCGGATTCATAACTCTCCCATCCAGTTGATTTACATCTCCTTCTAAATCAGTGACAAGAATTTGGAGGTATAACAGCTGGGATGGCATCCTCCATCTGATGATTTTGCGTATTTTAATTCACCTTGAGCAGAGCATTGACAGAAATTACAGGCGTACAAGAGTTAGCTGTTACAGTTGTTACAGCTGTACAAGTTATCTCCAATGGTATTCGATAATCACAGATAATATTATACACCCCTATATTGGAGGCTTCAGAGAAAACAACTAGCCATTTAATTTGAGCAAGGTAAATAATTTCTGCTCCCGGAATGCTTGGACTAAAGCAGAATCTTGAATTTAGAAGTTTTTTTTGTGAAGCTCACTAATTACTTTGAAAAGTGTTAATACTATTCATGACAACATCTGATCTCTCTATTTTGTCAAAACATTGCACAATTGATGAAGATATATCCCTCCTCCTGGATTAAGTATTAATGTATAAATAATCAAAACTAACCTGAGTTCTACAATGTTTTCTTGCTTCAACATGCGAAGCACTTTTAATTCCCTCAGTGTTGTTCTTTTAACATCCTCATTTTCTGGTGGAATATGTCAAACACATGTACCAGAAGTTTAATTTAGAATAAATAAAACCATCCAACAAGATGGTTAGCAATAATTGACAGGTAAATGTCATTAAAAGGCATTCTTCATTGAGATTGTAACTGTGGAGATTTCATCAGACAGCACAATCAGTGAAAGGAGTTCTGTCATGAATACAATAATAATGTCATAAGAGGTTTTTGCCTTAAACCACTGCCAGGCTCATGATTAACCCATACAACTTTACCATGGTTACTGCAACATTCATTAATTTCAAAACTATCTAGGTGGCCATTATTGGAAGTGATGTTTGCTTTAACTAAAGACCAACTTAATAAACCTTAGTGTCTTGAAATAAACGCAAATAAAATCCTCTTTTTTGCAAGCAAGATATGCATCAAAAATATATTATGATGTGAAATAATTGCACCAACCAGCTGTCACCAATAATTAACCACCTTCCCAATACAAATACTTTTAGTGCCCTTTCTTCATTCAACCAGGAGAAAGGTGCCAAATCAATGCAAACACTTAGTTCAGCAAATTGCTTATTAATGAATATTTAAAAAAAAAAGGTGATTGAATTTGAATATAGTTCCTATATTTATACCTTTGTGCCACCTGCATGTATTTTTACTTTGCATAAAATTTTCCACACCAACTTTATTTGTTTCTCTTTTCTTCAGATTATACCAAAGAGAAAAAGAGAAATAAAATTCATGCCGGTTTGGAAAATTTTTAACATCAACAAATAGATGTCTCCATGGATGCTCACCTTCGCTGTCTTTGAATTTCTTGATGGCCACAATCTCGTTTGTTTCCTGCAGCAGATTAAAAGAAGAGGATGCATCAGAGGGTTATGTCCACAAAGTATACATATTTTTATACTTACTGAAATGGTAAAAATAAAGTGGTTGTTATTGTATGGTCTTCGAAATTTTTAGCTGCCTTCAGAGTCTTCTCAGAGCATGAGAAATATAAAACAGTATGAGGAAATCATAGAATTAATACCATTCTACTTTCAAATTGGATTCAAGATTGTCATAAGTTACTTTCAAGCCCAACCTCTTTCCAGTGGTTACCCTCTAACTTTAAACCTAAATGAAATCTCTAGACATAGGAGTTACTAGTCATAATAAACAGTGTTCTCCCTTTTTACAAGCAAGATTTAAAACCAATAAGGCAACCCTTCAACCCATTGAACTTTTAAGAATTCTAAGCAATTTTAGGCAGTAATAAAAAGTATTACAGGCAGTGAATATTACTGTTTATAGCCTGAAAAGGAGAACACTGCCCAGAACAAAAATGTTGCCACTTGAATCTTCTATTTCTCAACAATATTTTATATTTTTATCATCCTTGCAAAGTAAAATGCCTACATTGATCCTGACCCATTTGATAACACTTTTAATAGAGAAATTTCTATTTCTCATTCAAGAACTTAAAGCCTTGTTTCTTTTCATTCATCTAGATAGTGGGGATCACTGTTCGTGGGAAACTTATAGAGGAGACCATTGTATCATATATAGATACAAATACTATTAACATTATCATCCCAGCAACCTGCATCAGAGGGTTATGTCATCATAACCCTCTGATGTCTGGGTAGTGTTTCCATAACATTGTCCTAGTTGCCTCTAGATTGTTTATATGATGAATAGAGACAATCCTCATGATCACATTTAGACAGTTGGAATAATCTCAGGTAAAAGGTTTGCAACTGCTGCATGTACAGCAATATGTAACTTTGCCAGCTCCCTGCAATAATTCTCCCCTTATGCTGCCATATTATCAATTGCCATGTAAATGTTGTGTTGGTTTTATGAGATTTTCCTTTGCAATGAGCCAAGCCGCTCCGCACTTCTGGAAAATCACTGGCACAAGAACACCAAACCCGAGCAACTAAACAAACAAATTATCCGAAAAGTAAACAATTGCAACACTGAACTGTTCGGGCTACCGAACGACTCCTTTTAGCATATTCTTGTATTGGCCCCTGGATTTTGAAGGACATCTCTCAAATATTGAGTGATTTGGTAACATGATCCCAGAAGGAAATATATCTATCAATTTGCGTGCTTGATGAACCAGCAATCATCAGCCTGCTTAACCTTTATAACACGTTGATCTGTATATTTGATTTACTGTCATAACTGAGCTGTGAGATGGAAAAAGAGCTTCCGTTACCTTGTGCCTGCATCTTAAAACCACTCCATAGGCTCCTAACAATACAGAAACAAAAACGGAGATGTTTAACTCAAATCTGAACCAGTTAAACCCATATTTAGCAATACAAAAACAATCATTTGCGGCACAAAACACTGTGGGTTTGACATTCCTTCAACCCAATTTTAATTTCATTACCATACGGATAATAACAAGCTTACATCAAAGACTACTTACCTTCGCCTACAACTCCAAGGACTTCGTACTTATTCATCTGTGTTTAACAGACATACTGTAGGAATATTTAATAATTGATCTTCGCCTGCCGTTAAAATAACGTGTATGTTGCTTCCCAAGAAACGAAAACATATCTTGCAAAGCATCTCCCATTTCAGGAAGTGCGTGTAGTGCGTTTTACAAATATCACCATGGGACATACAGAAAAATCCATCAATATTACTCTCAACAAAAGGTTGTCGTTTTATATGCCGAAAGTGTGTGGTTTTTTATACAAATTGTATCACATATTTTTCGTCACGGTAACCAACAAAACGAGGGTTGTTATTTCATTTCCCATGATTCCCGATAAGGGTAACGACTGAAATTCCTTTCCGATGACGTATGTTCGCGTGACGTCGGGTAGTGCCCGGGTACGGGAGAGCTAAGTTGTATCTCTTGTACGCTCAACGAAACATACATTTGGGTTGAAACAGCAGAAGAAAAAAAATGAGATTTCGTGATTTTAATGATGACAGAGTCTCACCTATGCCTCAGATTTGATTACTGCGGTTTTCTCCCTTCGATATTCCACCAGTATAGGACAGTATATTAGAGCGATAATTCTTTACGATTTCTTCCCTGCAACTCCACACAGTAACATTAAAGTATAGTTCTCAATATCCTGAAAGAAGCTAAAATCCGTGAATTGCAGCACTGGGTAACTAGCAGGGCTATTAAACCTCCATCTCCATTCTAAGAGTATTTTCTCCCCTTTTAATTTACAATAAGTGGTATACTTGATTTTTGTTGTCTAAATCTATCCCTTCTTATTGCGCAAATCAGCCCTGACTTTGATTTAGAAATCATGTCTTTTGTCATTTTATATTTGATTTATCGTGAAGATGTTTTACTCCTTTGATCCGTGAAATTCTTGCTCAAGTTAACCCTTTTTACTCCTAATATCTCATTAGTAATTCTCCTCACTGACTAACATATAAGTCATATGGTATTAGTATATGGTGTTAGTTCTGAAAAGTTGGTTTTGGATCAACTATTAATTCCCAAATTGACAACTTTCTTTTTTCCCATCACTTGTCTGCTCGGTGTTGTATTGATATAAATAGGAGAATTACTTTCTTGGTCACTCATGCGAGTTAATTGGTTAGAGGGAAAGAATATCATCAGGTATCAGTGGGTATCAGTGAATTCGATATTCCCGCTTCAGCGCCCACGGTATGCACCACACCCAAGCTACGCATGCACAAAGTACTGTTGACATCTCTAACGAAATAAGCCTCTCGTAAAAGAAAAAACTTTGTTATGTGTCCCAATATAAGGTAGTTGAAAGGTTTGCTTCTCTTCGTAATCATCTTTTAGAGGAGGAGAAACAACATGTCGAGGGAAAATCTACACGTAAGTAACATGTTACACTTTGTTCAGGTATATTTTTTACTCTAAACCGATTATGGGTCTATTGTACGTTTGCGTTCATAGCCTGCTTTCCTAAATCTGTTCAGCGCTTTCTGTCAGATCTTTGACAAGCAGTGGATAATTTTGCCTGTTTTGTTGAGACAGTTGTAAGACCTTCTGTGAGAATTTGTGAGAAATGTTCGAAGGGAATGTGTCGTAAAATCACTTCGAACATTTGAACTTTGATGTGGCGTGGGGCGGAATTCTAATTTTGAGCATAACTTTCTTTTGCATGTTATTCCTCACTGAAATAGTGCCTTCTCTACTCTTGAGGAATTATCTGTGTCGTTGAAACTGTTTATTCACTAGGGAATGGCTACCACTGTCAGAAATCCATCTAATTTAGCCATCATGAATCGCATACAGACGCTTCGATATGCATGAGTTGCATGTTTACAACCGTTGAATCGACCTCTAACAGATACATGAATGTCCGGATTTTTCAAGTGTTTATGACCCCGGGGTTTCTAGTTATTCCATCCGTGAAGCTCTTATTGATATCATTTTCGACGCTTATTGCATTTTTTTTACCTCTGTCGTGGCTTTATGATTAAATAAAAATTTTCAACGTTTTGTATCAACGGTGCATAATTTTGCTAATACCCATGAAGAGGTGTGACTTAGCGTACCGATATAATGGTTAAGCAAAATTCTCTGGCGCTCATTTTCATCACGAAATTTTTGCTTGAAAGTGATTTTCAATTACTGTATCAGATATTGGGTGGGTTGTCAGTGATCCAACATCACCCACTAAATTAATTTAACTCATTCCTACATATGAGCCAACATCCATATTTTGCAGATATTATGCAAGTATCACGAAGGAAATTACTTGATACTGAATAGAGAAGAACCAATTTTTTGGACATTTCTTATAAACCCAAGAGTTAAAATGCAAACTGTGCTCTTAATTTAAATTAAACTTTAAAGTATCAAGAACATTTTTAGTAAAACTTATGCCAAGTCAAGATGTAAGGGAAAAAAAATTACTTTCAAATTGATGATACAAGAACCTATATACCATGAGTTCGGGGGGGAATTGATAAATGATAATAAATTATCTTACTTTTTCAAACAGTTTTCTTAAGAAAAGGAAAGGTAATACATCATTATTCAAATTTCTTTTTTCTAACATTATTCAGTTACAATCATGGTACTACACTACAGGCATTGTTTGAGTATTTAGTAGAACAATCTGATAATTAGGTACCATAAGTCTGTGTAGGGAAATATCATAATTTTTAATGAATTAAATTTCATTTGACTTGTGGATGAAAATTAAGTAAAGAAATGTTCCTGAAAAAGAAAATTTCAGGCTTCTTTTCTGTTAATTCTTGAATTGCAACTCAAACTTGTATAGATCACTGTTCCACTTGATTAGGGAAATGTAATTATCATGTAAATATCTGAAAAGGGTTGATTGATTTACTTAATTCTTCCTTCTTTCCTTGAATTCAAACCTTTCCTTGAAGTCAAGGTGTTTACTAGTTCATTTTACCAAAGATACAGTTGGTAAATGTTTTAGCCAGTATCTTGATGAACCATGTATTTTAACTATTACTACTGTTTTACAATTATGAAGTTCTGCACACCTGGAAATTTATAGTCAAGATGCACAAGAATCTAGTTGTTTAAAACCCAGCTTTTGCTTTTCACTCTGACTTGTTTCCCTTTCTTAAACACCAACTTTTTTTTCCTTCAGAGAAGAGAGAATGCCAAGGCTCGCACTTCTATGCGAGAAAAGCTGGTAGAGAAACAGAAAGCAACAGATGAACACGAGAGCAACTTTACAGCTGGTCGTGTTAATGTGCGAGAGAGATATTTGCACCGCACTGGAATAAGAGGGAGAAAGAGCTGGATATTCTATGCTGTTTTGTACATTCTAGCTCTCCTTGTAATAGTCAATATTGTGGTGAGTGTTCATAGGCTTGAAAACCAAATGATTGTCTTCTATTGATATAAAAGGGATGGATATGCCAGAGACATAAAAAACTTAAAGATTGGTATCACCTAAGGGTTTTCTTACTTTAGGTGAACATATTATTACTGATGAGGAAATCTAGTTGAAGGTCAGAGTACAAGGTTTTAACCTTTTAAACCCCCCCCCCCCACAAGAGTGACAAGCATCTAATTTCTCCTTACAATATCACCCTTGAATCAAACATTAAGGTCATGAGAAGGAAGGACATGATCATCAACTAGAGAAGTTCTTGATTGTTAACCAAGTTCTCTTTTTCAGCACCTGAGGACATGTCTGGAGAATAGTAAGGAGAATATGCATACTGATGTTAGGGTGGCAAGGGTTAATTAGATAACTAAACTCTCTGAGGATAAACAGGTTAAAGCCAAGGAGAGAGTGTCATGACATGATCAACAAGTGGCATGGAAAACATACTGACTGTAAGGGAAGAGTTTAATAAAGGGTTGGATAGCACAGTGGCCTCATGGTTAGTGCGCTCAACTCTGGATTGAGTGATCCAGGTTCGAGCCCTGGCCAGGGTCATTGTGTTGTGTTCTTAGGCAAGACACTTTACTCTCACAGTGCTTCTCTTCACCCAGGTGTACAAATGGGTACCAGCAAATGTGCTGAGGGTAACCCTGCGATGGACTAGCATCCCATCCAGGGGGGAGTAGCAATACTCCTAGCTGCTTTATGCTAAGAAAACCAGAGTTAAGCACTGGCCCCATGGGCCACTTGGGCCCATATAAAGGCTTACTTTTGGATAGAAAGCATGAATATCTATATTACTGGAACACGAACAGTGGGAACTGTTATTAGAGCTGTGATTTTTCATTCTTCTTATTTCACATAATTTTATTATTCATTCCTTTCACAGATGCTTGCCATTTTGTATCATGTCTTGCAAATGAACAAAGATGGGATGAAGTGCCTGTCATTTTTTGAGAACGATGATGTTCGATTTCATTGTGAGAGTGACATGGACTCAGTCAGTTTGTATAAGAATCAAGCTGGAACTTTTAAAGACCACAACTTGGTTATTGACAGTGATGACAAAAAGGTAATTTATGTTATAAGTAAACCACCAACTTTGGTACAAAGTTACCAAAAATCTTAAAATCATAAGATGGTCACCAATGGGTAGAGTTTAGTCTCCAGAAAAAAATGCAAAACAGGAATAAACCAAGATAAAACAACATGGGAAAAGATGACATGAGGAATCATACTGCTTTTAGAAATTTTGTCTTTGGAGCATCAACACAAAGTGTGTAAAATTTGTTTTATACTCACCATGGCAACTAAAATGATTGCAACTTGGGGGGGGGGGGCTGTCGTCAAATGACTGTTTTAGTTCATAGTTTTAGTTCATATTGATACAAATTATTATTATTTTTTTTTTTTTTTGATCTAGATTATATTCCATGGAGGGCCTACAACAGCATCTGCACAGAGTAGGTGTAACTTAAATTTGATATTACTAAATCACAGATAACCTCATCCTTATTATGGAATATATACCAGTTTTTTTTTGGATCGTCAAAAATTGATCAGGAGACTGATGAGAATGGAAAAATACAGAAAAAATTTGAACGTACAACTGACAGAGTCTTATTAATGGTTTGCCTGTTGTTCAGTGCACGTAGGTGCAGATATGACTGAAATCCATGCTAAGCGTGGCTTCCGATTTGTGGACCCTTATGAAAAGAAGACCATCCTGAACTTGAATGGAAGTGTGTGGTATGTTAATCCAGCCTCCATCAATGCTTTCACGGTTGCTGGAGATGCATTGGTTACCCATCGGGTAAGAGAGTGTACAACTTTACAAACTAATTTGGAGAAACTATTTCTTGAATTAATGAAACTACAGTTCAGTTACTATTTTTGGGAAAAATTTATGGCTTCCCTGAGAAAGAGAAATAAACAGGTTTTGCAACTCAAGTGCAGCAACCACTTTCTTAATTTTTGATGTTGGCAATAGTCGAGTGAACAGTGTACTCTTGACAGGAGATTTTTAGGTGCTTGTCTTTGGGAATGTTGATATATGCAGGTTTTTAGTTCTGTTGTTATTTTTTCCAATTAAAAGCAAATTTTTCAATTATTTATTTACCAACCTCAAAAGTTACCATCTGGCCTACTTTCCATGCTGGACACATGCTGATCCTAGTAATAGTAGTTGAATTTTTCTCATTCAAACCTAGTAGCTTGTCAACAAGTTCCCCAGATTTCAGTTGAGATAGGATTGTGTCACCAAACTGGAGCAGTAAGGGGCTCAAATACAACTAGGGATGCAGATATGTTTGCTCATTCTCTTTTTATAAGTATACTGTCTATGCTTTTTTGTCAGGTTGTCAGTAATGAGGACCAGAATTTGACTTTGACCTCTGAAAAGAGCATTTCAGTGGAGGGACATGAAGGGCTAGTTTTGGATGGAAAAATGACTAACTTCAATGCTGATGAGGATATCGAAATTTCCTCCGTCTTGGTAATAATATTGTCTTCACCAGAGGGTCGTTGAATTGTGCTCTTTGGCAAGAGAGCAAGATAGCCGTCAGAAGAAAATGTTGGTTATTAGGCTAGTAAAACAAACCTGAAACCAATTTCTTTTTATTTTCTCACTTTAAAGGGTTCACAAGGAAAGGCTACGATTACGTTTGATGCAAGCAGTGGGGTCTATGTGAATGGAAATGCACTAGACATGCCGACTGCAGCCCCAGGCAGTTCTTCAGGGAAATACAAGTTATGTGCATGTATAAACACGGGCAAGCTTTATCGTGTGGAAGTTTTGAACTCGACTTTCTCGACTTGTTCTACAGTGGAGATTGTTTGTGGATAATGACAACAGTTGTTGTCTTGAAAAGAACTTCTCTTACTCTCGTTTATTGACTAAATTACGGTTAATTCTGTAGGAGGTAAAAAAAACTTGGTAAGAATATGTAGTTGGTTAAAGGATGGTATGAATAGAGAGGGTAAAATATTGATATGAACTGCACATGGCTCTCTAGTGGTGCTGCTTTTTAAACGGCTCGTTTCCGTGTTTGAGACGTTGGTTTCAGTACACTGAATAATAGATATTGAAACACGTTGAAAGAAAACGCGAACGGCAAACGACCATCTACGATCTGTATGATAGTTTTTTTCCTCCAACCTTAAATAATTCTCACAAAGAAGTAGAAATTTTCTAAATGTCCTCATATTTTTGCACCGACGCCCAAAAGGCAGGGAGAAAAAGCTTGTAATTTCTAGTAGTTTGCCGTTTGCGTTAGGTTATTTTAGATAATCTCTCTAATGTTTTGTTACTGGTAAATATTTTATACCTGGCTCGTAAAATGCTGTTTTTCAGTAACGCTTGTATTTTTCTATGACGGAATGAAATTGGAGAAATGTGCCAAGTCATAGTCAGTTAAAGCATGTAAAATAGCTTAGCACCTATTTATTACCTGTACCCCCTTGGACGACGCTCTTGGCGGCTACAAAGTTAGTTTTGTCTGTGCTTTAAGTCAACCAGGAGCACATTTGATACGACTGGACCAGTATTATTCATCGAAGGATCCTGCCTCCCACTCATTTGCAGTCGATTGGCAGTTAGTTTTGTATATTCGCCCCCAAATCCTCCACCGCTCCCTAGCAGAAAAAATGTGGTATTTAAGGTAACATAGATAGATTTCTTAAATGGGAATAGGAGAATGAAAATAGTGGGAGGGGACTGTCGTTTTCCACCATTTCTATCTCTCTTCTTATTTTTAGTAGTTTTAGGCTCACAATTATGAAAATTTAGCCAAAACGTAGCTTTGTTCCTGTTCTGTAGTAGAGGGTTGTCCTGGGGTATGGTCTCTCTTGACGATGACTGTTTTGCTGCTGTGCTAAAGCATACTATTACAATGTCAATTAGAGTGCTTCAACTTTGGGATAACTGACTACTATACAGACAGTTTTTTACACGAGCAAGGCATTTTTACATCTTGTAAACAGAAGAAGAGCTTTTTAAAGTATACTTTTCTAGTGTTGGCGACCGCGTAAGACCCTGGAGTTTTTTACTTTGATAAAAACAATAAAGCTGTGGAAGTACGAAGCAGTGTTATGTCCTCTATAATTGTCCGTTCGGCTTCCGATGACTCTTAACTTTCAAGGGAAGTGGAAAAAGGTTCAGCTATCGGGATTTCAAGTCATCGGGAAATACATTAAATAAACAGAAATAAGAGAAAACTGTGTTCACTGAATTTCTATTAATAGAAGGGGTTAAGTGGCAAAGCTGAAATTGTAGTTGACTGGGCAACAGGCTTCGAGCAGTTTAAAATGAGTTTCTTTCTATGCCCGAGGGAAAAAAATATTACACTTAATCGGTTACACAGCAGCGTTTATTAAATGTTCAGCATTTTTGATTGGCTTTCAATTCAGAATGGTTTTTCTTTTATCAAGAACATTTACGGTAAATCATAAGTAGATTTGATGTGAAACAGAAACGTGTTTTAATTTCCATTGTCTCGCGTTTTGGCCAGTTAGAGTCGTAATGGTTAAGTTTGTGATATGTACGCCAAAGATAGTGAAGATTCCTTTTTGAACAGTTAATATTTTTTTGACAATCCTCGGAGAATAACCGTTTTTTCCTGGGTGCGGAGTCAAATCGAGAGCGGCTCTCACAGAGACAATCTTGATGACTTTGTAGAAGGCTTTAACAATATAACCTTAAGAGACTCAAGACACGTTAGAGAAAAGATGAAACTTTATTCTTTATAACAATGATAAATTTAATCTCAACTGTGCTCTTTATATAAAATATACAGTGTTTAAAACTGAGGTATACGAAGTACAAATGTGAAATTCATCCAATTCTGGATTACAAACATTCTTCCAAGGAAGGTTACACTCTAACAATAAAAGATTAGATTTACTTCTACAAAAGGTAGTAATACTATAACAGAACAATTTTCACTAAGATACAAGCTTTTTACTATGTGATTTCCCTTTACAATAACATGGCGTTGTGACGAGTACAAAAAAAATACTTAACTTAGATATATTAATAGATTTAAAAGCAAATTCTCGAAGCCAAAATCTTACGAAGTATGTGGTAAATGCTGAAGAGAATTGAGTTGGTGATCTTGATATTAAATGAGTTTAGCCGCTGACACACTTCGAAGTTTCTCTTGGTGAAGGTAAAGGTTCCCTCTTAGGCCTAACTGAAACCTTCTCAAAGACACTTATCAAGCAAAACTTTTCGGAAAAGCAGAACTCATGGTCTCCTTGACAACTGTCATTGTCAGGTTATTTATTAGTTTAGAACCCAGACCTTTCACGGCCAAGCAGTTGCTAGGATCCTTCATTTCAGTAGCAGTTGCTCGATAGGATCTCGCTAAGAGGATTGTTATTTACTTCAACAAGTTTCGTCCTCAACAAGTTAGCCCCCTTATTTTCGAGAACTGAACAAGCATGTCAGTTTTTGAACTAGAGTACTTGTTAGTGAAAAAACTCGTCATAATTTTCATTTTCATGGAAACCCCTCTAGTGTAGATTCGGCTTTGAATGTCGTTTGGGCTACTGAACAACTTACAGCGATAGGTGATCGTTGGTGGTAGAAAAAAACGCGTTACGATACGAGACGTGATTAAGAAATGTGTCAAACATCGTGATCACCTTCGGGAACGCACGTTTTTGTAAAGTCAAAATTCTGCTGTTTAAAGTCGTAAATAACACACGTTATTCAAATTGAGTTATAAATAGGACATGTGATTATTCAATTTTTCCTCTTTTTAAATTGTTAACTTCCCAAAAGTAATAAATTAAAAATACTAAAGCCATTTCTTCCCTCTTCACTATTAGCTAAACAGGTAAAATATGTAAAACCCGATGGCGTTGCTTTGCCGCGCAAACATCACGCTCTCAACGGCTTCGAAGAGAGGGGCGAGGTTAAAAAAGATAAAAACCGATCGAATGCAGAATAGCCATTCACAAATGATAATCAAACTCAAAGAAAACACTTCCCACATCATCTCACTTCGTGAGAGCAAAAGCTTTTTCTGAATTATTGTTCCCGTTTAGTTTTCCTAAACCTTTGCACGGCCGCGGTACTGCTCCTGTGCAAACGATAGGTTCAGCTTTGTCACCCAAAAAATTCAATATGGCGTCTCCAACACCTGCTGGAAGCCTAGAGACCCAAATCCAGAGGAGCTTAGCATCCCAGCCAACCATGTACCTGGTCTTGGGATATCTTGACGTCAGTGAGTGAACAATGGCGTCGACTACTTTGTACAGGTGGGGTGAGGCACATGTGTCTACCATTCCTGTTAGCATGTTCTTAACGCCTGGAATTAAAACAAAATAACAACATTAATATAATGAAACAAGCGCTAAGGCAATAAAATTACACTTCATTTAGAACAGCAAAGTTGCACTTGTTGACAGAAAGGTGTTCGCGTAGAAAACTTGCTCGTGACACTTTTCAAAGAATATTAGCAAGAGTGTGGTTCTCATTATAATCTTGAACAGTTTCCTGGACGAGAGAACTTGCCAAGTCATGTAATAAACAACATGGTCCAAATCTCGTTGGTCTGGGATAGGGCTTATAGCGTTAGAAGACCAAACAACAACTAGAAAGATGGTTATGGCGGATTGAACGCATTGTGTTCAGAGACCAAACAAAATAGCGGCAACGATGGAGGCGAATGTTTATTCGAAAACTCTCCCTCCTCGAGACCTGGCACAGGGAAAGCATGGGCAGGGATACTAGTCAAAGGAAACCTTGTCATACTTTTCTAGCTGTCAAAGGAAACTGTAAAGCTATGGCTTTATTCTGCTAGTCAGTGAAACCATCAATTCCGATGCCAGAAAGTGGGGCGCATCACAAAACTTCTAAATTTTTGAGTTATGTCTTGCTCTCACAGGTAATTTGAATGATCAAATGCGCTTTAAAGAAAATATATATTTAGTTAGCGATAGCGAGTAACAACTCTTGCAGCAGAACTCCTAAATTTTCCACGTTAAGGTCTTTCGGATGTTCACTAGCGTCATACTTGTTGATAGGATTAAGTAAATAAAATCTACTCACTAGTTTCGTAGAACTTCTCTCCGTACTCCTCTTTTAAACTGTGGCTCAGGTTGGTCCAGAGGTCCTGCCACTGACCCTTGAGGTTGTCGGGATTGGTGATTTTTGTCTGAAAAAAGCCTGGTTCCACAATACTGACCTTGACACCAGTCGGACCCAGTTCACGACGGAGAGCGTCCGAAAATGCCTCTACACCAAACTTGGAAATGGAATATGCTGATGCGTGAGGTAAGCACGTTCTACCTACAGAAAGCAGAACGAAGAGTATGTTTTTATCTTGTTCTGTGAGGTGAATATTCGACCGAGTTGCATGATACCAAAGTAGTTCCAAGTTTTGATAGCGACAAATTTGATAAGGATTTTTCAAGTTTGGAACTAGGCCGTCCCTGGTCAGTCAGTGATAAAACAGCGTGACGTTTGACCATCCTTAAGGAAGGTTACTGAGTAGCAGATTCATGCAATTTATTGCTATCATAGAGCCCTCTGCTTTTCAAGATTCTTTGAAACTTGCTCGACTTTCTCACCTCCGATACTAGCGAGGTTTATGATGCGTCCTCGCTCCTTTTTGACCAGCGGTAAGAACACCTTGGTGACGTCAATCAGTCCCCAAAGGTTCACATCTGCGATTTGTTTAAACTCTTCAATAGTCTGCCACTCAATCGGTCCAACTTTAGCGATGCCAGCGTTATTTATCAGACCCCACAAACCTGCAAGATATAACGCGATTATTTCGACCCTTTACACCTGAATATAGACAACGAGAAGTCCCTCCTTTTTGGTGAAGTCCGTCGGGAGAGTAAAATAAATCAGTGAAAACATTTGATACTAACGCGAAGCAGGAAACTCTGGGAGTGAGGCGCACGAAAAGTTCCGCGTGGCGCGCTAACCTTTTTCTTTCTTTTCCCTTTTTTTCCTTTGACTCATGCGACCAAATTCACCGAAAGGGAGGGTTTGCCTGTAGTCTAACCTTAAATTTTTTATAAACTAAATGTTTGATTCAGGAAAAATAATATCATGGTCACTTTTTAGGGATTAACGGAATTTTACAAAGATCCTTTAAGAGTGGGTATAGTATTGCAGTGAGAAGAATGGGGCGTGGGGATGATTTTTCAAAAAGGAGGTCATGGTTAAAAATTTCCGCGCACCTTCCGTGAAGCAGCTTAGACCACTGTTCTACCTTGCGTATCAGCGAGCTTGTACTCACGCAGCAGATGGAACATTTACTACAAGGAAAGATTTGTCTCATACAGATTCTTCGGACTTTCGCGTTTTCAAAACTAGATTTATGAAGCTGGTGTTTTGTTGACTTTTAAAAAAAGTTGCCACGTAGAGGTAAAGGGGGGGGGAGGAAGGTCGAGATCCCCTTCTTTACTCTCCTAGAAGACTTCTTGGGTTGTATACGAACCTCATGTCACAGGTGTGTTGAGTTCATTTTTAAGACCGTCCTTTATCAACTAAACAACACCCCAAAAACAATTTTTTTTTCGAGTCGGTCAAAACAATATTCTGTATATCATGTGAAAGTGAGGGTATCGTCGTGCAGCTATTTGAAATATACACTAATTCCCATAAACATGAGGGTGGATAAGTCGGAGGGAGCTTATTTGAAGAGCTTTCCAAATGAAATAATTACTTTACATGTACATGTGCATGACTTTATCGGTTTGACGCATGCGATGAACGAGTTTGCAGCTCGGTTTGTTTATCGAATAAGTTTATCACCCGTGCTCATCTCAGTTCGTTATAAATTTAATATACCAAAATAATTAATCCAAACGAAAGCTGACCAACGTTCCTACCGGAAATGACAATTAAAGCGAAAGTGTTTAAGGGCGTGCATCGAACAATCGTCTGCTACCCTTCTATTTATACCTCTCGCACAACTTCAAATAGATGTATACTGTGCGCTGAAAGAGAGGGTAGCATAATATTTTTTTGATCAATGGTGCTATTGTATTAAAGCTGGACAGAGATATCACAGTACGAAGCGTCAGTTTATGAAATTAACATTCCTTTTCGTATTATTTCGCTGAAACAGGAATAGATGTTTTCCGTGAAAAATGTTTTTCTCCCTCTTAAGGCTTACCATCTCAAAGCCATTTAAGGCATTTTATGGCCGGATATGAAGTATAATAAAAAGGTAAAAAGAATTTTTTTCTGCCATTCAAGGAGAAACCGACAATTGCATTCGTGCACAAGGAGGTCTGACCGAAAACTCAAAGAATGTGCCGTTAAAGCTAAAAGAAACACGTACACTATTTTCAGTTTCCAAAGTAGAGAATAATTCAAGCAGGCACCTTTTAAAAACATTTTCAAAAAGAAAGCGGCTTTTGAATGGCTTTGATCTCAAGCTAAGTTTTTAACCAAATTTATGCGGCTATTTTGGGAAACCGTATTTAGATCTTTATTAGACCATTCTTCTTACTCATGAATGGGTTCTAAACATGCACTTTCAGTTATGGTTGATTTGATTGTTTAAAGAGGGGCGCGAGTGCTTCCATTGTTTGCTAGAATACTTTACATAGTGACATATCCTTACACGAAACATCCACGGCGCGTTTGATGTCATTACAGACACCAGGCATTTCGTGTCTAAAAGCTATTTTCGTCTTTGATTGAGTGACTCATTTTTTTACAACAATGAGCCGGGAATATGATCGTACCTCGCTTATAAGTTCAATCTCGTTAAGCGCTGAAACGATACTCTGCGATAACTTGCTCCCCCCTCGATGATAACATCCTATCTCGTGCTGGGGCAAGAGTCAAAGAGATATCTTCAATTAAATGGTTTCGGAGGACTTTACTTCAATTAGTGAGCCATTTCCGTTGTCCTCTCTTCGTTGATTTTTAAACACTTATCATGCGTTGGAGTCGCGAAGTTATGTGACAAAATCGCAAATCGCGAAGCCAAGAGTGTAACCCATGCTTGCCTTCTGAAGGGAAGCGTGTTGCTGTGTTAGTTTAATCTCCAATTTCCTCGTTTTCAAAATTTCATTAAAAAGTTGTATTTATATTTTTATCGAGGACTTAGACTTAGGGAAAATATTATTACTCAGGCTGATCTGTTTATCTACTGGCTTATTACTAGGTGAATTGTTTATCCACGTATAGTTTATGCCATTTAAACTATTTCAACCGACAACAGAAATCCTTTAGGACAACATCTGTGTCACGCTTGTAATCACCTTGGAACATGACAACACAATATGTCTGATAATTCATAAAAACTAGATCAACAATTCAAAGTAAACATTCAGTAGGAAAAAAATAAATATACGGTAATTTACCTCTATTTTCAGGTAAATACTGCGCCACAAACTTGTATGTCTTCTTGATTTCTTCCGAGTCTGTAACATCCAAGTGCAAAGCGGATAGCCTTTTGCTGCACGCCGCGGTTAGGTTTTCTTTCCCCTCGCTCGTTAGACACGTCGCAAATACATTGAATCCCAGGCTGTCGAGTCGTAATGCAGTTTCCCTTCCGAATCCTGAATCGCAACCAGTGACCAAAACATACTTCTCACGAAAATCAGTCAAAAATGTATCTTTGTAGAGCCTTTTGATGATCCACAAAGCACACATTGCCGCAACGAGCAACGCTACCGCGTAGAAGCTGTCTGCTCTCTCCATAGCACCTTGCAATTCAATCTCTTGTTCTCTGTGAAGGGATTAGACAATCACGCTCGATATGTTAAGTGTATACACGGTTCTCTGCATGGTTGCTCAAATCTATGGTATGAAATGAAAGAATCTCTACCTAATTGGCTGTGTGGGCGATGCTTAAATGCACTTCGGAAGCTGTGGGTACTTGAGAGAAAGACCCGTGATATTCTCACACGTTTTCCAAAGATCTGAGTCGGCAAGTTTATCTCAAAAAAGGGGAATCTAACACCACCTGCTAAAAACTGGACATGTTGAATATCAGCGAATGTCACTGCTGCCACTGCTGCCAGCTACGATAGCTATAGCTACAGAGGCTTATCATTAACTTCGATTGCGATATTCCGGGAAAATTCGTGTTATCCAATTATAAATTACCGCGCAATTTGTAATCAATGTATTGAATTGTAAACTGAAAGCAAAGTAATTCCAGTTGTCTCGGGGCGTAGATAAACATCATAAACGTTGTAATAATCACAATGTCTCCAATCGATGACTTAATCGATCTGTCTGTTCTTCCAAAACGAGGTCATCTCGGTCAATGTTAATTTTTTCCCTGATTTCGACTTCAAAGTTCGTTCCCCTTACGTAAACCAATTACTAAGGGGGGCATTTGGATTTACGGTTTAACGGTTTCAGCTATTTTTTTAGGTTTCTCGTGTAGTGCCAATAAACTTCGGATTTTCCGTTTTTTAGTATTTGGTTTTCGGTTTTCAGTCCGTAAAAATCACTAATGGGTCTTCGGATTTGATATCCGATGTGATTTTCGGTTTTTCCTATTTGGGTTCCCGTTTCTTCCCGATCTGAGCGAAAATTATGTGCCTCCACTGATCTCGAATGGCCGCGAAACCTCTGTATGCTCCACAAGTCAGCAGTCTAATTGTATCGGATCGATTAGGGGTTAGATAACTGTGATGCGAAAATTTATCGGTTTTGCGTGCGGTTATCAGTTTTGATCGCATTTTTCTGCGGTTTTGCGGTTTTGGATAATTTTTTTCTACCGTTTTTCGGTTTTTATTAGACCCCAATGCCCCCCTCAATTACTAGCCATCACCGGACATTTTCAAAGGGATTTGAAAAATTCCAACATTCCTTTATTTTGCGCAAGCAGCGACACAGGAAATGGCGACATTACCATAAATGAACACACCAAAAAAAAAACGAGTAAGGGAATTATTGAAAAGACTCTTGAACCTCATCAATGTCCAGCTAAATATCTTAACGCAGAATGTTATTGAGGAAGTATTATATTTATCTTAACTACAAATTCATTGGTATTCATTGCTTTCGCAAGAAAATAACAATTAAGCGATCAAAACGAGCTTATAATCAACATGTTACGACATAAGAGTGCTTCACTGCTGAGAGATATGTTTTCAATACCAATTTCTGAATATCAGTTATTGGTCTATGTGTTTATTTGATCGTTTTCTGCAATCATCTTATCGATTGAAGACTGCCGATCGGTGTTATTTCAACTTCGTTTGTTTCGATTCGAAGCAATGTTTCACAATTAGGTGCTACAAAATTAAGGCACCGTCCCAAACTCTTGACTGCACAAATTACACAAGCAAGGACTTCCTCAATACTAAATGATCCAAAATATGCGTGAAGAAACCCAAACCAAACGGTGGAGGAAGTTTTCTAATTTCTAAGACAAATGTGATTCTCTTACCTTTCTAAAGCCCCGAAGCATACCGACTCACCACCAGCGCTGCCCATTTTAAGTCAATTCTGGTTTGCACAGAGCTGCTACGTGAAGGTGACCCTGACTGTAAACTATCAGGAATTCGAGCGAACGGAACACTTTTTTCCACAGTCACATGTCAATCAAAAGTGAATTCACACAACTGACACCCACGCGATTATTTGGGTGACACCGTCGTGACTCATGATTGTATGAAGCCTTCAGGGAGGGGAGGGGAGGGGGCTGTACAGCGAATATGCTTCCGAATGATGCGCGACCCTACCCTCTGAAAGGGCTTTCCTAGGGCAAAAGAGGCGATCTCTTGATATGTTTGTTATTATAGAATCAAGTTCATTTTAAATTTCAAAGTTATAAATTTGCACGCTGTGATGATTTGTCACATTTCTCAAAAATTCATTTTCAGTTTTTATCTCTCTCTCATGACATTGAATGAAGATTGGGGAAGGTGGGAAGTGGGAGAGTTTTTACAAGGGTTTCCTTGTTAAGAAGTTACATCTCGATATCAGGTTACGACATTTTAAAAACTTTGAGACACACGGAAGTTTCGAAATGATAAATTGCCCAGGTGAGAGAAAGGAAGAAGATTAACGAAGATTAACTCAGGTTGCAAATGACGAATACAAAAATGTCGGGAAAATTTTTTGAAAGATGCACGAACTGTGAAGTAGCTGCTTTTTAAGTGGCTGGGTAAACAGCAGCCCTTGGATAGTTCCCTGTTGTCGGGTGATTTTGTTGCAAATTGTTGTTGGGTCATATCACAAAGGTACTTCCTTGCATGACAGCGCAACGTGGCATCGGATGACATCTCCTTGTTCAAAACGGCCGCTAATGGATAAAGCTACCCTCCTCCCTTCCCGCTTGACAAGCCTTTTGGGTTTCTTCAAAAGAGGATCAACGCCGCAAAAGGAAATTTTATTTCCTATTCTTTTTGTCAAACAAATGTTCGTCGATTTGCTTCTCCATTCTTACAGGAAAGATGAGTTGCAGAAAAAAACATAAACACACTGCAGTTTAACCTTCTCAGTTTTCATTTAGACCAACGTGAAACAATCAAGTTCTATGGCCTGAATGCAATACACCGTTCTCCCAGGTACTTCCGGGTACTTCTAAGGAGAGAAGAGAGAACCAAAATTTTCCGTTGTATGCTGGGATCGGAAGTATTGATAAACCTGGCTTTTGGGGTAAGATCAGAGGAGCAATTAGTTGGCTCCTCCTTCCGGTTCAACATGTCCTCTCTTTCCGAGAAATTATTACGTTAGGTCATGTGGTAAAAGGCGCTAAAAGTTACTGTGAACTCGATCTTATGCAAATTAAATGCCTTGTAAAAAATGTCGATTAATCATGTGACTTTCAATTGTTTATTAATTTATTCAAAAGATCTCTTATTATCTGTAACTGCAAATTTGTTTTTGATCTTGGTGAAACTTTTATGGACGGAGAGAGAATTTTTAGCCATTAAGGGTTTTTTTTTCACGTCGTAACACGAGCAGTTTAATAGTCCTTCGACTATTAAAAGGAGAGCGCCTCAAATTGAAGAAACTTTAATTTCGCTGGTTCGGCCGCAATGGTATTACGTGAACTTGCTGGTATCTGTTTTGACGTACAAAGCAGACAGTCACTTGGCGGAAGCAGCGTGGATTACAACAAGATTAAACAAGATTTGCTCATGTAATTACATTTTTGAGCGCATTTGAATATTTTAATGGAATTATTACGATCTCGTTAAAGGAGAAATCGTTGCCGATCGCGGGTAAGATCACGTATGCCAGTGATTTGTCAGATAAACAGCACGTTTCTAATCTGTCATTGGGGCACGCGCGTAAATTCTTAACTAACCACAACAATTATTTGTTTCCGTCAGAACGTACGGCTCTACTACCCGGTCTTTTCGTGGGTTTGGCGTTCCCGTTCTTGTATGCGTTCTCATTACTTAAAGTCACTAATGGCTAAATAAAGTGCGTTGATTTGTATATCCATGGAATTCTACAAGTACATGACCCTACTCATAAATCTCAACGGAAATAATTCGCAACGAAATCTTGATTGCCCTCAGGTGATTTCCCCAGGCACAGATATGGGTTGATTGGACATCCATCAGCAGCCGGTCCATTAAAACTAACCTTTACTAGTTTTTTTCCTGCAAATTCGGTTGACCTTTCAATTTTTCGGCTGTTCCTGATCGCCTGAACTGGCTCTTATTTCCATATTTCACTTTTACCACCGTATAGAAATGCTTAGAGCGGGTAGCTGAGGCATTTTGAAATCGTACGTGGGTGTAAATTGTTAAGAAAACATACAATGTCCGCGCTATGATCACGATACCTACGCAAACGCTCTCATTGACTATATATGATAAAGGAATGACGACAAAAAACGGTATTTTTGTCTCCACTTAATTAACAGTTATCTTCTTTCTTTTTCCATGTTATGTTGGTTATATAATACGCAGAGTGACCACATGCATTTCAATAATCTAAAACAAACATCCGCCTGAAGCCTGATCTTCGATTTCCGCACGTACTTCAATACTACTCTCTCTGCCTTTGCGAAACTTTGTCACCTTTGAGTGCTCCACACTGCAGGCGCCCGATAAGCTGGCAAATTGTAAAGGCCCGCACATAGGCGAAAACTCTCTAGAAAAAGAGTGCTGCTTTAAAACACTTACGTCCACGAGCGCGCGGTCATGCTTCTGCTGCGCAAGTCTCTCTCTTCAGTTGAGTTGCGATTATACTCACCGTCTCGACTAGATCTCACAATGCGAGAACAGTAGTCCTATCTAGGACACTCTTTGCTAATCATACACAAATTTTAAGCCTTCTCCACCTTCTCCCCCCCCTCTCCTCCCCGACCCATTCCCAACACTATCACTACGTGTATGGTTTCCTAATGTCGAATAATTTTTGTCTCATATTTTAGGTGAGTCGGGTAACCAGTATTTACTTACAGGATTCGACCTAACAACTTGGCAACTGGTGTTATTCGCTGAAAAGGCCTAGGCCTGCTTGAGAGGTCTTTTGAGTTCTTTGAAAACAGGATCAATGTTGCAAAAACAAGTTTCTGCTCATTTGTGAAACAATTGTTGGTCGATTTCCTTTCCTGTAATTGCGAGACGGAAGTGTTGTGGAGGAACGTAATAAAATATTGCATTACAAAATACCTCTTCAACAAGACCTGTACGCAACAATAAAACTTTAGGGTCTAAAATAAGACATACCGTTTACCTAAAGTACTTTTAGGTATCTCCATACAGAAGTTAACTGTTAAATACATCGGTGAGGCGTTGGCCTTATATTCATCGCGGGATGAATATTCCTCCTATTGTTAAAAGAGGATTAACTCAAATTAAGGAACTTGTAACAATGATTTTGCATAATTCTACGATATCATATGAAATTGCCGGTATCCCCTGTCTTTTGGCGTACTACACAGTCTCCTAACAGAGGTAGTATGGGGACTAAAAGCAGGAGCCATTAACTAATTGGCTCCTGCTAAAAGTTAATATTTAAAGCGCTCGAACATGATCTGTGTATCTAATTAATTATTTTTTTGGAGCGTATTACAATATTTTAATGGAATTAACATGATTCGAATGTTCTTAAATCGTATAAGAACCGAACGCCGTCAAACAATCAGTATGGTTCATGACGTCATTTCGAGTCCGTCATTACAGCACATGCGCATATCCACTTCAATTATGGTAACAACGACGACTTTGATAGGGAAGAGAACAACAAGTGAAAAATAATGAATTTAATTGCCAAAAAAAAAAAAAGCCTTTCACGCTCTGCGCGTGCGTTTCACATTTTGTTTCCTTTTCAGCCGTCCATGCTTAACCAGCGACTTGAAAAAAAGACAAATTCAAGGTTCTGTGGACGACGTAAGCGATAATGGATAAGAGTAGTGACTAATTTTCAACTTTCTCGCATAAAATCTGCACCCCTCATGCCATGTTAATCGCTAAACAGTTGGTATAGGTTTTACAAGTGGAACATAAAGAAATATACGTAATTGCCAGGTTATTCAGAGACATTACTTCGTCGTCCTTGCCTACGGTTTCACGCTGAATGAGGTGCCTTGACTTGTACAACATGGAATTTTAAAGGGGGCGGCAAAGCTGTTATGTGTAACGCGTAATTAAGGCCAAAATTAAAACATCAAGCTTGAATTTTACAGAAAGGCGATGTAAGATGAGATTTGAAGTTTTCTCTTTTCAATTCGTAACGCGTGAAATACTGTTCAAAGTGAAACGCGACACGCGAATTCTTCTAAAATTTGTGTTTGAATGGGATCAGGAGTTCCGCTTTGCTACCCTCTTAAATGGTACATGACCCAAAACATTCATGCCGACGGAAACAATTTGTCATGAAAATTGAAATTGTCACTTGGGTCAGCAAAGCTATGTTTACACTGTATATCGATCAGCAGAAGACTTGTTAAAATACATCCTCGCTTTGACTTTCAACTTTCATTTCTTCCGGCTACTCCTGGTTCCCTCTACCAACACTGTTTTAGATGTATCACACTTTCCGCCGGTTCGTTGATTAAACGCAAAGGCCTCAAGCAGGCAACTGGAGCATATTTGAAACTGAACGTATATGAGAGAGATTTGAGATGGAAACATCAGGAGCATCCTGGAAACGCACAACGTCCGCGCTGTCATCGCGATACCCACGCCAAACGCCTCCACATAACTTAATCTGATAAAAGTTGACGACATAAAACCGTATTTATGTCACCACATTGTATTTACCACTTATCTGTTTCCATAGTATGTTGGTTGATGAAAGATGCAGAAAGTGATCCGAAAGAAACATCCGCTCGAGGCCTGATCTTGGTTTTCTGCACGTACAACAATACAACCTCCTCTTCTGTTAGTTAACTTCGAGTACTCGGGCGCACGGAAACCCAGTAAATAGTAAAGGCCCGCAAAGGGGCGAAATCTCTGTAGAAAAAAGTGCACTGAATGATTCCTTGCTCGTGCGCACTGTTCCCAAGCACACACGTCCACGAGCGTGGATCAAGAGCGCCTGCCAAGTGCCTATTGCGCAAGTCTCTCTCGAATTGAGTTTCTACGACAGTCACAGTCCCGATCACTTCCGACAATCTCCCCGCCCACTCCTCTCATCTCCAACACCAACCCTATGGGTGGGTAAGGAGCAAAAAGTCAGCTTCCCTGGAGATACAAAAGTTGTCTAAACGGCTTGTAAGTCATGTTGGGAACTGTCGTGCTTCATCAAGGGCAAACCAGATTAATCCTCACTGTAAACTCAATACATAACAGTTCACTTTACAGAAGGATTCGTATCATGTGAGACAATTCGCTACAATCAAAATAATACGAGTCCTGTGCATCCTGCTAAGTCCCTTCAGCTGTAAGGTGTTTTTTTTTTTTTCCTATTTTTGATTATTTCGAGGCTATCGCACTATTGTGGCCAAATAGAAGGTGATCTTTGAGTGCTCAGCAAATGAGATTTCCAACCCTTTCACTTGTTTAAGCACCAAGGCTTTTGGAACCGTCTTCGTGAATGCTTATAAGTTCTCTTTCAAGGTTGGTTTTAATATTGAACTAGAGCAGCAGACCAAGTGTACATATACTACGCAAGCTCAGACAACCCTTATCTGTGAATTTTCAGCTCCCGTTTCCCTTTATGGGTTTCCATTGGAAGTTGAACATACAGTCTACATATTTCAATTAGCCGAACTTAACACATGGTTATACCAGCACCTAGCCCAGCTACTTCATGGTACGTCACAAATATAATCCAGTTAGACATCTTAAATTGGATATTTATACTTGTGTCGCTCAGCGATGAAGCTTTAAAAGGATAAAAGTATTTTTTTTTGTAAAGACATCATTACTTTGTTCAATTTCTCTTTGTTTACATTCGTTTTAAATAGTCTTGTAAAGCGTTGAAGATAATTGGTCTATTTCAGCGCTATGCAGTTCACAATGTCGTCCACGATCTGTTTGTTTTATCAGTGTTATCCATCACTAAGACTTTTCTTTCTTTGCTTGAAACTCGATCCAATCTGATTCAACTTCTGGAAACAGCGGAATGGCTGAAGACACGATATCATCAAACTGAAGTATCTTAAAAGTGGAAAACCCCGATCTGTTAAGAAACAATGTTTGAATTTCTTTTAGCAATACATTGCATTATTTACACTACATCTATTTGGGATTTCAATTCCAACGTTCGAGAAAATTCTTTGTTTCATTGTTCGCAGACTTTCTGGCTGAGTAGAGTAGCTAAGTTCTTTCACGCGAGGAGAAGACTACTCATAGATTTTCTATAAATTTTCCCTTAATGGACAAGTTCAGAAATTTATATGACAGTTTTTGAACATAAGGGCTTCTCAAAGTGTCCCTTGTCTTGTATCGATACTTCCTCTGAAAACTAGTTGTGTAAATCTTCTTTGAGCAGTTAAGAAAATGCCGTTTATTTCTTCACTTTTGGCCCCCTTTTCACTAAGGAAAGTGGGAGATAAAAGTTTGGAGACAGATTGAATGTTGCGATAATAGATAAAAAGAGACGAAAACAATTTTGCACGTGAAATAAGTGTGAAAATCGCACGAGGGCTGTGCCTACATTTTACAGTTACGAGTGCCTCAGTATACGCGGACATGAGTCAGCTGTTTAGTTCGCACCTTGTTTCCTTGTAGGTTGTATGTGAAGGACCTAAAGCGACTGCCACTTGGTGCTGAATGAAAAATAAACGGCCACAAAAATAAGATTTAACAAAACAGCAATACCTTAGTTTGTGCTAATAAAAACACAACGTTAGACGTAATTAAACTTCATAATTTTTTTTAATATTACCAAGTCATCGAGTTTGGTTTCTTCAAACAGCCAGCCGTCCATTTCGTCTTCATCAAGGAAAAAATTTGTATCGGATGTCACATTCTAAAAAATGAAAAAAACACATTCTTCGTTTGAGCTCTTAATATCGGTAATTTTTTTTCTCTTTGCTATACAGGTATCAGGAATGCGACTGAACAGGAACTTCACGGTAATTTTCCTACGGCAGCTTTCCGAACCAATCACGACATGGTCACCCGCGTTTTCCCGCGCTTTAGCCAGTTTAGTTGTGTGTACTTGCAGTTCTTCCAGGCTCTTTTTCTTTCGTTTGAATCAGTGGCCATTGTGATAACTTTGCTTTTGGTTTAACAACACTCAATTGAAAAGCGCTCTGACCCACGGCATTATTATTTTGATTTGAATGAATCTAGGCCAAACCTTTCCACCAATTTCAGTAGGAGCAGAACAAACCTGAGGAGACAGCTCTTTGGTATTTATCTGGAATTCAACAGACTGTAAATCACGTCCTATACCAGTCCCTGTAGCTTTTACGTAACTTTCTTTCAGACACTGGAAAAGAAACGAAACGTTAGACCAATCGAATTTCTAGAAAAAACTGCTGAAAAATACTGCCCTCAAGAATATTACACCAACGAAAGAGAAACTTGACATTAACGTCCCTTTTAAGTGTAATTTTGTTTTCCAAATACGCCTTACTTCATGTCTCACTTGAAACGCAACAACGACAATTTTGGACATCTTCGCGGAAATTTTGAAACAATGTAACAGTTAATTTTAATGTTTCCAGGCTTACGGAATTCAAATTGGAAATAGCTCTAACAAACACATCTTCTTCTGCCTGACATTGAAGTGCGTTATGAGGCTGTGATCTCACAATTAACATTTAAAATAGTACATTTACGGGATTTAAATCTTAAAAGAGTTTGAAAACATCTTTATTTGTTATATGCATCATTAATGATAAATAACTTAAATTTCCCATAACAGCTCTCGGCGCCTTTAAACTGAAACATTATCAGTGTTTCGGCACAAGGTATACTTCGCGCGAGGGATTCTTTGCCCGCGGGAAAGTATGTGGCCGTTGGCAACGCGAGCCCGCGAGAAGTCTGCAAGGGGGCTGACTCTGATTGTTATTAGCGCCAGATCCCCGACTCGACACATCTTCCCGCCGGCGGGGAAACGCGCGTCCGGCAGCGCTTATAATAAGGACCTGCTCGCAAGCTGACTGAAACATACCCAGTGTCTGTAAAACATCTGCAATTGATTCCATTCGGAAGGCTGAGATTTGATTGTTTGCCATTCATATCCAGTAAACTGCTTACGCATGGTGTGAAAAAATCCAGGCACAGTAGAAGAAGCTTGAAGATAGATAATTTTGAAACTTAAATTAAATGTTGTTTCAGAAAAATTTTGAAGGAGGGCTAAGTTTTTTCAAAGTTGAGGCTGAAAATGTTTTTAACTTACATGGGTATGTTGTTTTCATTACATCAACACCAACTAGAGAAGAAAAACAATTTTGGTGCTGTTTAGTATTTGATAGCCGAAAAACAGTACAGTCATCAAGACTTATGAAGGCCTCACTTAAGACTTTAATCTATACCTGAAAGCTAACTTTCATATTAATAATAGCTGACAAATGAAAAAAATTATGTATCAATTAATCATTAACCCTTTACACCCCAACATCAATATGCAAGTTCTCCATACTTATTTCAATACATTTAATACATTTTCTCTGGTACTGACAAGGAGAATTTGTTTGAAAATCACTTCTTAAATGGGTGATCATTTCCTTTATTCTCATGACCTACACATTTGATTCAAGGGTGATATTGTAGAGAGAAATTAGAAGCCAGTTTCTCTTAGAAGTTAAAGGTTTAAGCGATCATAGAGAAACGAAGCATACCTTGCGATTTAGGCTCTGCAGCTAACACAGTGAAGTCTCCCTGTAAGAATTAGAAGTGAGATCGAATGCAACAAATTATATACTGCTCAATACCATAGACCCTCTCTTAACACTCCAGGATAATAAAGTTGACCTTCATTTTTTTTTTTTAAGTGGATCTTTCTTTGGAGATACTCCTCCAACATATGGGTTGGTCAATTTTGGCAAGAAAACCACTGAGAAACCAATGAGTCTAATGATCTCACTTATCTTCTAACTTATACCATAATGACCCAATAGGAACGACACCTCTTATCAATAGAGATTATGAAAAAACCTATCAGTGGCATTTCTGCAGCTTCATGTCTTAGACACCTGTCATTTATTAGAGAGGGGTGGAGAGAGAACTAGTGCAAATAGGGGAAGGGTGATTACTTTTTATGCAACCCAAAAGGGGAGGGTCACATAATTTTTTAAAAGCTTGCTGTGGGGAGGTTCATAACTTCCCTGGATCACAAAAGGAGAAGAATTAGAGATTCTTTTTAGCAAGAAATTGGGAGAGGGTAATTACAAAAACTGCATCTAATAACACCCCTTCCCCCACCTCCTAAAAATGACAGGTCCCTTGGAGCAAAGCTCTGAGTGATGCTTTTATTGGGATAAATAATTGCTCTGAATACGGCCAACCAATCAGCTCCAATATTCTAATCAATGTTAGTAATTTATAAATGACATGTCACCACACAATATCATACAGATGCACAACCTGATGTGATATGTTGAAGTTAAACCTTCTCTGTGATGGTTCCATAGGATCATTAGCCTAAGGGAGACAAACAAAAACATAATTTTGATTTTACAGTGAAATGGTTTGACTCTAGGGGAAGGAATTTAGGTTTTAAAATGAGCTTACTTACCAAGAAAGGCTTTCCCTTCTCTGTTCTTTTCAGTATCACCTCATTATAAGGAATCTTTGTGAAGTCACTGATCACTTTTCTCATTAGAAGTCTTCCAATCTACCACAAAAAAAAAAATATAGTTAACACAACATGATTTTCTATAATTTGTGCGAATAAACAGATTAGCTTACAGTTCTACTAATGCAGGACTTTGAGCTCAGACTCTAGTTATTGAGAGATGTACTATGAGTGGAAGGTAACTTGCCAAAGAAAACCGCACTATGACTTTGTCAGGGTTTGAAGTCAGGCTTTTGCATATGGAATCCAGTACAAGAAACGTCAGCTCAAAACATCTCCCACAATGAAAACAATTTACCAGTAGGATGGGTTGAAATGTGGCTACTTACCAGAGCTGATTTAGCATCTTTCTTGAAGACAAAATTCATTATTCTTTCTTTCTCTTCTGTCTGCAAACAAGATGTCCCTAGTAGCCATTCCTGAAAATTTCCAAACATTTAAGGTAATTAGCATTAACCTACTTTTTGCCTGAACATCAGTCAGTATTTTCTCCCTGCTCTTCTCTATGTGTTTCTTTTGGTATTGGCAAGGAGAATTTGCTTAAAAACCAAGAGCTTTTTTAGTTGGTGATAATTTTCTTTATTCTCACAACCTTAATGGTTGATTCACCAGTGATTGTAGGGAGAAATTAGGTGATAGTCATTCTTAAGGGCTAAAAGGTTAATTACAAGTTGCACTTACATACTAGCTAGCCACCCAAAGCTGCACTTATGAGAATCACAGAGTGACTGGAGGCTCTGGTTCCTCTGGGTGCCTAACTCTTAAAAGCTTTTATCAAAGCAAATTATACAAGGCCATGGACTTAATTTAGATACCAATAGCAGTTATGGGCTTGGCTAGAGCACAGCCCTTGCAGCCAATTATACCAACCCAAAACACTTGCCTTGTGATTGGCCTCCTTTGAAAATCTGAATCAAAATTCATGACAAGTGTCTTCATCCATATTGGGTTCCTCTCTCCACACCTCCTGGATGGGATGGGGGGGGCAGGGAAAGGAATCAACACTGGAGGTACTGATTTCTTTATTCTCTTGCAGTAATATTAATTAATCTAAGCATAACGTGCATTGATATCTTAATTAAATTTGTGTCAATGTTATATGATCGACCATGCTGGTCGTAGGATAAGTTTCCCTCGGGAGGGGGGGGGGAATGGTGGGGTTTTTAGAGGTAGTTGGGAATAGTGGTGGGTTTAATATTTATACCGGTATATCCTCTCTTGAATAATGGTTTTTAACACGATTTCTTCGACCGAAAAATATGTTAAGTCTAATGACAGAACATCAAATAGGAAGCCAGTGGGTAAACACTATTTTCTTTTAATAGAACGCAAACGAGTTTTCCTGGAATATAAAATCGTAACCTCACCTTTCTAGTTGGTTTCCACGCACCAGATCTGAAAGCGAGACGAACACCTTCCATAAGCGGAAAACGCATTTAATATAACACGGTCACAAGTAAATCTAGGTGAGCATTTCACCGGACGAGCACCAAATTTCTCTTTTGTCAGCAATACAAAAACTCTATCGTTCTTCCGCCATATTTTTGTATTCCCTACATAATAGATACACTAATGATAAGCGTTACCGCTGGAAATCATTGTGCTGGCGGCAAAACATGGCGGAGCCTAAGTGTGAGAATAGGCAATCCTGAATCGTTGGGAAATTGCGAGAGAATTTCTAGGTAGATTATGGACAGGTTTAGCTGGACATCTTCATCCAGTACGTGTGTCTTTCCAGGCGAGTCAGGAGTTCACCAGCAGTCTGGTGTCAGAATATACGACGGAGACAAAAAGGTAGAAATGAATGAACAATAAACTACAAATCATTTCTTGCTGAAACATCAATCTTAACTACCTTTCTTTGGTTTCATTTTTGAACAGACAACGTTTGAGAATGGTTCTCTTAAGCTAACAACACACAGAATAGTGTGGGATGACCTAGATCAACAGGTAAGGTGCAAGTAATTGTAAACTTGAAAATCTTCAGAGGCTTAGGAGCGCAGGGTGAACTTAAAAATCTCTAGAGGAACACGTACAAGGTGCGCACTCTCGACGCTTTTAGGTTCAGTTTCTAAAACCCTTTTCAGTTCTCCTTTACTGTTATTAAAAATTGCCCTTTATATCAACTTCTTATCATTCATAGCTACAGGAAATAGCTAAAAACAAGAAATACAATAGATAAAAGGCATGATTTTCTTTTGGTGAAAAATCTTCTCTCCCACTGCTGTGATCTTTGTTCCACTGCCAGACCTGGTATCTCATTTGGGTTGAGAGTCTAGTTGATTGTGTTCCCTGTCCTGTGAGATTTTCTCTGGGCTCTCAGGTTTTTCTGAGTGTGACAAGTAAATCCATTTGGATTTGACCTGGTATCAAGGCTAAATGTCATCTAATTATTTAGAGTTTACTCAATTGTGACTATCCCTCATTCAGTGTTTGAATTTTAGCAAATTTAATTGTATAATTACTTTAGGCTTATTCCCCATGCCTAGGAAAGTTTGTTTTATTTTGTTGTTGTTATTGTTTATTTTGCTCAGGACAGAGCCATAGCAGTGCCACTTTCTCTTGTAAGCAAAGTAGAAGAACAATCTTCTGGCTTCATGAGCAGGTTTGTGATCAATTTTTTAGGCTTAATGAACTTAAAATTATAAAACATTTTCTCCTTGGTCTTAGGAAAATAGTGCTAAATTAGCAGAGTTCAGTGGCAGATCCATAAAATCCTGAAAACAGGACCAAAGATAATTATTATGGTTACAGTACATGATCCTCCAGATTGAAATAAAATCTTCAAATTTATTTATTTTGCACATAGAGTTGAGTTAAAATTATATTATTTAAATATAACTTTTATCAATTATGTGAATATCTATTTGTTGTATTTCATTTTTGTTCTTTAACAGTGCTAAAGTGGCTGTGACTCTTCACCCTCCTCCAGCAAACAAGGAACCTGGACCATGTGTCTCCAGTCCATATGGTTGTGTCAAGTTTTCTTTTAAGCAAGGAGGCCACTCAGAGGTAGAATACTCAAGATGGTAACTTTAAGACACAGCTGGAGGAATCACCTTTTAGAAACTTTTCTCTGTATAAATTAACCCCTATTTTAGAGTTTTCTGTAGCAATTGACATCTCATTTATGAAAAACTCTTCATAAATTATTTTATATGAAATATAAGATTTTTCAATCATGAATCTCTTTAATCAATGTAACCTTTATGATTAGGCAGAAAGATTCCCATTGGGGAGTCCTAATGAAGATATTGTATTGTATGGTACTCACTGAAAATAATTTTTTGATTAACACAATTGATTGGATAAGTGAATAAAGAATTAGGGGACTTTTAGAGGTTTAAGGAACCAGAGCAAAATTTATCTTCCCTTGTAATGCTTTTCTAAGTGGTTGACTCTCTTTTGTGTATCTGTTTCATTCCATTTAGTTCTTTGCTCGTTTAATGGAACAAGTTAATAAGAGGTCATGGATGCAGCAAAGTGCACAGCAATCATCCAGTAGTACAGCAGGAAAAGGACTGGTAAATAGAGATACAACAGTACAGTACAGCTCAGATATACGTTAACCAAATAATTCATACAAAATGAGCCAAAAATTGAATGCCAGTGCAAAAGAAAAAGAAATGTGCATCAAAATTTCACATAAGCATGATACATCTATCTATACATGAGGTAGGCCTTTTGTTTTTCTATTGTTGATTGTGTATTGTTTTAAAGAATAGGCTATAATCTGATAGCACTAAAATACTAAACAGCTACCAATGACAAGTAAACTTGTTAGTTTCAAGCACTGTTCAAACTGACCTTCCTGATATGCTGTTACATACTCTGAATTTATAAATGAGTTATCAATTTTGAACAGAACTCTTCTTTTAAAATAGCTATTTCTCGCTTTGTAAAAAAACCCATCTGTTGCAACAGCTTGGGAATGTGTAGGAAGATCACTGGGGTTTAAACTTTGTTCAGTGTTCAAGACCACTTATCTGCTTCTCTCCCTCTTCCAGAATCGTCCCAGAGGAGTTGGAGGAATTGTGGGCATTGAAAGAAAACTAGAAGAGAAATCCAAAGAGACAGATAACTATATTCAAAAGGTAAGTATAATTAAAAAAGGGTTGTTCTGAAAGGGACTTCCGCACTCATGATTTTCTCCTGACATTTTCTGTTATTCCAATGTGAAACACAAGGAGAAGGAGATGTTGCATCAAAATTCACCAAGGCTTTATTCTGTGTACTCCTGTTACTGAAGTACTAGTGCAATATGTTTTAAAACCAAGCTAGCTTGAACTTGCTAAGGGACACAAAAAGGGACAAAAAAGTGCTTGTCAATGAGGGTTTGATGAAGCTTTGTGTTAACTGAGTTTGGGTGAACAAGATTCTATTTTGTTAATGTATAACTTATGTCATGTTCTTCTAAGGTGGATTGTGGATGAATCAAATTGAAGTTAGGATATTTTTAATTAATGTAATATGTTCTTTATTTTACCTCAGATGGTGAAAAAAATATGATCTAATATTTTTCCACTGACACATTTTGTGCCAGTCATTCAATGCGTCTCTTTTTCTTTTGAATGTTACTTCAGGCTTTTAAAGACTTGGATGCATTAATGGAGAAGGTATACTTATTTAATTTTCATATAATATTCTAAACAATGCCAAACAAAGTGCACAGTAACACTTTGCTTGTAGGTTGTATTTAAAAACTTTAGATTGTCCAAATGTCATGGGTTATAAGCTCTTGCTGTTGCTGTAATTATGTGAGTGACTTGGATAACCCTTTCATTCCTAAGATCTGAATATCAATTCTCTGTTCTGTATTCCTTGCATTCTCATAGTTTTAGGTCTGAGGATTTAGTGTTAAATCACAGCATATCCCTCACTTGATATTTTTTGTTGTTCTCAGGGTGTTTCTGCTTGAAAATATATTAATAACTAAGCATAAAATTACTTTTGGTCATCCCTGGCAGTGAAACAGATAACAAAGAGCTACCACTGTCGATGTTTAGTTTTGTTTTCTAAGAGGGGACACCTGCAATTCTATTTGCAACAAGTTATGGTTGATGTTAGGGGGATCTGATTGGGTTGTTTTAAATAATTATCATGAAATTTATGTTTGTGCTGGATTTTTAACAGGCCAAGGAAATGGTTGCCATTGCTGATAAAGTAGCTTCCAAATTAGAAGAGAAAAAGGGTGCAATCACTGAAGATGAGGTAATTAACTACTTAAATCTCTGTTATTTGTTATTCTCCTTATTGTCTGCCACACAATTCTTATGATTTTAGTTCTGAGAATTTAGTATTGGACCAACTGATAATCCCCTAATTGATATCTTTCTGTATTCTCATCATTTGTCTCCTTGATATTGTGTTGATATTATAACAAGAAATTCTTTCGTGGTCATGCATGGGAGTTAAAGGTTAAAGTGGTTTCTGTAAAGGTGAAACTCAACAAGTAAGTTTCGTCTTGTCAAGACTTAGGTCTGTACTGGTCTTATCTGCACTAATCTGGAAAAAGTAAAATGACTAAAATGATTAATAATAAGTTCACTTTGAAACAAGCTTTTGCTGCATTAGCCTCCTTCGCTGCCAGACTTTTGGGTAAATTTGGCTATAGAGAAGACTATTAGTGAAATGGAAGTATCCAACACTCTGGCCTCAAACTTGCAAATAATTCTTTGTTTGTATATATTACACAGTTCATTTTTCATTTCAGTGACTAGTTTTTACTGGGAGTAGAATGAATTGATTGTAAGTTCACTCTACTCCCAGATTGTAAGATTGTTATTTTTTGATGATGTTTTTTATTTTGTTTATTTCAGACAGTTACATTCAAGTCTTACCTCCTCAGCATGGGAATAGCCAATCCAGTAACAAAGTAATTTTATGTTATTTATTAGTTAAAGTGCTTTTCGATTTAGTGTTGTAAAACCCAACCCAAAGTTATCAAATAAATACCTCTAAGAGCCAATGAGAACTCAAAGAAAAGCTGCCCAAACTGCTAAAAGTGTGGGAAAACGGGGGTGACCTAGGCGTGGATAGCTTTAGTTTTGCATGTGATTGGTCAAGAGAGTGTTTTCTGGACCAATCACAGCAATCAAGGATTACTTTCTACTCTCCGTTGAAAATTGCCTATGAATCGTTATTACATCTAATTTAATTGAATCGTCTCACGAGTTAAGTAGATGAGATGGTCTTTTTTTTTAAATAATTACAGCAGTTTCACAGATTGAGCACAGCAAAAATACACAGGCAATTCTCTTACTTGGTACTTAACTGAAATATATTCATACACTTAATGTCTTTTAAGGGAGACACACGGTTCAGGTGCAAGTTATCATAAAGAACTCGCTAAAGAACTGGGAACATTCTTACAAAAAATCATTACGGTAAGATGTGTACCGCAACCTTTCATTTCCTGGTGCTTTAGACTTGATTGCAGCTATTCAAGTCTGTTCTTGGGGGAGATTAGATGATGACAGTGGTATTTGCGATCTCGGTAGTGAAAGTTTTATCAAACTTTTAACGTACTTAGTAACTTGGTGCATACTTGAAGTCTTTACATGCGTTTGACTCAGGTGCAAATTCTGTCATTGATTCGGAAGATGGAACCAAAAATAGATCACACTTCATTTGAAATGTTTATTATTATTATCACTGAAGGACGAAGGAGGCATGATGACGCTGACCGATGTATACTGCAGATTCAACAGAGCAAGAGGAATGGAGGTTTGTGTGGTTCGTTTTGCGTAAACTGCATCATAACAGGAGATGTTGACAGAAGTAGTTTTTTAGGCCATGCGTAACCACTTTAAGGTTGAAGAAGACTACAAAAGGTTTGCTTTGTAAGATAGAAACATATAAACCAGAGAGGTACAAGGATGGCGAAGGATGAAGAGGGTTAAAATGAATAATAACTCATGAACGAGTATTTCTTTCATTTAAATATATTTTTCATATATACACCTATTCATGATCGAGTTCGGTCAGGGTAGGGAAAGAAATGCATGCCTTCATGGCGATCGGTAAAACCCACAAAAAACTAAACATTTTGAACAAGGAATACAATACTAGTTAAATCTGAACTTCAGGGCGGAAGGTGAAGCTTTTATTTTTATATTTTTTTATGTTTTTGAAGTGTATTAAGTCATTGTTTTAGTTGTGATATTCTTTCGTCAGCTTGTTTCCCCCGAAGACTTAATAAATGCAGCCAACATGTTTTCCGCTGTGAATATTCCACTGAGGTGAGCTGTGCTGTCATCTCATTTTAATCCGGTGGTTTACTGTTGTGAAGAAAATTTATATGTTACCCACTTGACGGAGTTTAAGTGTTTATAGATACATGTTCATATCGTCAGAAGAAGCGCAAGCTTTTATTCCTGCCTGTTTTGATAAGATTTGACTTTCGTCCTATTTTAAACGAATCACTCTGTATGAATTCCATATAGTCACAGTCATTGATTCAACAGTTCACGGGTTTATTACGAACCAACATAATAACCAGCTCCCTGGTAGCTTGGTAGCTCAGATGGTAGAGCACTGCACCGGTATCGCAGAGGTCATGGATGGCTTCTGCTTAAGTAGTGTTCATTACTGCGAAGATCGCTTCCATATTCAATATTACGCTATTGTTCGTGTGACGAGGATTTTCTCATTCATCCGACGGACTAAGCCGGAAAAGAGTGAGCGCATGATTACAGTCATGACAAGGGTTTCTCTATGTTTACTTCCTCTCAGGTGGACATCCATGAAAACAGTTTAACAAACTTTTGTTAAGTTTCTAATTTTTCTACGTTATAACCTTTGTTCCCTTTTAGAGCCGTGTAAGTAGTTGTGTGGGAAACTTGAGCGATCACAGTGGTTATGGGAACAGAAAATATATTTATACCTTTTTAAGTGGTAACGTGTGGACGTGTCTTGCAGATTAAGATCTTTTGACAGCGGTGTGTTGGTTATTCAAGTTTTGTCCCACAATGACGAGGAAGTCATACGGACAACCAGACAAATGGTAAGCATAGACGTGTAGCCACTGTTGGGGTGGAGAGGAAGTAATCTCCAACGAAAGAAGCTCTTGATTAGTAAACAACTTGTTATTACTATAGGGTATGTTCAGAGAACATTGTGGAGAATATACATACTGATGTTAATGTACAAATATTTTAAGCAGGGTATTTAGGTCTCGATGGCAGACCCCTACCCGAATCTTTAAGGGCCGTTATTGAAATCCAACCCAAATCACGGTTCTACGCAAGCAGTGGGCCTCGGTTATTCTCTAGAAGAGAGTTGATTCCATTTAAATAATTGTCCTTCCACTATAAAGTTTCGGCCTCTTGACACTGTCCACAAAAATTTGATCCGTAGATAAAAGGTTCGGCTAAATTGAAGATGGCTTAGAGCGTGGTTTTGTTAACCAACAGTTAAACTTTGTTTGAATAACCGGGCCTTACAGTTTTCTCTAGATGAACAATGAGTGATCTTTACATCAGGACAACATTTTGACTGCTCTGTTGGATTGTCTTTTTCTCTTTGCATGTAATAGCTCGATGAAAAGAGCTCCTTGACAGCCGAAGAACTCGCACACTTAGCAAAAGTATCCGTAATGTTGGCCAGAGAAAGGTAGAGTTAGTCACACTTGTGTTGTAGTTTGCCATGTCTTTGAGCGTCTGAAGTCAGTTCATAGGGAAGACGCGCAGATCTGAATATTTCAATAAAAGTTTGAATAACGCTGGATTATCTAATCCTAATTCTCTCGATTCCCTATGACTCGAATCCTCGCTAACGCGGACATCGCGTTAAATTAAACCAAAATCGATTTTCCTGGATTTCCATCGAAGGGTAACTGTAATCTTACCCCCATAACTTACTCTTTTTAACAAAAACATTCGATGTTGCGGTTCCTCCGTTCAGTAATAGATCACAGTTGACGTAAAATTGTGGTAAGAACCAAAAACTTGCACACGAGGCGCAGCCGAGTGTGTTACTGAGGTTCTAATCACATTTGAAGTCTTTTGTGAACTATTACAGTAACTGAACAGAACCAAAGCAGCATCATGTTGCCTTGATTCCGTGAATCTAGTAGTTTTATATGATAAAGAAAAATCAAGATGTTGTTCATGTTATACCATCCATGCGTATGTCCTTCAAAAGATTCTAAACAAGGACCAGTCAAAATGTGTGTAGGATTCATCTTATCACATAGACGACACCAAAATAAATCGAATAAGAGAGATGGTAAGTTTTGAGCTTGGTAAGAAATAGCCGGAGAAAGATGCTTTTTCGACTTGTCTTGTTGCTCTACCACTGAGCCACAGAGACTACACACAGAGACTCTCTCTTTCTATTTAAAAACAGGACGCTATCTACATTGCGGATCTTAGCAGTATAAAGGACGCGTGTCTTCGTAATAGACTTCGCTCACCGTAGAGTCTCTGTGGCTCAGTGGTAGCGCAGCGGAGGGCGGAGTCCGAAGGTCTGAGATTCGTTTCCTTATGGCGACTCAGAATTTTTTCTTTGTCCCACGCTCGTGACAAGACTGAAAAAACATCTTTCTCTACACCAAAATAGTAATAAAGGGCACACTGTGAAGGTGTTTAGATACGCTAACTCAGTCAAATCTCCTTCAATCTCCTCAGGAGGTTCGAGTATTTGGGAAGTTGATTGTGATTAACTCATAGGTTGCTTTTATTGTTGTAGGCTCTTAGTAACAGAACAAGCTGGCAAAGCATGCCGGGATGACAGCGTAGAGGGTCTTAGGTTCTACCCTAATTTCCTTGTAGAGAGAACAGATTGAAAAATGTTGTTAAAAAGTGGAACAATTAAATTAAGCGGAATCTCGAGAGCTTCGTCTCTAATTTCTTTGTAGAGAGATCAGACTGAAAACTGTTGTTGAAAACCTGAAACAATGAAACTCATTGAAATCTCAAGAGCTTTGTGTCTGGTCAACTGTTGTGACCAGTAGGATAATAAGCGCCATACCAAATCACTTGTTCCTGTTAGTCTGCATATAATGGTTCAGAGAGGTTAAGATATAAAGTCGGACACATTCAAGTTGACGGAGGAATAATGGCAAAATAAAAATAGCCTCAATAAATTTATTTTGCAACTGATCTCGCCATGAACAAGGTAGCTTTCTGACAAGTTACAGACAGGTCGTCGTAAAACACGCGCAGATCATTAAGACAGCGTATTTTATTAAACATAGGAACTGTACATAAGTCTTGAATAAAATTGAAAAAGTACGATTTGTTGTTCTGATTCGTCCTTTACTTTGTGCCGTTCTGGTCTTTTATTTAACACAAGGTTCCTTTTTGATTTTATCAGAATCAATAATTTTTATATTTTGTCGCCTGTTCCACGCACTATGCTTGCTGGGCAAGCGAAATGGCGCGGTGAGCGAGCAAAAAAAAAAAAAAAAACGAGAAGGGGACTATCGAGAGCGACATCTGTTCTCAGAGCCCCGCCAGTTCAATTCAACGTTCGACGTGGCCTTTAACTTTTTGAAAAAGTTCCTGTAACTTGTCCTCAGGAAAACCGTCGGAAGGAAGTTGAGACATGTCGATGTAAAGCAGCTTGGCAAAAATCAAAGCCAGTTGGCCGGGAGGCGGCCAATCAATGAACTCAAACAGCACTGGGATGATAGGCTTTCGTAGAGTATCAGCCAGAGTGACTTCTCTTTGGCACATTTCGGACATGCAGTAACGCTTTGTAACACAACATATCACGACCTGAACGGAAACAAACAAAAAGTGCAGTTACTATCAGAGATATGTATCTCAGGATTAGATTTTTGACACCCCCATGTTTTTTAACTTGACCCAGGAGAAACCTCGTCGAAGTGCTTGCTAGATTTCCCACCCTTCAGGGTATAAATATGACATTGAGTACACCGGTGCATGGCTACTGAAATTACTTTCCCGGTACATGTAAAATTCAGAGATCGAGACTGGAACTAGGACTGGGAGCTGACTCTTCCTGGATGGGACGCTTAGTCTAACGTAGGTAGCGCGCCCCCTCCTTCCCGACACCAGAATTTCATCAGATTCCCCAGACAGTCTGTTGTTACCAATTTCTACTTCTGGGTGGAAAGGGTTGCGTTTCTCAAAGATCTAGCCGGGCTCGGACCCGGATCTCTTCACTTGGAGTCCTGCGAGCCAACCATCAGGCCGCCTCTCCCGTTCCTAGGGGCGGGTAATGAAGCAAACGGTCATAAATTCTCGTAACTTGGATTTTCAAGAGTCACCTTTGACGCTCTGATTCCTGCGTCTATCTCGGCATACAAGGCGTCTCCTCCACCCATCTGACCGATATCCATCCAGCAATCGAACCCAGCCTCCTCCAGCTTGTTCCTCAATACTTTCACAGTGTCCTGGAGACCCCACTGATATGAGATAAACACTGCAGGGCGGACCGCGATCTCTGAAGGGCTATCAATGTCGTCTACAATAAGGAAAAATAAATTCACACTGCGTGAACTCCTCCGTAAAATAAGAGCGTATATTCCAGCAGTGGATTTTTTTAAGATTAAATGGTGACGGATTTTACGAAAGGAACTGCATTATTTTGTTCGCAGTGATGAAAATAACAGTTTCGGAATGATTACCTTCGAAAGTTTTAATTCGAGGTGCATCTGGAGGACTCACCTCGTCACTCTGTAACAAAAGGAGAAGCTTAATTATCATAGATTGAAACTATTCTAATAACAAGTTGTGAAGTGAAAATACAACAAAATGCAATTTCATTTTGACAACACGGTTTTTTTGCCACAATCATTGGTTTTCAAACTTTTCAACCAGTCAGAGAGCAAATGAATATGCGTGTAATGAGAAGACCAGCAAGCGATTCACTTACTAAAAGTAACAGTCCTGAACTGAGAAATTTAGAGCAGAAACGGGATTGTACCCTTTCAAATAGTTTACAGTTTGAAACTGCTAAAACCAGAGCGAAGTGTTCCACGGCATTCTATTGGAGAGGTAAAGGTGAGGTCAGGAATCAAACCACAGCTCAGGTTGGTTTAAGCAACATGAAACGACTCGGAATGTTGCTACTCTTCCTTAGACAGAATACCAGCCCATCGTAGATTATCCTCAGCACTTGCCCAGGTTTCCGACAGTCTGCCCATATCATTTATATTTAAGGTTGATCAAAAGGCGGAGCAGTTGTTCAAAAGGACGGATAACGCTATCCGATGGATAAAACGTTGTCCGTCGGATAAGTGTTAACAAAACATACAGTGCTATGACCGGATACAAGATGATTCAGCGTATAGCGTTATCCCTCCCTCTCCTTCGAACAACCGGGGCCTGCTTAGAAAGAGGCAGAGCGAAAATGAGTCTTGTCCTTGAACACAACAAAATGACGCAGCCAGACCGATCGATCCCACAAGAGACGTCAAGAAAATTTTAAAAAAATCTCAAAGAAGGACGGTGTAGTTTCATCGATGTAAAATTTTCAAGTTAAGAAGGTTAAAAGTCTTAAATTACCTTTTTGACACAACCACACCATTTCTCTAAACCAGGAATCTCCAGTCGTGAACGGGCACCGAACGTCTTCGTGCAAATTAATTTTCCGTCGTTTGAAATCGGAAGGAAGTGAATGCAGACGCTTTCGGTACATGACTTGGTCTTGTGTCTTGTGCAGGCTTTGTTGCAACACGAAGGACAAGCTACGGAGAATTCATAACGCATGTTACGAAGGCATGCAAAGTCACTTGATAGACTACTCAGAATCGAATCCAGGCGCTCGCGGACCAAACCAGCTTGGCCACCTCCTTCGTCATTCAAGTTCTTTGTCTGAAGAATCACTTTCACAAACGACTGTTTGCCAATAAGAAATAAATCATCCTCGCCCAGAATAAACCTAGCAAGGTTTTGAAATAGGTTTGGTTCGTCTGTGCAGCCCAACTCGGGACAAACCGAGATGAACCGAGAAACGAGCTGCGGAAACAAACCGTGTGGGAGAAAGCCATCAGGAAAGTTGATGTACAGAGGACAAATTTCGCTCTCTGTCGTGTCCAGTTCTGTCTCTGGACACGAACAGAGCTGCGCCGGGACAAAATACTTCACAGCCGGCGAATCTTCTCCAGCTTCACTTTTAGGCGTGAACCTTGCAATCAGACCATACATTTCCATCATGGAGAGAATGTCGCTCTGTGATTGACCATCGCACAAGAATTCGGCAAACACGTGATCAACTAAGCGCATGCTCAGAAGACCAGTTTCTTCAAGTTCGTTCCAGGCTGCTGCATGACGCGGATTCTTGAATTAAAAAAGACATTCGATCAATGATTTTGCAAAATAATCTTTAAGTCTGACCCCTCTCAAGATGTCCGAAACTTAGATTTACTTTTGAACGACAGAGGTATAAAGGGAACTGTAAATGCAAATCAAAACACGCAAAAGTTAATATAAAAGTTACATTATTTTAGTGGGAAAGAAATGTTCCTTTTCACAAGCACTTCAGCAGTATTTCAATCCCCAGAATGATAAATTTTTAGAGAATTTTTGAAGAATGTTTGAAACATTTTGCCTAAGAATTGCTGGTAAGAGGTTTTTAAAATGATGGCAATTTAACAACACCAAATTTAAAGGGCCCGAGATCGAACCATCTCTCGACGCTCGAAAGTGGTTCTGGGCTCGAAGAATTTCTTGCTTTTTGCCCTCAACTTCTTCCCAGCTCCCTTTCCCTTCCCACCCTTCGGACGCTAGCGAGTCTCTCCCTCTCATTTGTTCCACGAGGTTCGATGAGAAACCCTGGGCACGAGCTTGTTGCTTCTCCTGCACGAGGTGTCTGAAAGAAAAGGTTTCACCGTATCGAAGAGTAAGATGGAATCCTAACGGAAAGGTCAACAATATACCTGTTCATCAAAAGGTCGAATAGTGATGAGCTTCCTGAACAAATGAATCAGCCATTGTGTTTGAAGGACTACAGTGTCACCATGCCAGATGATAATACCCAGGTCGTGATAAAAATCTAACATGGCTACCATCTCCGCCTCGTCCTCGATGAGGCATGTCTTACTCACGATGAAGTAGAGCTGAGAAACCTTCAGGTAGAAAATTTTCTGTTGCACCAGCGCTTCAACGACCCTCTCGAAGTTAAACCAACGTACGGGGACATCTTCTCCCATGTATGGCTCTAAGCGTAAGACCTGCAAACAATTTGAATCAATCAATAACCCCATGAAAAAATAGTTCTGTGTTCTGTGGTTCGAACTATTTTCTTGGTGTGACATTTTTCAAACCAGTCTAATCTCTAGAGCAATGTTCAATCGCGTAAAAAAAAAACTAACGAAATCATTCATCAATACGATTTGTCTATGAAATCATCACAAGAGCTTTTCAAGACGATTGTTGCCAGTCCCTCAGGCGATTTCGCAACACGCTCCTAGGAGCTTGTGATTATCAGAACTCAAGAAAACCAGAAAGACTGGTGGCTGGCGCAGTAAACCAGTCATATGGGGGTTTTCCACAAATGTCAACCAGTAATAACAGAATATCATCCTTCACGATGAACTCAATAGGCTAGTATCGCAAGAAGGTTTTTCTATGCTTCGAAGATGTTCAAGTTGATCATTGCACTTACCTCTCTTATCTCCTGTCGAACCTTCTGGACACCTTCGTCTTCCCCAGATCGCGTATTATCCACTCGGTGAAACGGTCTGCGAACGTGCTGCTCGTAGGTCTTCCCAGAGAGGCTCTTCTTTATTTGAGTCTCCATGCGTTTAGGGTCCTCGAACGGGTTGTCAGCGTGAGTACCTACTATGATTACCGGGGGTCTCAAATACGGCTGTTCCTCTTCCTGGTCCTTCTCTTTAGCCCTAACCTCTGCACTAAGGTTGTGTATAGAAACAAGCCACGATAGAATGCTGTCCAAGTTGGTTTCCTCTCCGCTGGAATGTGGAATAAAATCGTGCACGCCCTGACGAACGCAGGGCTCCATATTGGCGCTCAGTTCCTTGCTCAAGTTGTACACCAGCACGTAAACAGCCCGTGGGGAGAGAAACACAGGGTGCGAGGCGTAATACAGATGTTGCCCCGCGAAGTCCCAAATTGTGACAACTGTTTCTCTGTCGCTTTCCTGTTGATCATAGCCGGCTTGACTGTCTAAGTATTTAGCGACTAAAGATTGAACATTTTCAGGCACGGTTCGCGAACCGTCAACCTCGATGTGAAATAGCTCTGCATCTTGCAATAACTCAGCTAAGTCGGTGTCGGCTGCAGACGAATGATCCGTGGAAGTGTCTGTGGGGATGTCCTGTGCCGGAAAACTTGTTGCTGGTACTGCGACCTTTACAAAAAGTGATAATCATGACATCAGCAGACTAAAATAGGACTAGTATTTTCTTATCTCAACCCTTTATATCCTTCCATCGGAGTGCCTTGGCTTTATACTGCTCTCTGTGCATTTCCTTAGTTGCTAAGAAGGAGAATTTGTTTAACAAGCAAGAGCTTCGTTAAATGGTGATCATTTCCATTACTCTCATGACCTCAATGTTTAAGTCAAAGTAGATATTGTCAGAAATAAATTAGATGCTAGTCACTCTTAGGGATAAAAGGGATCATATACAACTGCTATTCAGCACATGCCAAAAAAATATTCTCTAAACTACGCGTGTTATGCTTTCGTCCTCCTGCTTGACAGCCAAATAATAACAATCACGTCTGACACTGGACATATCTTATTGAACAGCAATCGAGCCACTGAAATACGTAAATATCTGTGTCTATAAACAAAAGGACAGGTCAAGATCGTATTCTCGCACAAAACATTATTCACAAAGCAGTCCAAATCAACGAAACATAACCCATCGAATAGCGAACATAACAACTGCTTTACGGTCTCTCAGAAGTTCCGGTACTTACTAGTCCCGTACAATAGCTTTTTGTTTGCTACTTTTACATTCAGGATCGAGATGCTATACATTAGTTTTGAAATTCATACTATAAAAATGAGCCGGGACCCCGCAGTGCAATTCTTTAGGTGTCGATCTTAGGCTTGTACAGTGCATCAAAGAGCTCAGTTTTTCAATGTTTTCCTTACAGTCGACCCACCATACCTGGTTACTCTGTAGCGCTGATACCCCCTGTGTGACATCAGTTTGCACAGGTTCAACTTCCGAGGAGTTGACCTCTGGCTTCTTTTCCTCGTCTCCTGAGCGCAACTCGCCAACGACAAGTCTTGCAATGTCATCCGCAAACTCACACGTAAATTTCTCGTTTTTTACGAGCTGCCAGTTCATTACGCGGTCAACGTCCAATTCGAAACGAGACGGGTCTACTTCAATTCCTTCAGTACTTTGTTCGCCGGGATCAAACTTCAAACCTAGAAGCGACTTCTTCAAACTTGTCTTTCCGGTTCTGTTCTGGCCAATCAGCATGACGCGCCCACGATACACCCGGACCTTACCCTTTTTAAGAGCTCGCTGAAAAGCATGCTCCGCCTCGATTCCGCGAGCTTGGATCTCGGGAGGAACTGGTGAATGGAATGAAAATAAATATTATGAACAGTAAAATTCGCGCGAATTTCTTTCTAAGAAATTTAGAGCGAGTTACTCCATTAAATTCTCTAAGTAAGCACCGTAGGAAATGTACAGAGAACAGTACGGAGAATATGCGCACTGTTATGAACTGTTGAGAACTCGTTGGTCGTACTGATTTGTACTCATTGCCAACTCGCCACCTCTCGTTGCCTCTGTATGAAATTCATATTAAGCAGAAGTTAGTAATATATTCAATACTATATGTTTTTCGGACTCACCAACTGAATCTTTGTCAGGTTTTGCTTCTGATGAGGTGTGAGTTGCCTCTTGTTCAACATTTTGTTTCAGTGTTTCCCAACTGATATCTTCATGTCCTAAAAATATTATGCAATGAACACTCTTAGAGAGAAAGTATCAGCAACAAGAGAAGACCTTTCAATTTTTGTGGCGCGGAAAATTGACGAATTAGAAATGAAACTTTTATTTGTTGGAAACTATTGAATATTGGTTCGGGAAGAAAGTGTAAAGAAAGGGACCCACGGTAATTTAAAATGAGTGACGAAAGTTTTCTGTTTGGTTTTCGTTGCTATGTGATTGGTCTAGAAAACTCGCACCACTCCCTTAACCAACCAAAAGCTACTTTTGTTATCATCCTTTGTTATGATTGGCTCTTGTGATTATGTTGTGATCATTTTGGACTTGGTTGTAAGATACTCAACCAAAAATCTCTCCATAAACGTAGAGGGAACAGGAATGGCTGCAGACGTAGAGATAAAAACGAATTTCGAGTTATTTTTTTTGACTGAGCTTACGCTGAAGTGCTATATAGAACTGTACGATGTAAACTACACACCAGGGTGACTGCCATACGACTGTTTTCTAGTTAAGCCCGCCCAACTCAATAAAAGAAATTATCTCAATTTACTATTGAAACTGTAAATCAGACAAAGCTACACGGTTATCTCTCAAAAAAAACTTCACCGAACTTTTAACTTACCGAGGAGTTCTTCCGCGTTTGAAGGATCAAGCAGACCCATTGAGCCATTCCTTTTTTCACAAAGCCATGCCTCATTGCTAGAGGAACTGGCCACTTTCTGTTCTCTACATAAAATAAAATTAACTTTCAAACTTTTGACCCCTTAGAGTAACTAACATCTAATAGCACGTGGGTGGAGCTTCTTATCATGAATTGTCACTACCGAGGTCTGAGTGATCTGCTGAAGCCTTCAGACCTTGGCAGTGATAATTCATAGTATCATGCGAAAACCCAATTCTATAATTGTCTCATTATTCATTTTTTAAACAATCTGCAAAAGAGGACACCTCTCTTTAAGTCTGTAAAAGTTTGAGAACAGTACACGAACGAGGGGCTAGGAAACTAGGCAGACTTTGAATTCGAAATAATAACACAGTATCTGCTGCAGACATTGGGCACACTTTGAACTTGAAATAATAACCCAATATCTGCTGCAGACATTGGGCACACTTTGAACTCGAAATAATAACCCAATATCTGCTGCAGACATTGGGCACACTTTGAACTTGAAATAATAACCCAATATCTGCTGCAGACATTGGGTTATCATGTCAACTTCACACGCCATTGTATATTGACTGTATACTCTCGACCAATCAGAGTCTTCACAGTAAGTCTAATTTACAATAACATTTCAAACATGGCAACTGCAAGATAGAACTGCTAAATTCCAAAATGTTATGGTAAAGAAAAATATGAATTAAATGAGTTTGAAAATAATTCCAACCACATTACATAAAACTATTTTTTCATGGGGTTAATGATTGACCAGATGAAAAATATTTTCCAGTCTTAAAGGAATAAGATGTGTTTTATAGTACTCACGGAAATTGAAATGCTTTTGAAATCAGCAGAACAACTTCCCCTTTTTTGCAACTGAGTTGATGTGACACTTGACGATTACAATCTACTTTGACCAGTAGTTTGGGAAGAGAAAAAGTCTGTAAATTAAAAAAAAAATAAAAGAAAAAGAAAATTAGTTAATGAGTTGGATACCTTAGTGTTTAATGGACTATTTTCTACTGTTTTAACACATCCTAACACAACTATTCACCATCTCAATGTCCCTGGCCAGTGGTGGATATTTACCTCACTGCTTTGCAGCTTGGTAAATATCTATCAGTGACTACAAGCCACCTCTGCTTTGGTGTATAGTTGTTAATTATTATTTATAAAACACTCACTGAAAGAGTTTTTGCAACATCAGACATAAGAGGTCTGCTCTTTGGGTTTTTTGCATTGCATTGATCAAATAAATCCTTCAGCACATCCGGTATGAGGACATTATTTACAAGCTGTGAAAGAAACAGAAAATTGTTATCAGGATAACTAACTGTGTTTTGAAAAGCAAACAGTCATCTGATTAGTCTTTCCAAAACTTAAATTCACCACACTGATCACACTCTAAATTAAATGGTAACCTTATTGTGAGCAGGAAATAACTGTGGCAACAACAAAATGCTTGAATATTGGGTGATTTTCAATAGCTTTATTTGTGGCCTAAGTGGCTGTTTCAGATCCAAAATGTCCAATTTCACCCATCAGATTACATATAGGACAGTTAAGCTGCCAATAAAAATTATGGACTTTCAGACATCAGCCAATAAAACTCAACTACCTAGCTAATCAAAATAAAGAAAACTTCTAACATCAGGTTGAGAGGTCCACATTGAAAACATAGCAAAATGTACAAAATTAACCAGCAAATGATTATTATTAAGTTTCAATAAGATGGATATGTGCTCTTGCATTAAATTTTTCAATCCTGAGTTTCTTGTATTTTGTCACTGACACAAATAGTTGGTAATCTTACTTTGTGACATACAATTCAGAGACATACAATTCATTCTCCGCCAATTTGAAATCACTTCCCCACTAACTCCCCAAATTGTGCTCCACTTAGTCCTATTACCATTTAATTTTCCCTAGTACAGTATATTAGGCACAGCTCCATGCTTTTGAAAAAAAGGTTATTTTAATTAGTATTTTGTACATGGGAACCAATTACTCAATTGCAACTGATAATGTTATTGACTGCTAAACTCAACTAGAATTTTGTCATTCTTAAGATTTTAAAGAACTTACCACTTTACTCTTCAAAGGTCTTGTGATCAGGTTACAAATTAGGTGATGAATGACACAAACTGAAAGTCCTTTGCTGGACAAAACTCAGGCAGAAAATCCTACCATGGGATTACTTCTTAAATCTCAGGGCTTACTTTAATTATAGTTGGTGATACCTTTTCCCTTGTCGAGGATAGTAAATCCTGATGGTGTGCCAGATTACGAAACAAATCTTTGGCAATTAGTGCAAACCAGCTTACTGTCGATCCCCCTTTCTTTGTAGAAGAACTGGAAGGAAATTAAAAAAGAACAGAAGATAGAATTTATTGGTAAGAAAAATGTGTACAAAAACCCTAAAAGAGAACTCTGGAATTTTTTTTTCAACAATTCACACGAAAGGTATCAATATTATTATAATACTAACTCTTTCTTGTCTCTTCGAAAACATCCCCAGAGCCCTCCCAATTTGATCTGCAAATAAAAAAAAAGTTTCATTACCATTTGCCAGTGTGCACCAGCATCAGTTTCACTCTGACAAAAGGCCAACACTTGAAACGTCAGCTTTGAACTCTATACAGTGGTCAATTTATGTTATCAACTCAGCTGATAACACTAATTAAAATTACCCTGTTATACTATCCCACTGACACACCACCAGTTTCTTTAGAAACTTACCCCTGTTATGCACCAGCATCTGGTCTGCTTCATAATTACCATCATGATAACTGACTAAACCCTTAAACTCCCAGAACCAGCAAACAACTTATAGGAATACTCAAACTGATCAAGTAGAAGTTTTTGTCTCATCTAACACCAAATTCTCTCAACTAATTTAAAGCAAATGTGTAGCAGCTAAAAGGGAGAATTTATAATCAGACCTTGGGAGATTAAAGGTTAAAAACAACCCAAACCTTGAAAAAATGGGCTACGATGGACAAAAAAAAAAGGCTTTCAAAAGTTAGTGACAAAAAGAGGGAAGATTGAAAATATGAAAGCAAAAGTTAAGCCCCCACTGAAAAAAATAGCCAAAACACTATATAAGCCAGGGCAGAGAAAGAGGAATGAACTATGAATATTTTTGACCTCTATATATTTTTAACCATGGTTTCCCTTGCCCTTTCCCTTGTTATTTCTCCAACATCTCTATGCTTTTCCTCTCCTTATACCAGCTAAAGAGTGAAGGTGTAAGTCCATGAATAGTTCAAACAAACATTCATTATCAATAATCAGTTCAGAAAACCAACTATAACCAACTAGGTGTAACAACATGAGAGTAATTTTGAGTACATTTTCATCAACCTGTACCTTGCCAGGTGCAACCACAAATACAGATGAAGCCACTATTCGTGTATGAACTAGACCTATGCTTTCAAGGTATTCCATGGCCGCCGCAATCTGGGAAATCTTCTGCAGCAGACTGTACACTGACTGCCGTGGCATGGCTTCCATGATGTTCCCATACATGGCAAAATCCACCACCTAAAGTAAACATCATTGATCTAAGTGCAGTACTGAATTACCAGTTCAAACGTGATTTCAATTCTAGCAAATTCTTGCAGCTACAGCTGTAATTTATGAGGAAACATGCAACAGCTAAAGGAGAGAAGTAAAAATCACATATTAGAGTTAAAAAGTGTTAAAAAAAGTCCGTTGATACATGTACCTAATACAAAATAAAAACTGCTGGTTACAGAACCTAATTTTTTTCACCTTCAATTTTGGGCCTGTAAATAGTACAGGCCTGAGAGTTCTTTTTAATACTATGCAGTGTTTATTTCTTTTATCTTCACTTACCAGAGCTATGGAGTTAGTGTACAGTCCAGGCAAAATCACTCCATAAAGATGAAGGACATTCTCATGATTCAGTGATGCTGATAATTCTGCCTCATGGAGAAAATGCTTCCTTTGGGAAGGAGCTCGGTCATACCTTAAACAAACTCTAATCTGCAATTAAGAAATGAACACAATGAAGTCAAGTAATATTCATAACAATTCCAATTCAATAATTTTTTGAAATAATATTGTAATTGCCATGGGCAACTGGGTAAATTCAAATCTGCCCAAGTCATACCAATCAGAATATTATGCTGTATTTAATTAACCTTTTCTCCATTTGGTTTTGTCCAGATGGCTTCAAAAACAGATCCAGATACTGGTCCTGATGTAATCCTCTTCACAACATGAATTTCATCAACAGATATAAATGGTACTCCATGGGACTCCAATTGAGCTTTGTAGGGAAGTTTTCCATGTTTCTAAAAGGAAGGAAGATACCGACAGTTACACTTGACTTTTGTTTTCTTATAACCACAGCTATTCATTATCTGTACAACTCTGCTCATGTCTGAGCATAAATGCTGCAACTTGATTGGCTTTGCTAGTCTGTACCAGTTCTTTATTTGAGAGAGTACAAGTAAAGTGGGTAATCATGAAGAACTGCTCCCCTTTACCAACAGTGGGTCAACAACTTAGCAATAGGCCACTCAATTTTTATATGCAATTGATGATTGACAACTGATATACTCAATAGTCCATTTTACAGTGGAGTGCTTGGTTGCCAAGCCTTTGAACAGGAGTGAGTGAATTTATGTTATAATAATCCTTTTCTTCCAAGAAAGCATGCATAGCTTCCACCATTCACCACATGCCAATGATGGTTATTGTGTGTGTGTGCCCAGAGAACCATAATCCAGCCAGTTCATTATCTGAGTCACCTTATAAGGAAATACATTGTGCCAACCGTTGCAGAGCTGAAAAAAGCTCCAAATATCCTAACATTCAAGGTTTAAATATAATTTAATAAAACCATTATTAAAACTCACATCCAACATGTACTCAAGGAATCATTGTTAAATAACACCATTGCAAAGTCTTTAGAAACTTACCCCCTTTATGTCATCATTATAACCTGTATGTGAGGTTTAGCTATTGCATCATGGGCTCAACCTCCATTAGAAACAAAAGAAACCCAAACCTACCAGCGCCAAATTAACAAAATCAGCTGTCCCTACTTGCTGTGGAAGTTGTTTCAGCTGGTCTTTAGCAAATTTAGGAAGAAGTCTAAATCTCTTAAGTGCTTCATCATCTAGTCCATTCAAATCAGCTATAGAACGGATTTTCAAGTCATAACACAACACATTGAAATTATCTCTGAGGTTGTGTTCAGCCAGAAGAAGATAAAGCTTGTCAAGTTCAGTTAAATTTTCCACTCGAAGACTCCTTGGGGCCTATACAAGAAGAACATCATCATTACTTTTAACAATTTATACAGCAGAACCCTTCCATGTGACCACCCTGTTTACCCTTTCACTCCCTGCAACAAAAAAGGAATGAATTTATCCTAACAATGTTACATAATTTCAAACAGAGAAGTGATGAGAAAGAATGTAATTATCAACTAGAAGATATTGTTTGATGTAACAAAATAGCCTTATTTGTGGATTGGACGCAAACACCTTAATCTAGCATCCAGTTCACAAAACATCGAGGAACTATGTCTCCTACCCATTCATAGGACCATCTCATCACCATTATTACTCCCTTTTGGAGCTGAAACTTGAGATTATTTAAAGCCTCAACAATTGAACCCTTCAACTTCCAAAAGTAATTGATACTTAACTTTGCCCTAAAATATGTGCACATTATTCAGCAAATAGGTTATGAGAATACTCAAACTTATCAGGTAGAAGTTGTTGTCTTAATCTACCACCTAATTCTTGTAACTCATTTACAAGGTAACGTGTAGCAGCTAGAAGGGAGAATTAACAATCAGACCTTGGGAGTTAAAAGGTTAAATAGCTTCTTATCAAGTTTAAAACTAGAAATATTGATTACTCTGGTTGATGGCTTGCAACATGGCCTTTTGAACACAAATTTTCTCAAATAATTTAAAAAAGTCAAGTTTTAATTTTTAACCCTTAAACTCCCATGAGTGACTAAGACAGAACTTCTCATTACAATATCAATACAATATCAACCAGATAAGTAATGAGAAGAAAGAAAAATATAAATTTGGGAATAGTTAGTTGATCCAATGCTTAACTCTCTGAACTAACAACACAAGACTTGTATGGTTGACAGAAAGGAGAATTACAAATTTGATCTGGGAGTTAAAGGGTTAAATAAACAACTACCATGACACTTACATTTTTATCTGCCTTTGGTAGTCTCTTAAGCTTTTTCATCATATTGAAAGTAACCAGAGACTCCTAAAAGAGATTTAGACAAAGAAGAGTGGGACGAAAGTAAAATTGTACATCAGGTACCAGCAAGTGTGTCGAAACTTTGGGGTGTGTGGCATCAATAAACATACAGCTCTAAATTGCTTTTTCCCACATGGGTAGACTAGACTTTTTCGATGATATTTGAAATATTGCATTCATTTATTGGCAATGAAACTAACAAAGAAAAAGAAGCAGTATCAGTGATGATTTGAGTACGTTCTGAGGCTTGATTCATCGGTAATGGAGCAAATATGTATTATTTAAGGAAAAGTATGCACAATCGATCAGCGATAAAAATTCAAGTTTTCCCATTCAAACGGCATAGAAACGGAACTCTTGGTAAGATATATACTTACATGACACCAAAACTCGCATCTTACTGATTAGACAAAAACAAACCGCTTTCTATCAATTTCCTGTGTATTGAGAATGTTTCGTGCACCGAGTGTACGCTGCAATATCCACAAGGCGTTCCAAGTCGTTCACCTCCAATCCTAGCATCTTGGTCACATGTAAAAATCTGGCCAATCAGAGGAAACATGCGTGGCTTACATGCGTTCTACAACCTTTGATCTTCCCTTACAACGAAGGTCTACGGATTTCGCCGGTCGAAGCCTAAGTTCTTGTCGAGTGTTTAATAGTTTTGACTGATTCATTACTCTAGGATATTCAAAGTAAGTGGTAATTTCTTTATCTGACCTTTTAAATCTTTTGTGATTACTGTTTATTTATCCATGAAGCACATAATTCGTGAAAGTTGTGATTTCGAGTTGTGATATTAGAGAGCGTCACTCGCGCAAAAGATTCGATTCGATCGCAAAGTTACGAAAATATAGTGATCCTTGTGAGATGTTGAAGAAACTTCGGTTTTAAAGCTCACTTTAGCCTTCTTTGATTTAAAGTACTAAAAGGTTTTTTCCTTGAATTCTGCCTTTGCCGGTCGAAGATGTTCCAACGTGATTGGTCACGTGGCTCAGTTGAGATTAAAACTTCATTAACAAAATTTTTACGTTTGTCGATATTCTGTTGGCCACAGGAAAGCCTTAAAATATCAGTTTATTGCTGTTATACCCAATCTTGACCAATAATTTCTTTCAATACTATCTGATTTGATATCGACATCGTTTTCGGAAGTGACGTTTTCTGTGCATTCCTTCGATAGTTTCCGCTCGTACAACCCTCGTCAATTTTGAAATGTACTTAATAATCACCGTCCCTCGCGGCGAATATTGTTTCCTTAAAACCTTTCTACCGTTTCCTTTTTATACTTTGTGTTTGTTCGGGAAGTGATAGTTCAGGTTAAGTGTAATATAGTTAAGGCTTAGTGGTGAAAAAAAGAAACTGCAAATCGAACTGCAACTCTTGTCACTTGGGAACTTGTACATGTGGAAACTTGTCCTCTTTACTAACTGTACGTCTTCCAACAATTGGTGAACTCGTCTAGATAAAGAAAAGGACATTCCTTCTGGCATAGGCTTCCCTTTTTTAATCAATTCTTGAAAGTATGCATTTGTTTTAAAGTTCATATTTGTAAAGATTTAATTTGCAACCAGCAGATTATTCCTACAGTTGTGTGAGAAATATAACCTTTTTTCCATTTCTTTCAGATGGCAAAAGTGGTTCCAAGTGAGAAAAAGCTACATTTTATTGAGAACTTTGGACTTAGTGGTGCTGCTGCTATCATTTCCAAAACTGCTGCTGCCCCAATTGAGAGAGTGAAGCTTCTTGTTCAAAATCAAGATGAGATGTTGAAGGCTGGACGCTTGGATACCCCATACAAGGGTGTTGTGGACTGTACAATGAGAACATACAGAGCTGAGGGTTTTCTTTCTTTCTGGAGAGGTGAGTAGTTTTGATTCATAAGTCAGTCTGCCTCTTTGTAGTTAAAAGCAGTTCAAGCTGTCAGAGAATGTTTACTACTCTACTACTCCATCTGGATGGTAAACCATTCTATTGCAGATCTCCCTTCCCCTCCTCGAATTTGAGAGGGGGGAGGGAGAGGGAGTGATAGGCGTGGAGTTGTGTGGAGAGCACTTGCCTCAACCGAAACAACCCAACTTTGGTTTGCAAACCTAGTGTAACTTGTGGGTTAATTTGGCTGATGGTTATCCTCCTTATTCTAAGGGTTTTTTTCCAGTCACTCTTCTCTCTTTTACAGAAACCCTCTCAAATGGTTGCTTTGCAACCTGTGTAATTGCTGATTTAAATTGTCTTGCTGGTGTAAAGAACAATTTTAATCTTGGGTGTAGAGTTGCATCATATCCCCTCCTCTCATGAAAACAGAATTTAACGTTTGCCAAACCCTTTAACTCCCAAGATCTGATTGTTAATTCTCCCCTCTAGCTGCTACACTTTTCCTTGTAAATTAGTTGCAAGAATTTGGTTTACGGTCAAGATAACTTCTCATTGATAATTTAAAGTATACTCATAACTTTTTTGCTGGACAACATGAATGTTGTAGGGAGAAGGTAAATGTTAATAATTTCTGGTAGTTAAAGATTAATAGAACCATATACTCTTTTGCTCTTCTCCAGGTAACCTTGCCAATTGCATCCGTTACTTTCCAACACAAGCTTTGAACTTCGCTTTCAAGGATCAGATTAAGGCCCTTTTCAAACCCAAGAAAACTGATTCCTATGGGACCAAGTTTAGCAAGAATATTGCCTCTGGTGGAGCTGCTGGTGCCATGTCCTTGCTGTTCGTCTACTCTCTGGATTACTGCCGAACAAGGCTGGCCAATGATGCAAAGGCAGGTTCTAAAGGGGGTGATAGGCAGTTCAACGGCATTATTGATGTGTACCGCAAGACACTGGCATCTGATGGTATCGCTGGTCTGTACAGAGGTTTTGTCATTTCCTGCGTTGGTATCATTGTCTACCGTGGCTTCTATTTTGGTCTGTATGATACCCTGAAGCCACTGCTGTTGGGTGAAGATGCTGGACTGCTCATCTCCTTTGTCCTGGGTTATGGTGTAACAGTATCTGCTGGCCTGGCCTCTTATCCAATTGACACCATCCGTCGACGCATGATGATGACATCAGGAGAAGCAGTGAAGTACAAGGGTTCCATCGACTGCACTTTGCAGATTATCAAGGGCGAGGGTTTCATGTCCTTGATGAAGGGTGCTGGAGCAAACATCCTCCGTGGTATGGCAGGTGCTGGTGTCCTGGCTGGCTTCGATGAGTTCAAGAAATTGTATCTCAGTATTCGCTTCAAGGATGCCTAAATTTTTGAACTAATCTGACTGTATCAGCTGAATTACTGAGTGGATATTTTAACAGTTTTTGTGATTTTCACTGATGGGACAAGATTTGCCTGACATGTAAATGTTGCAAACTAAACTTGTTGGTGTTTTTTGGAACAGCTAAATATGTAGTGTGAAACGGAACACAGTTAAAAATGTCCCAATTGACGGAAATGACTTATTAAAAAATAGTAAAGATGTTGTGGATCCTGTGTGTTTCTTTTAAATACAGCCCAGACAGTCCTGAGCAACCAACCTTTTTCAGAATTAACCCTCTTTGGAAATAACAGTGTTGTCTCTCAATCGTTGGTCTTCCTTGCAGCAACTTTGTGGTCTCATCGGGCGACAAAGTGGGAAGAGTGAACTCTTGTATACTGCTTTAATCACTTCCTGATTTTCTTTGTTGTGTTTGTTTTTTAAAATTGTGACAACCATTTGAAAGCCAAGAGCCTGTTTCCCTTTTATTGTCCTCACTAGTCTAGTGCCCTACTTTGCAGGCTGTAACCACTAAAATTTTCTGCCTGAAGTACTCCCTAATACTGCCAAAAATTGCTTGGAATTCTTGAAAATTCAACAGGTAGAAAGATTGCTCTACTGGTTTGAAAATCTATTTTACTTTTAGTGCTTACTTAAATATGCCCTGTGCAACCTACTTTAAAAGGAATGGTCCTAAGTCATTCAGAGAGAAAAACCTGAAGAACAATGGGAGTTCTGAGTGATTCTGGAAGCTGCTCTCTTAACTTTCATCAGATAATGAGAGAAGCTTTGAGTACTTCATTCCTTGATGAAATTTTTGCCAATGATCATAATCAAAGCAGGAGGGACTTCAGAGAGTTTAGGGTGCCAAAGGGAAAAACTTCATGGTGAGGGTTTAGCTTATTTCTTCAACAATGAACTGCCAACAAAGATCATAATTTTGAAAATTTATTCTCCAACAGTTTGTTATACACCTTCCAAACATTGTGTTTGCATGATTTTGTTTTCTTAGAAAAGGTTACATAATCTGCCATCCCCTATTTCCAAGGAATATAGCCTTCAAACTATCAAATTATGTACAATGTAAGGAACTTTTCTCCCCAGGGAAAAAAATCTTGTTAATTGCCTACTTAACTAATGGTATTTAACACCAACAATGAGAAATTATCTAGAATGGTGGCAACCTTTCTTCAACTCTTGTTTCTTTGTTAATATCGTTCTTGGACATGGGAAACAAATAATATTCAGAACAAATTCTGGGGCAGATCACATAAAAAATTTGTTATAATTTACAACAGTTCTCAACCAAAGGAAAATTAAGTTTTTGTTCATTACAAAGATCATATATTGGAGACATACATAATATGCCAAACTATAAAAGCTCTCAATTCTTGTACATGCTACTTTATTATGAACCCAGGTACTACGTAAGAGGTGTATGCAAAGCTTTTGGAGATTCCAGAGTAAGTTTCTTCTTTTGTGTATTCTGTATCTTTGAAAATTCCCTTTCTTTGTAGTTTTTGTTCTCTTTGTATGTGTACTCCATGTTGTAATAAGAATAACAGCTTACAATAAGAAGAAAAGAAAAAAAAATATGAGCCCTTAACAACTTCAGGATAACTAAAGGATTGAAATTGTTCAACAAACCAATTCAATTGCATATATCATAAATATTATAATGTTGGTTTAGATAAAAGGTACTATGTGAAGTTATTTAATAATAATTATTTTAACATTTATTCCTACAAGAAATATAGGCTCAAGATGTATTACCCCCCTGATTAATCTGACATTAAGTTTTACGCTGGTAACAATACTGTTGGGCTACACTATTTTTCTTGACTAAATCATCACACAAAGCAAGTTTTAACTCGTCACATGTTGCATCTGAATTCTTCTGACTGTTCTTCCACGTTAACAGCATTTTATAGCTTTGTTCATAGACATTTCCTGTATTGTCTATTTCAATTCGTGCAATAGTTGTATCCTGAATGAGCAAAAGCCGTGCAATTATCTTCCACTCATCAACAATTTCCTTCGCTAAGCGTACAATTTGTATGTCTGCTATTCGTGCCAGTTGAGGACTTTCTGGAAGGTTACTCTAGTTAAAAAAAAAGGTATGCAACAGTTAATTCCTTGCAAGTAAAATATACACTAACACATCTGTTGCATTTAAAGCAACTAATCAATAACATACATAAAACCAGCTGTTAAAGATTGGCAGGTTACTTGGATAATCCCTCATCTTCCATTTCTTCATCATTGCCTCTTTATTTTCTCTCTGTTTTGATTGGTTCAAAAATAGTGTAACTGTAATGTTATAATTCTAATTCTGCTCATCTGATTATCTTTAAATAATTTTACACTTGTCTATAATCATTATGAAATTAAAAAATATTACTAATTGAATGATTTAAAAGACAAGGCTGCTTGTTAAAATATCATTTAGAGGTAAAAGTGTTCAAAAGAAGAGGAAAAATTTTTTTCATATAACCATCAGGGTGTAAGTTCATGATTGATACAAGCAGATGTCCAAGTTCACAGTTGCCAGTTTATCAATCACCCACAGAATTGTTCACTTGGGCTACAATGTTGTTCATATACCACATTGCTGTTTCAAGAAAGGTTGTTGGAAAAAAGGACAAAAGTGCATGTGACAATCTTGAAAGGTAACAAGGTATCAATGTAAAATGTATAAATTAAAACAATTCATCAAATCCACTATGTTGTCTCATCCTTACAGTGGCATTTTCTGTGACTTTCCTGAAATCCTAAGGTCAAGTAACTGTGACCTGAAAACTACCTACAATTTTTCCTTTTGGGGTTGTTGCATGCACTTATCTGGTTTTTTTCCCGACAACCTTTTACAGTTACACCACAATACAAGGTACATGTTCAGGTCAGGCACACACACAAAATATGCTGACACAGAAATGCAGGATCAATGAAGTTTAGCTTCCTAGAAATACATGAACACTAAATAAGGATTACTTGCAATCATCTTACCTCAATGCTGGGGTACCAAAAGTGGAGATTACTCACAGTGAACCTAGAATGGTCCCCTACTTGTTCTGGACATGTAAAAAGTGTTATTGAATCCACTTCAGGAGGAATGGGTAAAAAATGAAGACAGTCTTGATCTAAACATGATGCCAATTGATGCCGTTTACACAGCACATCAGAAGATTCACAAGCATAACAAGTAACACAAACTTCATGGTTTGCATTTCTCAGCCATTGCCACTGCTCAGATAAGCTTCGCAATTCATCTTCAACACAGGTTCTCACTTGGCAAGCTATACTCTTTTTGTTTTCAAGACTGTTGCCAGACATGTTAGGGTTGTACTCCCTAAATACCAACTTGATGCAACGCTTGCTACAAAGAAGAAAAAAATCATATTGACCACTCTTCCCTAAAATAAAGCGAACAGCATTACAGTACAAAATCGGGGGTGTGGTACAATCCAACACGGGACAAAGTGCGATGAGGCGGGAGACAAGCTGATAGAACAAGCCATGTGGAACAAACCCATCAGAGAACTTGTATATGAGAGTACATGGATCGCCCTCTTTTGGTACCAATTCCTGCGGAGTAGGATGTGATACACGCAGTTGAGCTGGAACAAAGTATTTGATAATTTTTCCCTCACAGGAAATGCTCTGCTGTTGGTCTGGTTCTTCTTGATGTTGAAATTTTACCAGAAAGCTAAATTTTTCCATCATCTCTAGGATACTTTGCTGCAAAGGCTTGTATCTACCCCCTTCCAAATCTTTAAACACTTTGTCAATGAGCTCCTTTTGCAAGACTCCAGTATCTTCAAGTACCTGCCACAACTCGCGATCGACAGGATCCTTTCAATTAGAAAAATGAAAAAGAACTTACTTGGCTAATCAAATCATATGACAATCTAGTTCTTTTGCTTCAGAAACAAACAACTTGAGATGTTGAAGATCATGCAATGAAAACAAGACAGATAGACTTTTGGACACTATGCTCATGGTAGGGTGAAAATTTTTGCAGACCCAGGGACACACCATTCCCTCAAGCTTGTGCCTCCCAAAGTAGTAACGATACAAATCAACCTTAATCCTATAAACCCTAACATCAGAATGAAATTTCTCCATACTGTTCTTTATACATTTCCAAAGGTGCTGACAAGGAGAATTTGTTTAAAGATAAAGAGCTTCTTTAGTTGGAGATCATTTCCTTTATTCTTGTGACCTTCCTGCGTGATTCGGGGGTGATGACTGTTACAGCTTGAGGCCCTGTCAATAGACAACTAATTTGGTACACAAACCTGTTTTTGAAAAGGGCAAGTGGAGATCAGCTTTTTGAAGAGATTGACCAGCCACTGTGTATCGAGAACTACTACATCTGTGAATCGCACAATCAGACCAAGGTCATGAAAGTAGTTTAACATGGTGTCTAGCTGATCATTGTCTGTGATGAAGCATTCTTTCTGTGCAACTGTGTAGATTTCCTCTCTGGTCAAGAAGAAGGTTCCACCTGCTGTTAGTTTCTTTAGAGCTTTTTCAAAATTGAACCACTTCACAGGAAGGTCTGCAGTTGAAATCAACCCAGATGACAAGATCTGTTGTACTTTTTTTTGGATCTGTTGAATCTCAGGTGATTTTGATGACTGCCTGTTATCTACTCTGTAAAAAGGAGACAGTACATGTTTTTGGTAGGCTTTACGTTTAAGGCTACTACTGATCTCATCTTCAACTTGTTGGATTTCTCTGGGTGAAACCTTATCAGCGTGTGTTCCCACCACAAGCACAGGTGGGGGAAGGCAGCGCACCTTTGACTTACACAATTCTTCAACATCATGCTCCACTGGGGGCCTGCAAATGCTGTGGACTGAGACCAACCATGACAGAAGCATGTCTAAGTTTGTCTCATTTGATGTGTTCTTCAAAGGTAATACTTGGTTTCCACGCTTAAATGATGGCTCTGCAAGGTCATTTGGTTTTTTCTCCAGATTATGAACAAGGAGATAGATGGCTCTGTGGCAGAAGAATAAGGGATGTGTCGCATAATACAAATGCTGACCCGCGAAGTCCCAGATGTCCAGCACAGTTTCTGTAGAACTGTTCTCATTGCTTCCCCCTGAATTTTTAAGGCACTCTATTACAAGCGGGGTTAATTCATCTGGCATATCAACTTTTGGTTTCAGAGCTGGTTTTTCTTGGGATCCATCAACTAAGTCTGGTGCAAAAGCTTTTGTGGATTCTTGAGTGTGATTGGGTGCTGGAGGATTTGTGGTGAAATGAAACCTATTCAGCTGTGGTGGGACACAAAATGATACACAAGATAAATGCAAAATAAATTAAGGTGGCTCAAATAATTTTTTTTTAAATCTGCATAAATGTACATTACAGTATCATTATGTGATGAATTGAGGCTACAAGACTTCTTCATTTGTTTCCTCAAAGATTGCATGTGGCAAAGATCCAGTGGTTGCTAGACAAGTTGTGATCACTTTTCCTGAGGTTTAAGGATACTACTTATTCCACAAGTTTTTTGTGTCTGTAACTCTAAAACAATCAGCTTCAATAAAGATATTTCTTACTGTATATTTCCTAATCAAACTGTACATTTAGTTCTGAGCCACTTTGAACTTAAGTAATCCAACAGTTGTTTTTTTTTTCTTTATGCAACATGTTTGTAATTGGAAAAAACAAGAAATGATCTATCTCAAGCTATGGACAACATACTTGTTCTTGGGGCATCTCTTTTTCCTCCTGCATTTCTTTCTTCTCAGCAGGCAAAGTTTGCTTTGGTTTTGTCTCCTTCTTCTCCATCATATGACTAGCAACCAATCTAGCAATACATCTATTCTGCGGTGTAGCTTGTTCCACTTCCTTGTTTTCCTCACTCACAGCCTTCCATTCAACTACCTGCTCAACATTGACTTCCAGTTTTGATGAATTCACTTCCAAACCTTCAGTGCTTGGTTCATCAGGATTAAAGGGTAAACCCATTAGTGAATTTTTCAGGCTTGTTTTTCCTGCCCTGTCCTGGCCAATGATCAGCAATCGAGCGCGGCGCACTTTGATCTTTCCTTCCAAGAGAGCAAGGTTGTATGCAAGCTGTGCTTCATTTCCGCGGGCTCTTATTTCATGTGGTACTAGAACAAATAAGAAAAAACTATATAGGCATGCATTTTGGCCGTTGAAAATAATTTGACCCAGATACAGATATCCATATCCAAATAAAAAGTAATGAGGCAAGTGGTTTTCCTAGTATTTAATGTTTCCCTAATTTGTCTACTGCAGACTGAGATCTTTGATTTCTGAATGACTGAATCTAAGAGAAAGAGACATGAAAAATGAAACATGAAACAAGAAACATACCTTGATTATCATCATCTATTGGTATTACTTTGTCACCATCAAAAAATCCTGCAGTCCCGTTCTCCTTTTGACCAAACCACATACCATGATATCTAAAATATAATAAATACATAACATGCCATCAGCTTTTCAATGACACTGTCAATGTACTCTACAACTGTCAATGTACTCTACAAAACAAGTTTGTTTTTTCTTCCATGTAAAATAATAAGGATGAAGAAGTGAAACTCTGACTTGAGCTGGCTTTTTTCTGCTGGCTTTGTTTCTTAACAACAGGAATAATCAGATACAAATATCAACCTAAAGGGGTGTTATTTCAGGATAACTTTCAGGCGATTTTGCACCACATGATGTTAATCATGTTGATGTTAATTAATGTTGATCTGTACATGTAAATAGGGCTATACAACTAATAATAAAATTATAAGTAGCCAATAGAGTTGTGCAAAAATTAACGAGTGGGTTATAACATGATATATTTACCAGGCATTACACAAAAAGCACCCTGTATTATAAAAACAAGCACACTCAGAAAACTTCACATGGAAACCATTACAAGCTGTAAGTAAATGTATCTCCCAAAATCTAAAGCATGGTGACCAGTAAGAGTGCTCTCAATCTGGAACTTGAAAAAATTATTAAGAAGAAAAGATGGCTTTTACCTCGTTGCATCCCGTGATATCACCCAAAGTTTCTCTCCTTTGTCATATGAAAGCTCACAAGGTTCTGCAGAGGAATTGCTTGTTGTAAAACAGAACTTTTCTGGTCTTTCCTGAAGAATAAAAGTCATAAGTATTAATTACTGTCTAACAATTTACTGCATCCCTTTTCCATGTAACCAGCAAAGGTAGTTGTCACACATGGCCAGCACTTCACTCTCAACTATTTTCAGAGTCACCATTTGGTGATCTAAAATCATAAATTGTTGGCCAGAAAAATAATTATTTTGAGTAACCATGGCAATGAAAATGGTTACAGCTTAGTACACTGGTGGTATCTACAGAAATCAGACTGGTGATCTAAATGGTCATGAGCCAGTTCTCAAACAACTTGATCAGAAAATTTATTCAAAGTAAGAATGTGTGGTCAGTCTGTTGTTTTGATAAGGTATTCTACATATTGATTAATACCTAACACCACAGTTTACAACAGTACTCTTGCTAGCAAAAAGTCTGATACCAACTAAAAATGCCATTTAACTACTTCTGTCATCGAAATATCTTACAATGTTCCTTAACAAGAAGCTTTGCAGAAAGCAGAAGGAAGTTATAACTCGTGCACAAGAAAAAATATTTGTAGAATTACAAGTCAGAGTGTATGTCTTGAAAAATATGACATTTCATAAATTAAAGTACACAAAAAGAGAGGAAAAGAGTGGAAAAGGTTGGGAAAAGTCCCCCCCCCCCCTCACACTTGCTCCTCTGTAATTAGTGCTTTCAATTCAAAATTACGTTATTTCAAACACCTTGGCAAGAGTCTGAACTATGTCATGGAATGTTGGTCTTTTACTAAAATCCTCTACTTGACATCTCTCCAGAAGAGAAGCAACACCACATGGACACACAAGAGGCTGCTTTCTATGACCCTGGAAAAATCATTGCAAGAAATTATGTCAACAAAAATTATTCAATGCTAAGAAAAATAAACTATTACAGACTAACTGTGATTGGCAAAGAAACGAAAAAAGAAAAATGCTTATTGGCATAAAATATAGATCTTATCATAGTTTGAAAATTTTAGGATAGAGAGTGCAGACAAACCTGGAACATACTTAAAGGATTCTAGCCTGTAATTGCATTCTTATCAAATTTTCAACTTCTGGACATAGAACCCCAAAAAATATAAATTGAACAGATTCTATCAATAAAAGTTTAGGTTTAGAGAAGACAGGGAGGGGGGGTGAGGAGACAGGACAGGAGGACAAGGGGAGGAGGGGGTGAGGGCTGCAAACACTGAGAGCAACAACCCATCTAAGAGAAGTATACATAATCATGATTACCTCATGCTACACAAACTGGAGATGAGCAAATTTATTAAAAACAGTTTTGGGCCATAACAATGATCTTTGATCTTATTGATCTTAAATAAATTCAACTAATTTTTTTTTATTCATCAGTAAGTAGACTCTCACCGGAAAAAGGTTTACTAGTTGGCCTGACTGATGGGAGTCAAGGTATCTGAACATTGACAAAACTACATGAGAGAACAGGGCAACCACTCCTTTAACAGACAGGTCATCCAAACAATGACCCTGATGACCAGTTATTGTTGACGGTTTTAAATTACCACGCTGACCCTCTCTGACCTCTCTGAAAAAGAAAAGAATATAAAATGCATGATTTAAACCTCTTTTTGTGATCTATTTTCTGATGAGAAGATGAGATTTAATTTTCTGCAATTCCTGGTTCAAACTTTCATTCCCTTTTTGCATTAAAAACAAATTTGAAATTAACTTAAAGGGAAAGAAAACATGAACAAAAGTAAAAATTGAACCACAACATATACCCATGTTTGGATAAGGTGTAATGTTTCACCTCAAAAAAAAAAAGGAAAACATAGTAACTGTTTAAGTCATTAATTTGACCAAGGCTATTCAAACCACATCAAAATTCAAATTTACCCCATCCAGCTGATTATCGTATGGACGGCTACATGTACATGTAACCCTTTAATACAAAGTACAGTGCAAGTTTTTGGAATTGTCTCATATGATGTCCCCCAGCAGAATAATAATAATTTTTTACAGTGAGGCCTTAAGCTACTCTTAAAAATTAAAAGCAAAAAAAATGAGGAAGATATGTTTGACTTGTAAAATACTGTATCCATCAATTTTATTGTTTTAGCCTCAAAAATAAAATATGATTGAGGATTAACACACTCTATGTAAAATTTGAGGAATCCTTACTGTTTAGCCTTATTAATTTCTTCTTCATAATAGCAGCACATAAAACCACCAAGGCTGATCTGTGGATAAAAAAAATGCCATCTTCATGGTACTGTTGATTTGAGTTCCTTATTAGTATTTATTTATAACCCTTTAACTCCTAGATCAAATTTGTAACTCTCCTTATTGTCAATTATACAATTCTTATAATGTTAGTTCTGAGAATTTAGTATTGGATCAACTAATTATCCCCAAATTGATATTTTTCTTTATTCTCATCACTTATCTGGTTGATATTGTATTGATATTGTAAGGAGAAATTCTGTTGTGGTCATTAATGGGAGTTAGAGGGTTAAAAGACAAAGAGACCAAAAAGAGTAGGGAGGGTTTGGAAAGATAAATGCAGGACAGAGAAGATGAAGAAGGAAAGATGGAGAAAAGAGAAAGCAGACAAGAGGTAAGAGAATTGAGATAGGAGAAGGAACGACATAAAAAGAGAAGAGAAGGCTGAGAATAGCTGATAGAGAATGAAAAAGAGGCAAGACAAAGGACTCAAGAAAGGATTAGAAGAGTTACAATGAATTACAAGTTTTAATCTTCAAAAGAGATACGGTGTGACAAAACAACACCTAACTTTTTAAATTTCCAAATTCAACAAAAAGCAATCTTCAAAAGTTCTGAGGAGAAAGATATAGACTCCCAACTGTAGTTTACTCCTGAGAGCATTTTAGAAGAGCAAATTTCCATTTACCATCACCAATTAGAAGGAAGAAGATCATCAATTTTTTTAAATAATAGAATGGTGTAGACATTACCTTTTCAAGAGATGAGATGTAAACAAAAGGCTCTGCTACAGATGTATGTACAAGATGTTTGGACTCCAAATATTCCAGAGCTGAAGAGAGCTGTGATGCATAGAGCCAGGCATGGAAGAGAGATGGAACACGAAACTCCTCCAAATGACCTTTGTTGAAAAATTCAACCACCTTGCACAGTAATAAAAAATAGGAGAATGTTATTATTGGTACATCTTAAAGAGGTGAAGTAAATTACCATCTGTTAACCTAACTTGACTGCATTATGTGTGTAATGAATAATTCAAAATAACTTACTGTAAGCTGTCACACTGATCAAGAGACTTCAAGAATTTAGCCAGCAGAAAATGACAATTGAAAATAAAAAATATATACTGTACCAATCCCACAGAGTCTGTATATGAGCCCAAAATAACAGCACCATAAAACTTCATGATATAGTCGTGATGGAGACCTGTCATTATTTTAGCTTCTCTAATAAACAACTCTCGCTGCAATGGGCCCAAGTCAAACCGTACAACAACATCAACCTGATGAAAAGAATACAGGAATTTGTGCTCATGTGTCTAAGTTTGTCTGTCATCATCCCATCACATATTTGCAGGAAAATGTTTGAAAAAGTTTTGAGACCAGCCACTGATGCTAATCACTTGTTGGAAATACATGATCAACTGAGTCAACGACCTTGTGACTCAAAGTGTACCAAATTTGAATGTACTAATAAGCATTTTTCTTCTCAAATTTCTCTCTTGTTTAAAAATTTTCAGCCCACTTAAACTGAACTGATTACATATTACACTCTATTGGAGTTAGAAGTGTGTTAACTTTGCCAATTAGTTTACAGTTCCTTAGCTGCCTACTTCAGATCACAATCAATAGAAGAAGTGGCTATGAGAGTGATACAAAACTTGAAAAAAGGAATTCAAAATGAATAATAGGGATAAGTTTCTAAAGAAACTGTCTATGTCAGTGGGAGAGTACAACAGGGTAATTTAGTATAATCAGCTGAGTTGATAAGTAAACATAGGTTGGGCATTGTAAAGTCAGTTTCAAAGCTGATGTTTCAAGCTGACTCTGGGTAGAGAGGCTCGCATTCAAGACCTGACTGGGTTGACATGTTGTGTGTTCACTCTCACAGCATCTCTCTCCACCCAGGAGAATAAACAGCTAGCAGTAAATTGTCAGGGAAGTCTGATGAAATGCTGAGGGAGAGAGGGGTAACCTTGTGATGGACTAGCATCCTATCCAGGGGGAGTAGCAATACTTCTAGTTGCTTCACGTTACTCAGAAACCAGGGCAAGCTCTGGGTGAGTCAATGGGCTTGAGTGCAGACTTAATTCACCTGTTGCTGTTAATCAGAGTAATTCTGGACTATACCAAAATCAACATACCATGTTATGACCTTGCATCCACTGGGCATTGTAAACATCACCAGAATATGGACGACCAAGAGCTATTTTTTTTCGTAAAAATAGCTGTTTCTTTTGTATCATCTGGACTCCTGCATCTCCTAACTCCTCTTTATAGTTATTTCTTTCAATACCCTAGGAAATAGTTTCATTCGGTTGACAAATAATTCAAATTGAGTTCCTTCCTTAGTATACTTCAATCAATTATGGTTCAAGTTTCTTAGTATGTAGCAGTATTAGATCACTAGAAGGGAACTTCACCAGCAAAAATAACTCTTTCAGGTACAATATCTTGAATGAGCAAATTAAACAGGTAGCCTGCAAACACTCTCTCATTTTCAAGGGTTCCAAAACAAGTATATTTTCACCAAGAAATAGGTTTGAGACCTCAAAAACAATAGCCAGCAAGTGGTCGGTTGGTGATCTGATGCTAATTAGTGCCAGAATCCTTACCTTAATCTTACTTTTTGGTAAAGAAATTTAGGTGCAGCAGTGCTGATAAAAGGGCCTGCTCTTGGGCTAATCGAGCAGTTGGTTAATTATAAACTAAGATAACAATTCAACTCACCAGAAGTGATGGCAAATTTTCATATCTCACAGTCTTTGAATCTTCAATCAAGTTTTTAATAGTTTCTAAATCTTCCCTAAAAGACTGAGATTGTGACCACGCTGGCAGTTTTTGTTTTATATCATCCAGGTTTGTCCTCACTTTCTTTTCAAGGTCTTCAACACTTGTTACATCAGCAGCATAACATAACGGGTTGAAAAGCCGAATAATTCTCCATTTGCACATCAACAGGTACAGTTTATCATAGTCATTAAGGTTCAGAACCTTAAAAAGAAAAATCACAATCAATAAAAAATCAGCCAAGATTTTTAGCCCTTTACACTTGAACATCAGTAAGCATATTCTCCATACTGTTCTCTGTAGATTTCCTCTGGTGTTGACAGGGAGAATTTGTCTAACAATTGAGAGCTCCTTTATTTGGTGATCATTTAAATCAGCCAAGATGCTTAGCCCTTTACACTTACACATCAGTAAGCATATTCTCCATACTGTTCTCTGTGGATTTCCTATGGTGTTGACAGGGAGAATTTGTCTAACAATCGAGAGCTTCTTTATTTGGTAGTCATTCATATTATTTTTTTGACCTTAACCCATTGAGCCCCACACCTTAGAGCTCAGACCACCCCCTGAAATTCCAGAGAAAATGGCTATTACAGTGAACACACAGACCACTGCCAAAATAATTTAAGATTTTAATGTCTTCATTTCACTCTACTGAAGGGAAACTGCACAAAGTTGCATATTAAATAATATACTTTCCCCCTGTCAAATTTTATTTTCAACTTGAGCATCAGGCTCTCTCAAAAAAAATTCTAAAGCTAGAGAACGGATTCAACTTCATGATGTACAACGAGTCATTGGCAAGGTTGCCTTCAGCTTTGAAAGTATTTATCAGTATGATGACTCTCTTTTGCACTCTTATTCCATCAGAATCATGTAAATAGCTTTCCCTCAAATACAACACCAAAAGACAGATCGCAAATTTCTCCTCAACAAAAGGAATCCTAAACTTTCTAACGCGGGTCAATTTTGAATTTGCCCGCCATAGCGACATCGCGACACGTCACAAGGCGCAGCTATAAAATTACTTTTTGCGAGTCATGAGCAAGAACAAACCAATTTTTACGCCTAAATGAAAAGTTTCACTTTGAACAATGCATATATGTTCTTCGCTTAGGCAAACTTTTGCTCCAAGCGAGTTACAAGGGGGCAAACTTTGCAGAGGAGATCGTTTTGGTCTTCTGCGGTCGGGTCAGCAAGATGTAAATATTTCCCCAGAGTCATGAAGCGGTGCTCTGGGATCGTTTTTTTTGAGCAATCAACTCCAACAAACTCGTCAGAATCCCAGTACATTGCCAGCTGAGGAAGTTCATGGATTCCAATGAGAATGTTTAGCCCGAGTTACGCTGAAATTTCCGCTTGAGTAGATGTGAACGATCGATCCCCTTTCGAACAAGCGTACGCAACGGTGCATCGGACGATTTCGTCAATGTAAGCATCGTCGATAAATACATTGAAGAAATCTTTGGCAGTTGCATTTTCTCCGAGATCTCTGGTCGGGCCACGACGAATGGAGAATTCCTCAACATTAATTTGTCGCAATTAGCTAGACCATTGAAGAGCATTTGGTCGGCTTTCTTCTACGGCAGATTCTTCATCACTACTTTCGTCGCTTCCTTCTTCCTCCTCACTAGCGTATAGCTCAACATCGGAATCGCTTCCCCTTTCTTGCGACCGTAGGTCGAAAAAGTCTTCCATCTCGTCATCCACATTGCGAAGCAAGTTTTGTTCATGCTGTGCTTGACGAGCTTGTCGCTTTTTTCAATTTCTTCGATGATAAAACCAGCGAAGACTTTTTGCTCTTCATCGGATGAAAATTAACTTTCATCAATTGTTCCAGAAGCCATGTCTAAGACCACGACATATTTTTGAAAAATTTGTCAAAAATCGCACGGTTAACGTGGAATAGTGAGTTTGGTCTCAAACGAAAGCTTATTTTTTGCATGTCACGTTTCACTGCTTTTCAATACCCAGGGGAGTTTTGTTTCTAAGCTACAGCCAATCAAAACAAGCCATTTCTGACAGGGCGCATGAGGGCGCATTGGAATTTCAGAGGGGTTTTATTTCTGGGCGCATGAGGGCGCATCGGATGTCAATGGGTTAAAGAGGGATTTGGATGCTATTGAGAGAGGGAGTTAACTACCAGTCACCTAAAGGGTTAACAAAGTGAAAGCCCTTGTGAGAGGACACTGCTCTTGCAGCAAACTAGAATGGTTCTTGCAAGCAGCCACCAGAGGTGTAAGCAATAGATAGCCACTGAAGGGAGATTGCCTAGCCAGCAATTTTGGAATGTAGATCTAAATAATGTAACAAGTTATATGTAACAACAAGACAAACATTTAAATATGGCATTGTAAACAATGCACTGCAAAGTCATTGTCATGAATGGCATTCTGAATTTGTCCAGTAACAGGAGGGGTTGTTGTATAAACTACAATGCATGACAGTATCCTCAGCCATTTATGGGAAAGAATACAGAGCTTGCCAGAGGTTTCAAATTGGTTTTGTCAAGGTCATCCTGGGTAGAGCTGTCAACCACAAGAGAGACTTACAAGAAACCTTTCCCTTCTAAAGGATAGAAGTCGTTTAAGTCATTTAACTAGGAATTTTCAGAAACACTCAGTTTTTAATTAATCAGAATATAATTTCTTCCTGCCCAGTCAACCCTTAAACTATCCTTTTTTCTATTTCTCTCCCCTAGCTGCTGGACATTGCTTTAGAATTCAGTAGAATGAATTTGGTTTTACTACATACTCATTGACTGAATAGGAGGTCCAGTTAAGGAAATATCTGGCTTAAGGTAAAGGTGGATCAATAAATAATTTATCATATCGCAGCCACTTATCATACTTTTTATGAAAGTAGCCCCAAAATGTAAGTTCAATTATTAAGTACGAAAATTCTAAAAAACAAAATTTCACCGTAAATTTCGCCCGTGGGGCACTCCATTATCATCAGAATCTACGTATAAAAGATAAACCCAAACTAACACCTTAATAGCCGCTTCCTTAAAGCAAAAACAACGGGAATAATTTAACATTCAATATTGGATCAAACTTTCGTACGTTTGACTAGGTTAAAATATTGTATTCCCAGATTCTTCGCGTATTGGATGTTTACCGACAAAACAGCGATAAAACAACTCACCTGGTTTGTTGAATCCATTTGTCAAATCGCAGAGAGGATCAAGAGTGAAATATCAACTTCCGCATCCTTTGACTCGCGGTGCTAGATGGCTCGAACGGTTTTAAAAGTTCGAACCGCGCGACCCGCGGCTTCAGCGGGCCGTATGCAAATTGTGTCAATGCTTCTAAAATCGACAGGTCCTTGCAATTTCTGAGAGCAACACTTACATATAGTCTCAAAGCGTATCCTGGCCTATAAATACACGGACAAAAAAAAATCGATGCTCAGTTATCGTCCGGAAAAACCCAACAAGATGTAAAGGAATGAAAGGAACTGTTCACTTCTACGTATTACTTTGTGTAACAATCCTTCTCTATCCCCCGTTTTCTATCATGTGATATTACCCAGAAGCCCTTGTAGACGCCCGTCTTTCATCATGGCGGAGTTGCTGCTCGATCCGGCTATCCGTTTGTGGGTTATTTTGCCCATTGTAATAATAACGTTTCTTGTTGGAATAATCAGGCATTATCTGTCTATGCTTCTACAGTCAAGGAAAGACTTAGATCTGTTACAAGTCTCCGACAGGTAAGATTTGAGGACGAAAAATCTCGAACTGAGATGCAGGTAGCTGCGCCACCGTGCTATAGTGAACTTTTCGCAAAGTTAGTTTACAAAATTGCGCTTCTAGCCCTTGGTAGTTGTTGCTATTTATAATAGCAATTTATTTATATTAACTATTTATAATAACAATCGGCGTTAAAGAAGATACCATCTGGCTTATTGAGTTATTTTCTCCAGAGTCTCTCATGCCTGCTCGCAAACGGCAACTTAATTACATTAATTACTATTGCATATCGGTGATCATGAAGCGTTTCCCTCGATGTTTAAATTTTTCAGTCAAGCTTTGATGAGGAGCAGAAATCTTAGAGAAAATGGAAAATATCTACCTGAAGAGGTATGTGATACAAAAGTTCATATATGGGTGTTTTGTTCCATAGATATATATTCGCGAACGTATAATTTTGTTCATCCTCATAAATATAACATTTTCAACATGATAGAGTTTTGAGGCCAGACGACATTTCTTCAATGACGAGACAGAAGGGTATTTTAAAACACAGGATAGGAAAGGACCAGTTAAGAATCCAATTTCAGGTTAGTGCAGGTTCGTACAATTACAGGCTTGGTAGTTTTATGTATGTCAATTCTTTTGTCAGGGGAAGGGGAGTTTTGGGATATCATGCTAGCTCAGGCTTCCCAACCAGTTTTTCAAGGCAAACTAAAAAAACTGGCTCTTACCAACCCTGAAACCAAATCCAATTTGCCCTGGATTTGACCCTGAAGTGTCCAAACATAGCTGATTCACACATCCCAATCTTTAATTGAAATTGATACAAACATGATAACATTTATTAAAACATAATACATTTACTACACTTTCATCTTTTTATCTTTTTCAACAGATCCAACAATGATGGTGGACATGGCCAAAGGAAACATTACAAATGTTTTACCAATGATCCTCATTGGAGGCTGGATCAACTGGCATTACTCTGGTTTCATTACAAGTATGTTAACACTTCTCCTTTATTTAAACATTTGTTGCTGAAGCCAAGGGCACACTCCTGGGCAAAGAGACTTTCAGTAGACTAAATATATTGTCTAAGAACACATCAGAGCTCTATTTATTTATTTTTCATTTTTGAGAAGGGGAGAGAGAAGAACATGTCTGATTGTCTATTCATTTTTAAAACTAAAAATGCCTTGTAATGGTGTCATACTTTTATAATTTGTGGTAACCTCCAGCGTTGGGATTTGATTTATGATTCATTTAGTTGTAGGGGTAAAAAATTAAGAACAATCTGTTTTTTCCACCTTGCAGCAAAAGTGCCATTTCCACTAACATTGCGATTCAAAGCCATGTTACAGCGTGGCATTGATCTCACAACCTTGGATGCATCTTGGTAAGTTATCCATGATTAACAACTTACATGTATTTAGACCCAGTCAAGTATAATTCTCTAATCTGTGTATGCAATTGAACAGTATCATGCCACTTCTTGTTAATTTGCTTTAATGTTTAGTTTTACCCTGATGTCTCAGTTAACCAACTAAAGTAAGTCCCATACTTTATTAACCAATCTTGTGTCCCACAAAAGTATTGCAATATTAAAAGGTTTTTCTTATGCTAGGTGCCTTAAACCAGCACTGACAAAAGAAACACATCTGGATTTTAATTGTTTTGTTTTGATTCCTCTATGCTTTCATTGAGCTCAGTTTGTGCAATTTTTGCCTGTATATTGAAATTAAGGAAACAAGGTACAATGTGCTTGCAAGAAAAAAATTCACTTGTCATACTCTTGCATTTTAGGGTTAGTTCTGTGTCCTGGTATTTCATCAACGTGTTTGGTCTCAGGAGCATGTATGCACTTGTACTGGGTCAAGATAATGGTTTGTCTTCTTTTTTTTAATTTCTTTTTCAATTTTACCAACAAGAGGTTAATTAAACTAACTTTGACAAGAGATGACCCTCTCACCCTCAGATCTCACAAGTAATTCGAGTTTATTGATACTGATGAAGTGCCTGATACAGTAGTTATATCTGATCTGAATGATATTTATACTGACTGGCCAATCATGGAATTACCCTTCCATTGTAAGTGATTTAGACTTGGTAATTGTATGTCACATTTACCATACTCTCAACATATGAAAGAGACCTCAAATTCGCTTTTGTGCGTCTCTTATCTTGAAATCTACTTTTAGCTGCAGACCAGACTCGTGTCATGCAGGAACAGATGCAGATGCAAATGCAGATGCCACAAGACCCAAGCAAGGCATTTAAGGTTGGAAATAACTACTCATTTATCATAAGTACAGTATTTTATCATCTTTAGTGATAGAACCACCTCCTATATGCAATTTATAATGGTAATAGGACTGAGTGGAGTCCAATTTGGTCTATAATCATACAAGTGATTGACAAAATTGGACAGCTGCAAAGCAGGAGTCTGATTTGTGAATCACAAGTATGATTACAGACCTAGTAATATACATGGAAAAATTCCTTGGTTCTGATTGGTTAAGATAAATGCAGTTTTCAGGTAATTCAGTGCAAAAGAGAGTTAATTCAGTGCAGAAGAGGGTTAATTCAGTGCAAAGAAACTCACAGATAGCCAATCAAATGCGAGCCTTGGATGTCGCCACAAAATTTGAAAATTTGAAAAATTGCAAGTGAAACAATGGCCGGCGTTTTAAGTAGGTTTTCTTTTGCCATCGCAGCTGAAAAACAGCTCAAACAACAAAAACACTGTAAAAAGCATTGCTTTTTGGTTGTTGGTTTGGAAAAAGTGGTGTTTAGAGAAGGGAATTGCCAAGGAAATTAAAAATTACGAGCCAACCCAGCTTAACACTTTGCTCGAGCAATCACATGCCAAAATTAAAAACAAACATGGTTAAACCTTGGAAACGACGATTCCACTTCATCGAAAGTGATTCGGAGACAGACTGTCCAATTCCAACTGTTTAACTTTGTCCAATTACCCTTAAGATGTGAAGATATCAACTTATTATTGTTTTGACAGAGTTGATTTGACCGAGTTTGAAAAATATTTTTGCAAGCAGCTGATGCACTTTTAATCACATTTTTCCATGAATTTATAATGGTTATGATTTTTCTCGGGGAATAAACACATTTACAAGTATGTTGGCTGAAATTTACTTGGTTATTTATTCAAACACAAGACTAAAAATTGATAAATGGGTTAAATTAATCATAACCATAACAATTTCGGAATAAAAAATCTAAAGAAAACATCTGGTGGTTGTCTAAAACAAAAATTTGGAAATTTCCCAGGGGGTAAGGGTTGTTACAGGATAATTTGGTTTTATCAAGCTGGGGCTGCTTCAACTGTCTGATTAAGGTGTCCAATTGCCACTAGAAAGAGTTTCTTAGAGCTAATCAGAGCTTATCCACTCCACTTGGATTCATCCTAATCAAGGGCTAACAGTCAAAACGTAAGCCCCAGAATCTTTCTATGGTGGCCAATCCCTATCAAAGAGTCTAGATTTAAACCTGGATGCATCATTTTGGTTTTTTTGTTTTATTATTTTCAAGTTATACTTTATTTTGTTGGGAGTGAAGTACTGTTTATTGATAAATAACTTGGTTCTGTTTGTTTCTTCACAGGCTGAGTGGGAGGCCTTGGAGATTGTCCAACATGAATGGTCATTAGACAAAGTTGAGGAAGAGATGATGGAAGACTTCTCACCAACAGACATTATGGACGACATTGCTAAAGACAAATATGTTTGATAGACATCTAAATTATAACCCCCTGATGTAAAAATCCTGATGCTTATGCCCTTGAAAAAGTGATGAGGCTTTGACCTGTGCCCTGTGGGGCAAAACCTGTCTACTTGTGGTCCAAGTCAAACAAAGTTATGTTCAATGTGGTAGGAAATTCTGTAAACTTAAAAATGGTTAATCTTCTAAAAACTCCAAGGAACCCAGGCCCTTTGACGAAAAAGCTGCCAAAGATGAGAAAACGGTCGTAGTGGGGTGGAAGGGCTAGCATATGAAGGTGGTTGAGTTGATGGGAAGTTTTCTTACATTTCTCAGTTAGTAAGTGCACAGTTAGTAAGTGCACTGTCATAGGGTAATTTAGTGGGTTTTATTTACTGTATGGTGGGCAAAATTCAAAAGTTTGTCTGATTTGAAATCTTCCCCCTCTACTTTAACCCAGAGTTAGAATAAATATCTTACTATCCTCGTTTTCTCGGTCTACACTGTAACTTACGAAACGTTGCGCTTGGGCCTTAAATCGTAGCGGAAAATACTCGATCCATAACTTACAGTACGGGCCTCGAACTCGATCCGTAAGAGGTCTGCATTCCTCCCTTAACGTTAAACAACTAAGCCCTTGGAATAAAGCAACTGTTAATAAATAAACTTATTTAATGATTACTTTATTGCAACTCAGTCTTTTTCGTTTTTCTTTTTGAACTCTAATTATTCTTTCCTAGTACTCTGTTTAATTAAGTACAGCGTGAGACAAGTGAAAAGAAATTGAGGAGACTTTTCCAATTCTTTCCATTCTTCCTGTCCGTCATCCCCTTTACTGCATGCTTCCATGGCTCTTCCACTTATACCTCCTACCCCTAAAGAAAATTAAAGGTATGACCTGGAAATCGATCGGATTTCACATTTTCTTGAATATCAATGGACTCGGAAAAGCTCCAAGGACGAGGAGGCAACATTATCTGAAGTTATTGCCTCTTTTTCCAAGAGTTACATACGTTAAGTATTAAACAATAGTTTTCCTATTCGCCCTGACAAAAGGTTACCGCTTGAAATACCATTTTTTTAGCTGACTGTATTTCTCAGTCGATAAACCAAATTATCTCGTTACTAGATTTAATACACTTGGGAAAGAATTAAAGTACTGGCGGTGATAACCTTATCTATAGGACATAGATTTTGTGAACTAACACCCGATTGACACCAAAGCTAAGACAATTGTGTTGGCTGATTTCTTTTCTTCAAACACGGTTTGAATTAAATTTTTTCCGAATAAAACTGGTGATTTTTACTTCAAATTTAGCGCAATGAAAAGGAAAGTTATTGATAGCTTGAACCCTATGAAAATTTAATTTTTCAGTTTTCTGTTGCAGATTGTTATTTAATTAAACCTCGTTTGCCTAAACCTAATTTGCTTGTTTGAATGGGGCATAATGTTATTTTCGACGTAAGAGGGAAAAATCAAGTAGGTAAGGCGAAGGTAGTGGAGACAGTTCTTTCATGAAAAAATTTTAGCGGGCGCCAACATCAACTTCCTCTTGCAGCCACCTCGTTACCAGTGTCCGTCTTCTTCCTCCATTCTCACTCGCTCCAGGCTCCAGTTTGGGCCACTCCCTAGGTTAAGGTAAACATTCTCCAGCGCTTTATCGTCTCTTTTCATTTTCCTCAGGGAACTTCAGTAACCAAGACAAGACGAAAGAAACAGTTTCACCAAAAAAGTACAGTTCCATCCTTAAAAACTTTCACACGACTTACTCAATATAAGTACCTTTCGGGTGGACTCTCCCAGCGTTGAATGGAATAAATGCCTATTCCAGAGAGAGAATCGTCGTGAATTAGCGTACTTCACAGAACGTCACTATAGAGAATGTACATGGAAATTGACGACAGAAGTGAGAGTCTGGTGCACGTGCGGAGTTGTTGTTTCACCTCTCAGAACCAACAACCTTTCTTCCTTTCGTCCTACTGTCGTTTTGTGGTAGTTAAGAGGCGCACAGGGAGGCGGGAAGCTGATTACAATTTAAACATTTCAAAATTAAGAAACTTATGGAGACAAAAATAATTTCTTCCCGGTAAAATTGATCAAAAAACCTCCCGAGAATCCATAAAGAAGGTTGGACAGAAAATAATAACAGCATCGACAAAAGACTAATGTGAATAAGTGAGACATATCGTTCTGATTTCGCACAGCAGAATATCCTATTCCGGAAGCTTTCGTTCGATATAATTCGAACGGTTTTGCATGTGTACGCCTCTTTCCGATTGCGGACCTTTCTGTCGGTTTTCGAAAGCTTTCGTCCGATTTCAGACGCCCTCGTCTGTTTTCGGACACTTTCGTCCGATTTTGGACACTTCCGACGGATTTTTGTCGACTCTAGCTGGTTAGGAACCTTTTTCTCATTTCGGACATTTTCATCAGAAGAGAGTTTTTTGACTAAATGGTATCTGATAACAAGATCGCAAAATGTGCTTCCTTCGTCTGCTCCGAGGTTGTTTAATCCCTTCGTAAAACTCGCAGCATTATTGTTAGAAGACAAAGACTGGATCTTTACGACTTCATATCTTGTAAATAAGCAGATAAGAGTAATAATGAGCATCACTGAGAATGAATCTTCCGTCATCGCCGTCGAATGGATTGAGAACCGGTCCCCTTCGATTTTTAACGCCGTTAAAATCGAAGGACAAGATACTCGTAAGAACCTTATACCGTCCATCTTCATCAATTGGTAAGGAAATTCGCCTTCTTTCTCATTGATCCATGGCGCAGGCGTAGTTTCGGAATAACATTGTGTCCATTTAGGAAGGGGTGGGGGGGAGCTTCATTTTTGCGCTTACAAGTTGTGATTGGGAGAGGGCAAATTTTCATAATTTCTTTCATTAAAAAAATTATGACGAAAAAATTCTCCTTGACATTTTTCTTAGGATGACGGTCGCTGCGGAGGCGAATTTCATTATATTTACTAATAAGCATTTTTCGTCTTCCGTCAACAAGAAACAGCTCACATTTCTTCAAGTTCCTGTTTTGACCTAACGAAAGCTTTCAGAACACCCTCTTCACCCTCCAAAGCCACAATGCTCGTTCTCAAAAACAAAAATTTACCCTATCTTTCTGAATAAAACCTCTCCGAAGCCCTAGTTGTGAACAATTTACTGTGAACAGCGCTTTTTATTTCTAACATGGTTGAATCACTCTAAACTGTACCTAATCTTTCACTCGTTACTGCGTTAATTTCGTAACATCCCAAGCGCAGGTTCATCCACAAGTTATACAGCTTCGAGTTGATTGTAAACTTGATAACTCGTATTGCGACCAACTAACAGATAGAGGAGGCTCGAACATAAGTTTGGAGTTACGCCTTCACAGATTATTCAAGTTTTACGAGTTCAACATATAGTGTCACGCCGCGTCCTTCTTGGTCTGCTAGTAGTGTCCACAACAGTACCACTGAGTGAGACGCATTATGAGGCCATGGACTTTGCTTTATGGCGCAGCATTGGTAAGGAAACCCTGATCAAGAGCAACATCATCAACTGGATCGCATGCAAAGAAGGCACTAGCTGGTAGTATAGTAAATCAGAAGAAGGGGTCACTCTCTTGAAAACTGGTGAAACAGGTTTAGTGCAGGTTTAGTGTATAGGGTCGAACTCAGTAGCGTCAGATAGTAGTGGAATGTATGTGTATCATCAATTCCAGCTGTCTTTATATTTACTTTGATGGCGACATAGGTGGAGGTTGGCCAACACATGACCCTTGTGGTAAAAATCAAGCAAATCATTTCAAAAGGTGTGGCGAACCCGCACGGAAATATTTTCATTCGGTAAACTGAACTGCAGAGGTCTATACGCGGAATAAAAAGTGTTTTGTTTAAGGCATGTAATCTCCTTGCTATAAGAGCAATAGTTTTGATCAAGTCATAGGAAGGTATCGCCCCATTGTAAGTAGTTCGCTCTTTAATGAAAGCGAGTTCGCCTTCAGGTCATACAACATGATTCCTTTTCTGCCGAAAAAATATAAGAGGTGTTATGATCTCTTGGTTTGAAAGTGGCCATTTTTTACCACCTGGGGGTGGGGGTGAGGGTAGGAACATTTTTTTTTGTGTAACAATACAATTCACCTGATCCCTCTAAGGCTCCCCAACATCCTTATGCCCCCCCCCCCCCTCATTGGCAATCAATTTTCTTTAGTTCCCCCTTTATACTCTGTTGGAGACGACTGATCCCCACTCCCTTCCCCTGAAAATCCTGTGATCCCTCAAAAACCCTTCGAAACTCCCCACTCCCCCCCCCTATCTATAAATAAATATAATTAGCTCGTTCCTTAGTATTGTGAAGAGAAACTCTTTTTTAATCGATCTTCTCTGATATAAGTGACCTGAAAGGCTCAAAACTCAGTTAGTGCCTATACGTACTTAAAAATATGACATGAAAATGATGTTTTCTACTTTAAATGGAGTTGGTTCAAAAACTGTCGGAGCCCAGTCTCTCTCTCTCTCTCTCTCTCTCTCTCTCTCTCTCTCTCTCTCTCTCTCTCTCTCTCTCTCTCTCTCTCTCACTCTCTCTTGGGCAAAGGCTCTCTGAGTGCAGGTGCCGCTAGCGTCCCTCAGGTACGGTGGTCCACAACTGTCACGGAAATAACAAATACCTCACGGCACAACCAAAAAGCTCATGGCAAAACCAAAAGACTCACTGATCTGCAGGCGTGTGACACAGGCATAATGCATATGAGTTGGCAGTTATCCTGATGCTTCTTACCAAGTGTATGTTAGCTCCATCGAACCCAATCCACTGTCGCCCCCATACGTTATGTAATCCACAATAGACTCACAATTTAAATTCCACTCACTTTTAATCGCAAAGAATCCATATAGTAACTCTGGCCGCGGCAAACGATAAGTCCCTAGTTTCATAGTAGTAAAACAGCATCTACGGCCTAAGATTACAGTATCAATTTTCTCCTGAAATTCTAAAAAGGACCCATCAAACATCGGTTAATTAATGGATGATAACACCTCATTTTTCACGACACCACCATGGCAGGGTGGATTTTAATGGTTGCAGAGAGTTACATATTTACATGTATTAACAATCAGCCACACTCCCTTCCCCCTCAGAGTTCTAACCCTTCCTCTCCCTCATCAATCTTTATATTTGTGTTGTAAAATAATTACAATAATATTGAACACAAATTTTCGTAATCTCTCTGAATATGAAATAATTATTCCGTGAGTCTTTTGGTTTTGCCGTGAGCTGTTTGGTTTTGCCGTGAGCTTTTTGGTTTTGCCGTGAGCGTTTTGGTTTTGCTGTGAGCTGTTTGGTTTTGTCGTGAGCATTTTGGTGTTACCGTGAGCATTTTGGTTTTGTCGTGAGCATTTTGGTTTTGCAGTGAGCATTTTGGTTTTGCCATGAGAATTTTGGTTTTGCAGTGAGCATTTTGTTTCTGCCGTGAGCATTTTGGTTTTGCCGTGAGCATTTTGGTTTTATTGCCGTGAGTCTATTGGTTTGATGAGGCTCAATCTAGCAAATTTGTGCCAATTTAACTCCTGACAGTTTGGTTTTTTTTATGGTGTATAAATAAAATATTTATCTTGTTGGTGCTTAGTGGGGCCGGAGCATAAAATACTTAACGGAGAACTGAGGCCTAACTCGAAAGGTAATAAATATCTTTTGTTGCTCTTATAATTTTCTTATTTAAACTGATGTCAGTAGAGTTATTTTACTGCCTTGCCAAAGAAAGAGACCCCTTTTTAAGACTCCATATGTTTAAAATTTTAATTTACGGCTAAACCGAAGGTAAGAGAAGACAGCCGGTTTGACATTCTCCGTGCAAGCCGTTACGCTAACAATACCGCCTATTTTGGCTGAGAACGGATCCAACACATTGCCAAAACGTTTGGGAAGTAGTCCTGTGCAAAAACTGAAAAAAAACTTGGCGATATTTGGTTGTATGACGAGCTACTGTTATTTCAACTTTTGTTAATTTATTTTTTTGCCTCAAGAAACTAATAATTCAAGAGCTTGCTAAGGTTTAATTTGAAATCCTGACACGAATTCTACGGGGAGTTGAAATTAAAGATGAGGGCGGTCTTGACTTTGTTTAAATTTAGTTTGAATATCATTTTCGATGTCTGGTTAGCGCCGAAGACAGACTTATTAATCTTCTCATTCTCACATGACTCAACCTGTTCTATGAAACTCAGTTAGCGCTCATTCTTTATAATAGCGTACATTTTGCTCAGGGCATGCATCACAGTTCCTTTGAATAATCATTTGAATGATGAAATTGATTTTCTCTTAGACACTCCTGCTCTTCTCGTGAATAATACGACGTATTTTATATTTAACGTGCTTAGACATTAAACCATATATAATAGGGAAACTACGTCTTTCAGCAGAAACACTACCCACAGAAAATTTGTAGTAGACGATAGGAAAAAAATTATTTCAACTTCCGGCTACAGTGCGCGCTGTGAAAAAAGTGTTTGCCCAACATGGCATTTTAGTTTTAGAAATTTTCTGGGTGGAACTTGAAAATAAAATTTTCATAATCAGTTATGTAATTGAAATTTTCAACTTCAAAAATTTATTTGGGGTCGTGAGGAAATAGTGACACTCTTTTTGCTAGCTCAACCTGGTTCATCATGGACCCGCGATTTTTCACTTGGAGTGTTTCTTACGCCCCACTAAAAAAATAATGATAATAATAAAATAAAATTTAAAAATAGAGCAATAGTATCAAAAATGGAAAAAAAATGCAATTTTTTGTATTTGACATGATTGCCACACCCACGCAGTATGTTTTTCGAGACAGGCTAATAGGTTATGAAAGTAACTTTTCCACGCAGGTGCTTTTAACAAATTAAAATTTCACAACTTTTGAGCTCTCAAATTTCGAGTGTCGCGGTACTGATCCAGCCGGTAGCTGCTTGAAGGAAGCCTTTTTTTCTTTATGAAGAGTCGATCGATTTCCGTGCGGGAATGGAAACGAAAATAAATTAAATCGTAACACGCGTTAAATAAATAATAAATATTTCTTAGCTCGTTTTCACTGCGCGTTCGCTCGATTCCTTCTGATGCATGTTATAATGGTAATTGAACTGAATGGAGCGCAATTTGGGCTGAAATCATATGTGTGATTTCAAAATTGAACGAGTGCGCAGCGCTAGTTCGATTTGAAATCACAAGTCTGATTTCAGACCAAAATTGCACGACACGAGGTTCAATTACCACTTTATTACATCCATTTTGAAATCGCTCAAATACAGGACTTGGTCAGTTAAAATATTTTATTGATGCAGTACTAAGCTGGTTTTAAATAATATACATCCATTTTTTTGGGTCAAAAAAAAAAAACAGTTTTGGAAACAAAAGAAGCAAAATTTGCTACATGATACTCTTTGGCTCACATTTTACTGCAATTTGATTGGTTACTTTAAATAAGCCTTGAAATCTGATTGGTTGATTTGTTTTTAGTGTAGCCTCCTCATTGGCTTGGAAAAAGATGCGATTTAAAGCAAAAAATGGTGCGATTCGTGAATAAATCGCACCGATTAGAGCCAATCAGATCACAGGGACCACCAGTGATTTCAAAATGGGTGTAATAAAGTCAATTTTTTTGGCCAGAACATCGCTATGGTTACAGCACTGCACATTTAATCACACAAGTCACTTAGCGGGAGCTTTTAATCACCTCAATAAACTCGCTTAGTGTCGTGTTTCTTACTTGTTGTTTTACGTCTATCTGCAATTAATTTGCTTTTAACTGGAATGATTGTTAGTTCAGTTTGACGCTTCCTTCGTCCCTGTTCCAAAGGTACCAAATTTGAATCGCACTCTGCACAAAAGAGTTGTTAGGAAATGAAGTCAGTTTTGTAAGATGAAAACACAAAAAGCCACAAGGTGTCTGACCGTATATAGTCAACAGCTAGTGCCACGGTCAGTGCCACGCAGTCAGTATTGCATATGCGTATTTACCCAGCTGGCTCCCTCTTTGTCCTTGAATTGAATTAGCATTTAACAGTTTTTCTTAGCTCCCCACAATTCATCAGATAAGAGGGATAGCGTTATATTAAATGGAAATTGAAGAACTGTCAGTATAAAACTGTCAGTATAAAACTGAAAACAAAAATGAATTAAAAATAATAAGAAAATCAAAATCGAAGTAAAACCCGCTGGTTTAAAAATTCTCCACTGTCATAAATCTCTTGTTTTGACGTCTTTGATATCGTTTCTAAGAAAAGAAGCTATATAATTTTAGGTTTCGCTGATATTTGGATAACAGACATCAATTATTCATCCGAGACATCGCGCAGTCTGTCAACGTCTGTCATCTTCCGTTCTTTCGCCTGTCACGAACTTGAAAGCTGTCGACAAAAGATAACCTAGTTCTTCTTTTTAACATACACAAACAGCTGCTGGCTAGAAAGTATTCCAGTTCTCAACGCTAACTAGCTGCTTCGTTAAGCTCGTGAATTGCCCGGAGGTCTCGTTATGGAAGCAGGTAGTGACGGATTTCAATAATTTGCCGGCGGGAATTACTTATTTTCTTCACCTAAAAAACAAATGTTACAGAGATTAACTTGGTGGGGTACTTTTCGCTATGTTGTTTACTGTCAAAATCAGAGTCGAATAAGTTGAAATTTGAGAATTTCTTGCTACTCTTAAAAATTGGTACGATTGTTTGAGTGAATTAATCTTTTCACAAGTTTAAGGAAATGTATTGTTAGAAGAGGACAAAAGTTTTTTTGTCAGTAAAGTTATCAAGTCTAGGGTGTAATTTTGGTACGATTGGTACGATATCTGGCTTTAGCCGATCGATATTTTAAATTGTGTGGATTTATTACCTCCTTTACCGGCTGTTAGGTGAAAATCGATGGTGGATAAATTAGTCTTAATCAGTCTGAAGTGGTGCGTTGATGGAAAAAGCTTTCAGACGCGAAGTTGAGCCTTCGATGCTGACACCTTGTGGTCATTCACTGAGCTAAGATGGCGGAAAAGTTCCTCGTTTTGTTTTGTTCAGTTTACGGCCTAATACTACTCTTTAGCGTTACGGTTAGCGGATTAAAGCCGACGAAGGATATGTAAGTGATTCAAATTTGTTTTGTGGTCCATATTCTCGTTTTTCTTCTTGTCTGTGGTTTAGTATACCTCAAAGATCTCAACTTGCGGCAAATTGTTTTCAAAAATTTTGACACACCAGGGTACGTGAATGGGCTAATCGCCTTGGAACTAACGGGTCTAGCTTTATGGACGGGAACGCCGGAGTAAAAAGTTTAACTCAGGTATTAGAGAGACTCAAATTTCATCGTTTTGTGTCAGTGTTTGTGGTGATCAGGGACTATTAGTATTATATTCAAGTTTGTTGAATCTTTAGGCTTACGAAAACTTTACGTACGCGACGACAGAAAAGATAAATGGGAATGATGTCCTTAAGAAAATGAAGAAAGAGATGGAGGTTTTCTTCAGAAATAAATCGTCTTCATTGAAGGTATGAACTGAAATCTTGGTGTGGTCGGTGCAGATTTAAAAAGAGAAAAAAAGCATTTTTGGAAATTATATCCGTCGCGCAATGTTTACAGCAGTTTCACCAGAACCAGAGATCAGGAAATGGATTTGACAAGTCCAAATAATGACAAGTGCGTTCGTAATTTTAAAGCGTGATATATCTTTTTTCTTGGCAAAATTCATGCCGGGTTTAATAACCTATAAACCTGTGTTAGTGATTTGGTTTTGATCTAATATTTATGAAGCATCCAGTGAACCTTTATTTTCTTCAGAAACCGCGCGGCCTGATAATTATTCACGGCAGCTGGAAAGTTTTTCCATATGTTTACCACCGTGCTTTTCTTTTGTATCTACATGAGCAATTTGCGAAAAAACAATCGATGAATTTGTATCCAACAATTTTGTTTGTAAATCCTGCCAACAGCTATAATTTTCCAGGATATTTAAATGTACATATTATTTTTTCTTTTTAATTTTCCTTTTGCAAGCTTGACATAGATTATTTGCAGCTCGACGGTGTTATAAAAATTTTGTTGATTTTTCATACAGCGAGCTTAGTAGAAACTTTTTTTGACTTCAATATCTTCTATTCTTTCTTGATCGGTGCATCTGAATTTCTCTCTTAGTTTTCGTTACTGAAATTATACTCAGTCTAGTCTATGCTTACCCTAAGGGCAAACATTTAAAACTCTGTCTGCTACGGAGATGCACCGGGATAAATTATTGAATGTTCTCTGCTATTACGCAAATATTTGTCGTGATATCGAATTCAACTTTCAAAGATATAGATCACATAAATTTTGATCGACCCAATAAAATTTGTGACTCAACACAAATAAGTATAACTACTGATAAAAAAGAAAAGAAAATGAATTTAATGATGTGATTTCTTGTCCATTAGCAACCGGCGCAGCATGGAACGATTTCTTAAATTTACTCGAAAAATTATGTTTGTTCAAGCATCTCATTTTTCTGGATACGATTTCAGGTGATAAGGATGTTATTAGACAAAAAATTATAAATTCATGAAATTATGCATGGTGCCTGAAAATGTAAATTTTAATTATTTTTTAAAATTTTAAGTATTAATAATTTATGATCATTGTGCTGAAAGGAATTACTCTGCAAACATGGTTAATCCTTAGATAGTGAAAAAGCTTAGGGTGCTTTCATTGAAAAAAAGAAAAAGTAAAATTTACCGGTGGAAGTTAAAAAGATGATTCTAGTTGGTTGATGGCAAACCCTCAGCTGATCACAAATAAAAAGTTATGATTTGCTCAAATAAATATATGAATGAATGAGGGAATGAAACAATAAATAGATGAACGAAAGAATGATTGAATGATGATTGACCAACTAATTATTTTTCTGAGGGATTTTTTAGATGGATGACTATCATAGATGACTGAATTTCAATGTATAGAGCAAGTTATTATAAATTACGAATTCTTGCAAAATTATAATGATCATAAAATTAGAATTTTTGTATTTTCATGTACTAACTAAACTCAATTGGGAAACCTGTAGAATTTGAAACCATACAAAATAACCTGAATTTCCATCTTAGTTGGTGGGGAGAGGGGATCGAGTTTTTCCAAGCTTTGATAACTCTTTCTGTTATAGTTATGCTAAATTTTGATTGTTGGAATTACTGAATGATGTGATTAAAGTTTATTCATTTTGGTCTATTTGGTAGAAATTGGTGAAAAAGGCAGAAGAAGCTTATTGCAAATACAAGTATGATAAAAATTTGAAGGTATGATTTAATGCACCAGCCAGTATGGCTGTTCCTGAGTAGCTCCAACTTCATGATCTGACTGATGATTCTCCCTTCTTCCCTCCACACAGTTTCTGTATGTTAGATAGGAGAATTAGGAGCTCCACCAATAAAACATCATATAGTGGATAGTTTTCTAACTTCTCATCACTATCCATTAGAAAATGTACGCAATGACTTTGTAAGGAGGGGTCAAATGTTAAACACCCCTAGTGACTGTGTTCAAAGACTGTCTGTATTTATTCCTGAGTTGATCACTTAGAAGTGTAAAATTAAATTAATTTTTAAGACCCCCCCCCCAAAAAAAAAAAAACAAAACAAAACAAAACAAAACAAAAAGAGCAATCACAAAAAACAACAGCAACAATAATTCTTAGACTTAACTTTCTACATCCTAAGATCAGTACGTATATTCTCCTTAATGTTCTCCAAACATTTCCCTTGGTAGTGATGAGGAGAATTTTTTGAACAATCCTAAGCATTTTCTGTTGGAGATCCCCTCTCCTTTATACTTGTGACTTTGATGTTTGATTTAGAAGTGATACTGTTATGGGAATTTATTTAAATGCTAGTCACTCTTAGGGATGGAAGGGTTAATAATTTTATTTTGTGTTCATTTTAAGATTAGTGAAATAGACTATCCAAATTCCAAGGATTTGGATAAATATTTAAACAAGAGTGGCATTAAACTGGAGTACAACTCTACCTTTAGAAGTGAGATCAGCTTCAACAGGAGTGTAATACATGTCCCAACAGATGTTTTTGATGGAGGTATGTTTCACTTTGTGAGTCCTATTGGGTTCCAGTTTCATTTCAGTTGCATGCAAACTCTGAGGTTCCCAACCAAACTCTCAAACAAAATTTTTTAATGCTGCTGTTAATCATTATTGCAACAGCCACCTCAAAGCAGAAATATCTAAAGCAAACTAATTTAACCCTTAAACCTTCTGAAACACTGACATGTTTCTTGAAAGGTCTAGGACATGAGTAATGGAAGGTTTAAACCCAAATACACTCTAACATCAGTATACATATTCTTGGTACTGTTTTCTATTCATCTCTTGAGGTGTTGACAAGGAGAATTTGTTTAACAATCAAGAGCCTCTTAAATTGGTGATCACTGCCTTTATTCTCATGACCTCTACTTTTAATTCAAGGGTGGCACTGCAAGGAGATATTAGAATTAGCCAATCACTCTCAAGATTTAAGGGTTATTAACCCTTTAACTCCCAAGATCTCATTTATAATTCTCCTTACTGTCTGCCACATAGTTCTTGTGATGTTAGTTTTGAGAATTTGATATTGGATCAACCAATAATCCCCTAATTAATATTTTTCTTTATTCTCATCACTTGTCTGCTTGATATTGTATTGATATTGTAAGGAGAAATTCTATCTTGGTCACACATGGGAGTTAAAGGGTTAAGTCACCCCTTGCAAGTTTGAACATCTATTTGATCTGTGGAATTTACTTTTATGTCCACATTTTGCAGCTTCAAAGATTGTTAATGGAATAGAGTGGACATCCGCTCTAGAAAGCGTTTTTGAAGGAAACCGACACGAAGATCCCAGCTTATCTTGGCAGTACTTTGGATCAGATGAAGGATTTATGCGAACTTACCCAGGTATGAATTTTCATTGGAACACCAAGTTGTCATGATAAAATTTTAATGAGGCAAGAGTCGTGATCTTGGAATGTGAATGCTAAGTGGTTATATGTAAAAATAAAATATGGCTGGTGTTTGTTTGACAATATATATTTTTTATTATTATTCACTCAAAGCTCGTCACTGGGACATCACCAATGAAAATAATGTGGATTTATTTGATGCCAGAAAAAGGCCATGGTAAGACTGACTTGCCTAAACACTTTGCATGACAGCTACTTCAAAACACAACTCACAAAAAATCATAACCTGTTGTTGTCTAGGACAGAAATAAATAATTACAGTAAAACTAGCTATAGATAACAAGTTTAGAGCATTGGGTGCTATTAAGACAATAAACAACAATGTGACAGAAAAATGGAAATAGGACAATAAGAATGTACATGTACCTGGCATTATGGATACATGGACTGAAAAAGGCTAGAAGCCTGGTTGATGTGAAGATAATCTGCCATCATTAGAGGGCTACCACTAAGGAACTCAGTGAATGAAGTGCTGAAACATTGTTCCAACAAGTCGTGCACATGCAATGTTTTGATGGCAGCAAGAGAAATTAATGATACTGAAATCAATTCAAATCAAGAGGGGAAAGAAATATTAATAGTTTTTTATTTTTATTTTTAAGTTTATGTGGTTCAGAAATTTTAGTGTGTGACTTGGTTATTCTTTTTCTGATTTTTTGATTGATGTCCAGTCATTTTTAATTATTGCATGACAAGTAAGTTATTGAACACAAAGATCTGCTTTTTTTAAAATTTATTTAATAGGTACATTCAGGGAGCAACATCTCCCAAAAACATCATCATTCTTATTGATGCAAGTGGAAGCATGCATGGAGTCCCGATGAGAATAGCAAAGTTATCTGCACAGAACCTTATTGACACCTTTGGGGATAATGATTTTTTCAATGTTGTTTATGTGAGTGTGTTATTATGGGCATAATTGATTGCCCTGCTTTTGGAAGTTCACATTGGCATTGCCAGTAAAGAAACGTGTTGTTGATACCATAACAAAATTGTGTCACTAATCTCAGTTGTGATTGGCTATTATGTGTATGCATCTAATCCTTTTTTGTAGTTGTTGTTTTTTTTGTGTTGTACCTAAAGACAATAGTCCATTTTACAGTTGTATGCTTGGCTGCCAAGCCTTTGAACAGTAGTGAGGCTAAGGGTGACCTTGTTATGATACAAACATTATTATGCTAACTAGATACTGGTCTCTATGACAACAAGGTCAACTTTAGCCTCACTGCAAATAAAATGCTTGGCAACTAAGTACACATCTGTAAAATTACCTTTTGTTAAATAGTTTTTAGTGGCACTCGCAGAGCGTAGCCCCATAATTATACAAAATAGTAGTAACCCATCAAGCCGAAAAAATTTGGATGTACGACCATACGACTGTACGACTGTATGACTGCACAACTATACAAGGTGCTACTTTTAACATGTACCATGGGCAAGCCAATGCCACAGCTTTGTTCAGTAGTCCAGTGGTCAGTGCACTGGGCTCTGAGTCAGATGACCTGGGTTCTAGTCCTGGTCGGGGCAAGGCGTTGTGCCCTTGAGACGTGCAGGAAAAGAAAAGTGTGAGCTCCGCTTTTAGGCTTGGCTAAATCTATATATTATTCACATTAAAATTAATGAAACATAATTATATTTATAAAAAAGGTGTCCAGCAAGCATTGACATAAATTTTTGGTTTCTTTTCCCTATCCTTTGCTCTGGTAGGGAAGACAATCCTCAGCCTAAATTCAAATTTTCCTCATCAGTTCAACTGTTCAAAAATTGTTAACTTTAGGTAACTTTGAAACATATGATTTTTGCATTTAAATTTCAACTGTAATGTTCTTCACTTGTTTAATTTGTTCCTTTGCTAGTTCAACGTTGAGGCGACAGTACTTTGTTGTGAAAAAGAGGGCCCCATACTGCTTCAAGCTACAAAGAAAAATAAAATTGTAGGTTTAATTTCTTAAAAAGAAGTTTGCTATCTTAAGTTGTATGCAAAGAAAAATTATGAACTTTCCAATTGTTCTTAACAATTTTTATTTAGCCAGGGAAGATTTATGTCATGTTATAAGAAAAATGAATGTAAAACATACCATTTTTCACCAGAAGGCAAATCTATTTTGAGACTTGTATTGAAACAAGATCAGACTTCAATCACATGCAGTTCTACCACATAGAGTTCAACAATGCTTTAGTCTTTTTTCATAGTATCATAGCAACAAATTTTGAAAATGACTCTGCAATCTGTTTGTTCTGCATGGCTCTCTTGTGGTTGTGATTTTATCATAGAAATGCAGAGCAGAGCATTGAACACGAGACTCACATAAATTAATTTAATCTTATGCTCTAAGCGATTATTCTTATGCATTTAAGGTTTCTGATGAAACTGTTGATTTTGAGAAAGCAAGCTGCAGCTGGACTAATGAGATTAGTTATCATACAAAATTATTTCCTAATCACCTGGATTTAATTGACTCCTTGTTCCCTTTGTGCTCACTTTAAACACTTGTCCACAGTGGAAATTTTCCTGCCACATATATCTAGCTATCTCCACATGTTGACTACAGACTGGTAATGTGGACTCTCTCCACACAAGCTCAGAATATATATTTTATATATATATATATATTTTTTTTTTTTTTCAGTTTGTCAAAGAAGAATTGAAGAAAATAGCAGATAAGGATGTTGCTGTGTGGGAAAAAGGCATGGAAAAAGCTTTTGATCTTTTGAAAAAGGTGAATGATACAGAAGACTTACACCTGTACATGATAGGTAATATCATACATTGGTAAAGCAGAGGAGGGGATTATGTTGGACTAAGAGAAATAAGACATGGTTGAAGTCTCTTGGGGGGAGTGGCCTCGGAATCTGCTGATTAAACTTTTTCTTGGTTTCTGTGGTTTCTGGAGCAACCAAGGCACAGTTGTTTGAACAGCAATCAGCGGCAACCCAGGGTTAAATTTTAAACCACACTTCTGTTTTCCTTTGTTCAAAAGCTTTTTTGAATAATTCTCTTTAATTTTTTTAGAGCATCCAATAATCCAATTGGAGATAAACATCTGCTGACAGTGCAACCCATGTCAATAGTTTGCTTTACCCTTTAACTGACCAGAAGTGATTAACATTAAACTTCTCCCTATAATATCCATACATAATTCAGCAAACAGGTAATGAGAATATTCAAACTTATCATGTAGAAGCTGCTATTTTAATCTTGCACCAAGTTCTCTTAACTAATTTGCAAGGAATGTGTAGCAGCCAGAGGGGAGAATTAACAATCAGATCTTGGGAGTTAAAGGGTTAATTGTCAGTTTTTCATTATATTCTTGATCTGGAATTTTTTTTGGAAAATATAGCCAGCATTGTAATCAAGGATAGCATTACTCATTTTTTCTGAAGCAGGAATCTTTAATCATAAATTCTGATATGCCAATTGCACACTTGTAACCAGTCTAGCTTGTTACAATATGGACCATTATCTGGAATTTTTCCACCTCATTCATGGAAAAACAGAACAAAAAGCAAACCAATAGGAAAAAAGTTATTTACTAGTCTATTTACTAGTGCCCTTGATCTTGAGTTTGGCCCTCAGCGGTTGACCTCAGGCACACTTTTTCCCACACTGACTGGAACCCCACTGGAAATAAAATGTATGTGATTTATATTTCAGGCAAACAACTTTGCAAAGTGCCAGGAGGCCATTATGGTTCTAAGTGATGGCACAACATCCAGTCTTCCTGACCTTTTTGCAGAGCTCAATCCAGACAAAAAGGTAGAGTTGTCAAGATTTGTTAACGGAAAGATTGATTTTAGTTATAGATTTTTTACTTGCCATGTTCTTCCTTATTAAGCATAACAGGTGAACGAATTCTTTAAAACTGGTGGAGCAATCCTTTTATTGGTTGAATTTTCAAGCATTCCAAACATTTTTAGGCGGCAATGTGAGGTACTGCAGGAAGTAAATTGTACTGGTTTCTCATTGAAAAGGAGAACGCAGTTATCTATACCTCACAAATTTTTTCTAAAATTAAGCAAGAAACTTACAGCAAAAGAAAATTTTAGAGATTGTTGGTCATCTCTCTAGAACAAAAGTGTTGCTGATCAGCAACAAAAATAACAAATACTACAACAATTTTTTGCCTGTACCCTGCATTATCAAATTTTGTGTAACTAATAGCAGCATCTAATAATAACGATCCCATAATTCTCCGCTAAATTTGCAACATTGAATAAATAATGTCATTGAAATTGCTGAACATGTCATAGCGGTTTATGATGTCGTGCAGGTTCGGGTGTTTACCTTTGCTGTTGGACCTTCTGCTGAAAGCACGGAAGCTTTGCGGAACATGGCTTGTAACAATAGAGGTAAATCGATCAGAATTTAATGACTGGTGGTGTGTGTGTTGATCTAAAAACTCCAGAATCCCCAACCCCCTTACATTGAAACTGTTGGGACGAGGAAAGCAAAGAATCAAAACCAGTCATATATATATATATAACTTACAAAGGATCTGTCATTAAGATTGTTTTTGTTTGTGAACGTCCGCTATTCTAAAAATGTTAGTGGTGTACCAACTTCCATTGCCTCTTTTGGTGTCTATAGTTTGAAGACATCAACCATTTTCCCTTGAAACATTTTGTGAGTTCTTCCAGATACATGAAGTTAGCTGGTGCCCATTTGTTCACCAGAGTGGAGAGACCTCGCCTTGTGAGTGTCTCTCCAGGAGACTGGATAGGCTCGTACCCAGGTCTTTCACTTAACAGTTCAATGTAATCATTATGCTTCTGATAACCTTAGCATTGCCAGGTAGTTAAGGGTTTTGAACTATACCTTTTTATTATTAGGTTACTTTACAAGGATTCAGAGTGTCGGAGCTGTACGTGAAGTTAGTGAGGTAAAGTGCACTTAACCAGGTGGGCTTGTTGACAACACAGAGTACAACCTAAGATTTAGTTTTAGACAATCAAGAATCCTAACAATTAGATTATACTGACTTTTCCTAGAGTTACATCCGCGTTTTGACCCGGCCGATGGCGATGGCTCCTGAAGCAAATACAACTGACCATACAGTATGGACAAGTGTATATTTAGATGCCTTGGTTAGTACTTAAAGTAACTTTGGTGATGCGAGAATCAGCGATTCATTCACTTACATGTTTTCGCTATTTCAACGGTTTTATGTGAAGCAAATAAAACATTGTTTTGGCGCTAATTAAGTGTTCCACCACCAGGGCCGGGTTGTTCAAAGCTAGGTTAAGATAATCCAGGGTTAGTGTGAAATCTGATTTCGGATCTCATAGCTTTAAAAGAAAGTTCAGTCGAATTATTTTTGTCTAGAATATGATCATTTGATGATCTGTAAAGAACACGGGAAACTATCCCAAAAAGGCATTTGAATAAATGAATAAAGAAATCCAGATTAAAATTTAACCTTGGGTTAGCACCTTCGAACAACTGGGCCCAGGAGACTATCAAATTTGGATATATAAGCAAGAGAATTTGTAAAAACTGTCTACAAAATGTGAATGAACAAATTGAATAAGTTAGAACGGCGATAAGCGAATCGAATCTGCGGTGCAAGTTGAGTTACGTTAAGACGTGTCGTTAAGGAAGCAGAGGTGCCCTTTGTTCCTTTGTGTTACATAAATTGGGATAGGCTCTCAAAAATTATTTGGATAAGTTTTAAATGCCATCTTTGTTCCCTTTTTTTTTTTAATAGGGACTTGGCATGATGGTTACAGGGACTCTACCGGTTTTCCACCGTAAAGAGAGCGCCATTAATTGCTCTGTAAGTTTCCGGTTTGATTTTGTTCGCGGAAAATCTGCACTGTCGTGTAATTCTAATAGTCCCCCAAACTGGACTGACTATTCCTGTTTCGCTGAAGAGACTCGGTTACTAGGGGGTGAAAATAATATCACTGATAACAATTTGACAATGATTTTTCAATCCTTTTGGCTTCCAAAGAGCACCAGTAGTACTTCACAGAAACACCATGGGTAGTATCTCCCTGCTGTTTGTACAATTAATAGTGGTTGGAGATGATGAGCCTACAATCCGCATCAAAATTAGTTGACACACCATCTTTGAAGAGTCACATTTATGTGTAGAATAACACTCCTGTTTTACCACACCCTAAGTCGTTACCACGACCCCCCCTCCCCCCCTTCAATAGTTTGAATTACGATACAACATTGTTTTGTTTTGGTTTTTTTTAGGGGGGGGTAGTAGGTTAACTTAACAAGAGAAAAAAAAATAAGACTGAAGTAAAAGGGGGTTGAAAAGATCAATGTGTCAACAATTTTGTCGCCGATTTTATTTGATTAAAACATAGTAGAAATAGGTCCTAGAGTCGTTTCTTTATTCCAACCGTATTATTATTCTTAAAATTTCAGCCTTTTAGCTGCAGTCGATAGCTGTTACAGTGGTTCTAAAACCAAACTCAAAATTTTCGTCTTAAAACTAAAGACCAAATTGGAAATCCTATCTAACATAGTGTCATTAAACATATTTTTGATGTGGATCAGGAGAAAGGTGGAATGGAAGCTGAAGAGAAGCGCGAAGATCATTTTCTTGGAGTTATGGGTGCGGATGTTCCACTAAAATACCTCAAAGACTTTATGTTACGACCATTGGTTAGTAATATTTTCATTTTTGATATCGATTCATGCGCTTTTAATTTAGAGCAGTTTTCAATTGAATGTCCAAAAACCAAAGTAGTCCCAGCGACCAATTAAAACAAAGTTTACATCATCATTAGCCAATGGGAACTCAAATTGAAAACAAGCAAACTGCTTGAAGCGCGGGAAAACGCATCATACCTTGACTAGTTTTGTATCTGATTGGTTGAGAGGATGGCTCGAGATTTCTGGACCAATCACAGAGCAAAGTTAAATTAAACCAAAGCAATCCCTGGATTACCTCAACACTCAGTTGACAATTGTTCTGAGGTAACAGATTGATTGATCGATGGATTGATCGATCGATCCGATGATTTTAGAGGTCTTTTCACAAAGCAAACATTTCATGCTGGCTATTAGAGGACTCAAGAAATGTAAATACTGGGCGTGAAGTAAACAAAGATTAAAGAACATGGTGGTTGTTAGAACAAACAAAAAATTCAGTGCCAGCACTTTTGCAAAACCAGGTGCAGTTTGAAGGATCTTGAGGATGCTTTCAAGGTAAAAAGAGCTGTCCTAAAAATAGTGTATATGCGAAATGTCTCATTTAGTGTTAACACTTCCATGTTCAATAACCAAGTTAATCATTTTCTTTTTAGGTGGGGCTCAGTGGATATATGTTCGCGGTCAACAACAATGGAATGATTATTTTTCATCCAAGATTGAAAACAGTGGTAAGCACGACTCATATAGAATTACATTGTGTTTGCTTTACCTAGCGCTGTAATTGGTTCAGGAAACTCGCGCCACAAAACCAATTGTATTTATTTGAAATCTCATCGGCTCCATGTGATTTTGATCTTCGTTCTGATTGGCTGGTTTGAATATGTTTGTTTTCTTTACAAGTCAGCCAATCGAGATGCTTTCTAACTTTGCATTGTATTGCATCCTCGTTGCTTTGTTTTGCAGTATGGCTACTTACAAGACCCGCCAGGGGTCGATCTTGTAGACGTGGAAACATCTGTGACGGGGATGGAAGTCCAAGAGGTACGGTATAAGAAAAAGGCCATTTTAAGCGATAAAATTTCATTCCTCATATTTCAATGTCGAAAACATACACGTGTTTCTTGCGGAAGATTATCATGGTTTGCTGTGTCGAGTGTAGGACATAAGGAAGAGGGAGTGTCTCTGAGAAAAATCCAATCCTCCACGCAAGTTCGGGTTTTTTCGAACGTGAGATAAGAGATGACGTTAAGGACGTGAGGACTGGCTCGAGTATATCATGTCGAAGCTAATTTCTAAATTTAGCGACAGAAATAAGTAATGAAACAACAGTAGACGGATTTTCATTTGTGGTTTTTATTCTTTCGTTAACTTTTACTGCTTTCGATAGTGTTCCTATCGAAAATGTCCTATTAGTGCAGTATGACTTTGTAAAAACAGCTTCTGAGATTAAAAAAAGGCAGGATTTGTCCTTTTACGATTTTTTTACCTCGAAAGGTAACCAGTGTGCCTCGATTTCGTGTACTCGACCTAGTTTTCTTGGCTCACATCCAAAAACGTTAAACTTGGTTAGTGACACCTGTATTACCGGTCAGATTTTCTGCTTTTTGGTAACACCGAGGGGACATATTGTGAGACTTGCCACTTATTAGATGCATATATTTAAATTTCGCATCAAAACCAAACATTATTTGAACGTTTTCTTTTGCAGCTCAGAAAAGCCATGATCGACAAGGTTCCCATTACTGCCGATGGTCCGAGTCGTAATGGATCTAGTCATAAGGAATTTGAAGTCTACGACTTGTCTTTCGATGAGGTTTGTAGAATGCAAAATCAAAAATAATTTTTGTATCAATCCATTTGTCCGTTTAATTTTTGGATGAGTGTACGCTCCAATTATTCGAAGATTTCGTCAAATCTTGTAGTAGTGAACACGAGTGAGGTGATTATAACAGCAAAACTCTACTTTGCCAATGGCTACCATGGTATTTTTGATGTTCCTTTGAAGGATGGGCATGGGAAATAACTTATCTATACATTTTTATTCTAAGAAAATTCTCCTCTTCAGGTTCAGCGAATAATGTCGACTCAAGTTAATATCTGGAATTATTTTACGATATTTGCGTCTCCTTTAGAGTAGAATTGTTGCTTTTATGTAACTTGTGCACGCTCCTTTCAACCGTTAAACCACAAATATTCTTAACTATTCTAATGGTAGTACTGCTTGACTAATCTGATATTTTTTGTAAATCTCTGACGTTCTAGTTGCGAATGACGAAGCGAACAATGAAATATTACTTCGGCGGCCTGGAAGGAACGTCGTTCAGGTATGTTTAGTGTCTACAATTTTCCTAATGCATCAACTGACTGAGGAATTTTGCCCTGCACTATCTTGACAGCTATCCCACGAGCGCGCGTTAGTTCTAACTATATCGTTATCCCGGCAACTAAACAAGCGCGAGGGGATCCTTATTGCATTACAAAAATACGAAAAGAAATGTTTCAAATCCACTTCAAACATTTCCAAAATATGAGCTCTTATACCATGGCCTGTAAACCAATCAGAACTCACAAACTGCATTATACCTCGACTAGTTTTTAATAATGTTGAGTCTGCACCGTCACCATTCTATATCCTTGACAACTTTATGAAGAAATGATTAGAGTGGAGCGTGCAACCATCGAGTTATGAATGCACTCAGGAGGTTGCTAAGCATTCAAGAAGCTAAAGTCGCACTCGGCTAAACACAGAGTAGGAAGGTGTAAACTAGCACAAAGAGGGTCAAGTTTAGAGCAACAATGTATGTAAGTCTCTACCCCAGAAACTGCGAACTTTCCGTAGAAATTGCGAAAAACTACGTCCCACTTAGATTCTCAATGATTAGAATGGCAAGTTATCCATCGAAGTGCGCATGTGCAATCATGCGACCGCCGAGTTACTCGGCTATCGCCCTCATGGACTTACTGAGTGCTTAGCAAACCTCCTGCGTACATCAATAACTGCGAAATTGCACGCTGCACATTTCTTTCATAACAATGAGACTCTCAAATATCTTTCGTTCTGTGTGGGGGAAAAAAAAAGCAAAACAAACTGACGTCAGCATGCAGCCCAAGGGCATGTGGATCGAGCGTTTTAGCCAATCAGAGCGTGCGCTTTTGTAAAGCTAAGTTATAATTTATTATGTTTCTTTTGCAAAGTCTTGGAATAGCAACTCCTAAGCTGGGATACAAGTACAATTTACCTGAATACACAGAGACTGAAGTAATTGGTGAGAAATATTACCTCCTTCATTATTAGAAACTTTCCTAAATTTTATTAAGTGTTTAATGTCCCAGGGATTAAAACATGATGCTTTATATGACATCGTTTACGTAGACCGCCAACATTTTCCCGATGACTTGGGATGAGCAGGTCAGGACTGGTTTTAGTTTTGCAGCATACTGGTTGAGAGAGTGGCGCGAGTTTTCTGAACCAATCACTGAGCGAAGGAAAGCAAAACCAATTCAGTCAAGGATTACTCTCGACAATGAATTGGAAATTGCTATTTTAGTCTAAACATCAGATTGTTTTCTTTAACCCTTCAACTCCCAGATCAAATTTGTAACTCTCCTTACTGTCAACCATACAATTCTGATAATGTTAGTTTAGAGAATTTAGTATTGGATCAACTTATTATCCCTAAAGTGATATTTTTCTTTATTCTCATCACTTATCTGGTTGATATTGCATTGATGTTGTAAGGAGAAATTCTGTCTTAGTCACTCATGGGAGTTAAAGGGTTAATGTGAGTTTCCGTACCCTTGAGGGCTATTCTCATTCAGATTTTATCATGCCATGCAGGTCAGAGGGTCGAAGCCGAATGCAAAGAACTGGGCAGCCCTCTAGGCTGGGGTTGCCCTGACAATGTGCTTAACTAACGAAGTGTGAGTAGTAAAACCATTTGCAAGTAATTTTCTCTACTTCTTTATAGATAAACTCCACAGCGAGTTGAAGGAAACGAATAAGGACATTCAAATTGAAAGGTGGTAAGTGGCGGAGTTTACAGGAAAGCAATCTCGTGTAACTTCCAAATCTTGTAAAAAATTTTATCCAACCATGCACGTCTCTCTTGTGTTTGTCTTCGCTTCCTTCGAGTTATTTGGAAGGTTTACGTTGTTTGTCATGATAATTTAATAGCTCCTTTTGAAAGTTCAGTCGAGGAGTGTTACAAATTAACTCTTTTGATACCGAGTAAAATCGAATTTTCGCTGTTTTCGTGAAATTTATAGTGAAATTGTTTTCTGTTTCTGAGCGTCATTGTTTTTATCAGAGAGACTAGATGTTTACTCGAAGGCTTCTCGGCCTTTGTTCGATGATCCGGAAAGAATGTCCATTACTCCTGAATCGGAGAGTTTTTGCAATTTTTCCAATGGATTTCTCCGAAGATTTGTTTTTCGACGGAAAGTAGGCGAAACCAAAGGATGCCTTGACGTAAATGTTGCTGCTTGCGTTTGTAGAGAACGGGCTACTAATTTATGCAAGGTGCGTGGCTCTGAATCGATATAATAAGTTTACTTGTCTGTTTTGCAGGCCATATTGCAGGAATGTTGTACTTGCTGAAAAAACGCCACTTGACCAATTGATCGATGAAACCGAAAGTAGAGACACTAAACTATGTACGTAAACGTTGGTAGGACAGATTTCTGCTTTCCCTCAGTCGATAAGTTTACTTTGAATGGTTGCAAACGAGGGTTTAACCGAGAGAATGCTGGGTTTGAGCATTGGCGGGGATCATAGTGATGGTTTTATTGAGCAGGAACCATTGCTCCCTCAGTGCCTCCCCCCTCCCCCCTCCCTCTGTCAATGCTGCGTTGATACATTTTCTGTTACAATTTATGACTTTAGGTAACAATTCAGAATTACTAGCTGGTCTGCTGGTGGACTTGAACGTCACAGCTCGTTTACCATCCGTTTGGAAGAGCAAAGCACGGTAAGCTGAGAAAGGAGAAAGAGTGACTCTGAAGTTTTATCACTGTGATAGCCTTCAACGAATTGTCAGTACCCTCCATCTTTTCGTAGTCGTTTTCTTGACAACAACAACGACCGTTTGTCGCACGTCTGTCCAGGCCTGAAGTAACACAGTGGTCAAACGTGGGGTATGCACGAGGGGATCAATTTTTAGCGCAGGGGCGCCAATTTCCTACGTATAATTTCAAAGGAAATTTCATAAGAAGCAGCTGCTCTCTCGCTAAAGCTTATCCTGTTGATTTACTTCACTGTTTTGAGCTAAAAAGTATATACTTTTACACGGAAAGCACTGTGACTTTCTGGCTTGTGTGGTTGTTTGTAACTCGTTTGAGACAACTTGGGTCTGACACCCTCAAAGCACGCCATCCAGTCATTGCAACCTGTGCACATGCGTAAGACGTTTGACTGCTGTGGTTCCTGAAATAGGTTGTTGGGGACTGAGGCTGACTTTCACTGATAACTTTTTATGTCGATTACAACTTGCTGAGTGATCATTGGGAATTTGTTCCGTACTGTATCAAATGAAACAAACGAAATGCTGTGACAGAGTCGATTCCTCAAAGAATCTTCAGTGTCACAATGTAATGAAACCTTTCTGAGTTACCTAAAAAGGGGCAAAAAGACAAATAAGATTTGTTTTCTAAATTTACGCTGTTTGTGTCTGTTATAGGCCAGGTGTTAATGACGTGTTTGTACGGACCTACTGGGGTTTACATCGAAGTTACAGGTTGGTGAAACTGAGTTTGTTGCGCCTTTAACTTGTTTTAAGTTTCAAAGAACGTTCTAAGGAAAACTTGCTAATTTAACCCTTTACATCTTAATATTAGTGCTTATAATCTCCACACTGTTCTCTTTACATTTCCCATGGCTCTGACAAGGAGAAATTGACTGGCAATCAGGTGCTTTTGAAATTGGTGATCATTTCCTTTAATCTCATGACCTTCAGTAATACCTAATACCTTCAGTTTAGTAATATTTGATTCAAGGTGACACCGTATGGAGAGATTAGAAGCCAATCACTCGTAGGGGTTACAGAGTCAAAGAAGTATTGATGGAACTAATGCATGGGTGTGCAAGGAACAACGGATTTGTTTTGGGAAACTTTTCTACTAGGTTGACATTATTTATCTGTTTAATTAAATTTTTTTAGTGGATCGAAGGACAAGCGTAACTCTAGTTCAGAAGACGACATCTTTAGAAGAGTTTTTGGATCCCAAATTCCTCGTGCCTCCATCATTTATACCACAAAATACCTTGCAGGTATTTGACGCATATCGTGCTGACATCTCCTGTTTCATGTTATGTATTTAGTTGAAGGAGCTGCGAGAACACTCCGGTCGTTGTAAAGCCACTAAAAAGTTGGGTTTTTGAGTCCTATTAGTTGAAACCGAAAAAGCTATTTCGAGCGTAAAACAAAGTTGGCCATCGTTTAAACACTTTGTACTTATTGACTGAGTAATGTGGTTCTGCACTGTAATGTGTATCTCTCGGTCATGAAGTACCATTTATCGTGACCGGGAGCTAGATATTTTCTCGTGCGTCCCGACCTTACTCAGTCTATAAACATTTTACCATATGACTGTTTCCCTCTGTCTGCCTGTACCACGTATAAATTTGTAACTGAAACAACGCCTGACCGCTGCCAAATGTTGAGGCTCACGTGAACGTAAGGGAGCAACGTAGCGGCTTAAATTTTCAGGGTTGTCACTTAGAATCGGTATTAATCGTCGCCATCGTAAACCGTTCTCGCTCACGTTTTGGTTCAGTAGTTTGTCCTTGCTGTTTTTCTACCATGGCAAACCATTTTACAAAATTCCTTGAATTTTCACCGATACAAACGAAAAAACCCAAGAGACTGTAACGTAGCTCTTTTAGAAAGATTATCTTTACGTACATAGCCACTCTTGGGCTCTCCTCTGTGTACCTCACGGAACTCATTAATTTACAAACTTTATCTAGATATAATCTCAGATCATCCAACAAACTCTCACTGCAGCCACATAGGGTAAAGACTAAGCGCACGCTCGACGACTGCAGTTTTATCGCGGCGGCGCCAGCGCTTTGGGACAACTACCGTCTGAAATTTCGTAGCGCAAATAACGTGCACATTTTTAAGAGAGCGTTAAAAACGCATCTATTTCGTTTTGCTTTTGACATTTAGTATATACATTAAGTGTGAATAGTAGTTTGGATTTTGTCCATTAAAAAAAGTAAGAAACTGCCAAATTCATGTATACCTGATTGTAAATAATAGGAATATTTATAGATATGCCATTTTGTAACTTGAGTTTATTAGATTTTATTTGGAAAATATTATAAAGCGCTAGAGAGCATCTACCTACGGAATTCTAGTACTATGTAAGCATTCCATTGTTATTATTATTATTATTATTTTTATTGGCATGAAAACAACCAAATTTCAATCGTCACATCACACAGTGATTAAATTATAATTCCTTATCATCTCAGGAGAAATATTTCAAGGCACATTAATCAGTGTGTTTTTTTTCTTTTTTTGCTATCTTGCAGCAAAGTCTGATGAGAACATTACTTCTGTGTTTGCTTATAAAAGAATATATCGCAACCAATTCCCTGCTGCTAGTAAGTGATCTTCATTAACATTCTCAGGACGGGCACTTCAGTTCTAACTTGTTTAATTTTTTTGCTTTTGATTCCCCTGAGGGGCGGGAGTATCGTGCCAGCCCGAACAACGCCACCCGACTGAAAACAAATATTTTCAACACAGAGAGAACTGTTTTGCGTGTCCGTGTCCAGTTCTTCCTATAAAATATGATCCGACCACCCTTTCAACGTTGTGAGTATCTCCTTGCTGCAAAATTGTACGCATTTTCAAGGCACTTATATGCCTGACTTTGGAATTTTTTTAATTACTTGGAGTGAACATCCCTTCTGACGCAGATAAGCCGCAGAAGTGCGCTTTTATTTCATTCGATCATGATCCTGTATTCACTATTTGTCCCATATGGTACAGTTCCTCCTCATTTCAATTCGAATAATTTATGAATTCCTTTTTATTTCCGCAGTTCTTGGTTATGAGATGGATATGAAGGCCTTTGTCGATACACATATTGTGAAAAACACAGAGGTAACAGTATCAAACCTGATAGTTTCCTCTAGTCCTTTAAAGTCTCATTTACAAAATCATCCACCATTTTTTATAATTATTATTGAACGGTTAACCGTTTCATCAGGCGAGTGGCGCATGTAAGCCTTTTGTAGGGTATAGCACAAGATGATGCACCCCAGATGTCACTCATCTTAATAACTGTATAACCATCTATCTTGCGCGGGGGTCAGAAATTACTCTAAAGAGAGGTGAGGTTTCTTCTCAGCAAGAGACAACAAACGATTACTCGTTGAAAAGAGACCTATTTTTAGCGATGTGACCAGCAAGGGCGCATCCTGGAATTTTGATCGGAGGGATCCAAACTTGGATTCAGAAACCACCGAACGTTTTCGACAACATAGTCCAAATAGTTCATGAGTATTTTGAGACAAATAAATTTTGAATACGTCATATGAAGTAGAAAATTGCAATGCTCACGTTGCAAGAACTTTGGTGTTAGACGTAGTTAAGAAAAAAAGAAAAAAAAAACAGGTCTGATGTGGGAGGGGAGGGAGGAGGAGACGCTCCCCTGAATCCGCGACTGAACAAGAGGACCCCTCTAAATGAAATGAATACTATGTTTATTCTCGTTAGCTGTTTGCTCGATATTGCCTTTGTAGAATAATGAGAAGTTTGAGGCTAATCACTTTAGAGAATTCAAGGGTTACTTCAGAAATCAATCCGTACATGTTGTTTGTATTATCAGTGTCAATCAGAAGGATCAGCGTGTGATATCAGCTGTGACAGGACTGGAAAGAACGATGTAAGCTAAAGCATAGTTAACCCTTTACACCCTCATATTAGGATGCATATTTTCCATATTGTTCTCTGTACATGTTATTATCTATTGCCCCTTTGTAACTTTTGCTCTATTTTTTATAACGAAGCTCGCAGAGCGTAGCCCCATAATTATACAAAATAGTAGTAACCTATCAAGCCGAAAAAATTTGGATGTACGACCGTACAACCGTACAAGATGCTACTTTTAACATGCGTGGTTAACTGTACCGCGGGCACGCCAACGCCACGGCTTTGTCCAGTAGTCCAGTGGTCAGTGCACTGGGCTCCGAGTCGGACGACCCGGGTTCTAGTCCTGGCCGGGTCAAGGCGTTGAGACGCGCGGGAGGAAAAAATGCGAGCTCCGCATTTAGGCTTGGCTAAATCTATGTATTATACTACGCTATCCCTGACACCCCTGATATGGCCTTTTTCTGTTTTCCTTTCTTCAAAAATGCGATGTGTTTTTTTTTTATTAAGCTTAATGTTAATTCATAACTTGCCTCCATTTTTGTTTTTCCTCCTCTCCTCTTTCCTTGGTTTTTTTCTTAGCCTGTAAGTAATGTTATATATTTTTTTTATTCATATTGTAAAACAAAAAAGCTATAATAATATTAATATTGATAATAGTGAGACAGTGAAACAGGTTAGCCACGTAATAGCGTAGCATTGTGAATGATGTCATAGCTGTTAGTAACGTCTGCTTCCCAAGGAAAATAGTATTGCAACAAAATATAAAAAAGTATTGTTGTGAGTAGTCGTAGCATTGAAACTATTGTTTTCAGTTTTTTTTAATTTAGCAATTTTAATGTTGTAAGTAATGCTGTAAGTAATTTTGTTTCTTTTTTTGTATGATTGAAAAAATAAAAAATAAATTAAGGACATTTAAATACTTATTATGGTAGGTTGTTTCCCATCCAGCCATAAAGTAACTATTTTATTTATTTTTAACTAGTACGAAGGCCTCTACTGTTACCTTGTGGATGAAAATGGCTTTGTTGTGGCAGGAAATGATGAGAATGTAAGTCATACCTACCAGCAAGGTAGTAAGTTGATTCAATGATTTAATTACACGATTTGATTGCCCGTCCTGAGAAGCGCTGCAGTTAGGTAACGTTGCTATTATGCAAGGATCAACGCCATCAGAGTTTCTTTGAAATCTTTCGTTTTTCGTCACACGATTTTGCACTGCCAAAGCTTGTTCGATCTCTTTCCGCTGTTATTTCAATAAATGGTCTTTGTGTTAACATCCTTTCCATGGTTTTGTTTTCTATAGTCAGCTGGGAAGTTCTTTGGTCGAGTCGATGCGCCCGTGATGAGGCAGTTAATTCGTTCTGATGAAGAGAACGGTTCTGGAATTTATAACAAGTGAGTTATCTTTTATTTCATAAAAATATAGTAGTTTTCATTGAGTGTCAAAAAACTAAAGTAATCCCAGTGACCAATCAGAACAAAGAATTACATTATCATTAGCCAATGAGAACTCAAAGTGAAAACAAGTAAATTGCTTGAAGGGCGGGAAAACGCCGCGATTGTTTTTACTTTTGCATTTGATTGGTTGAGAGGCTGGTGCGAGGTTTCTGGACCAATCACAGAGCTAGGTTGAGTAAAACCAAAGCAAGCTCGAATTATTTTTGACGCCTTCTTGAAAATTACTCTATTCGCTTTGGAGAGTTACTTTGTTACTTTTTGTTATTGCCTAATAATTTTGCGTTGTCGGTGTCCATTATGCTTCACGTGCGTAGCGGCAGCTGTGCTTGGCGTAGTTGTGTACTTTCCCGCGATTGAGGTCTGTGATTGGCATTAGTTACGAGTTTTTCACTTTTGGCACGAGGTTATGTATATGTACTTGGCCTGGGCTTCAAATTTTCCCGCGCTTGGAGTCGATGAGAGATTTTCCCGCGCTCGTTTGATAACAATATTTTCGCTGGCTAGTCACTGATCTCATTAGGGCTCGGTTATCACGTGAAGGAACTCTTACGTCTCGTAGGTTTATGACCAAAGCTAAACTTTACCGTCATTGCTTCATATAGTAGCGATAGTTTTAGTCATTGAGTCACGCAGCCGAACTCTGCCATGTCGCGTATGTTGCATTTTTATATTGCTGTTATTTTGTTGTTATAACGATGAGAGTCACAATGTGTCACAAATTTCCCACTAATGAATCTCTGTTCAAATAGGGTTGTACTGACGGACTTCCAAGCAGTTTGTCAAGTAAAAGGCGGAGTGAACAGCGGAGGAGTCTCATTTCTCCTCAAGGTGGGCTCAGTAATATTATTTTGATCAAGTTCCCTAGGAAATCATTTTATGTGTATTTGATTCAGGGCTGCAACAAAAATAGACAAAATGTATGATTGAAAACAAGCTATGTGCGTAACTCGTAACGTTACAAGTGTAACGATCGTAGGTTATGGTTCTCCTTTCAATTTACTTTAGTACGTGGAAACCTTATAACTTGAGCATACTTGTGAAGTATTATTATTGTCACATTATAGCCGTTTTTTTCACTCTCTGCTTACGCTGAATGGTGGACGACCAAAGCTGTGTGGTATGTCTCTTTTAACTTCAAGTCCTAGTTGATGACGTGCCAAAGTTATTACATATTTTCACGCTGTGAACTCAGCAGACTTCCTACGTTATATGATAAATTTTTCCCAGTGTTAACACACCTTTTTTTCTTGTTGCATTTCTCTACCGCCTACAATTTGTCTTGTAAAGCTTATAAAGCACAATGAAAGGATGACAAAAGCAACATGATGCAAACTTATCCTGTTGTGCTGCAATTTTGCAACTTTAATGTGTTGAAACCTATCCAAAAAAAAACAAGCTCTACCAATTTTTGATTGAGTATTGTCAGTAATCCAAGATTGCCTTTGTACCCCTTACTCCGCACTGTGATTGGCCTAGAAAAATTACGCCATCCTTTCAACCAGTCAGATGCAAAACGAAAGCCAATCGCTAATTAGTCACACATTTTCCTGCCATTCGGGGTGATTTTATATGTTTTTACTTTCTTCTTATAATACCTTTTTTTGATGGATTTTTGTGATTACTTTGGTTATGGTTTTACGACAATCAAGCCAAATGGGCTCTACATTGGAGTTCAACATCGTTTCCAACACTTTTTTACATAGCTCTCTCATTTTCCTTATATTCTTTTCTAGGTCGTTGCTTTATTTCAATTTGTACAGGTTAGTTCGACTTGTTTCTTCTTTCAAAACAGAACTTAGTGATATATTGTATACTGTCAGTTCTCTTTTGTTCTGTTCATATTTATGCTCTACACGGCATTACAGGGGATTTAGATAACTTTTTTTATAGGCGGCCGCCAATAGTGTAATAGGGGCTTGTGCCTGGAAAAAGGGATGTAAGGCGAACCTCAAAGACTGGAGGCTGCACGCAGGTTTAACAGACAGCGGTGGAAGGTGGTAGGGGTGGGGAAAGACCGCTGGCCACTTGCTTTTATTGAAACCCCTGGTCCCGGTTGTTCGAAGGTCGGATAACGTTATCCACAGGATAAATCTCTATCAGGTGGAAAATGCTATACTTTTTGCCATCACTTATCCGCTAGATAACCATTTATCCGTTGGGTAGCGTTATCCGCCCTTTGAAAAACCGGGCCCAGCATTATAAAACACCGCTAATGTATGCATATAAAACAGAAAAATAGAGAACGGCTTTTAAAAGGCGGAGAATGAGGTTTTTTTTGTGACTTTTATTTTTATAGTTGGATTTTTGCTGAGAGTGGTGCAACAACTGGTGAGAACGTTATTCGTTTTGTTAGTGAAAATTATCTTCGTGTTAATCCAGACAGGTAAAGGATTAACTTGAGTGACGAGGAAATCCCTCATAGTTTCCGGCTCTTGGGGTTGCATGCATGTTTTCTTTCTTCTGTTACCGATTGTATGTTTCCCCCTTTTGGTGTCGAATAAATTTTTCCTGCACTTTGTGTAGACTGCATGTTTTCCCACCCTTGTTACCGATTGCATGTTTTTCCACTTTTGGAGCCGCGTACATGTTTTCTGGCTCCATATTGGTGGTGTTTGCATGTTTTCCTACTCTTGGGTTATACACCAACTCCATTCTTTAACTGTTCTCTTTTCGTAATTTACAGAGGCTACCGACGACATTCCAAAGAATATAAGCTGCATCCGAAATATAACAACCTATTATGCCGATCAGAGAAATGTAACACTAAACGGTTAGTAAGTTTTGGTATCGATTAAATGTGTTGGGTTGATTAATGACCAGTTTCGGATCTTCCCCAAATTTCGTATCTGCAACGTGTGTTCTGTTTTCTGGAGCTAAAATGTGAGCCTACACCCGACTCCCAACCGGGGGAATGGGGAGAAGCCTGCAGAACAAGCCTAAATTGTTTGTTGTTGTTGCTCTCCCAAAGTCATTTCTGTGCATTTTCATGCTTTAGTCTAACTTTATTCTGCAGGTGTGACAAGCTGCGGAGACTGCTCAAGGTAGGGTTTGAAAACAACTAGGCTGAATGTAGCTGATATCTTCCACGTCTGTCTGGTGTTATATGATCTATCTTATCTAAACTTCAGGCGTCTTATTAGGCGGAATTAAGGTTACAAGCTCACGATCGTTTATTCGACTGGCCATGTTTGACTTAGAGTTAGAGTGGACGGAAGGAGTAGGGGGCGGGGAAAGGCCCCATCCCCCCTCTCTGCCCTTCTTTTTGACCGTCACTCACCCCCTTGGAACAAATTTCTTTCTCTTCCCAGCCTGAGTTGGCAAGTAATTGTTTTCTAAGTCTAGTAGAAGAATACTTTAAAATCGAAGCGAGAACCAAATTTGCATAAGCAAGACAAGGAAGGGCTTTTGTTTGACCACTCCCAATCATTTCATAATTTGAGGAGCCTTTCGGTTTACTCTGAAATCCTCTGGGCCTCACGCTTCATTGTAGAGACTAGCGTTTGTGTTGTAGTGATAAAAATCTCACAGAGTTCTTGAACTACTCAAGTTAGTACTTTTTCAAGATTTCTCTCACCAAAAATTCCAAGATGACGCAGTCTCCGCAATTAAGCGTGATGGCCAAATGACTTATCCCAAGAAGTGTAATGTTTGTTTAAAGCTTGTGGTTGCTTTCTTTTGTTGCAGGGAACATTTTGTGGCCAGCGTGCGTGATAGTAACTTATACCTCATGGTGATAAATGCTACGTGTGGAAAGTGCGATGAAATTGATAGGGAAATGGGTGTTCCCGGAGAACCTCGAGAAAATATCCTTTGATAGATAATTTAGAATTAATGGAGATGTTAAATACTAACTTCTTACTAGGCCTCCCAATCAGTCAATAAGCATTTTATCATATGACCACAAAGTGCTGAAAACTTCGCAAATTGTGTTTCAACTTAAATAGGACGTGATTGAAGGGCGCACGCAGGACAATCGCAAAGAAGTTTCTACAAATAAAACTCTTCCTTCGCTTTTCCGGGTCAGAACAAGAAACTCAAAATTTATCGAAAAACGCGACTTGTTTTCCTTTTCCTTGTTTTCCCTAAGTTTTTTGAAAAAAAAAAGCCCTGGACGCCTTTTTCCTGATCGGCGCACGTCAGCTTTCACTATAGTTTTCTATGGGATTGCGAGAGCGGGGCCTCATGGATCATATGATAAATATTTATTTAACGAGGGTGAACCCCAGCAGGAGCTATGACGTACCAAGAGGGACTCAAACCCCTTTCGGACGACGGAACCCCAACCTGGGTTTTCTATCGACCCATGAACATTTACATGTGAGACACGAGTGTGACTCTTTGCGAGAGTACAGTTGGGGTCATTTCTTATCTTTTTGTGTCTCCTTAACGACATTACTTCCTCGTGATACCGTGGAAAATTCCTGTAAGGAGCCGGGCTACAGGAAAAGACCTAAGAGATGTTTTGTATCCACAAATCCTGTATGTATGCCCTTGTTCATGACGCTGCGATGTCAATTACTATTACATTTTTGTTGTTGTTGTTGTTGTTTTTTTTGGCAAATCTCTATTGGTGCTCGAAAACGCACATTTTCGGTACCTTATTTTAGCCTGTTTACATGTGTTGCCATTTCATTCTGGAAGCCTCTTGAATTCTATTCCTTGTACACTGTCAATGATCTCAATCCTAACAAAAACCAAACATTCTTCGAGGCCTTAATTTGCTTTAATTTCCCAACTTAGTTTGAAAATACAAGTTTTATTTTTCTCCTCATGCAAGTAACCGCAAAATATACTTACCAATCCTCTTTAATAATTGATTCTAACAGTTTTGAGCTAGAAATTATTTACAGCTTACAGTAACACGGGAGACAGGGCCTCCAGTAAATTGCTGTAGAACAGTTTTCGATGGAGTGTGTAATCCGAGATTAATTTGATTTTGCTATAATTCGCTGTGTGATTTGTCCATAAAACTCAGGCCAATTTCTCGACCCGTTGCACTCAAGACTTAGACCAATCGCGACATCGTCACCCCTTCAAGCAGTATTTTTATATTTTTTTCGCCGAGTCCACATTCGCTTCACTTAATATCTTTCTTTCTCCTGATTGTCTTTTTTGATTACTCGAAAAATACACCATTTCTCATGGTTATCAATCAGCTTAAAGAGGTTTTCAATTGAGTCGAAAAACAAAACCAAAGTTATCACATCTACCAATCAGAATAAAGCTTGGCATCACCATTAACCAATGAGAACTCGGGAGGCAAGGAAACCTGCTCGAGGCGCGGGAAAACGCGAGTGGCAAGTTTGGGGTTAGTTCTAGCTTGGCATTTAATTTGTTGACATGGTGGCGCGAGTTTTCTCGACCAATCACAGAGCGAAGTAAAGCAAACCAAAGCAATCCAGGGCTATCTAAGATAATCGATTGACAACTACTCGAACTGCTTGGTAAGAATTCTAATAATTATGTCTCTGTTTACAGGAGTCCGGCTATGCGTGTGGTTCCGGTTCGTTCATAAAGCCTTCTCCTTATATCGTATCTTTGCAACTGTTTTGGCTTTTTGCAGCTCTGCGGAGAATAGTGGGGTTCGTGTGATAAATACTTATCTCTGAGGAGAGAGTTATAAGTACATGAGGACAAGCTCGTGCCTCCAAGGTGTCAAGATGAGATTTTAAAATAGTCGACGTTTACTGTGCGTCTTGGTCTTATGCCGGGTTCATAAGAATCATTCATTTAATAGGTTGTTTTTAAGCCTGCTTCACAGCAAGTTTGAATCGAACATCAATGGTATGCAGGAACATGCTTTGGTTTTAGTACTCTCTTCAGACACCCACCGATTAGGAACCACATCAAAGCGCAGTTGGAACTTCCTACGTTTGTTCAGCTGTTTCACCTTCTTAATTGCGTACCTTGGTGCTGTGATTTTTCTATCAATGATGCTGACGACGCCCCTTCACAATTTCCCTTTGTTGAAGGAGTCGCAATATTAAGAGAGGTTGTATCTAAACTTCCCTCTCGTATTTATAACGCGCAAGAAAAATTTAACTGTTTTAACACATGTATTATATTAATACTACACTTGATAATTTATTTCAAAGCCGTACAGCCAAGTAAAGTTTTATTTCAGCAACCATTTTCATCAATCGCACGATTTATGTAAACCTGCATGTGGATTGATCAAATTGTTGACTTTTTAAGAAGTTTTAAAATTTCCTTGACACATGTAAGTCTATTAATATTTATTTTTGTCACTGACAGAAAATAACTGAATGAAACTTTTACTCGTGTCTTATGAGTCACGAAGAGCTTATTTTTTTGTTAAAGATTGTTTAGAAATGTAACGGCTGAAATATTTATTGTAAGAAAGGAGTTACATTTTCAAAATATAACTCAAGGTGATAACTAAAGTGCGTTCGTGTCTCCAAGTAGATCTTATTTGTTGTGAAGATTTCTCCGTTTCTCTAGAGAAAAAAGTTAAAATCAGAGACTAGCACCCGCCAAAACTAACCCTTCGCCTCCATGTTGTTCTCGCTGATACTAAAGAGAAAGTTTTGATTGTCACCGCTTCACCCTTCCCACCCCCCCCCAAAAAAAAAAACAAAACAAAATATTTCAGTAAATTGACAACAGTTTCTCTCCTGTTACTTTTCCTTCTCTAGCAGGGGTCCTCTGCGATACTAAATTTCAAAACACGAATGAGATCGTTTCAAAGTTCATTTATTTACAACACAAAGGCACTCAAAAAAAACTAATGGAGGAGAATGTATTTACAATCTTATAAGAAAATCAGTTCAAAACGCGGCATTGATAATGACTAACTACATTTGCGTAAAATTCACAGATCTAAAAACGTCAATTAGTGAAGAGTTACTTTGGCTTTTCTTTACTCCTTTTCTTTTTCTTCTTTTTCTGTTTATCTTTATTATCTTTATCCTTCTTGGCCAGGCATGAAGAACAAAACCAATCTACGCCAGGGTCCTCTGTTATCCCAACGCATCGGCTGCATTAAGAAATACAACAATATCAGTATTTCAATGTCCCCTCACTGGAAAGTGTAATGTGTTCGAGCCGGTACCGAGACGAGAGAAGTCCCGAAATGGACCCCTGAGTTGGTGTTCTGTAAGCGCTTTGAAGCGTTAACGGGTAAGGAGTGAGAACGAGCGACGAAATGAGAGGGAAGTAAAAATGAAAATATTTTTTTCCTACTTGTGGCTTGGCGGCTCGTCGCTTTAAAGCGCACACAAAACCGCCAGCTACGTAGGCAAGACTGCAGACAATGACTAGCTTTTCAATCAACTTGAGTGGAAATCATCATCAGAGTCGAGTTCGTGAGCGCCGCTTGGGCAACTTTATCATGATTTTACAACCTGTTGAGCTCCAGCGGCGGTTTTGATGAGCTGTTAGGATAAGGATCACCTTTTTCAAGGTCACTTAAATCAAGTTTGTTTGAATCTCATATTTTGCCCTTGAATGTCCCTTCTCGGGTTTTCGAGAAATCGGAGACTACATGGAAGAATACCATTCTACTCCCCGTCATCTGACAAACCACCAACAAACTCTTCCCTTCGTTAATTTGTAACTCACCCATGAAACCATTCGTCACATCCATCACAGCCAATCATGAAAGTTCCATCGTCAGGCTCAGCACACACGGGACAATAGTACTCTTTAGCGTATCCCTAGAACACGAACAGCAAGAATACCACTGTGTTATCGTTATTACTCAGAGCCGGGTTGTTCGAAAGGGAGTTAACGTTAATATTGGTTTAAAAGTTCACCTTGGCTTAAATTGCTCATGTAGAAGAGCGTGTGCAAGAGCTACGGTTTTGTTGGGTTTCATCTCAATATAACTCGAAACTAACGGGCAGAAAATGCAAACGAAAATCCCTTCACACCGACCCTGGGTTAGTTAAACCGTGTTTTGTAAAACCCTGCCCAGGTAACTATCGCGCCCAGAGCATTTTCTTTCAATTATTTTCTTTTCAAATCTACCTTCGAAAAACCAAGATGTCACTACGGGGCACTTGAACTACGTTACTGCTTCATTATCATCCTCACATTGTACAGTAGATTAAAACATAGTTTGATATCAACCCTAACGAATCCCAGTCTGTGCACAGCGAGCAGAAGAGTCATATTTGATTGCATTTCACGTTACATTTACCGAACAAGTGCAGTGTGGCTCGACCCTATTGAATGATGGTCAACGCATGGGAAAGCCTTATAAGAGCACCCTTGAAAAGCCAAGCAAGAATTTTTAACTCAGTTGATAAGACCAAATTATTTCTTTAAACCCCAAACGACACAGTACGGCAGTTTTTTCAACAAATTCACCCCCTTTATTCACTATTAAGTTTTTCTGCCGATCACCACTAGCAGTGAGCCCACGTGATCGCTCTGTGCGGTTTTTGTCTTGCAGTTGGGGTTTCAATAGACTTTGAATGTTACCACATATATTGGAAATACAGTCAAACATAACAACTCTGCTCCTTGTGTATGCAAACCTTCATAATTTCCGTTGTGAATATTTATAAATGAGTGAGACATCCCCAGTTTACTTACATGAACAAACGTGGTTGATAGTGTCTGTGACACGACTGTTCGTTCCAGTGGTTCACTTTTGATCGTTAACTTGGGTGCAGGTGAAGCGGTGACAGCTGAGGCAGTGGTTGTAACAGTTTCCTGTTTGCTTGAGACCTTTGAAGACCCTGCACTGTCAACAGCTTGACTGCTTACGGTAGAAGAGAAGAGTTTTTCTGAACTACCTTTTCCATAATCCCTGTTAAAAAAACAAAACGAAAACAAAAAAACAACATTTAATATAAAGATGGTAACCAATCCCTGTTAAAAAAAACAAAACCAAAGCAAAACAAAACAAAAAGAAAACAACATTTAATATAAAGATGGCCACCAATGTCGCAAGCAACTGCCCCAATGCAATCAGAAAATGCAGGGGCATTGCGCAGGAGTAATAGAATGTCAAGTAGTTTGATTGTCTGGGTAAGAGTAGTCCTGTAAAAGAAGCTATTGGTGTGTAGCGGCTGACATTTCATTTGACTCTGAGGTAACTTCCACTGAGGTTGTTGAAATAACAGTCACTACTAGGTACCAACAACATTCTTCTTCAAGACCACTCTAATCCGAAAGGTCAGTCTACACATTCCCAATTTCGACCCGATTATGTGGTCCCCTACGGCCAAAAAAAATTGAACAATTTGCTACAACTCCTTTTAGTGATGATGAGGGCTTAAACAGTGGTGTTCTTGAAGGAAAACAGGCTGTGTGGCTTTTCTTAATATACAGTTAAGGATTGCCTACTAACTTACCGCAAGTTCTGAGTTAATAATTAGAACACTGTCCCCCTCAACCAAGAACAGGCGCTTCACAATGAAATTTTGTATGCAATTTAATTTTACTTAACCTCATCCTTTAAGAATACTCTATTATACTGAAGCACAGGGCTACATACCATGGTAAAGGTTCTGTCTTACTAGCCCCTGTAGTTGTTAATGACGCGGAATTGGACGGAGTGTCTAGTTTCACAGTGATACGAGGGATGGGTGTGGGGAATGGCGATTCTGGAAAAGGTACTGCATGATCTGTCTTCAGCTGAAACATAAAAATATGTGTGGGTGGAGATGAAAATGTATTTCGTTATGCCCTTGCTGTGTTTCAGTGCTTTGTGTAAGTGACATTATCCTCCTCCCTCTGATTCATCAACAAGTCATATCAGGTGAATCTACTGCTACTGCTCGTTATTCGATAAATTCGCAAAGCGTGTGTGTAACATGATAGTTTTTTCAAAATGTAAAATTTCCGTTGTCGACTTATCGCTTTTTCAAACCCAAAAGTTCTTTGTGTTACATAACCATGAAACAAAAAGGAAACTTATGGCACTGAATAACAATCTTAAAAGTCGCGCATGTCTTTCGTCCGTGCGCGCGTAAAAATCATATGTGCGCGTATAAAAATCATAAATGCGCGTCTGACTACCGTATTTACCCGGTACCCTGCGTCTGAGCATATGAAATCCGTCTGCACAGTTAGCATATATCTGAGGGTACTGCAATATATTATTAGTACTTGACCCTTAACTCCCAAGATTCAAGTAGCAATTCTCCCCTCAGACCACTACTCATTTCCTTGTAAATTATGGGTGAAAGTTTGGTACATGTATGATATCACAATCACATCATCCGGCTGATAAGCCTGTCCGTTCTCATAACCTTTTTGCAAGATAAAATATTGGAATCACAAGGAGAAGTTTCATACTGATCACATCTAGGAGTTACAGGATTTAAAGGAACTAAAATTCAAAAGTAACTTCTTTCTAGAGAACAGCAGATTTAATTGATTTAAGAACGCACTAACCTTTTTACTCTTGTCTTTTTTCTTCTCTTTTTCCCTATCCTTTTCTTTCCTCTTTTTCTTTTTCTTCTTGTGTTCCAGCGCTGGGTCTATTAAAACATTTCTTGGCAAATTTCTTTCTGCGGGTGCAACCGCAAAGTCTGCCATGGAAAATTTGAGTCCCTCATGGGTAGAAGGAGCACTCCAATCTTTGGGTTCCTTTTTAACTGAGGGCTCTATAACTTTGTCTTTTCCTTTTTTTGCTTTTGTCTTTTTAGCAGGACCTGCCTTTGGTTTTGAATTCTTATTTTCTGATTTCTCTTTTACCACTGTGTCATTGGAAGGCAGGAATTCAGACACAGCAAACTGATGCTCTGCATCAGTCTCCTTCTTGATGGGTTTTATAATTAATTTTGGCATGCTTTCTTTCACTTCTATGTTTTCTTTAGCTGTTTCAGAGGCTGGCTGTGTCAAGGATTTCTTGGTAACAGGATTCTTGGTCTTGGTTGCTGGTTTTTTCTCTTTCTTTGTGTTTGTTTTAGTTTTCTTTGAAGAGCTCCCTGTTATTGACTCATTTTCCACTGGAGTCACAGTTGTTGGTTTTGGCATGGGTGATTTCATTGGAGATGGTGACTTTTTCTTTGCTGGTTTCAGTTTTGGAGGTGTTTTTGGTGTAGCAGGTTTCTTTGCAGGGCTAACTGTTTTTTTAGCAGGCTTAGGCTTCTTTTTTGGGCTTGATTTCACCTTTGTACCTGGCTCCTTTCCTGCTTCTTTGCTCCCAACAGCTGTCTTTTTCTCCCCTTGTTTGGGTTTTGCAGTTGCCTTGGAAGTGGTGACTTTTTCTACAGACTGAGTAGCAGCTATAGGAGGAATACTTGATGTTGGTGGGATCTCAAATGTTTTTGCTGAACTCCAAATGTCAGGTGATGGAGTTGGTGATGGGGAGGATAGGTTTCCTTGCAGTGCTTCAAGAATTTCCATTTCATTTCCCCTGTTTCCTTTCTGAATGAAAGGTAGATCCACACGTCTCTTTTTTGTGTCATTTTCAAGCGCTGGGGGCATATCAAGAGATCTCTTGACAGCTACATGTTCAACAGAAGTTTCTTCAGCTACTGTCTTGATTTCCTTCCTCACGTATCCTTCTCCACCTGTTGGTTCTTCTCCAGCATCAACTGTGTCTGCATCTTCTGCTGTTGTTGCTTTATCTTCATCTGAAGGAAAAAAAGAAAACGGATATTGCAACCATTTGCTGACACAGGGACATACAGTTAAAATAAAACAAAATAATGGTAAGAAATGTCAATCTAAGAATACCTCAGCACACTAAATGTTAATTTTCCTATATAATGCAGCATAGAATCTTCTCTAAGATTGAAACTTGACACAGAGAATAAGTTGGAAAGAAAAAAGAAAAAAGAGATTGCACTAGTACAGTGCAATTGGCCAAAAATACTCTCAATGCACTGCCATGTAAATTGTATGTGAGTTAGATCCTAAAGGCCTTAATTCTGGTTTTAAAAATGCATTTTTAATTGATGATTGTAATCTATTAAGGGGCAATCTAATATATTCCTCTATCAAAAGTCATATATCTTGACGGATGGAGTAACAAAAACGCAAATGGAGATGTAGCCCAGTCTTGGTATATCAAAACTCAGCTTTAAAGAGAGGGACATTGGGGTCTGTTAGAAACTGCAAAACAACAGAAAAAATCATCCAAAACCACAAAACTGGCAGAAGAATTAGATCAAAACTAAAAACCCCATGCAAAACTGATAAATTTTCACATCTCTGTTTTAAAATCCTAATCTATCCAATACAGTCACTGACAAGTGGAGTATATAGAGGTTTCACGGCTATTCAAGATCAGTGGAGGTGTATAATTGCTGCTCAGATTGACAAGAAACCGGAACCCAAATAGGAAAAACTGAAAACCACATCAGATACCAAATCCAAAAACCCATTAGTGATATTTACAAAAACCAACAACCAAAGGCTAAAAAAAACAGAAAATCCATAAACCACAATGAATACCGAAACCAAAACATTCAAGTCTTTTGGCACAAAAACCAAACCCAATCTAAAAAATATCCAAAACCTCAAAACAAAAAATCCCAATGCCCCTCTTTAAATGATAGACATCACCTCAGAGCACAGGGGACCAATTAATTCCTACAAAGTCTGAAGTTTTCCACTCAGCACCTTGCTCTTACTCAAAGTTAAAGAAATGAATGTGTTTAACAAAAAAGCCTTTGGCACTACAAGGGAAAGAAGACTGCAGCAACAGTCATACAAAACCTTCATTTTGAAGAAGCTTAGAGACCAAGGGAGGCAAGTAGTCATAGTACTGCTCCAGTCTCTCTGCAATCTCTCCATTACGTGGATGATGGAGCACATTAGGTTTTGGCTTGGGATACTGTGGCAACTGATGAATAAATGGAACTTGGTCTACCTGGGTTACAAAGTCTTCAAGTTCGCCGAGGTAAACGCCAATATCTCGAAAGGCAAGGTCTAGGTCATCTAAGTTTGGCTCAGTTCTTGAGTCTGTGAAATTTTAAACAAAAAATTATTCATCTCTCTTCCAATTACTCTAAATAACACCAATTCATTTTTGTTTTAGGATTGTAAATTAATGAAACCACTCAGCTTGTCTAGATATATTTTTTCTCGGTAGCTTATTTTTCTGAAATTAAGTAACAGCACAAAATAAACTAACGTGAAAAAAAATAACAATTCTGTACTAGCTGTTCGTTTGTAAACGTTAATTTCTACGTGTACACATTGCATCAATCAGCATCCTATAAATTGTATGCACATTGTTATGAAATAAAACTGAACACTTCGTCCAAACTCACATATCTGGGAGTATCCATGCGCTGACTTCGCGATCTCCTCAAGATATTTCTGTAACACGTCGGTCAACAAGTCGTGGCTCGACTTTTGTAAGGCATCCCAACCCATGGACTGGCAGATCTGAGCCACCGCTATCTGAAGAGCACCGTGGTTAAACCCGTCACACATGGCGAATAAGGCCGAAAAAATTATCAATTCAATTTCTAACAAGTAAGCATTTGCTATTTGTTTCACTTTAAAGAGATTACCGAGGAAAAATAGACTATTTTAAGCTAAATTTCTATAGAGCTTTAGTTAGTTCTCGCCAAATGAAGGTCTTAGGAGGGACGATAGAGTACGCATGCTCATCATCATGCCTACCGCTATACTCGAATACTCTTAGCTCATAAACAATTTTCTCGGCGGAAACTTTGGAATTTTCTGATTTTGACAGCGGCAAGGGACGGAGGAACTTCGATGTGCTCCTGCGATGGATGAATTAGAAGTGCCATATTACGTCGATGGCGACCTAGATGAGTACTATGATGATCCTGATGAAGCCTTGTTGTACGAACATTTGGAAAAAATGTCTAAGTATGGGCGATTTTTCTACATGTTCCAGTCTTGTGTGGGACCGACGACTGTCCAGACATTTGACTTGGTCGGTCCTCTCTTGGTAATGTGCTTTATTCTACGGGTTGTCTCGGCACTTAAACTTCCAAGACTTGTAGTTCATTTCGTTTCATTTATCTGTGGACTAGGAGCTTTATTTTTGTTCCTGAAAAAAAACTTGGTGTATCCACTGGCCATGAGCGCGCTTGGGTATCTAATTCTGTTCGTGAAGCACGGAAATAGAGGGATGGTAATGGCTTCGACTTCAGTCATGTTTTTAATCATATGGTGCGTCTTGTTGTTTATAATCTCTTTCATTTAGTTCTTTGACCCTGCTGAAAAGGAATTTGTTGTAGATGACAGAGGCACATCCAGAAATTTTGGAAGGGGGGAGCCAAACTTTTATTTAGAAAATATAATTTTATATTAGTATTATTATCTTTTTTCCACTTGAGCCTAAATGAGGTTGAAGTATTTAAAGGAAATTTTTAACATGCCTAGTTTAGTAATGATATGTCATCCTCTGCTATAAGAATTTTGGTCCCTGTCAAATAATTAAAGAATCACTTATGTCTGAAGAGTGGGGTGGGGTGGGAGGTTGGGGCTGAATCCCCCACACCCTTCCACCTGGTTCCCCAACTGGATAAGAGCCAAAAGCATCTGAATAGTGCATAGGAGATCGTAGCCTGTTTAAGCTTTTTGTTAATGAGTTTAATAAAAGGCAGATGAGTTAAGAGAAAATCACCGGGAACCTGAGAGAGAGTCCTCCTTTTCTTCTTTTTATTGTATTTTCAATACATATACTTACAATACAATATGGACATTACTTGCAAGAAAAAAAAGGGGTAAAAAGTATACAACTACATACTTTTAATTTTAACCTACTGTAGGCTGTTTTCTCCTTGTTGCCTCAATGCATCTATTTTGCTTGCATACCCCTGCTGACATAGAAGCCTGGCCATGTTAGTTGAAAAGCATTTTTCCATTTTTCCTAGGTACACACAGTGAACCTTTTTCCCTGCATTCTCTGTTGCCTCTTTAGTGCGTGAAGCAATAAAGAGTCTGGCTAATTATGTACAACTTAGTTCTTTGTTTTAATTCTTCACAGTGAACTGTTTATTGTTACACCTGAAAACTGGCACCAGGTTCGAGGTATTTCCTAAAAAATCATTTCATTCATATCAGAAATACTTAGTCCTTGTTATTCTATGATATGACCTCTCAATCAAAACATTGATCATACTAGTTGGTAGAAAGAAATTCTTAAAGCAGAACCTGACAAAGAATGTTTTTATTTAAGTATAATAAAACTTTTTATTTTTATATTGCCCCAAATTCATTGTTAAAGTATTTCTTTGTTTTAAATAGCACATGCTGAGACAATTAAGTCTGTTATTTTTGTTACTGTTTCATAAATTGTGTATATCACATGAGGTGATTGGGAAGAAATAACTTACTTAATGATAACTAGAATCTGATTTTTCAGGCTCTCAGATGGTACTAGTAATGAAGCTTATTTCATTGGGTTTTGATATGGATAAAGGTACAACTCCTCGGCCTAACATCGTGGAGTATCTTGGGTACTCTGTGTCAGTCAGTTCTGTCATCTTTGGACCTTTTCTGACATATTCAGATTATTGCCAGCTTTTGGATGGAAAAAAGTTGGTAAGATAAAGGATAAATTTTTAGCCTTACTTTGCACATATAATCTTTGTGCCTACAAGTGGTGAATAGCATTGCCAGGAATGGCTATCAGTTGTAATTGGTATCAGCATTCTCATTATCATATCGTAATCGTCACTGTGGTTAGGGTCATTAGTATTATATCTGTTGCTTGTCACTGTCATCCACATCATCATTATTAGTTTTTACGCAATCATCATCATTGCTGGCATCATTCTTACTCCAATTTTGTTTGTATACTTTCTTTGTGCTGAGTTAAAATCAATGTCTGTGAATATATGAAAATCATGTATATATGAACTGGGGTTTAAGAAAGGAATTTGAAAGCGATCTTCACAGTAATGAACACTACTTAAGCAGTAGTTTAAATATTAGGCCTGAAAAAAATTCAGACCTGGTCTGGATATGAACCCATGACTTCTGGGATACCAGTGCAGTGCTCTACTAAACAAGCCAACTGGGAGCTGGTCATTATGTATATGGTCATTATGTTGGTTTGTAGTAAACCAGTGAAGTGATGAATCAATGTCTATGAATATTTGAAAATCTTATGTGTGAACAGCAGTTTAAGAAAAGAATTTGAAAGCAACCTTAGCAGTAACAAATGCTACTTAAGCAGGGGTGAAAATAAGACCTGAAAAAGATCCTGGCCTGTCTATGATTTGAACCGATGACCTGCAATACCAGCACAGATATGTTCACTTGATAAAATCTAATTAACCCTTTAACTCCCAAGATTTTATTAATAATTCTCCTTACTGTCTGCCATACAATTCAATTGATGTTAGTTTAGAGAATTTGGAATTGGATCAATCAATAATCCCCTAATTGATATTTTTCTTTATTCTCATTACTTGTCTGTTAATATTGTACTGATAGTGTAAGGAGAAATTCTGTCTTGGTCACTAGTGGGACTTAAAGGGTTAAACTAAGTAAAATGTACCACTATTTCTCTCTCCTCTTTTTCAGAGCTTTGCCTGGTTTTTAGGAGTAGTAAGGAGTTGTTTTCTGTCCTATTGTTGTTTAATAGTTTCAGCTTGTGTTGCACCATGGATGTTTCCAGAGGACTCTTTTAAGTAAGTGAGATTTCAAATAATAATTGAAAGAAATAATTCGCTAGTAAATTAATGGCTTGTGTATTTGACATTTGGGTAGATAATCTTATGGTGTTAAGAGATCAAAAGAAATTTTAATTAATAATTTTTTTCCACTTATTTTTATCAACATCATTCAGTAAATAGAATAAGAGAGATGGTAAGTGTTAGAGCCCAGTAAAGAAACAGAGAAAGATGTTTTTTTGTCTTGTCATGAGCATGGGACTAAAAAAAATACTGAGTTCCCATGAGGAATTGAACCTCAGACCTTCAGATTTTGCACTCCCATGCTCAGTATCATTGAACCACAGAGACTCTACAGTGAATGAGGTCTATTAGGAAGTTCATATGACATGCATACTGCCAGGATCAGCAATGTCTATAGCATCATGTTTGTAAATAGTGATTAAAAATTACATTAACCTTTTAACTCCCAAGAGTGACCAAGACAGAATTTCTCCTTACAATACCAATACAATATCAACCAGAGAAGTGATGAGAGTTAAGAAAACTATCAATTTGGGGATAATTAGTTGATCCAATACTAAATTCTCTGAATTAAAATTATAAGAATTGTATGGTTGACAGTAAGGAGAATTTCAAAACTAATTTGGACTGGGAGTTAAAGGGTTAACAGTAATTTTAACATATTATTTCTATTCTCACTTACAGATGGTTTATGGCATACCAATCAGCAATGTCATTTAGATTCAGCCATTATTTTGTGAGCTTCCTATCAGAATGTACAAGTGTATTAAGTGGAATTGGCACAGAAGTTAACCAAGAAGGAAAGCCAAAAACAATCTGGTAAAATAATCATTAATTCCTGTGATCACCACATAACATGTTCCAGTGAAAAGTTTAATAGGAGGCCAGCTGTTTCTTGAATACTTAACAGGACTCACCTTTTGATTAAAAAAAAAATTGCATTATGTTTATTTTTTTGCAGCTATTGTTGAATGTAATCATGTTAATGGGTTGATCTGTTTCATTGTTTTGATTTTTCATAGGAGGTATGATGTAGCACGACCCCAGCACATTGAACTTCCTCGTTCCTTGGTGGAGGTAGTAGTTCATTGGAATATACCAATGCATTTGTTTCTCAAAAATTGTGAGTATGTAGACTGCTGAAGGAGTTAAAAAGTAAGCAATGGTCCACAATTGTGTTTGGAAGTGACTCCGGATCACTTGATCAAGAATGTTAAGTCAAGCTTAGTGGTCTATTTGAGGGGATAATTAAGACAAATCTTTTTTGAAAGGACATATGGTGGCATAACCCTTTACACCCTGACATCAGTATGCATATTCTCCATACTGTTCTCTATGTATTTCCTAAGGTGCTGACAAGGGGAATTTGTTTAATAATCAAGAGCTTCAGTCTTTAGTTGGTGATCATTTTCTTTAGTCTTGTAAACATAATGTGTGATTCAGGGGTGATATTGTAAGGAGAAATTAGATGCTGGTCACTGTAGGGATTGAAGGGTTAACTGTTAGCATGCTGAACTCCAGGCTATGTGTAATTTAGTATTATCAACTGAGTTGGTATAATTTGTAAATAAGCCACCATAAAGAGTTTCAAAGCTGACCTTTTGGGCGTAAGCCCTTCATCATTCACTCTGATGAAGGGCTATATGACAAAGGGCCAACGCTCAAAATATCAGCTTTGAAACTCTTTATGGTGGCCAATTTACGATAACAACTCAATTGATAAATAAATACTAAATTACCTTGTTATAATCTCCCACTGATGCAGCATTACAGTTTCTTTAGAAATTAAACTTAGCCCCTTCATTATTCAGGCCAAGTGGCCTATATAGTTTCCTGGCTTGTGCATGTATGTGTCAAGCATGGGTCAACTGTAATTGAAAATGATGTATGCATGTTTTCTTTTTCCAATCACCAGATGTGTTTAAGAAAGCTATACCTCTTGGAAGATTTTTTGCTGTTTTTTCAACATTTGCATTGAGTTCATTACTTCATGTAAGTATATATCTTGGAATGCTTGAGTTTATAATAGTGTTGAAAATCTGACAGATGAAGCTTGGTGCAATATCAGATGACTTCTAAAGGTATTGAAAATCTCTCTGGATAATGAACTGATTCAGTTTCAAATAATGAATCATAAGTTCGCTTGACTCCTGTGAACTTTAAAACAACTCTTTTTCATGCATTACACTCATTATTTATGTTATCTTGAAGGGTATCAATTTTCAACTTGCGGCAGTGTTGATTTCTGTAGGAACATATGCTTACATTGAACATGGTAGGTGAACACCCAGCATCGTTGTGTGAGATCTTAGGAGAAAGCTTGAATCTGTAACCATTTCATGTTGTATTTAGCATAAGAACACATTTTTGTGGGGCATTGTACAAAAATGGATATTTTTCTTCTAGAATTCTACATCTTACTAACACTTAATCTTGTCAGTGGTATTTACTGAGGAAGATTTTATTAATGATAGAAGTAGTTGTCTAGGGTGACTGCATGTGCAGGAGCACCTCTTGAACTCTTTGTTTTTTGGAAACCAAAATACTATTTGAAGGAAATTTTTTCACTCAAAGCAATTTATGTATCCAAGTTGATCTTAATTTCTTGTCTTGACAGTTTTGCGTCACAAATTGGGGAAAATTTTCAATGCTTGTATTCTAGCAAGAAAATGCAGACCAGAGTGTGGACATGTTTACAAAGATGTGAGTAGTCTACTTAAAAATCTTTTAATCCTTCATTAGGATTCTGGAGCCTGTTTTTTTGACGGTCAGTGATAATTCAGGATAAAAAGTTTACCTTGTTCTTGATTTCTATTGATTGCAATATAGGGTATATTTTGGCTTACGTTTTTAGGAGACATTTTACAATTTCATCTTACAAAACTGGAGGAAAAAAATATGTGAAATAATTCAACTGTCTGTGAAGCTATGCAACTAAAAAACAAAATTGCAGAATAATCCACTGTTACCTTATTCCTTTAAATCTCAGAGGTGATTAACTAGTAAATTCTCTCTACAATATCCATACATTATCCAACAAAACAGCAATGAGAATACTCAAACTAATCAGATAAAAGTATTTATCTTGATCTTATAACGCCAAATTCATGTCACTAATTTACAAAGAAATGTATAGCAGCTTGAGGGGAGAATTAACAATCAGATCTTGGGAGTTAATAATTAAAGGGTTGATCTTCCTTTGATTAACTTGGCCCTGGGCTATTTGTTACACTGCATTCTTTTGGATCTTTTAAGGTACATGTTGTGTAAAATGAAACAGCTGTTTGATCAGCACTGTTTGCAAATTTTAAAAATTTTTTTTATGCTCCATCTTCTTTTCTATATTCTATCTTCTTTCAGGGTAACTTTTGGGTGATTGCTGCTAATCTTGGCCTAAGCTTCCTTTCGGTCTTTCACCTGGCTTATTTAGGCATCATGTTTGGGGGAGACTCAGAAATCCAAGAAAAGGTCATTATGAACAAAAATGATTTTATCACAGTAAAAATCTTCCTTGCTAGGTTCATTATCTGTTTTCCTGTGAAACTGTGAGCTCTCTGTTTTGTGAGTTTCACAGTGAAAATTGACTTTAATTGTGTAGAATTTTGATGAATGCATTTAATTTTGTGGTTTTAATTTGTTTCAGGGTTATGGCATGAATCACACTCTAGGCAAATGGTCAGATTTGGATTTTGCCAGTCATTGGGTGGCCCTGGCAACTTTTCTTTTGAGTAGAATTATTGGCTGAGCAAGTTTAAGCAAATGCAAAATATACAAGTCAACTATGGTGAATGTTTTATAGGGGTCCACTGTTTCCATTGCCTCTATAGACTGAGCAAAGTGACATAGCCTTAATTTGCATGTCTTAATTTGCAAATGGTGATTGCAAAGATCACCTGAGTAGATTGGACTGGGAATCTACCAACTTTCTCCAATACTTTATTCCAACCAAATATTGGTGTAAAATAACACTGTTAACTGTCAAAAAAGGACTCAGCAAAATTATACAAATGCTAAATAATATTAATAAAAATGAAACCTTAAGCCATTCAGTTCTCAGCCGAAAAAAGAAGGAGAGCTTTTTTTTCAATTCTGCAAGGCGTTATTCTTGAGTCATAAGATTTTCCCTTGTATTTTAGTTAAAAAAACGTTTCTGACAATAAACAGTGGCAGCTGAGTAAGAGTGTTTTTCCTTCTTCTCATACCCAGTCTCTTGGTATCTGCTAGCTATGATTGACTTACTGAATAAAGGGGGATGAGGATTCCCATGCTAATTTGAAGTAACTTCATATTTGAGGAATTTGGAACAAGACTGACCTATAAAATCACAAGTGACAACAAATGCAATGCACGGGCAGCTCAAGTAAAGCACAGCATATGAACTTTTTCAAATGGGTTACTCAAAACCAAAATTTTGCTTAACACATGATCTATAGATTTTGTTTTGTGAATAACCTTAACCTTGACAAAGCCTTGTGCAACAAAAGACTGCAATTTTTACAGCTTTATTTGTTGCAGCATTGGGCCTTGTAGTTGACTTTCACAACTAATTATTGTCTCAATTTTTACAAATTAAAGTCAAAGCCACTTACAGACTGTATTGTGACTAAGAGGTTATCATTTAAAGATACAGAACCATAATTATACAGTTTTTGCACTTTTTTGGTTATTTTGCAGTACAGGGCTTAAGTGCATAATTTACAGTGTGCTTAAAGTGTTAATCTAACAATTGTATCAAAATGAAGGCCATATTGTTTCAAAACCTTCACAACAGAAAATAAAAAGGTGACATGAAACTTCCTTTCCCCTAAAAACCTTGACCTAGCTGTGTGAACACTTACTTAAAAACGTAGGGTTTTTATCCTAGAAAATGAGAAGTGTTCCTTTTTCTTTTTTTCCTTGTTTTTTTTCTAATTTTAGAGTCAAAAGCATGCATTTTAACAAGTACCATCATTTAGTTGTCTTGTACAAAATTTTACCAGCTCTATTTGCTTGCAAGAAATACATGCATATATACAACTATGTAGAAAGGCTTCTAAAGTTAGGTCAACATTCTACAAGCCATTGATATATCTTTAGTTGTCTACATGGCCAAAAAATTTAATTTTTATACTTACAACCTATACCTATCTAGTAAACTATGGTTTGTAGGGTTACGAAGATATCTGTTGCTAGACAGATTATATTTCCACTATAATTTTTAAGGAGCTTGGGTTTTTTAATGCAAGATAGTCAACTAATTGTTATGTGCATTAAGCTGTGAGTAAAATATGACTATTTTATAAGGTGTCCATTTGCCACCAGTAAATATCTCAGATATTTACATGGCATCATGTATCAGTAATGTACATCAGATATTTTGTTACATTTTACCACAAAAAGTGTCAAGTTTCTTTTTCTACTCAATTAGATCTGTAATGTTAGTTGAATTTTCATGAAAATACAACCATGATCTTGAGTAGGACTGCAATGTCTTCAGAAGTTTGTTAGTTGAGGTCGACATGCACAAACAGCAGATGTATGGCTGTTGTAAGGAAAGGCATCAACAGTGTCAATAGAACAGCCTTGACACCTGTCAAATCAATGCCTAGGATCCGAATACCTCTTCCATTTTCCAAGTATCCTTTCACCTTATTCAGGATTTCATCATCATCAAACAGATAATCCCCCTCTTGCTGCTCACTGTACTTGAGATCTTGGACAATCTCAGGTAGACTGGTCATTATCTTGTGCAGCTTGGCCAGGAAAACTATTGGGAGGCTGTATAATACCAGCATTTCCAGGAAATCTGCCAGTGCACCACAGATGATTTTGGTAATCATCCATCCGTCTGTCTTTGAAACAGTGTGCTTCTTAAAGGGCTGGGATTGTGTGGTATTTTTACTTCCTTTGGAATCTGCTAGCCTCAGGTATATAGCCAGTTGCTGTGGCTGGGAGTTGTTTTGCTTGCCAATATCAACAATACTGTTTGGATCTCGTGGAGTTTCCCTTGCTCTTGTTAGTTCTGCTTGGTCAGTGTAGGTCTGTTTGTAGTAGCTTTCCGTTTGAATACGTTCCGCAAATGAAAAAATTGACGGAATGAGGAGAATCAGCAACAACAGTAGATGTATCAATAAGAATGGCTGGAAAGCCCTCTCTGCTCTGCGGATCGTAATTTTGATGTCGATAAACCGATTTCTTACTTTTTCTTTACCTTCGCGCCACTTTTGTATCTGCTCCTTGAAGAAACGAACTCGGCTAAAGATAATGTATACCTCGAAAATGAACACTATGAATATCGGCAGAGCCACAAGTCGCGCCAGAACCGAAAATAGAAGAGATAAAACGATTTCTTTCAGATCGAACGATTCCACTTTCTCAGTGGTTATGTTCATCTGAATGACTCTGGAAAAAACTGGCACAACGAAAACACCAATCAACACAGCCGCGCCTGTCTTGAAGATCGTACGTCGAACTTTCTTCCAGTATCGCCTGGTTAGAATCACCTCAGACAGCATTCTTTCAAGGTGGCGCTTTCTAAAGTAATATAACCCAAGAATGTACATCTCGAGGTACCTGAGAGACCAGACGATGTTTTTAGCGGCTGTCACAGTTTCTTTTAATTCTTCCTCAATCAACGATCTGTTGTGAAATGCGCCCATATCGTAGGCATAACAGATACAAAAGAAAATTACTATCAAACACTGCATCATAGCCCAAAACGCCTTGCGTTTGGTTGACGCGTTTTGAGGGTACCACTGGAATGTGATGAACTCAAGGTAGAACCGCAACCACTTCAGACGGGAAGAACTCAAGCTTAGATTTATGACAGCGTCGTCTCTGGTCACAGGCTTGCTATCATCGATCCAGGCTGCTTCTATATCACTATCACTGTCTCCATAAGCTGTTTCTTCTTCACATTGTTGCGACACGATAGAGGTCATAGACGAAGTGCGATCTCTGGCACCTTGGAAGTCATTGTCGATGTTCCCTGTCGCTTGTGCTGTTTCTTCGTGGTTGCCCTCTGTTTGTAAAGTAAGAGATCCTCTGTCGCTGCCAAAATGATAAACGGGTCTATGTCCAGAGGCCATGATTCAACGAATAAGGACTGAACAATCTGCTATAGTCAAGCTATAGTTTACGTCAATATAGGTTACTCTTAGGCGTGATTTAGGGGATTCCCCTCTATCGCTTTCCATTTGATTCTGGCGCTTTGCCACTTCAAGAAAACAAGAAAAGCGCTCTTTTCAATTGCATAACAAAGCACACTAAGTAAGAAATGCTTTAATCATGAATGTATCATAGATTTCTCTGGTATATCGTGCGATAATAAAGCTTTTGTAAGTTGTAGGCCGTCAAATACAATGCGTGTTTGGAATACAGTCCTGCTGCTATTTTCTTCTAGATGTGTCTCGACTTATCTCGGGACTTTGAAGTGTAAATTTTTAAAATAGTCAGTTTTAGTTTCCGTTGAAACCCGAAAGAAAATATATCACCTGCTTCAAAGAGTAGCAGTCATTAATGCACAAAAGTCTGTTGTATCGTAAATAAAGTTTTCCACGAAAAACGCTCACGCATCATTTACTTTTCTGAGAGGTACGCAATACTATCTACGCATACTCCCATTTCCGGGAAAGCAAAAGCAAAGCGGTTCGGAAATAGTGGTTCGCAGCATTCACTCGCTTTGAATTTAGCGAGTTATCCTCGTTTGAAAATTGTACAGACAAACCGAAAGCTACCTTTGTCTTCCTTCAAAATGCCATGGTCAGCAACTCAACAAAAAAGGCTTGGATTCGAGAAAAATATTCTCGAGAAGTACTTCGGTAACAGAGTTTCATGGATCAATCCAACTAGCGATACGAAGGTTGAAGTAAGGGTAACAACCACCAATGATAAACAGTATACTCTCAGAGTGTACATTCCAAGAGATTTTCCGAATTCATGCCCGGATATGATTGTCAGTAACCCTTCGTCCTGTCTGAGAATGAGAGACGGTTCTGTGATGAGCGCTTTGAGTGGGCTAAACCATACAATGGGCGGCAGAGATGGCTGTACTCAGATCTGCCATTTTAAGCCGAACTTGTGGAAAGATGACAACACTCTGTACCAAGTGGTTATGAAAGGGCTGATATGGCTGGAGGGATACGAAGCACATCTTCGCACTGGGCAACCTTTGAGTAATTATTTGCAAGAGATGTAAACAAATTGGCTGAGGACAGGAAAATAATTGTGGATCGAGACAAACACTTCTGTGACAATAACATAAGTTCGTACATTTCTACTTGAGCCTGAACCTTGATCCTTCCGTTTGGGTAAATTTTTTTTATTACTGTTTAGATTTAACGCTGGATGAAGTTTATTTTTTCAAATCCTGGCTCTTATGGGATATCTGACCAAATAATTCACATGGCTAAACCTTCACTTCCGCGCTTTGAAGTCCATATTGTAATTAATATTACCATTTTTATTTGTGTCGCTTTCCTGTATTATTCGATTTCTGCAAACTCTCTTGGAGTCAGGCGAAGGATCTTATTCTCCAGAGTGCTAGCAATATCGTGGGGGACTCGATCACATCCAATGACCTCCAAAATACATTTGTGCGATCCCGAAGGCGTCTGAAGGGTTGCTTGAAAGATGTTTATTTCGATCGCTTTCGCCAGTTTCTACAATCGAATGATTTGCGATTAGAATAGGATCTTACGTATGAACCTCTTATCTCTTGATCTCGTATTGATTCTTTTTCATTTCAGTTGGTACATTTTTTCGATAAGTCGGCTCCTTGCCAGGCATTCCAATACTTAATCAAAATACAAGTGACCATTACCCTCTCTTTCTCCTCGTCTCTTTAACAAATGTTCAGTTTTGAGTGTCACGCGAGGCACAGAAACCATTCCGTTTTAGTGAACAATCACTTCTCGTCAGGTCAAGAAAGGCCTTCTCCACGTTCAGAGCAAATGAAAGTTAACATCGAACCTCTTTTTCTACATGAGGCTCAAAACTGCCTTTATTTAAAAGACAACTTCAAATGAGAGAGAAAGATCGAGCAGGGGTGAGAAGAACGACTAACCTGGCCGGGAAAGTGGGGAATGGGGTAGGGAGAGGCTAACTAACTAAGAAGGTCAGGCCGTTTTAAAACACAACATATTCTGCTTCTTTTTTTCATCTGAATTGATTAATGTTAATTGGCCTCGTAAAGGATTTCTAATGCTAAGGTTTTGAGGTTAGCCCTTCGTCATCTCAGTGTCGGTGGCTAGTGATGGATTTTAACTAGCCACCCCACTTCTGTGAATATTTGTTAGTTATACTACCTCCCGACATGCAGAAGAAGTACCCAGTTACTTCGCCCACACATTTGGTCAACTCGCCTACAGTCGTAGTCAACCCTCTTTTCGAGTTTTAAGCTTAAAGATCTCAATCCCAGATTGATAATCAGAGTTCAGTTAATGACTTCTTTAAACAAACAGCACATGCAAACCTAACTCAACCACTTCAGCAAGTGTATTGTTAAAAAAAAAAAAATGACGCCCGTTATCTTGAATAAACGTAATGAAGGTTTTTTCTTCAACTTAATTGCCATTTGGCGCAAAGTGAGATATTTTGGCGTTTGATTTATTAAAAACATGAAAAAGTACTCGTGTTAATGTCAGTGAGAGAGGTGAAGGGTAAAAAAAGTCTACTATTTTCGGTACTGGTTTCGCTATACCCTCGAAACCGCTGACCTTCAATGATGATGCGGATACGACTAAGTGATACAACTAAATTGTTTTCAAAATCTCTTACAAGAAACTTCTAACGATACATCTACTACCATGCGCTAAAAGATCGATTAAAATTTTATTTTCAGAGGGGACATAATCAGTCCTATGAGCGTGACAAAACGTGTAACAAAAACAATTGTCGGAGAGTTGACCAAATGTGTCGGCGAAGTGACCGGTATTAACCCGCAGAGGAAAGGTCCGCAGAGTGTAACGCATAGGCGAGGTTTCTAAATTCCGAGAAGGGATTGAGGAAGTTTGCTATGCAAAGTGTTTTTAATTTTCGCCCTTAAGGTTTTCCAAGCGATATTTCTTCATCGATTTTTCTCAATTGATGCTGGTAATCATAGATAAATTTTGATGGGTCCAGTCTAAAGCCAATATACCTGCAACGATTAGATCTGCTATTTAGTGAATGAACGCCCGTCCACAAGAACACACTTTTCAAGTCCATGGGTGTCTTCTGTTTAGACTTGACCAACCTTTAATTTGAATCACAGGCCATTAAGTGAGACGGCGTTTTTGGGAATAAGAAGACGTGAGGATTACAGAACTATTGAAGTCGGGTATCAAACCTTCTCCTATTTAGATGAAAGTAATCTTTCCTGGAAAAATATTCATACCAACTCCCTACTTTAAGCTGACAGGAATCGCGGTGAGGGTTTCAAAGAGATTAAAAAAAACTACCAGAGAAGACTCTGTCACCAAAACTTTGAATATTACGTACATTATCACGTTACAATACATAGTTGTGCTCGCGTGCTACAACAACAAAAACAATGATCTCAATTCAAAAATATACGAATTATTCGCACGCTACACTACAAGGATGGTCTTGAAAAAAACGAACGCTCCAATTTAAATCGAATTAATCACCATTTATCAGAGGATTTAAATATTTCTAGCAAGCACTGCTGTCAATTCACTATAAAATTGTGCTTATGGTAAAAGAACCTTCCCTTAAAGAATACCGATTTTTTTTTGTGTATTTGACCATCCGTGGCTGTCTCAGAGACGCACTGCGCTAGTAATGGAGAAATATTTCCTTTCAATAACTCTTCTACGATGGAGAAACTCGTACACCTAAATAAAGATTTGCCCGCAGAACCGCAGATTGTACGGTTTTTCTTATTCAGGTGAGCAGAAATAAACGCAAAGCGAGCGCTGGCCAAGCGTAACAGAAGGAGCTCGAGAAAAATGACTCCTTCCGATCACGCATGCCTCGCCCTTCAAGTTTGCCTCCGCGCGCCTGGACAAGGAAAGACAATTCCGCCCGTTCTGCAGGTTATATCAAGAGGTGCAACAACTAGTATCACTTTTCTTTTCATTTGTATCCGTTCCCAATCAAGATGGGAACGGTCAATTTAAGCGACCGATTTTACCAGAGTAAATTGACGAGGGTGGTAGGAAACTAAAGTTCAGTATGCTTCGATATCTGAATCATTAATATCTTCTTCATCTTCAGCTTCGTCAGGATCAAACGTTACCAGAGAGGAAGGAGAAGATCCAGAGGGGTTCAGTCGTTCGGTGGCTTCCAGAGCCACAGGGAAACGCTGATGGTAGCGCTTCAAAGTGAGATACTTGACGGCAACAAGACGACCTGCAAATCAAAGATTAAACCCACCGTTAGCGGGAAAATAATTAACTCTCAGTAAATGTCGCGTTTTCTTTTTCGGAATTCCAGTGACAAATGAGAAAGTTCATCCAACCGATCCGTTTACAACCTCTCGATAAGGACTTATTTGATCAAAAGTAAATCCTTTTGATTCCTATGGTATAGGCACCAAAAAGAGATTGAACTAAATTCTAAAATTAAACTCTGCAAAACCTTACCATCAAACCAACATCCGTGGAGACTTCGAAAGGCCAGGCCTGCTGAACTGTGTGTGTCACACTTAACATACACACATCCCTGAAAGAAATATACCGGTACAAACCATAACCATGTATTTCACGAGTCAAGATGGGTGTTGCAGCTGGTCGACGCCCAGCCGTCGCTTGGTAACCCAAACGGGACATTTAAGTTTTTGTGCATGCGCGGTACCGAGTTTAAACCTCTTTATCACGTTTATTTTTCGATTATCTTGGTCTCAATGTTAGGTTAAACAATGTAAAATTTTTTGAGAGTTTCCTCAAAGCCTTCGTGGCGGATTTTGGATTAAAGGTTCATATGTTAGTCACAGTTCGCGGCAATAATAGGAAACATAGGAAGAAGAACAACACAAAAATTACGAAGGTAAAAAAATGTATCGTACCTCGCTGGAACTCTTATCCACTGCTATGTGAACAACACCTGCTCCATTCTCAATGCACTTCTCTAATATGGCATCTTCAATCATCACATGCCAGCCATCCTCAGTTTCGCTACAACAGTCAACATGCGATCAGAACAGGTAAAAGATGAGAACAGGGAGAAATTTGGGGAGGGTAGTGTGGAGCGTCTAGCCCCTCGTTTTATTCAAATTAACTCTCAACACCCTAACATCAGTATCCATATTCTCCATACTATTCCTTACACATTTCCTTTGGTATTGAAGAGGAGAATTCGTTTGACAATCAAAGGTTGTTGGGTTGGTGATCATTTCCTTTATTCTCATGATCCTACTGAATGATTCAGCAGTATAACGGTAAGGAAAAATTAGACGCCGGTCACTCTTACAAGGGTTCATAGGGTAAGGGACCAGTCCCCTTGTAATATATCTACTGAAATTTCTAGGCACAAATGAGAAGTGAGAAATTGGAATTTTGAAATCTAACTCCACCAATTCTTCTTCATTGGTGAAAACTCTTGTTGATTATGCATCACTTTTTACATGCAGCATGGGAAATGATTTACTGAAGATACTTGTATTGAACATAAAATCTTAATTGAGAAATTTCATTACTGAACAACTTCAAATAGAAAATATGAAATTTGGTTGCCATGAAATGAAAGAAAAACATGATCTTGTGATGAAATGACAACCTAATGCAGTAATAACATAAAAAAAGAAAGATCCTACTCTACACAACCACAATGTATAATTATAACACAACTGTAATTGTTAATGTTGTACTCACACATCTGGATCAAACATGTTCCTTATTTTCAAACAGGGTGTTGGACTGATCACAGGAGGATTAACAGCAGACTGGAAGTTTTCAAATGCTGCAAAATGATGTTAAATAACAAAAAAAGGATCCCATCACATTGGCATTCGAGCAAATCATTTCTTAACCCTTTAACTCCCAGAGATTTCACTGTCACAGTCACAGCCATCTTTTCATTTAATCTCATGACTTTAATAAGTGATTCAGCCATGAGAATATAAGGAGAAACTGCATCCTTATCACTCTCAAGGGTTTAAGGGTCAATAAGTCTGTAATATCAAATTAAAGGAAACAAGTAGCGACTAGAAACAAAACTGAAATATCTAAATCACCTTGTCCTTGCCAATATTTGCCGCGTTTTGTGCCCTGTAGGATAGTAATTGTAAACTATCAGTTCAGCACTCTAGATACAGTTTTTCCTTAGAGCTGAACCAGGCCATGCTCAAGAACCTCCTCTATTAGGTTTGAAAATTCAGTTGTAAATATTAAATTAGTGTCCTTTTCCACCATATACATGTAGTCACAGCAAAACAAAATATCACAAGGAAAAATGATGAAAGTTACTAGTTGAAGTGAAAACTACCAGACTGCCCAAGAAACAAAGAGGGTGAAAGTTGAGGTTGTTTACAATCTTACATCAGATTAGTCGAGAGGGTGTCAAAAGTTTCTTAAAGTAGTCACATTGATATAATTTAATCACTGCCTCTATCAAATTTAAAAAATTCCATTTCTGCAGAGGAAATACACTTACCGAAAGTGACAGTTTGGGGCTGTGAGGTTTAGGTGTAGTATTAAATGTGGATCCACCGCCAAACTTCAAAAAATCCTCTCCAGCTATCCGTTGACTTTCCACACGGATGCGTGATTCGTTTTTGCACTCAGAAACCTCACTGCTCTAGTCCATGCTTTAAACTTCTTCTGTCTGTTCAAAATGAAAAAAAAAAAAAAAAATCGGTGGATTCTATATCAGAACAACATATTCGATCTTGGAACAAAAGAGCCAACCGTGAGCGGAATGCTGCATCAGCTACCAAGAAGAAGGTTTTGAAGCAAAGAGAAAAAGAGAGGGAAGAAAAAGCGACAGCAAACTCGAAAAGGGTTCGAAAACTTCGTCAGAATAGAAAAGAGTCATCATTTGCGCAACCGAAACCTGAAGTCAACATCACCACACCAGCTTTTAGTTCAAGGATGGCAAAAAAAACGTGCAAGGACAAGGTGTCCCCTGCCTTACCTCAAACCCCCGCAAAAAGGCTGAAATTCTTCAAAACCTTGCAAGTACTCCTCGCACAAGGAAGATTCTTGAAAAAAAAGAAGTTCGTGAGACCAGTTGAGGAGCAACAAAATATCAAACAATGGAGTGTTTGGTAGAAGATTTGGCAGAAGGATTGTCCAAAGTCAAAAAAGCTAAGTCGACTGATGAAAGAGCAGCTTATAACTGTACGCGCTCTTTGGCTTTTGGATCTTCTGTCAAAAAACAAGCACAGTTTGATCATTTAATGACAAACCTGCCTCTCAACCATATCATCTGTGTGCAAAGTTAGGTTGTCTGTGCTCATGCTAGATGCTGATATTGACATTGATGGCAAAGCAAGTACAGCCCCTGTCCTCATCAAAGCCATCTTTGCCCTTTCAAAGACAACACTTATTCTGATTTAAAGAACAAAAGCAAAACAAAACAAGAGGAATATTCCACTAAATGGAGAAGGAGCTGTTGACAGCCCCAAGCGTTTCATCAGGCAATTTGCCAGTACCCATTTACACTCCTGGGCAGATATAGGCACTGTGGAAAAAAAAAGTTACAAGCAAGTGTTTTTCCTAAGGGACCAGGAACACAAACACAACTATCTGACTCAAGAAATTAAATAGATGTATTATTCCAGCTTTTACCCAACCAGCATGAGGAAATTATGTCTTCTTTTTAAGTCTTGAACCCAGACCTCTCAAATATTTTCTCAAAAAGTAGTTCTTACAATAAAAGGTGTCAACAGCCAAGTAAAAAGTTAGGTTGTCTGTGCTCATGCTAGTCAGCCATTAGGTGACTGTGGAAGAACAATGAAGGTGTCTTTAAAATTCCCAAAGTGCAAAACAAGTCACTGGGCCAACACTCAAAACTACAAAAAGTGTCTGAGTCCTTCAGTACACCATTCAACAAAGCAACTATGTGACTGCAAGTAAATTAAATTGTTTGTTGGCTAACCTTTCAGTAGGAGGAATTAACATGTCCCTAACGTGAGGAATTGGAAGATATGGCAGCAAATTCTTCTCAGTTTTGCTTGCCTCGTGGTGCTCCCGTAAAATGTCTTAAAATGAAAAATTAAGCTCATTTGTGAACAGTTAAAGGAAAAATTCAACTTTGCTGAACAAGAGACAATTATATGTGAATGCAGCAAATCTGGGGGAAAAACCTGTGAGAAGTGGTTTCATTTAATCTTGTAAATAAGCATTATTGACCAAGCATGATGTAAAGATGTTTGAATATTGGCCAAGTTCTTTTCTGCATTTGTAGCTTCCAAATTTGCGAGAGTCCTCTATGCTTCATTTGTTTTGCCCATCTTCAGTACCTTTTGCTCCATCTCAGACATTGTCCAAAAGTTATGAACTTTGTAGGTCTGCTCCACAAAACTTTTTTTTCTTTGCGTGGAATCAATGCAGACAATTGCAAGTGAGCCAGATGGGCCCGTCTAGCTTGCTCAGGTAGCCAATCAGAACCCAGTATTCATTTCATATTGCCCATGGGCACTGCCAGCTATATAATTAAATACATTTATTTTCCTATGCCTTTAAGTTGAGCTCCATTTTCATGAACATGACAAAGGTATTCATGGAATTTTTAAGATGCTACCCAAAACTCAAAACACAAACACTTTTACCACCATTGTGGAGATACATTAAAATTTTTTAAACATCAAACTGGCATGCTAGTAAGCATGAGCCATATTTCAAAGAAAAAATAACAACTCAAGAAACTAAATCCCTTAAACTACAAAAATACTGTCTTTCAGGGAAATGAAAGTGTATAAAAAAGCCTCAAAGCCTACATTATCAGAAAATAAAAACTCAACACTAAAAAACTTGCACCCACCAATGATTTTTTCCACAAACTGGTACATCAGTCTGGTCTCTTCTTCCTCTCTTCTCCATCTTTGTCGCACAATAAAATATGCAATCATCAACCCTCCAATGGCTAGTAACAAAAACAAAGCACAAGGCGACTTTTAACAAGAGAAACTCAGCATGAAAGTTAGTTCAATGTGGCCATTTCCATGAGAATGTCCATGAAATGTCTGAAGTCATTATGCTTGCTTTTGGAAAGGCACAAACATATTTCATTGAGCCAATAACCCTGTAAGATTGTTTACCATAAAAAGAAACAAACTCAACATCTGCTTGGGAGTCTTGCCATCACTTGTAGTGTAAACTAGACATCCATGCTATAGGGGCCAAAGGAGTACTGTCAAAGCTCTTTTATTTAATGCTAGACTCCATTGCATCTTCTTGGCTTACCATTAGCTTTTCTTTAACTCACTGAGCAGAATATTAATCAAATTTGAAAGCAACTCCCATCTTAACAAATATCAACATAAAATATAGTAATAACACTTTAAGACCTGACCCAAGAAATTGGTCTCAGAAGAAAATACTCTCTGTGGCATTTGAAATGTCTGGATCTACCAACTTTTACTGTTAGTTTAAACTTACTTACCAACACTGATCAAGAGAGAGAGATATGCCAAGTGCGATACTGCTTCTTTGATGCGACAAAATATAGGTTTTGCAGAGACTGATGTATCGATCCAGGCCACACTTTTGACATTAGGTGCTCTCTCACTTATATTGTTAAACAACCTAATGAAATCATACAATACATTATTCATAATGACCATGAATACATGAATGATATATATTTGACCTGCAGATTAATAAAAGAAGATAAGAGAGATCATTGCCATTAAGAACACTAATTATTTTAGGCAGTAGTGAAAATACAGCCTGAAAAGAAAAAACTACCTGTAAATGCATGAATTTTTTTTCCAACTTTTTTTGCTACCACTTAAGTAGTGTTCATAAGTTGATTACAGCAAAAAACAAGCACTTTTGGGAGCACAATTGAATATTTAAAATATTAGAATATATGTTTCTCAGGAACTATGAAACCCAGCCTTGTAAAAATGACATGTTACAGCACTGACTTAAAAAATTAGATGTCAGTGTTCAGTAACAGTTACAAGAATTTACGGCAAACTTTATTTCTAAAGTTAATAGTCTTGATCTAACACCAAATTCTCGTGACTTATTTACAAGGAAATGTGTAGCAGCTAGAGAGGAGAATTTAAAATAAGATCTTAAGATTTAAAGGGTTATAGATTTGATCCTCTTTGTCTGCCCTTTAGGATAGGAAACCAATGAAGAAATGTTAAAGACATTGTCAGCTACAAGGAAAAGTGAAAATGCTTGTTGAGACCACAGAAAGGTTTCTCAATTTTGTCATCTACATTCCCCTTAGGCTTTCAAACTTGTTTTGGGGCTTTCCCAGTTCAGAACTTCAACAAAAACCACCACATGCCATTATGTCACACTACCTTAATTTCCAATCAGGGTTATCAAGAATCAGCTGTAGTGTTGTGTGAAGGATTTGAATCTGATCATCTGGATTTCGTAAAGGCTGTAAAATAGTCAAAGCAAGAATTGGCAAAGCGCTGAGTTCAATGAGCAGTGACTTTCTTTAAGCAGTGAGCCTCTGACATAAGTGCTTACTTCTGAAGTTTGCTTGCAAATTCTGATGGTAAAAAACCTCGCAGAACTAATGACTCTCCCAATACTGCATCCTCAAAATGCAAAAGTAACATGGGTTTTTTACTTGAGAATTCTATACCACAACATGGAAACGAAGAAACTAGTGTTGGTTTTCATAATTTAAACATGTTCTTGGTTTCAATTTATTCAGGCCCTTCCTCTACAATATAAAAACTGTTCTTTCAACTGTGGTAGAGGAAATTCCTTGAACAATGTGAAAAATTTTCATCATCAACACATCTATTTATTGCCTCACATAAAAAAAAATATTAACTACCAGTCTAATGACTTGGCAAAAATTGATATTTACTTACATTATCCTGTTTTATTTGTTTTTGTAACTCTCCAAATGAGATATTTCTACCCTCCACACTTGGATCTCCACATTCAAATAAACCTAAAAGGAAAAATAAAATACTATTTAAAACTCTCCTACAATTGACTTTCCTGAAATAAAGTCAACAGTTTTTCTAGTTACATGGAAGGCTTTACTGGAATGTACTCCCTGGAGCACTGGAATACTGTACTATACTCTCCTTGCCATGGTTATTCCAAGGGTGGATAATGCTATTTACTGCCTGAAACTCTATCTAGTGGATACCCCTGAACCTTTTTTGAACATGTCTCCACTGGATAGGGATTTATGTGTTAGATAACATTATCCACCCTTTGCAAAACTGAGCCCAAAATGTTAATCCTCTCTGATGTAGGCAATCCCCTGAAATTCCTGTAGTTTCCCTTCCAAGATTTTGGAACCCATCCATACTTGTGGTTGAAAATAAAACAAAGAGCCTTAAGTAATAACCTGAAAACAAAACACACTCACTTGGGACAACTTGAGTGCTAAAACTTTTAACACAGAGCCCAGCTTGCTAGCAGCAACTACAGCATACCCTATCACTCATCTCTAAAATATCTTAAGTCCTCTCACCTGCTCTGATAATAAGTCTTTTGTACAGAAAGTCTACATATCCCTTGCTGATATTGGTTAATGTTATACAATCAGGATGCTATAAAGCAATTACATGAAATAGGAGTGAATAATGAAAATTAAAAACATAAAACTAAGAGTATAACCAGATTTACCTTCAACTCTCAAAAGTGATTAACATAGAACTTCTCTCCACAACATTCATTACACTATCCAGTAAACAGGTTATGAGAACATTCAAATTTATCAAGTGATAGTTGTTATCTTCACCTTACACCAAATTTTCATCACTAATTTACAAGGAAATATGTAGCGGCTAGCTGAGAGAAACATTAATCAGATCTTCAGAGTTAAAAGGTTAAAAAGGAAGGTAAATTTGAGCTTTTTCATCAACCAAAAAGAGATGTTGTCATTTATCACAAACACTGTGCGCAGAGTCTGTTCGAAATGGTGATTTTTTTTCCTTTTACCTCAAAAACCTGACAAGATATTTAACACATCACACCAGTCATTAAAACTTCACAAACAAAATAATCATTTAATTATGTGCACCCTTGGGGACCTACCTAAAATAGTGGAGACTATTAATAACTAAATGTGAAGTTGAACACTTCAATTAAGTTTGAATTCCACTGAGAAATTATGTTGTCAACGTTCAAATGTAGGTAACATTTGGGTAAAAATAGCTGCAGTGACAAATATATTATGCTATATTAATTAACAAGTCGATAAGAGATCAAACTCACGAGCAATTATCATTTTGTATATCATATAATCATTGTTACCTTGGGTTTATTCCCACATACATCCAGTGAATTTTTCCCTTGGCAAACTGTGAGTTTCACTAAGGAAGAGAAATGAAGACAGCAAGTCTTATCACATAAGTCAGTGACTAAACTAATTCATAAATAAAAACCACAATTACAGCAAAAGGTCTAAAATTAGAGCATCGTTTTTTCAACGATTAAGAAGTGTGTACACTTCGAAATGAAATACATTTATCTCTAACGAGTGGTAGATAACTTGCTAAAATACTTGAATGCACAAGATACGATTGGTTGATTAGATGATAAAACAAAACCGAAAAGGCGATATTACGACGATATTCTCACCTAAGTCTGCAAGGATCATTTGTTCGCTTGAGTGGCCCTTGAAGGTCGCATACAACAAAAGAGGAATGCAAATAGCACTTATTAGGAGTAAGATCTTAGCAATTGATGACCAAGAGGAGCTATTCTTCGCACGTTTGGCTCCAGTATGTCTCTCTTGAAGTGAAGAGCTTAGTTTAGATTCGGTAGAAGAGAAATGTTTGTTGCTGCCATTGGTGGATGAAAGCGTAGTTTCTAATCCTTCACTTTCGTCTTGAGATCTTCCGCGTTTTGTCGAGACGGGTGGACGAGAATAGTCAGTTGAACCAACAACTCGACCTCTTGGTCTTTGATAGCTTTGCGCATCGGAATCTGAAAATTCTCCATCAATACCATCCGTGGAATCTAACGTGTTCACAGCAATGCTACCTTGATCGATGACGGTCGTTACGCGCGACCTCAAATTGTTCCTCCTTGATGGAGTAATCGACCTCGACCAGCTGCGTTTCTGGGAAACGTTACTAAACGACGTTTCTTCTCCACGCCTAGCCCTGCTATCATCAACTAAACTACTTGAATGACTTGGTCCTGCGTCTTCCTCGTCACTAGAAAAGCCGATCAACTTACGCGACGGACTTTGATTTCTCGTTGCGGGTATCGACCTGCGGGCGATAGTCGATCGTTTGGGAGAGGACTTTTTCGGAGGCGTCGCGTTGCTTCCTCGTTCATTCTGTAACCTTTTTAATTTACGAAGTAGCAAGCCCTTGGTAGAGGGTGTAACAGGCCCTGGCTCTTCACCTAAAGCCTTAAGTTGGCGGCGCAATTCGGCGTCAGAAATATCACCGTCTGAGGCCGCCATTATCAAAAGACTTGTTCAGAAGGCCAGGTTACACTGGAAAGAGCTATTTTTGGGCAGGACCGCTGAGCATTTGTCATTCTTGCCACGCCATTGCCACGCCTACAATTTTTACCCCTGATCTACCGCAAGGCTGAATAGTCCCCAAGTAGTCCCCGAAATAGGCCACTTCTATAGATTGATGATACAGCGTTCTTGTTGAAAAGTTTATTTTTAGATCGCTTATTTATTTTTCTTATCCTTCGGGAAAACAGTGACTTCCTTAGCGGATTGTATTGGTAAAATGATATCATAACAGAATGCTATTTTTGAACTATCTTTAAAGCTGTCATTTGGAGACAGTCGACAGTGCCACGAGTGAAGTTTCCAACGCCAACTTTCCTGATTGACCGAGAATAAATCGGGTAAACGCTTAACTGCATCCACCATATTGACGCCCGACATTTCAATGACATTATTCAAAACAACTATCATCACGCCATAAACAAGAGGTCTCAGATCATGCCTGCCTAGGCACGGCAAGGACAAGAAAGAATTCGATAAAAAATCCTTTTCCGATAAAGAGGTTAAAATCCAAGGTCCGTAACTTAAAATTTAATGAACGTATCAAATGAAATAAAATATTTTGCTGTAAATAAATATTTTGAAAAGCCTAAGGAAAACAGGCAACACTGATTTGTCATATTGAATTCGGAAAAAAACTTGAGTGTCCGCCAAAGTGTTCATGTCAAACCCAATGTCAAGGTCAAGGTCTCTAAACGCGATTGACTATTGATTAGATCACGCATGTTGCATCGCGTGTGTGTACAGACAGGGAGATTAAACCGGCCATGTTTGATTTGGAGTTAGAATTGACGGTAGGGGAGGGGTTGGGGAAAGCGAAATAATCTCCACCTTCTGAGAGACGTTTCATAAAACGCCTTTGGTTTCTTTTCGTTGCTATCACTGACTCTTCGTGGTAAGAGATAAAAATCAGGAACATAGGTGGTTCGTAAGTCATGAAAACAAACACTTGTTAATCTCTTGCACTCGTGATAATGTCCTGATGAAAGCTGATATGCAGTGAGTGCATCAAGATTAGTTTTAACCCTTTAACTCTTAAGATCTGATTTTTAATCCTCGCCTCGAGGTGCTACACATTTCCTTGTGAAGAGAACTTGGTGTTAGATCAATAAAGCAACTTCTACTTCATAAGTTTGCGTATTATTATTACCTATTTGATGGATAGCGGTCGATCTCGGCTTGATTCAAGGGAACGACGAAAAAATAAAGCTCATAATGATGACCTTTAATCTCAAAATCCTTTTACTGGATGTCAGATATATAAAGTTTCTTTAGCTTCCGTTTTCATTGTGTGATTTGATGGGTTTCGAGGACAGTTCATTTGATTTTCCCTTCTTTACTGACTCCCCTTCAAGTATAAATAGGCGTCAGGGAAGTCGCATATTAATCATTTCTGCAGGGTAAGTAAAGCCGGAGTAAATGCAGTTGTTGCGTCACTTCGGCAGAACGGCAGAACGCTCGGTTTATCACGTGATCACACATTGGAGTCGTTCGCCTTAGTCAAATTTGCATCATCATCTTCTTCCGTTTGGCAATAATACTTCCTGGTTTCCGGCATAAACTTTGGATCTCCTCCAAGCTTGTTTCCTTGCACATTTACGTCGACAACCCTCCTGATTTTGCGAAATTTGAGGATTCTTTTAAATTCCGTGGCAAAGTCTCCATCTATGGCCGCAATAATTAGCGGTTTCCCCCCATTTGAGACGTTGAAGAGAAACGTGCTCAACAAATAGATTGAGCGCGGGAGACACTTTCCGTTTGTGAATGCGTCGGCAACGTCGCAAGCGTAACCAGGGACCCAGAAAAAAAGAGTTCCTAGTATAAAAGCAGCTAGAAGCTTTGTTTTGTTTTCTTCGTCTTTCCAAGCATTTAGATTTTCCATTCGCCCTTCTTGAGCCCAAAGTTTCGGATCTTTGAATCTCCGCTGAATATTTAATTTCGCATAGGCGAGGTTTCTAAATTCCGAGAAGGGATTGATGAAGTTTTCTATGCATAGTGTTTTTAATTTTCGCCCTTAAGGTTTTCCAAGCGATATTTCTTCATCGATTTCTCAATTGATGCTAGTAATCATAGATAAATTTTGATGAGTCCAGTCTAAAGCCAATATACCTGCAACGGTTAGATCTGCTATTTAGTGAAAGAACGCCCTTCCACAAGAACACGCTTTTCAAGTCTATGGGTGTCTTCTGTTTGGACTTGATCAACCTTTAATTTGAATCACAGGCCGTTAAGTGTGACGGCGTTTTTGGGAAGAAGAAGACGTGAGGATTACAGAACTATTGAAGTCGGGTATCAAACCTTCTCCTATTTAGATAGTAATCTTTCCTGAAAAAATAATTATACCAACTCCCTTCTCTAAGTTGACAGGAATCGCGGTGAGGGTTTCAAAGAGATTAAAAAAAAAACTACCAGAGAAGACTCTGTTGCCAAAACTTTGAATATTAAGTACATTTTCACGCTACAATACATAGTTGTGCTCGCGTGCTACAACAGCAAAAACAATGATTTCAATTCAAAAATATACGAATTATTCGCACGCTACACTACAAAGATGGTCTTGAAAAAAACGAACGCTCCAATTTAAATTGAATTAATCACCATTTATCAGAGGATTTAAATATTGCTAGCAAGCACTGCTGTCAATTCACTATAAAATTGTGCTTATGGTAAAAGAACCTTCCCTTAAAGAATACCGATTTTTTTTGTGTATTTGACCATCCGTGGCTGTTTCAGAGACGCACTGCGCTAGTAATGGAGAAATATTTCCTTTCAATACAACTTCTACGATAGAGAAACTCGTACACCTAAATAAAGATTTCCCCGCAGAACCGCGGATTGTACGGTTTTTCTTATTCAGGTGAGCAGAAATAAACGCAAAGCGAGCGCTGGCCAAGCGTAACAGAAGGAGCTCGAGAAAAATGACTCCTTCCGATCACGCATGCCTCGCCCTTCAAGTTTGCCTCCGCGCGGCTGGACAAGGAAAGACAATTCCGCCCGTTCTGCAGGTTATATCAAGAGGTGCAACAACTAGTATCACTTTTCTTTTCATTTGTATCCGTTCCCAATCAAGATGGGAACGGTCAATTTAAGCGACTTATTTTACCAGAGTAAATTGACGATGGTGGCAGGAAACTAAAGTTCAGTATGCTTCGATATCTGAATCATTAATATCTTCTTCATCTTCTGCTTCGTCAGGATCAAACGTTACCAGAGAGGAAGGAGAAGATCCAGAGGGGTTCAGTCGTTCGGTGGCTTCCAGAGCCACAGGGAAACGCTGATGGTAGCGCTTCAAAGTGAGATATTTGACCGTAACAAGACGACCTGCAAATCAAAGATTAAACCCACCGTTAGCGGGAAAATAATTAAACACATCCCTTAAAGAAATATACCGGTACAAACCATAACCAGGTATTTCACGAGTCAAGATGGGTGTTGCAGCTGGTCGACGCCCAGCCGTCGCTTGGTTACCTATACGGGACATTTAAGTTTTTGTGCATGCGCGGTGGCGGGCATCCTGGAACGGTGCCACGAGGGCACCGAGTTTAAACCTCTTTATCATGTTCATCTTTTCGATTTTCTTGGTCTCAATGTTAGGTTAAACAATGAAAAGTTTTTTGAGAGTTTTCTCAAAGCCTTCGTGACGGATTTTGGATTAAGGTTCATATTTCAAATGTTAGTCACAGTTCGCGGCAATAATAGGAACATAGGAAGAAGAACAACACAAAAATTACGAAGGTAAAAAAATGTATCGTACCTCGCTGGAACTCTTTTCCACTGCTATGTGAACAACACCTGCTCCATTCTCAATGCACTTCTCTAATATAGCATCTTCAATCATCACATGCCGGCCATCTTCAGTTTCGCTACAATAGTCAACATGCGATCAGAACAGGTAAAAGATGAGAACAGGGAGAAATTTGGGGAGGGTAGTGTGGAGCGTCTAGCCCCTCGTTTTATTCAAATTAACTCTCAACACCCTAACATCAGTATCCATATTCTCCATACCATTCCTTACACATTTCCTTTGGTATTGAAGAGGAGAATTCGTTTGACAATCAAAGGTTGTTGGGTTGGTGATCATTTCCTTTATTCTCATGATCATAATGAATGATTCAGCAGTATAACGGTAAGGAGAAATTAGACGCTGGTCACTCTTACAAGGGTTAATAGGGTAAGGGACCAGTCCCCTTGTAATATATCTACTGAAATTTCTAGGCACAAATGAGAAGTGAGAAATTGGAATTTTGAAACCTAACTCCACCAATTCTTCTTCGTTGGTGAAAACTCTTGTTGATTACACATCACTTTTTACATGCAGCATGGGAAATGATTTACTGAAGATACTTGTATTGAACATAAAATCTTAATAGAGAAATTTCATATCTGAACAACTTCAAATAGAAAATATTTGGTTACCATGAAATGGAAGAAAAACATGATCTTGTGATGAAATGACAACCTAATGCAGTAATAACACAAAAAAGAAAGATCCTACTCTACACAACCAAAACATATACAGGGATTAGGAAGGTTTAACAGGCAAATGAGCCTATGGCCCCTATCATTGGAAAGTTATGGGCCATTTATAAAACGTTTGGGCCATTAGGGTAAATAAATGGGCCAGTAAAAATTTTAACAAAGGTTTATTGCTTGTGTATTACAGTCTATGCCTATACATGAATCATCTGTTTCGTACGTTTCACGGTCGTTTTCGCTCACAGTATCACGATTCTGCTCCGCTGTTGTGTTGAAAAATGTAGACAACGTTCTCTGCGAGCTGTCCAATCTCAAGATTTTTTTCGGAGGCATGAGGCTAATCGATGCAAATACATTCAAAACGCTCGAACTCTGCTCGAAAACGAAAGCACATGGAACTCTGAGCAATAGCCTCGTTTGCATGCAAAGTCCGAGTTCAGGGTCTGGGAACAAGAATGAAGCGAGCGTGATCAAACGAGCGAAGGCACCGTAGTTTTTCGCTTGTTTATGTCTCACCAAAGTGAAACTTTTACAAATTAAAATCCTTTTCACAAAATAGTTTATATTTCACTAGCTTTGTGCGGTCAGGGCGCATCACAGGCCCGGTAAGTATTTTTATAATGGGCCATTTCGTAGCTTTATGCGCCATACGCGCATGGCGCACGGCCTTCCTAATCCCTGCATATAATTATAACACAACTGTAATTGTTAATGTTGTACTTACACATTTGGATCAAACATTTTCCCTATTTTCAAACAGGGCGTTGGACTGATCACAGGAGGATTAACAGCAGGCTGGAAGTGTTCAAATGCTGCAAAATGATGTTAAATAACTAAAAAAGGATCCCGTCACATTGGCATTCGAGCAAATCATTTCTTAACCCTTTAACTCCCAAGATGTAATTCTAAATTCTCCCTACACTTGCTACACATTTCCTTGTAAATTAGTGTCAAGTGTTTGGTTTTAGTTAACAACTAGAGAAGCCTTGACTGTGCTCTGTTCTGTTATAAAGCACGCAGGAAGCGGCTAGAGCACGAAAGAAGTGTAGGGAGAAACACGAGACGTAGTCGAGTGTTTCTTCCCACTTCTTGAGTGCTCTAGCCGCTTCCTAAAGTTTTATAACAGAACAGAGCACAGTCATGGCTTCTCTATTTGTTTTATAATAAAGAATCCGTTAAATTACCCAAGCATTACTTTCAATTTTCAAAACAAACTTTATTTCCAAAGCGAACTACTGTGTCGTCAGCATGCTCTATACTCTCATAAAGCACGCTACAATAAGCCAATTAGAATCCCTGTTAGAATCGTTCAAATAATCCGATTTGCTGTACAAGACTAAAGCTTTCAAAAGTGTCAAAACATCAAAGTTCAAAAACCATCAAAGTTCACATTCTACGATAGTTAACAAACTAAAATAGTTCGGCAAGTCGAATTTAACACTTTTGCCTGAAGTTTTTAAGTCTCTAATACAGAATCTTGAAGTGAAATGTTCAGTGAACTTCAGCCGAATTATGGCTCATAAAAACACGCGAGTTTTTTCACATGACAAGGTAGAAAACAAACTGTTCAAGGCGAGTTTTTTTTGAATGAACGACAGCCGAATTTACCGGAACATGAAGATCGCTCGTGATGACAGCGCCGCAAAACTCGGCTGCAGTGACTGAAGTGACTTTCCACTCAACGCATCGGAAAGGATATCAGAGCGAGTTCTTATTTTTTCACTCGAAGGGCGGCCGATGTAGTTTCTGAGGCTTGCTTTACTGTGATGACCGGAGATCGTCATGATAAGCGAGCCGCGATGGACTTCAGCATGATCATATTTCCTCAGACACCGTAATGATTAGTATGAATTTTAACAGTTATGCCAGTTTGGTTATATTTTTCATCATTTCTGTTTTGTTCTATTTTGTTTTTGAACTCTGAACATTATATACTATTCGAGTGTTTGCTGTGTTTGATTTTTATTACCGTACTCTTAAGCTTGCAATCTAACTGAGTGTGAAAATCTTTGAAACTCGGAATGTCGATTTTGTTTTTCCTTAAAGGATTTTCATATCTGCTAACGTTTTAATAACGTAAATTACGGCGCCTGGTATGTTTACAAACCTTTGTTTGGTTGTTCTGTTGCTACTTGCCGGCTCGCTTGTTCCGAAATTTCACTTTCAATTATCGGAAAAAAGCTAAAAAGAAGTCCCGGAAAAGATCAAACATAGAATAATTTGGCAGATGGCGTGACAGCTTTAGCTCAGTTCTATGCTCTATACTCTCATAGAATGAGAATTCAACCAATGACAGCGCGCGTTATATCCGAACTTTATTATAAACTCTCATAGAGCACGCTCTTTCAACCAATGACAGCGCGCGTTATATCCAAACTTTATTATAAATCTTGATAAAAACTTGTACCTGATAAGTTTAGGTATTCTCATTACTTGCTTGTTAGATATTGTACAAATATCATAGAGAGAAGTTACATGTTAATCATGTCTGGGAGTTAAAGGGTTAAACAAAAAAGAGAAATCAGAGATTTCACTGTCACAGTCACAGCCATCTTTTCATTTAATCTCATGACTTTAATAAGTGATTCAGCCGTGAGAATATAAGGAGAAACTGCATCCTTATCACTCTCAAGGGTTTAAGGGTCAATAAGTCTGTAATATCAAATTAAAGGAAACAAGTAGCGACTAGAAACAAAACTGAAATATCTAAATCACCTTGTCCTTGCCAATATTTGCTGCCTTTTGTGCCCTGTAGGATAGTAATTGTAAACTATCAGTTGTGCACTCTAGATACAGTTTTTCCTTACAGCTGAACCAGGCCAAGCTCAAGAACCTCCTCTATTAGGTTTGAAAATTCAGTTGTAAATATTAAATTTGTGTCCTTTTCCACCATATACATGTAGTCACAGCAAAACAAAATATCACAAGGAAATGATGAAAGTTACTTGTTAAAGTGAAAACTACCAGACTGCCCAAGAAACAAAGAGGGTGAAAGTTGAGGTTGTTTACAATCTTACATCAGATTAGTCGACAGGGTGTCAAAAGTTTCTTAAAGTAGTCACATTGATATAATTTAATCACTGCCTCTATCAAATTTAAAAAATTCCATTTCTGCAGAGGAAATACACTTACCGAAAGTGACAGTTTGGGGCTGTGAGGTTTAGGTGTAGCAATGTGGATCCACCGCCAAACTTCAAAATCCTCTCCAGCTATCCGTTGACTTTCCACACGGATGCGTGATTCGTTTGCACTCAGAAACCTCACTGCTCTAGTCCATGCTTTAAACTTCTTCTGTCTGTTCAAAATGAAAAAGAAAAAAAAAAAATGGATTCTATATCAGAACAACAGCCAAGTAAAAGTTAGGTTGTCTGTGCTCATGCTAGATGGCCCATACAGCCTAAGCTTATTCTGATTTACATAACAAAAAGCAACAAGGAATATTATTGCCCCCAAGCGTTTCATCAGGCAATTTGCCAGTACCCATTTACACTCCTGGGCAGATATAGGCACTGTGGAAAAAAAAAAGAAGTGTTTGGCCCAGGAACACAACACAATGACTTGCGCAAGTCTTGAACCCAGACCTCTCAAAGGGTGTCACAGTCAGCCATTAGGTGACTGTGGAAGAACAATGAAGGTACTTTAAAATTCCCAAAGTGCAAAACAAGCCACTGGGCCAACACTCAAAACTACAAAAAGTGTCTGAGTCCTTCAGTACACCATTCAACAAAGCAACTATGTGACTGCAAGTAAATTAAATTGTTTGTTGGCTAACCTTTCAGTAGGAGGAATTAACATGTCCCTAACGTGAGGAATTGGAAGATATGGCAGCAAATTCTTCTCAGTTTTGCTTGCCTCGTGGTGCTCCCATAAAATGTCTTAAAATGGAAAAATTGAGCTCATTTGTGAACAGTTAAAGGAAAGATTCAACTTTGCTGAACAAGAGACAACTATATGTGAATGCAGCAAATCTGGGGGAAAAAACCTGTGAGAAGTGGTTTCATTTAATCTTGTAAATAAGCATTATTGACCAAGCATGATGTAGAGATGACTGAATATTGGCCAAGTTCTTTTCTGCATTTATAGCTCTCCAAATTTGCGAGAGTCCTCTATGTTTCATTTGTTTTGCCCATCTTCAGTCCCTTTTGCTCCATCTCAGACATTGTCCAAAAGTTATGAACTTTGTAGGTCTGCTCCACAAAACTTTTTTTTCTTTGTGTGGAATCAAAGTCTAGCTTGCTCAGGTAGCCAATCAGAACCCAGTATTCATTTCATATTGCCCATGAGCACTGCCAGCTATATAATTAAATACATTTATTCTCCTATGCCTTTAAGTTGAGCTCCATTTTCATGAACATGACAAAGGTATTCATGGAATTTTTGAGACACTACCCAAAACTCGAAACACAAACACTTTTACCACCATTGTGGAGATACATTAAAATGTTTTAAACATCAAACTGGCATGCTAGTAAGCATGTGCCATATTTCAAAGAAAAATAACAACTCAAGAAACTAAATCCCTTAAACTACAAAAATACTGTCTTTCAGGGAAATGAAAGAGTATAAAAAAGCCTCAAAGCCTACATTATCAGAAAATAAAAACTCAACACTAAAAACCTTGCACCCACCAATGATTTCTTCCACAAACTTGTACATCAGTCTGGTCTCTTCTTCCTCTCTTCTCCATCTTTCTTGCACAATAAAATATGCAATCATCAACCCTCCAATGGCTAGAGACAAAAAGAAAGCACAGGGCGACTTTTAACAAGAAAAACTCAGCATGAAAGTTAGTTCAATGTGGCCATTTCCGTGAGAATGTCAATGAAATGTCTAAAGTCATTATACTTGCTCTTAAAAAGGCACAAACATATTTCATTGAGCCAATAACCCTGTAAGATTGTTTACCATAAAAAGAAATAAATTCAACATCTGCATTGGGTGTCTCGCCATCACTTGTGGCGTAAACTAGACATCCATGCTATAGGGGCCAAAGGAAAACTGTCAAAGCTCCTTTATCTAATGCTAGACGCAATTGCATCTTCTTGGCTTACCATTAGCTTTTCTTTAACTCACTGAGCAGAGTATTAATCAAATTTGAAAGCAACTGCCATCTTAACAAATATCAACATAAAATATAGTGATAACACTTTAAGACCTGATCCAAGAAATTGGTCTCAGAAGAAAATACTCTCTGGGGCATTTGAAATGTCTGGATCTACTTTTACTGTGAGTTTAGACTTACTTACCAACACTGATCAAGAAAGAAAGATATGCCAAGCGTGATACTGCTTTTTTGATGCGACAAAATAAAGGTTTTGCAGAGACTGACGTATCGATCCAGGCCACACTTTTGACATTGGGTGCTCTCTCCCTTATATTGTTAAACAACCTAATGAAATCATACAATATATTATACATAATGACCATGAATACATGAATGATATATATTTGACCTGCAGATTAATAAAAGAAGATAAGAGAGATCATTGCCATTAAGAACACTACTTATTTTAGACAGTAGTGAAAATACAGCCCGAAAAGAAAAGAATACCTGTAAATGCATGAATTTTTTTTCCAGCTTTTTTTGCTACCACTTAAGTAGTGTTCTTAAGTTGATTACAGCAATAAACAAGCACTTTCGGGAGCACAATTGAACATTTAAAAATATTAGAATATATATTTCTCGGGAACTATGAAACCCAGCCTTGTAAAAGTGACATGCTGCAGCAGTAACTTCAAAAATTAGATGCCAGTGTTCAGTAACAGTTACAAGAATTTACGGCAAACTTTATTTGATATCTCTTTCAAAAGCCTTTTGATGTAAATACTTTTCTTTAAATTGAATTTCAGGTTCAAATGATTTATGACTACATTGAATTTTGTTTCTAGTAATCAGCATACTCTATAAACCAAGGAAATAACAAATGAAACTCAGTAGTTTGAAGTAATTTTGACCTTAACCCTTTAACTCCCATAGGTGACTAACATGTAAATTCTCCTTATAACATCCACACATTTTCCAGCCAACATGTAATGAGAATACTCAAATTTATCAGGTAGAAGTTAATAGTCTTGATCTAACACCAAATTCTCATGACTTATTTACAAGGAAATGTGTAGCAGCTAGAGGAGAGAATTTCACATAAGATCTTAAGATTTAAAGGGTTATAGATTTGATCCTCTTTGTCTGCCTTTTAGGATAGGACACCAACAAAGTTTATAGAAATTTTAAGGACATTGTCAGCTGCAAGGAATTGTGAAAATGCTTGTCGAGACCACAGAAAGGTTTCTCAATTTTGTCATCTACATTCCTCTTGGGCTTTCAAACTTGTTTTGGGGCTTTCCCAGTTCAGAACTTCAACAAAAACCACCACATGCCATTATGTCATTACTACCTTAATTTCCAATCAGGGTTATCAAGAATCAGCTGTAGTGTTGTGTGAAGGATTTGAATCTGATCCTCTGGATTTCGTAAAGGCTGTAAAATAGTCAAAGCAAGAATTGGCAAAGCGCTGAGTTCAATGAGCAGTCACTTTCCATAAGCAGTGAGCCTCTGACATAAGTGCTAACTTTTGAAGTTTACTTACAAATTCTGATGGTAAAAACCTCACAGAGCTAATGACTCTCCCAATACTGCATCCTCAAAATGCAAAAGTAACATGGGTTTTTTACTTGAGAATTCTATACCACAACACGGAAACAAAGAAACTAGTGTTGGTTTTCATAATTTAAACATGTTCTTGGTTTCAATTTATTCAGGCCCTTCCTCTACAATATAAAAACTGTTCTTTCAACTGTGGTAGAGGAAATTCCTTGAATAATGTGAAAAATTTTCATCATCAACACATCTATTTATTGCCTCACATAAAAAATATTAACTACCAGTCTAATGACTTGGCAAAAATATCTTGTAAAAATTGATATTTACTTACATTATCCTGTTTTATTTGTTTTTGTAACTCTCCCAAAGAGATATTTCTACTCTTCACGCTTGGATCTCCACATTCAAATAAACCTAAAAGGAAAAATAAAATACTATTTAAAACTCTCCTACAATTGACTTTCCTGAAATAAAATCAACAGTTTTTCTAGTTGCATGGAAGGCTTTACTGGAGCGTACTCCCTGGAACACCAGAATACTGGAATATACTCCCTGGAGCACTGAAATACTGTACTATACTCTCCTTGCCATGGTTATTCCAAGGGTGGATAATGCTATTTACTGCCAGAAATTCTATCAAGTGGATACCCCAGAACCTTTTTTTTAACATGTCTCCACTGGATAAGGAATTATGTGTTAGATAGCATATAGCATATAGCATATAAAATTTTATTCTTCTCTGATATAGGCAATCTCCAGAACTTCCTTTAAGTTTCCCTTACAAGATTTTAGAACCCATTCGTACTCTTGGGTAAAAAGAGAACCTAGAGCCTTAAGTAATTAACCTAAAAACAAAACATAGTCACCCTGAGCACAACTTGAACCCTAAAACCTCTAACACAGAGCCCAGCTTGCTAGCAGCAACTACAGCTTACCTATCACTCATCTCTAAAATATCTTAAGTTCTCTCACCTGCTTTGATAATAAGTCTTTTGTACAGAAAGTCTACATATCCCTTTCTGATATTGGCTAATGTTATACAATCAGGATGCTATAAAGCAATTACATCAAATAGGAGTGAATAATGAAAATTAAAAACATAAACTAAGAGTATAACCAGATTTACCTTTAACTCTCAAAAGTGATTAACATGTAACTTCTCTCCACAACATTCATTACACTATCCAGTAAACAGGTTACGAGAACATTCAAATTTATCAAGTGATAGTTGTTTTCTTCACCTTACACCAAATTCTCATCACTAATTTACAAGGAAATGTAGCGGCTAGCTGGGAGAAATATTTATCAGATCTTCAGAGTTAAAAGGTTAAAAAGGAAGGTAAATATGAGCTTTTTCATCAACCAAAAAGAGATGTTGTCATTTATCACAAACACTGGACACAGAGTCTGTTTGAAATGGTGATTTTTTTTTCTTTTACCTCAAAAGCCAGACAAGATATTTAACACATCACACCAGTCATTAAAACTTCCCAAACAAAATAATCATTTAATTATGTGCACCCTTGGGGACCTACCTAAAATAATGGAGACTATTAATTAATAACTAAATGTGCAGTTGAACACTTCAATTAAGTTTGAATTCCACTGAGAAATTATGTTGTTAACATTCAAATGTAGGTAACATTGAGGTAAAAATAGCTGCAGTGACAAATACATTATGCTTTATTGATTAACAAGTCAATAAGAGGTCAAACTCACGAGCAATTATCATTTTGTATATCATATAATCATTGTTACCTTGGGTTTATTCCCAAATTTATCCAGTGGATTTTTCCCTTGGCAAACTGTGAGTTTTACAAAGGAAAAGAAATGAAGTCAGCAAGTCTTATCACAAAAATCAGTGACTAAACTAATTAATAAATAAAAACCACAATACAGCAAAAGGTCTAAAATTAGAGCATCATTTTTTCAAAGATTAAGAAGTGTGTACACTTCGAAATGAAATACATTTATCTCTAACGAGTGGTAGATAACTAGCTAAAATACTTGAATGCACAAGATACGATTGGCTGATCAGATGATAAAACAAAACCGAAAAGGCGATATTACGACGATATTCTCACCTAAGTCTGCAAAGATCATTTGTTCGCTTGAGTGGCCCTTGAAGGTCGCATACAACAAAAGAGGAATACAAATAGCACTTAATGCGAGTAAGATCTTAGCAATTGATGACCAAGAGGAGCTATTCTTCGCACGTTTGGCTCCAGTATGTCTCTCTTGAAGTGAAGAGCTTAGTTTAGATTCGGCAGTAGAGAAATGTTTGTTGCTGCCATTAGTGGATGAAAGCGTAGTTTCTAATCCTTCACTTTCGTCTTGAGATCTTCCGCGTTTTGTCGAGACGGGTGGACGGGAATAGTCAATTGAACCAAAAACTCGACCTCCTGGTCTTTGATAGCTTTGCGCATCGGAATCTGAAAATTCTCCATCAATACCATCCGTGGAATCTAACGTGTTCACGGCAATGCTACCCTGATCGATGACGGTCGTTACGCGCGACTTCAAATTGCTCCTCCTTGATGGAGTAATCGACCTCGACCAGCTGCGTCTCTGGGAAACGTTACTAAACGACGTTTCTTCTCCACGCCTAGCCCTGCTATCATCAACTAAACTACTTGAATGAATTGGTCCTGCGTCTTCCTCGTCACTAGAAAAGCCGATCAACTTACGCGATGGACTTTGATTTCTCGTTGTGGGTATCGACCGACGGGCGATAGTCGATCGTTTGGGAGAGGACTTTTTCGGAGGCGTCGCGTTGCTTCCTCGTTCATTCTGTAACCTTTTTAATTTACGAAGTAGCAAGCCCTTGGTAGAGGGTGTAACAGGCCCTGGCTCTTCACCTAAAGCCTTAAGTTGGCGGCGCAATTCGGCGTCAGAAATATCACCGTCTGAGGCCAGTCGATAGTCGATAGTCGATCGTTTGGGAGAGGACTTTTTCGGAGGCTCCTCACCTAAAGCCTTAAGTTGGCGGCGCAATTCGGCGTCAGAAATATCACCGTCTGAGGCCACCATTAGGGACTTTAAGATCCAACAACGCGGACGTGACTGAAGCTGACCGGAAGTAAAAATACCAAAATGATCACCACAGCGCTGGACAGCATTTTCACGTTGTCAACTGTAAGTATTTCGACTTATTTCAGTTACAAAAACACAGTAAATTGGCACTTTTTCTATGTATATCGAAAGTTTTATCATCCCGGCTGCATTCGTCATTTCTTTTTGTATTTTCTTGTCAGGCTCACCCATATTTCTGAACAGACAAGACAAGACAGTTCTCATGGCCTCAAACACCAAACCGGTTACGGTGTTACATATCATGCAAAGTTCTGGTACTGGCCTTCCGAAAATAGGTATCATGTCTGAGTATCGACAAGGAAAGGAATATCGCTTCAGAAGCATGCAAAGCCCTTCTGTTCCTTCGCAAACAGTTCCCTGGTCGCATACGAAGTATTGCAGAATTTGAAGAGCATCTTCTACCAGAGGAATGTGGTGCTTTTCCACCCTGAAGTTTGCCCTACACTCGGCTTCACTTTGGCTCTCTAAGTTAAACGGCGGGTAGTTAAAGTACGGAAAATCCAAGTTGTTTGAACTGTTTTCTTCGAAAAGCAAAGCATATTCTTCAATCGTAATGATATTAGAGGTATAGCTGGCCAGCAAAATTTCGCGAGTTTCTTTAAAAGTCGCCATTTGCACTGAAAACAATACTATAATCGGTTTCTGTTGTTCAGAAATAAAGTAATTTCACTACTCTTTTTATTCTATCCACGGGTAGCCGCGTCGTTGAATCCCGTCATCTTAACTTAAAATTTCCCGCCACGAACACGGCGTCCTCGACACAGGCCCCACGCGGCTTCGGTATATTTGACGACGTCTGCGTTGTTGGATCTTAAAGTCCCTATTATCAAAAGGTAATTTAGTGTTAACAACTGGGTTGAAAACATAAATTAGCCACCGTAAAGGGTAAAAAAGCTGACGTTTCGAGCGTTAGCCCTTCGTCAGAGCGATTAGAGGAATTGTGGGTTGTGTGTGGATTTATATGTAGAAAGTGGAGCTACGCCATTGGTGGGAATATGGTGACGAGAAAACAGGAATAAATTAGTTGAATGAAAAGCGCTCGTTGATTCCGTGGGGATTAAGGGTGCCGATTTGAAATATAAATTTTTGTTCTAGTGTTTTACGGCTTTCCGAACTGCCTAGATGTAAGGAAAGGCCGCAAACTGCCATATGCTGTTTAGAATGATAAGGAAGATTAAAGTGTCTAGCGACTGGCTTGGATGCGTCCTTGTCATTTCTTTCCACATCGCGAAGGTGTTCTCGGAATCGGTCACCCAGTCGTCTTCCTGTCTCGCCGATGTATAACTTATTGCAATAAGTGCAAGTTATGCAGTAAATAACATTGGCGGAGGTACACGTAAAGTGATCAATGATGTTAATGGATCTTTTGGGTCCCGATATTTTCTCTACGTTATGAATGAAAGGACAAGTTTTGCATCGTGAGCGAGCGCATTTAAAAGTTCCAGATTGGTCATTGGTTTGAAATGAACTCCTGACTAAAAAGTTGCCTATGTTTTTGTCACGTTTGAATGAAATAAGTGGGGGTTGCGAAAAGATAGTGCCAGTCTCTGAATCGTTTTGGAGTAATTTAAAATTTTTAAGAATGATAGATTTAACTGCGTGGTTGTGAGGGTGAAATGTAAGAGTAAATGGAATGCGGTCCGTGTTCCGTGCTACCGCCGTCAATTCCTTTCATCCGGCTCTTAAATATACCTGGGAAATTTCCGACAATTCTTTGGCTTTTCTAGACATCAAAATTTCAATTGAAGGCAACGGCTTATGTACTAGTGTTTACTACAAACCTACAGATTCACATAGTTACTTGTTGTATTCATCCTCACATCCATCACACGTCAAGAACTCCATACCTTTTTTGAACTATCTCTAAAGCTGTCACTTGGAGACAGTCGACAGTGCCATGCTACGAGTGAAGTTTCCAACGCCAACTTTCCTGATTAACCGAGACTAAATCGGGTAAACGCTTAACTGCATCCACCATATTGACACCCGACATTTCAATGACATTATTCAAAACAACTATCATCACGCCATAAACAAGAGGTCTCAGATTATGCCTGCCTAGGCACGGCGAGGACAAGAAAGAATTCTATAAAAAATCCTTTTCCAATAAAGAGGTTAAAATCCAAGGTCCGTAACTTAAAATTTAATGAACGTATCAAATGAAATAAAATATTTTGCTGTTAATAAATATTTGAAAAGCCTAAGGAAAACAGGCAACACTGATTTGTCATATTGAATTCGAAAAAAAAATTGAGTGTCCGCCAAAGTGTTCATGTCAAACCCAATGTCAATGTCTCTAAACGCGATTGGCTATTGATTAGATCACGCACGTTGCATCGCGTGTGTGTACAGACAGGGAGATTAAACCGGCCATGTTTGATTTGGAGCTAGAGTTGACGGTAGGGGAGGGGGTGGGGAAAGCGAAATAATCTCCACCTTCTGAGAAACGGTTCATAAAACGCCTTTGGTTTCTTTTTCGTTGCTATAACTGACTCTTCGTGGTAAGAGATAAAAATCAGGAACATAGGTGGTTCGTAAGTCATGAAAACAAACACTTGTTAATCTCTTGCACTCGTGATAATGTCCTGATGAAAGCTGATATGCAGTGGGTGCATCAAGTTCAGTTTTAACCCCTTTTAATCCTCCCCTCGAGGTGCTACACATTATCTTGTGAAGAGAACTTGGTTTTAGATCAATAAAGCAACTTCTACTTCATAAGTTTGCGTATTATTATTACCTATTTGACGCATATCAAACTCATGGGGTACAAATAGTCTTAACATGAATGTAGTGACCACGCCCACTTCAACACCCCACTCAAATCGAGTGTCATTTTCGAATGTTTTACCATCGTGCGGATTCTCTACGGAAAAAGCACTCAATGTACATCTGAAATATTAAACTATAATATTGTGGCTTTCTATTTCGCTAATTTTCTAACTTGAAGGTAAAGTTTTTCCCTCGTCATTTTTACCTTTTCTCCGAGCGGTTGCGTGAAATTAACAGGGCGTTTTTGATCAAAACACGACCGGGCGAAGGGTCTCGGGCGATATCTCTTTTACGCAGGCGCAAATTAAAAATATACCGCCAGAATCAAAAAGAGGAACAAATTTCCTTTGTTTTGATATGTAAAGTGTCGAACAAAAAGCAGATTTACCTTCGTCAAATGGCGTTTCAAAACAGCTGTATCTTCCTCCTTTTAATTTTTCCTGTTTTGTAAGCGTGAAAGCAGTAGGAGAGGGATCGGGAAACTCAGAAAGCGCTTCGGGAATTAATCTGCCATCGTTTACTTACAAGATAAACAAGTAAGATTTGTGAAGTTCGTTGAAGTATGAAGTCTAAATAAATGCCTTTTTAAAGCTTGTTTGCTGGATTTTTCGTAAACTTCCCTGATTAATTTTTCGTTTCAGCTTACTTGTCTATACTATTTCAAAGCAATGTCAAGACGAAGACGGAGAACCATGAGTCGGTCCTTTCAACAATCGTAAACAAAGTGTTTGAGCAATCAGGTATACGAGGTGTAATAATCAATAGCTGCATATCAGAAGTCTTCAGGAAGAAAGTATTCTGCCTTCAGAAAGCTGTCAAGAAAGCTAATAATCGTGGCGGAAGGCAATTAAACGGGCCCTCGGTATCGATTTAATATCATATCGATCTCAATATCACACAGTTTTGTATCTTTCTTCCGTGGATTCGCCTTTCTAACGAGGGTGTATGTTGAGAATTCATTGCAAAATCGCTTTGTGTTTTTTAATTTCCCTCTTTGAACTATCCGCCATGTTTAAAATTCGTAACGGAGAGCATGCGCATTACGTTGGGTTAGTGGTTGCGTACACCTAGAACCGAGAAAAACAAATGTTCGTCGCACTGGGGAAAGAGTTTGATATGATAATGCGTGAATATTATAGGGGAAATTAACATGTTAATCACCTCCGAGAGTTAAAGGGTTGAGTGGGAAAATTATGGAGAGATATTAATACTTCACTTTATGTCGAAGAAGGTCAAATGTGGAAAGCATTGTTTTGTGTTCTCTTTTTCTGTTTTATTATTTTCCGTAGTAATCTTCAGACGAGTTTTCAAAAATCCAAGCAGAATAACACACCGAGGACAGGCGGCGATCAATTAACTCAATTTTGAAATATTTATAAGATACAGCCTTTATCGAGTCAAGAACAACGAATTTATGACGTCTGAGAGCAATAGCGTTGGTGGGGAAAAAAAACAATTTTAATACCGCGCAGCAATAGCTCTGTAGCTGCGTGCTTCTCTTGTGTTTTTTTTTGCTGGACACAATATTTTCACGTGAGCTGCGGGGAGCGATTTTCTTCATATTGAACATGAAAACCTACGGTCCAATAAGTAGAAAGTCAACTTGTTTTAATGTATCTGATTAGAAGTGTTTTACCACAGGGAAGGAACCCATATCGAGGCTGCTTGACGTCAGTTACTTGAAACGTAGATAGAGGTGATTAACCTTTATCGAGTGCTGCGGTCGATCTCGGCTTGATTCAAGGGAACGTCGAAAAAATAAAGCTAATAATGATGACCTTTAATCTCAAAATCCTTTTACTGGATGTCAGATATATAAAGTTTCTTTAGCTTCCGTTTTCATTGTGTGATTTGATGGGTTTCGAGGAAAGTTCATTTGAATTTCCCTTCTTTACTGACACCCCTTCAAGCATAAATAGGCGTCAGAGAAAAATTGGGAAATTAATCCCGTTTAAAACTGAGGCTTTTACAGACAACAAGCTCACGTATCATTAGTATAACAATTCATCTCAGATTATTTTACATCCTTAAGTAGTTGTTGAAAGGCCTCTATACAGCTTCAAAATGTTCACATCTGTATGTACAAATTGCTAGAACTAATGATTATCTCTCTTTGGAAAATTTCCTTTGAAATGTAAATTAACTGGTTTTTTTTTGCTTGCCAAGAACTTAATATGTTTACCCCTTTAAATCTTCTGACATGATTTTCAATTCTCTCTTACAGCATCCAAAAAGTTCCTCGCACGGTGATTAAGAGGATTCATTACGTCAAGACAAACCCTATAAGTGATAATTTGGTCAATTCTCAAATTCTTGTTTTCTGAATAATGGATGAATATTGCAAGGAGAAAGGAGAAGTTGCATATTAATCATTTCTGTGGGATAAGTAAAGCCGGAGTAAATGCAGTTGCTGCTCCATTCTGGCAGAACGTTCAGTTTATCACGTGTTCACACATTGGACTCGTTCGCCTTAGTCAAATTTGCATCATCATCTTCTTCCGTTTGGCAATAATACTTCCTGGTTTCCGGCATAAACTTTGGATCTCCTCCAAGCTTGTTTCCTTGCACATTTACGTCGACAACTCTCCTGATTTTGCGAAATTTGAGGATTCTTTTAAATTCCGTGGCAAAGTCTCCATCTATGGCCGCAATAATTAGCGGTTTCACGCAATGTGAGACGTTGAAGAGAAACGTGCTCAACAAATAGATTGAGCGCGGGAGAAACTTTTCGTTTGTGAATGCGTCGGCAACGTCGCAAGCGTAACCAGGGACCCAGAAAAAAAGAGTTCCTAGTATAAAAGCAGCTAGAAGCTTTGTTTTGTTTTCTTCGTCTTTCCAAGCATTTAAATTTTCCATTCGCCCTTCTTGAGCCCAAAGTTTCGGATCTTTGAATCTCCGCTGAATATTTAATTTCGCTCGGTAGAAACATATAGCAATGACAACAGAAGGTACAATAAAGATGACTATTTTCAAAATCGACGCCCGAAGATAAGTTTCGTTTTTGGCTTCGCTTCTACAAACGCCATAACCGGGGTGAAAAACAAAGTCGTTGCGATCCAAGGTAGAGGACAATGGAATTGCGGAGGAAAAAAGCCAGAAAACGGCAAGGACAATACAGATGTGCCTTTGTTTGAAGAATGTCCAATATTGACTTAGGCGTGAACTGGCCATATATCTGTCAAAAGCGGTCAGAGTCATGGTAAGGACAGTGAAAATGCCTAGTACCGAGATAGCATAGCCTTGAAACTGGCAAGCGGACTCGGAAGACACCCATTCGCCTTTGATAAGAGCGCCGAGTGTGAACGGCATAACGAGAAGAGATGTCACCAAATCGATAATTGCATACGATAAAATATATATGTGAATGGTGTACCGCAATCTTACATTTCTGTAGATCGCTGAGCACACAATTAAACCGGATAGAAATCCCGCTATAATCAAGCAGCCGGTGATTGAACTCTCCGTTACTACAGTCTCTGTGCATCTGTTGCGTAGTGCCGTGTGAAGATCGCTGGAAGCTTCTTGATGTGCACACATGTTAAAGATGTCCGACTCTTTTTCAATTTGAGTAAAAAGCTGAAATAGCAACAAAGAAGGCGATTCCCACGTCGAAAAGCGAAGACACGCGTTTTCTTTTAAATCCTTATGACTTTTGGCGCTGTTTAATTCGGTGTTTGACGACTTGAAAGTTTTCAGTCGATCGAAAGTTTCCAACTTTGAGTGCGTATGACTCAACAGCTGTGTCGTAAAATACGACACCGCATAACTATATCCACTACCAATGCGTTTTATCCAAAAACAAGATTTTCACTGTTAGCTCAGGATTCTACAGGCTTTCAGGCTTGATTCTTTCTGCATAGTTTCGATAGATATCAATAATTTGATCGTGTTTATCACGAATATGAGTAAACGAATAATTTATTAGTTTGACGCACAAAGATGACTTTCACCTGCTCAAAAGTAATCTACACTAAGTTGTTTTAAAAAGTTGACCAATAGTCAACAATTATGTTCAAGTTGCAGTTTGAATCTTTGCTGTTATGATAATTAAGCATGTTAGACTATTCCTGAAATAAACTCAGTGCTTAGCAACCTTTGTTCTGTCTAAAAGAAGAGGAAACAAAATATTGTCGTTATCGCTGGAACCCTGCCAAGTTGCCTTGTGAATTTTATTTCGCAATATCCTTTTCGAGAATGAAAATCCTTTGTAGCATCATGCAAAAAAATCCAACTCAGTGGAAGAACAACTGTCTGTAGGATCCAAACGTCTCACGTGATCGCACAATTAAAATGACGACACTTAATGCAACGAGAAATCAGCACTTATAATTTCAATATGGTGTTGGAGGTTCGAGGCGTCGTGTAAGTATACTGCGCAAGCGCGAGACACATGATATTCTTACAGACGTACCGTCTGTCTCGACAAAAATCGTAGAATCGCTTTATATGTGATCATTGAATTATTGTCACAACGATCAAATATTGTTTCAGTTCTAATTGAAAAGGGTAATAAGACGAGACAATTTTCCTCCTGATATGTTTTAGAGAACCGAGAGGCAAAAAAACTGTAACCTCCTAAAGAATGAAACGCACCTCAGGGCGAAGAAATATTTACTCATTACTCTTCGGGTTATTTCGGGCACAGTTCGAGATTCTAAAAGAAAAATCTTTCAGCCAAGGGTTTTATGCAGAAGGGTTGTATAGAGCCAAGAAAAAAAGATAAGTTATTAATAAAATGTGAATGTTTCAAAATATGAGAAAAATGTTGTAAACATTTCAAAACATAAAAATGATTCAAATTCTTGTTTCATTAGACATATGAGACAAGTTGAAGCAATTCAACTAGTGCTGTGGAGAAAAAAAGTTCGAAAATCGTAGGAGCCTGATTTTGTTCAGGGTTTGTTATCTGTTTCTTTATTTGAACTTATGCTGTTTGCATAATTTCCTTATTTGTAACATCCACTGGTCAAAATAACATTTATTTTTATCTAATTATGAAAAAAAAATTCTTCCGAACTAAAGTGCATCTCATTACGGATATCATGAATAGAGATTCGGCTTATTTATATACGAAGAGATCCAGCCGTAAGTTGTAAAAGATGATCCTTAGGAGAGGTGAGCTTTTCATCAGAATTACTCCTAATTTCCTGTTCTTTTTTCACCCGCAGAAAACTGGCAGCTTCTATTCGGGTCACCTGTTTACATGTGGAGAAGCTGGTGCTCCGCGAAAACGCTTTTGCTATTATTCTTTCATGCATAGAATGAATAGAGATTCGGCTTATTCATATACAAAGAGATCCAGCCGTGAGTTGTAAAAGATGATCCTTTGGAGAGTTGAGCTTTTCATCCTAATCACTCCTTATTTCGTGTTCTTTTTTCACCCGCAGAAAACTGGTAACTTCTTGTCGGGTCACCTGTTTACATGTGGAGCAGCTGGTGCTCTGCAAAAAAACTTTTGTTATTATTCTTTCTTGCAAATAAATGATTCAAGATAATTTTTAAAATTTTAAGAGGAATATTGTTTTGTAAGGTTTTAAAAAAGTGGTGGTGTCACCATGAGTTTGGTGAGTGTAAGGATATCGTGCACCAGGGGATAATCAATTTAGCTGATAAACTCTTGAAACTTATTCAAGGAGAATTCTTCTGAGACAAGTTGCGATATACAGGATGTTATTGTAAAATAACATAGAACTAAATAAGTAAAGATATGAGAGTTAGCGAGTATGAAAAATCTTTCATAAAGTGAATTGAAAATTGTACTGGAATTCTGATCTCAATTCTCTTTATTTGCTATCATCTCGTCTAGTATCATTACAAAATGCAGAGGGCTGTCGCCATGATTGCTTATTGAAAGATTAAAAACACTAAAAAGGAAGATCTTATCTGATACATAACAGCACTGCATGGCACTGTTTATGAATGTGTTTTGATGTCTATACCTCTTAAGATCTGATTGTTAGATCTCTCCTCCAACTTCCCTACATTTCTTTTTTGTAAGCTAGGAGAATTTGTTTTATTATCAAAATTACTATATCAAGCTTATAATTCGCCTAACCTGTTCTCCAGGTAAGGTCTTAAAACTGTGAGGAGAAGTTGCATTGTAATCACTTTAGAGAAAAAAGGCTCAACAGCTTAATAGCAGCTTTAAAATAAGAACTGACACTGCAAGAATTGACCAATGAGATTGCGCTCCTAATTACTCGCGCACGTGGTCTGCCGACTATCCTACCGTGCAGTGCAACTTTTTGTTTTCTTTGTTATAATATCATATTGTTTTTTCTTTACGCTTAAAAGAGGCTTTTCACGATCAGTTTAAACAGCAGCATTAAAATGTCATCGACAGATGAACTCCGCGAGGTTCAAGTTGAAATTCGCGGGACCGACCACGCAGCACAGCATGGACATCAGATGAACATTGAAGACAGAGATCCGGCAGCCATGAACGACCACGTGAAGGTAAGACGCGACTTGCCAGTGGCGATCCAACCAATTATTCGTTCTCTCCAAAGAAGGGCTAACGCTCGAAACTTCAGCTTTGAAACTCTTTATGGTGGCTGATTTACGTTATCAACTTAGTTTATAATACTAAATTACCCGACCAATTATTAACCGAACCTTCTGATATCTGCATTCTCGGCTCTCTCGTTCATTTAGGTATTCTTCCAAGATGTTTTCGCGGAACCCGGAGGCTCTCACAGCATCGATGGAGTTTGGCGCACGAGCTTCAAAGCGTTTGTCAACACCAAATACTGGTGCTATCGAATCATTACAGCCATCCTTGGTGTTCCAACGGCGGTACTTTGTGGTATATACTTCGCCTGCCTCAGTTTTGACTACATATGGTGCATAATGCCTTGTCTGAGAGCGTACATTATTGAGCTACAATGTCTGGGCAAAATCTTCGGGCTTTGTGTCAGGACATTTTTCGATCCGTTCTTCGAATCGGTTGGGAAAGTATTCGGGGGAATCAAGGTTTCAACTCAAAAAGGATAAAACTGACTAATTAAGGTCCATAGTGATGATATCCACGGCAGGAAATTTTTTGCCATCTTAAGAAAGAGTTGGTATGATGCTTATTGGAGTGAATTACGGCTATATATTTTAGGAAACTGTTGTCAATTAACACATAAACTGAGGGGTGCATCATGTACTCGCTCAAAATAACCTTTTCTGGATTAAACTCAGTTTCACTTTCACTTTTTGAAGACTTCAACCCTCAGGGCTTACTAAGCACAGCGAACTCGATTTCTACCTTGAGGCCATTCTAAGTCGGAATGTGCCATGTTTGATATCCCTCTCATGTACCTTAAAGTAAAAACACCTCACGAGTAATCTCGTACCCAGACTCTACCGTGTAGCAGTAACTGAAATGAAGGATCCTTACAACTGCTTTGCCGTGGAAGGTCTGGGCACGTGACTACCTAGTGATAGGTTGGGCTTTTCGAAGGGAGCAAGACAGCATAAAACTGAAAAAAGGACGTAAGTGTGGCTATTTTCCTGAACACACAGGTAATAAAGAGAAATTTCAAACATTATCACGCAGGTAGTTTTATATATAATCTTTTATCGCCTGTACGAGATTCTAGTCCAGAGCAGTGCGTTTCCGTGATGTTTCACGTGTGTGGAGAGTAGCTCAGTGAAATAAACTTTCTTCTTAAAAGACAGCACATTGACCTGGGCAGGGTATGAATATGGGCCTCTTAATGAAAACCCAGCACGTTAATAAGTCCAGGGCCATAGTGTCTCCCGAGTTTTGATTGGTAAAACTTGTAAGATCTTGCATGATCATCAAAACGGGCAAAAAAGGGCAATTAAGGCTTACAAAATTTTTCCAGTAGTAACAAAAATGCTATAAATATCGATACCAAAATCTAGTGGGGAATTTTGCGATAGTCACCGGAATCCTGAATCCACCCCATTTAAAAGAAAATTTAAGAGGATTGAGCCGGCCATTTTAAAAATTGTACCACTACCAAGAACTTATTTTAAACTTGAAAATTTGACAGCAATTCCGAAGAAACTGGACGTGCCCATTCTATATGATCTTTGAAATCGTAAGATTGTGGACATAAAGGATTTGTTGACGAGTGTTATCAAATTTGGGAGTTTTCTTTGGCAATATAACGAGAGTAATGGAAGACAAGATTTCAGCTACTGATACCGCTTGTAATCAATTTAGAAAAGCGTTAACTTAAGGTCGTCTGGGCCATGGCTTCAACAAGCCGACACAGTTTTAGAAAATATAATTACTTTCATTGAAACAAGGTGAAATGAACGAAAACGTAAAAAAATTGATCCATATAGTAAATCGAAAGACGTGTAATGTTATGTGTCTAATGAGGAAACGTTTTGCGTTCTGGCATTCGAGATCATATAACTGACTTAAAACAATTGAAGTGTATATAGAAGTCGGCATAAAAGAAGTTGGCCAAAAAAGCGGGGAATGAAAATTTGTTAAAATGACTCAAAAATGACAGAGTGATTGAGATTTCAAAACCGAGAATCTGCCAAAGAATAAGTAACGACTCACAATATCAAAGGTGTACCTATAGACAAAAAGGGAGCGTTCTTGTCATAGAAGATTTGTCGATGAGTGATATACACTAGAAAAAAGATAACCCTTTCGGTGAACCGCAATTAACGAAATTGCAGAAAAAACCCTGAAAAAAATTCAAGCCTCAAAGACACATGTACTTGTAGATCATCCGCAGGTCAGAAAATACCTGTTTCGTTGTAGCGATTTGCACTTATAATGTAGGGACGTTGCCTGATTCTTGTTTGAACGTGAATCAAACCCCAGACCAATGCAGCACTCAAGACGCCCAGAATTTCTATTGATATTTTTAACCCGCTTTTTGAATATATCGATTTTATACATTCCTTTCAAAATGGAAACTATTGTTTTAAGAGTTGAAAGTTACAAAACTATGAAGAGCTAAGTTTTGATATTTTATAAAGAATGATTTGGAAGCAAACTTACTGCCACAAGAGTCTTGTGGATGAGACGGTATATAAACTGCAAATGTTTTTACAGACATGCTCACAGAATCAGTCCGATGGTAAACAAGTTTATATGTTTCAGATTGTTAGCTTTAGTCTGGGAAAACAAATATATCTAGGGTGTTCTAGATGATACTATCTCGCGGCTAAAAGACCACAAAGCAGTTTTGGTTAGAAGAGTGAATTAAGCGGGTGTATATCATCCATAAGATACTGATTGCTTTCGCAGGATACTGGGTTAAAAGGAAGAAAGTGTCGAATTGTTTAGAGGGACTTGTAGTGTTCAAAATAATTTCAAGGAAAACATTCTATAGTTAGACAGCAGAGTTTATGAGTGATTTTAGAAAACATATGGCAATCATACAAAACTGCGCGTGTTCATGTGTCCTTTGACAATCAGCAAAGGAAAGTCGGCGAACACAGATTTTAATTAATCTAAACATTCAGGGTGTTCCTAATTAAAAATACTGAAATTACTAATTACTGAAGTTCAAAGTTTAAATATACTGACACATTTCTAGTGAAACTGAAAAACATACGCGCAGAGGAGGATGTTTTTTCTACGCAATCTGGCTTCTAGAGTACCAGAAACTGCAAAAGTATTTTTATATTAAAAGCGAGAACCATATATTAGTGATCGATGATTTGGAGCCGGAATCGACATAAGTATCAATAATTTTGTCGGTCTTGTTATATCAAAATGATTTAGAAGAAACCTTTCTAGACGTGAGAAGGTTTTTTGATGAGTGATATAAACAGCCTGTGTTTTTCATCTTGGACACAACGAAAAATGTTAAATTAATGCAAATATATTTTAAAATAAAATCGGCACAATCAAAGATATAAAAACATCATGGGTGTTCCAAACAATCTGATATCAAATGCAATTAAGGTTTAAATAAGACGAGGCATATCAGTGTTGAGTCACTTGTGAGAGGTTGTTCACAATGTCGAGCGTTGGAGGATCTTCCCGTCTTCTCGTGGTTTGCTGTTGTGTGTCGTTTATCAGTGTTTTGCTGTACTGTGTTGGTTTTGTGATACTTGAGTTACAACTAGAAGCTTATAGAGAAAGACTCGAGACCTTTGAGATCAAAGAAAAAGGTCTTGAGGAAACACGAGCTCAGGAGAATGCAACAAAGGGTGAGTACACTTCATAGTGAGGAAAACTTCTTGCCAAAGTCTCGTGAACGAGGACAGTTCGACTTGTTTTTAAACTTTCAGTCCAGACTGAGGCCAGAACAAAATTGGACTGAGAACTAATAAATGAACAAAAAGGAACAACTAAATCTAAACATGTTAAGCGCACAAAAGAACCACTGAAATTATCATTGAGCAGTGTTGGTATTCCACAGGCAGTGTCTCATAAACTCGCGTAAGCCCTATTTAAGAAGGGAGAAACGATTTAATGACGGTGAGAGGGTAAACAGTCCCATTTTAGAACTTTTACCACATTTTTAAATTTATAGTTACCCTCCGACAGCTTTGCGTCCGTCCGTAAGTCCGAAAAGTTGTGGGTGTGCGACATATTGTTTCCTTTTTTTTTAATGTTTGAGAAGCTCTTAGTGAGTTTTCAGTGCAATAATAAGTTGTGTAATCTCGTAAATAGCTTTTAATCTTTGGTTTCATTTCATAGCTTTAAACTTAAACCCCACGTAGACAGAGAACCTCCAAAGAGGCACCTTCATCGTGCGGAAAATGTACTAACTTTGAGCCCTCAGTACCTTTCTCTTTCAAATACCAAACCATTAAAAAACTTTACACATGGATTAATTTCACAGAACTTCAGTCTCTCCGCTCTTCAGGAAAAGAGAGGAGCCCGAGAGCTGCTGAGACTCCTCCAAAAGGAGACAATGACGTTTTAACTCCAGAAATACAGCAACAAATCAACAGATCAATTTACTCCGTAACGAAAAAGATCTGTACCAGCAGAAGTCAGATCTGTGTACAAGGACCCCCCGGAAAGGTTGGACCCCGAGGGCCTCATGGTCCCCCTGGATATCCGGGGCTTCCCGGACCCCCTGGGATTAAGGGACAGAAGGGTGAGCCCGGAAAGCCCACCTCACTGACTCCGACCTCCCTCCAGCCATTCAGGGGACAGGCAGCGGATGTTATTTCTGCCCCTGGGATTGTGGTGACACCAGCTGTCAGCACTATTGCCTTGGGTCAGTCGGCTTCATTCCAGTGTTTGGCGAAGAAAAACATGGATGTGACAGTTTCCTGGTTCAAGGAAGTTGGCTCCCTTCCAAGGGAAGATACTCCATCATCAAAGGATCTCTACACATCAAGAACGCTACAGTGGGTGACAATGGGATGTATGTTTGCACAATTCGTACTGACCAGGGGACCGCTCAGGCTTCTGTTACACTCAACGTGAAAGGTAACCGATAAACGTTGCTGTTACTAGGCCAGTTACATATATGTTTGCTTCGCCGATAATGGCAAGTAGCAATCTCAATGGTTTAATAATTACCATAACTAGTTCTATTTTTGGAAAATGCTTTCTTTACTTAAGGAAAAAAACAGCCTCTTAATTTCATCATACACTGTAGATCAATACCTTGGTCAATTTTGAGACATCACTATCTTAAACAGTTTTCAAGTTAAGAGAAATTTGTCAGGTTTTGGCATTGATGATTTCACATGTTAAACACGGAGATAACATGTTTAAAAACTTTCATCAATAAGGGGCCTTTATTACGGTGATATCAATGTTATGACAAAAGTCAATTTAAAGAAAATCTGTGGTAACGTACCATCCTTTGGGACAAACAGTATACCGTGTGACTGGAGTACATTGTTATACATACTCTCTTGAAGTTATAGTTGCACAGGTCAAAATCATTTTCTTCATTATTTTTTCCAACTATATCACCTTAGCTCGTCCACTCATTTCTCTTCCTACCGGACCGATCTACAGCGAGAGTGGAAAGGAAGTCAAACTCCCTCTATGCCAGGTCATAGGATATCCCCCTCCCGTGGTTTCATGGACAAAACTGTTTGGTGATCTACCTGGTGGAAGGGCCACTGTACATGGCCACACCCTGACCATCGCAAAGGCAGACAAGAAAGATTCAGGAACCTACATCTGCACAGCTTCGAACGCCATGGGTACAACACACTCCATGACGTCTCTGGTAGTCAATGTGGTGCCTCAGTTTACTGTCAAGCCACCAGAGTAGATTGAGCTTTACCATGGACAGTTAGTGACACTCAACTGCTCTGCAGAGGGGCATCCAGAACCCAGCATCACCTGGACACGGTGTAAGGGAGACAGCCGCAAACCGGTCTGAAATGGAAGGAGGACAACTGAAGATAAACAGTTTAACGGCAAAGGACAGTGGGACGTACATCTGCTCAGCACAAAGCGAGTTTGTTCACGTGGAGACTGAGACGCAACTGATTGTAAAAACAGGTGAGAATTATTTGCTATAATAACCTTGCATATCTTCTGTTCCTTTCCTCGCCTACTTGTTGTTCCTTTCTTGGTTGAATTACTTGATGTACTTGTTGTTGTTTGCTTGTTTTTTTTTCACACGTGTATATTTAGAACAAATCTAAGAAGATGACAATCTACGATAATAATATCCAAACTTTGAATCGCTTCTCACGAGTATAAATATAGACTGAACGAAAAGAGGACCAGTTTCGCAAAAGTAATTCCCATTTCCCGAAAAAATTGGAGGAATAAGAAAATTACTCGTCAGAGATTAAGCTAAACAGAGAAAAGTCTGCCATTTTGGGAAAGTAAGCTGGTTTCAACTGAATTAGGCTAGAATCTCTTAACCCTAAAAAAAATTTCAAGGAAATTATATTTGTTGTAAATAAGGTAAAAATACTCAAGTTACTGTACTAAAAAATTTTTTTTTAACTTTTGAAACGGCAAAAAATCGGTGGTCAATCACTTCATCCATTTTTCGAACTCTTTACAAATTCTAATTTCGAGTGGCTCAGGGAATTTGTTTCTTACTGAAACTTTCTTGTGTTTTTTCTTTAGCCCGAGATTGCACAGAGCTCCTTGCTGCCGGCTTCAAGGATAGTGGAGTGTACACAGTCAACCCAGCAAACAAAACCAGTTTTGAAGTGTACTGTGACATGACGACGGATGGTGGTGGATGGACCGTCTTTCACAAACGCTTTGATGGGTTCGTTGGATTCTACAGGGACTGGGACGAGTACAAGAACGGGTTTGGTGACGTCACAGGGGAGTTTTGGCTTGGAAACGAAAAGATTCATCAACTGACCGAGATCCCGAGTCAGTTGCGAGTGGAAATCAACACCACATCGGCTGGAAATAGATACGCAAAATATAGTAATTTTACGGTGACAAATGAGGCAACCAACTACACCTTGTTTGTCGGATTCTATTCTGGTAACGCTAAAGATCGACTTTCTTATCATAACGGTATGGCTTTCTCCACCCAGGACAGGGACAATAACAAGGACAGTGGGAACTGTGCTAAGGTTTACAAAGGAGCATGGTGGTTTAAGTCCTGTTCTCATTCCAGCCTGAACAGTAACTTCGGAGATAACTACTATACTTGGCACTGGAGTCCACTCATTGGTAGCCAGATGAAACTCAAACCAAAATCCCCTTGACTGACTTTCTAATCTACATCTGGAAAGCGAGGTGATTAGAATGATGGAAGAGATAATAAGAAAAACTTCAGATTATAGTAATAATAAGCTGTGAGTCATTATAGCGAGGTATTTGAAACACCTTATATAAGCATAAGATTCACAACGTAGCAGCCTAAATTTAGTCTAATCTAAAGCGTTTGCGAAATTTGTAGTTGCCGCCATTCAGCAAGCTTTGTTTGTTTCAAAATTGTAACATTTTCGTCGTTACTTACTTTTGCCTTCTTGAATAACTTGCGTGATTTCCATGTAAAATCTCGCGAATTTTGGTAATCTCCCCATCTTGTAACTTTGCTAAATTTCGTCGGTTTTGGTGGGCCCTTCCTTAAACCTCCCAAATTACTTTAATAATTTTCGTCCGTACGCGCGTTCATAAGAGTTTTTGAAAATTTGGTAATATTTGCTATTGGGCGATTTTTTGTGTCTGCGTTCAATCCTGGTATTTCATGGACGTGACTGAAGGTCTCAATGGGATGCTGCCTTACCGCTAACGGTTAAAATGTTGGCAATTTTACGGCTAATAGTTAATTTTTTTTGTGTCGGACAATCGAAAAACTTTTACAGTTCACTTTTTCTAGAGGTTAAATTTTTTGTTAAATTTTTTAAAGCCGTTTTACCGCTAACGGTTAACCCCATTGAAACCCTCATAGTTGACTCTGAAACCAAACGCAAGCGAGTTAAACGAATGCGTTTCATTAACCGAGGGTTTTTAACATAATAATAATAATATTTGAGTGCATTTTACGTAGCAGGAAGCTAGGATATATAAACATTGTAAACACGGTTGTAAAATCTTAAATTGTGTGAAATCTTAAATTGAGGAAGTGATGAAAAAAAGAAATTATAGCTAAAACTGAATTATTTTGATTAACTAACATGAAATACTGGTCGAAATATTCTTTGTATGTTGTTTCGAAATTTTTTTGTATTAACTGAAAATCCTGTGAAAGTTTCCCTTAAAAGTTGTATGTTTCAAGCAAGAAATACATACTGTAAGCACTTTTGACATACTACGTGACCGTACCTGTACGTGACAAAGGGCCCTTCAACTTGTCCCAAGATTCAGCAAAGTTAATTTGAAGATTAAACACGTTAGATCATTGCTTTCAGGTTAGGTTTTGTGGTTAGGTTTTGATGAGCTGAGCCTTTTTTCGATTTAAATACCGTCATAACGGGCCTCAGCCGGAAAATTTCAGTACTCAAACATATACGCAATTACCTGCATCTCAGGAAGACATTTGTAATCGAATAGAATGAAGTAAGGCGCTAAGACAGGGCAAGTATCCCTCGATACTTTTAAGTCTTTATCTTGAAATGAACAAACATTATTATGACAGGATGGACGTCTCCTCGTTTAGTAGTACTTTCGGTGTGAAAGTAATTAAAGAAATATTTTTTTCACCTCATAAACTCTACGTGTATTGCTACAGAAAGTTACATTTGACATCGCTGGATTGTTTTGGATCTCTCTCGATGGCAACAAGACTTGTCTTTGCATAAACATCTGCTTCTTTGATACTTGAAAAGTGTCACGGTTCCATCAACAGTTTCTTACATATAATGATATGCCAGCACATCGACGAGATACTAGTGGAGAAACGGCACAGCAGAATCATCGGAAAGAAGCTCATATAAAAGCCAACTAAGGAAGCTCTCTGACACGAACAACGCAACAGAGGCAACGCAGAAATGAAGGAAGAAGGAAGACGGAAGTTCTAGAATCTGGAAGAATTTTGAGCGCACGTTTCTCTATTTTTTGGAAAACGTTCCAGCCACTATTTATATCCTTCCTGTCTGACTTGGAGCAGATGTGAGTGCATATTTTCATGTCCACCGATATCATTTTTGATTATCTAATATTAGCTTCTTTAATTCGGTATTTGCACGTAAAGTTAAGTTGATCTATCAGCGCGTTAAACTAGTCGTTTAAAAAGCGCGTTTTCGCAAAAATGTGCGCTGAGCCAAAACATAGCACTTTATTGGGATTTAACCTTTCTTCTCCGATCCGAAACTTTCTAAATACTCAGTTCTCAGCCTCAAGGTGATTGATACGTTAGTAGTTAGAAGCCACCAGCTACGGGTTTGTCAGTTTAAAACATGATAAATTGAAACAAAAAATATTCACAGCCCACTTGGCAACTAACACATTACAGCGAATTGACGCAAAAGCAATATGCAGAAGAAAATTTATTGGTACAATCACTTTATACTAAGATGAGAGATTTAAAGGTGTCTCTTTCCTACTGTGGTTCTAAACGGCACATGAGGTTCTACTAAGACTGATAAGGAATCGTATAGCTATGGTTGCCAAGGAAGTAAGTGATATCCATCACGTAATAACCTGTTGCATATGCCTGGTTTCCGGACCAGTTCTCCATTTAATTCAGTATCTTGAATTAAAGAACGCGAAATCGAGACTACATATGTCAAAATCTTAATAAGAATCTTCTTTGAGACATTCTTTGTCCCAGACTCATGACATTAGCTTAGTGACGTTCATCGAAACGTCAAGTCGTTGAAACACTTCTGCCCCTACGTGTTAAACACTGAAGGAAGTAACATTCTATTTACTTTGTCCTAAGCTGAAAGGATTTTGTAATTGTCAACAATCCGGCCTTAAGACAATAGCCTGGGATCATAAGTTTGATTACAAAGAAATGAAAGTCATGCTTCCCATTAAGCTAATCGCAAAAGGTATAAATCGTTTGAATCATATAAAGACATCGACAATTGTTGTAAACTACTGAAAGTATACTTTCTATGCATAATGACAAATTCGGATAAAAGCAGACCTTCTCGCTTTCTCGTTATTTGTTGCCTTTGTATAACTCTTTTGAGCGTGGTATTCTATAGTGTCAGTTTTATGAGAATGACAGGGGAGCTGAGGGAACAAAACAAAAGAATTCTGGCTCTTGAGGAAAACCAGAGGAAGATGAAAACAGACGGGCAGATTTTCCTCAAAAGATTTTCGGAAAGATTAATCCCGAGAACATTTCATTAAGTTCCGTGAGTCAGTTAAAAAAAACTGTTTCAGTGGCTCGTGCATGAACCAAGTCGATCATTTGACACAGTTTGATTTCAATTACTTCAGTGGCAAAAACGCTTGGCTCCATGGCTCTAGCCATTTTGTACAGTGATAAATTCTCTTCAAAATGCCAATACATCATCTAACAAACAAGTTAAGAGATTAAAAAAACTTATTAACTGTATAAATTTGCCTGAATTTATTAAATAATTTACGAAGGTTCGAATTCTTCCACTTATAGATTTAAATTCTGCTTGTCAAAGGAATTTAGTGAAGAGTAACGAGTGGTCGTTCGGTGATTTCGAAATCTATCAGCGTTTCCTCATATATGGTGCAATCTGTTTGGCCTCACTTCTCTCCGTGATAGACAGCGAGTTGAGCGAGTAGTCTACCTATCCGGTTGTGGCGTGACCTATTGTATCATTTTTATATCAAACGTAAGCGTGTCTTGTTGCTAAGTATTGAACCAGAATATTTACACTTAGGCAATTAAAATGTTCGCTCTTTATCCAAATGCGTTACATTTTTTCGGGTTTAGCCTTCATCAATCTTCGTGCAATTGAAATCTTGAGCTGGAAAGGAGAAAAGTTGTACAGGAGTTGCCATTGACAATATTTATTCTTCCATTTCAGATATTTACAGCGTTCTTCCCCCTAGCTCTTCTTCAGCTCAGGTGAGAATCCCGCGAGCCGCTGATAGCCCCGCCAAGGGAGACAATGGAGTTTTATCCCCCGATATCCATCGGCAAATTTCAAAATCCGTTTACGCTGCAACGCAAAAGATCTGTACAAGCAAAAGTCAGATTTGTATCAAGGGTCAAAAGGGAGAACCCGGAGATCCGAAGTCGACTTCTTCTCTTCAACTTATTAAGGGAGAAGCGGGGGGTGTTGTTACTGCCCCTGGGATTCTTTTGCAACCGGCCGTGAGCACAATCGACTTGGGTGAGACAGCTGCATTTCAATGTTCTCCAGAGAAGAACGTTGTTGCAACAATTTCATGGTCCAAGGAGGAAGGCTCCTTTCCACTGGAAGATATTCCATTGTTAAAGGAGGGCTCTACATAAGGAATGCTACAGTGGGAGACAATGGGATGTACGTGTGTACAATTCGTACTGACCAAGGGACCGTTCAGGCTTCTGTTACACTCAACGTCAATGATAAAGTTCTATTTGCATTAACTTTCGTAACGTCAGTTTAAGAGGCAGCATTAGTTAAAATTAAGCGTCTGGCAGGATTCATCTATTCGCCTTTTCAGTTATCTAGTCAATGGTATTGGGGAAGTAGGAAACGTCAAGCACATCTTATTATTATATGGAAAAAAATCGAGAATAGGAAAAACAAAGGTTTGTAAAACCGTACATAAATTGTGCTTGTGCCATCTTAAGCTGATTTTAACGCCAAAACCTAAAGATCACCTTCTTTCCACGCAGCTCGGCCGCTCATCTCTTTACCCGCCGGACCAATCTACGCTGAGAGTGGAATGGACGTCAAGCTCCCTCTATGCCAGGTCATCGGATATCCCCCTGCAGTGGTGTCTTGGTCAAAACTTTTTGACCAAATCCCTGGTGATAGAGCCACTGTGAAAGGCCACACTCTGACCATATCAAAAACAGACAAGAAAGATTCAGGAACCTACATCTGCACAGCTTCGAACGCCATGGGTACAACACATTCCATGACATCTATGATAGTCAATGTGGTGCCTCAGTTTACTTTCAAGCCACCAGAGAAGATTGAGCTCTACCATGGACAGTCAGTGACACTCAACTGCTCTGCAGACGGACACCCAATACCCAGCATCACCTGGACACGGTGTAAAGAAGACATACCAGCAGACCGGTTTGAAATGGAAGGAGAACAGCTGAAGATAAACAGTTTAACGGCAAAGGAGAGTGGGACATACATCTGCTCAGCACAGAGCGAGTTTGTTCATGTGGAGACTGAGGTGCAACTGATTGTGAAAACAGGTGAGAATTATTGGCTGTAATAATCTTGCAGAACAGTGGAATGTTTTAGTAGGTGCATAAACATGCAGATCTTCTGTTCCTTTCCTCGCCCACTTGTTGTTCCTTTCCTGGTTGAATTATTTGATGTGTGTTGTTGTTGTCGTTGCTTTTTTTTCACGTGTGTTTATTTAGAACAATTCTAAGAAGATGTCAATCTACGATGTATAATCATATCCAAACTGTGAATCGCTTCTCAAGAGTATAAACATAGAAGAAAGAAAACAAGACCAGTTTCGCAAAATTAATTTCCATTTCCCAAAAAATTTGAGGAATAAGAAAATTTCTCGTCAAAGATTTAGCTGAACAGAAAAAAAAGTAAGCTTGCCACAATTTAATTAGGCTAGAGTCTCTGGACCCCAAAAAATTATGCAATGAAATTGTACTTGTTATCAGTAACACAAAAATACTTAAGTTACTGATAATAAAATGCATTTTCTTTTACTTTTGAAACGGCAAGAAATCGGTGGTTAATCACTTCATCCTTTTTTGTAACTTTTTACAAGTTCTAATATCGAATAGCTCAAGGAATTTCTTCCTGAGACTTTCTTGTTTTCATTTTTCAGCCCGAGATTGCACAGAGTTCTTCGCTGCCGGCTTAAAGGAAAGTGGAGTGTACACAGTCAACCCAGCAAACAAAACCAGTTTTGAAGTGTACTGTGACATGAAGACCGATGGTGGTGGATGGACCGTCTTTCACAAACGCTTTGATGGGTTCGTTGGATTTTACAGGGACTGGGACGAGTACAAGAACGGGTTTGGTGACGTCAGAGGGGAGTTTTGGCTTGGAAACGAAAAGATTCATCAACTGACTGAGATCCCGAGTCAGTTGCGAGTGGAAATCAACACCACATCGGCTGGAAATAGATACGCAAAATATAGTAATTTTACGGTGACCAATGAGGCAACCAACTACACCTTGTTTGTCGGATTCTGTTCTGGTAACGCTTACGATCGACTTTCTGGTCATAACGGTATGGCTTTCTCCACCCAGGATAGGGACAATGACAAGAATGGTGGGAACTGTGCTAAGTCTCACAGAGGAGCATGGCGGTATAATTCCTGTGCTCAATCCAACCTGAACGGTAATTTCGGAGGTGGTTACTATTTTTGGAATTGGGATTCACTCATGGGAAGCCAGATGAAACTCAAACCAAAATACCCTTGATTGACTTTTTAATCTACATTTGAACTGGAAAGCGAAGTGACTTGAATGATGGAAGAGATAATAAGAAAAACTTCAAATTAGAGTAATAATGATAAAAGATTCATTAACTGACTGAGATTACGAGTCAGCTTAGGGTGGAAATCAACACCATTTCTGATGGAAATTAATATGCTAAATATAATAATTTTATGGTCACAAACAAAGCTTCTAACTACACACTTTCCGTTGGTTTCTATTCTGGTGATGTTCACCTACCATAATGGTATGGCTTTTACTACGAAGGACAGGGATAATAACAAAAGCGGTGGTGATATAACAGCTGTTATTACTCCAACCTCAACGGTAACTATGGGGATGGCGTTTACCAGTGGAATTGGGTCGTCGACGGAAGCCAGATGAAACTTGGGTTGGTAACTTGCGTTAAACAATACCATACAAAAAAAAATTGCATTTGAGAGTTATAGAAAAAATAAGTTAATTACGGGAAATTTGTTACATCAATGTATCGGTGAATCTCGGCGCATGTAAATCTGTAGTTAAAACTTGCCTAGTCAATTCAAAGCAGTTTGACAACTTAGGCCTCTCATGGAGCACTTCTTTTTTCTCAAGCTCGTGATTCGTTAATCCGTAAAGGAATACCTATTGGCTGCAAACTTTTAAGGTCGCATTTTAGCGCAGCTCTTGACGGGTTGAAAAGTAGATGGTATATTGTTGAGATGTCTTGAAGTAACACAAGGTATAGAACATAGTGAAAGGCATGTCGTTTCAGAAATGTTAATAATGTGGCCTAAACCTTCGTTGTGTGATTTTTAGCCAACGGCATGTTTTACCGTAGGATTACTGAATAATCTTTTATATGGTACGAAAAATATATTCAATGCTTCTAATTCGTTTAAAACAGTCTTCAGTCCCAGAATGCCATTCTTATTTTGAAAGTAATACTAACTCTTTAATCATATACCAGAAAAACTTTATCCGCTTCGGATTGGCTGAAAACGAGCGCATTTTTTTGTAACACGTGTACAAATTACAAACAGCGCGCGCACTGTCAAAATTTCGTCTCTCTTGACTGTCTGTGGTGCTCTGTTCATATTAACATCTCACAAGTAACAACATGATTTCTCGCGCAATTTGGTGTAAATAAGCACTTAAAATTTTTTCAAAGACCTTCGAAAATTCTATTCGTGCTTATTAACACCAAATTGAACTTGAAATCACGTTATTACCTTTGCAAATTTTTAAGGGGAGTCTCTGCTGGGTTCTGAGGTGCGTTTGGTGATTTTGTGGCAATGGGATTGGGTTTGGTACATTTGTTTGCTCAAAGATAAGCTGGAGCACCCAAGTCCCATCCGCTTTTTACCTCAGTTTTCGGGTTTCTTGTTCATTGTGAAAGTGTTCATTAATGGGTAGGATCGATGATATGTCTCTCGAGGGCCTGGTACACTCTGAGAAGATGGTACTTGAGTGTTACATAGACAACAAAAAAGGCCCCACTTTAGGGTTGTTTCTCAATTATCAGAGGAATCCTCATTGGATTGGATCGATGATGTTTGTGATTAACTCTATTTTCCCATAATATTTAAACATTGGCATCTCTAAGTGATATTGATCAAAAAAAAAAAAAATTTAAAACGAGACGAACTGTAGTTTTCATATTAATTACTCTTGCTGCCAAAATCCGAATTTCCCGGACTGAGCAAAGTTCATTCATTCTGTGTATCTTCATGAGTTCCTGAACGACACAACTTCCATCCATATTGGTCTCTCGCAAAGCATAGTTCGTTAAACACGTAGAAAAAGAGGCATGCCACCTTCCACAAGCTTGTTTTCATTTATGTTTGGTGTTAGCCATCTGTGTTTCCTTTTCGAGTTTTCAGCAAGTTCGTCAGGAAGAATTCACCTGTTTGAAATAAGAGAAGGCAATTCCTTCTTTTATCATTCATCGGACCAAAACATTTACTTTCAACCAAAAAAATTTCGTCATCGCTAATAAAAAAATGTTCATGGCATCTCCCGTTTTCTTTACACTAATAACTAACTGTATTGCCAGTTAGTTTTTGGTATTAAAAGTTTCCTCCGTGTTGCTTCCTCTTAAGTCCGTCCATTGAGTCAAACTTTTGTCACAAATTTAGCCTCTATGTCTATTTATTTGTGCTTTACCTGCTCTGTATGAGGATCGTACAAGCGGTCCACTGGCAGTGTACGCAAACCCCAGCTCTTTACCAACCGACTCCCAATGCTTGAACTTCTCAGGAGTGATGTACTCTGTGACCTACGAAGAAAATAATGTCAGCTCCAGCCCTAGTCAAAGAAACACCAGAGCACAAAAGCACCTCATCGGTATACGTGAGTCCTTGGCAACGCATGCGTGCAATTACAGATGTGTTACGATACCACAAGGCAGGGAGTAACTCTGACAGTCGACCTTACGACAAACGCAACCCGTAACTACCAATTTAAAACGCGATTTTTGATTTGCGATACATAGGAATACGGCCTTCGCGGACATTAAACGACTTGTATAGATTTAACAAGGTTGGTAAACTTCTCAAAAGTCAACTTCTCGTATTCCAACTTCTTCAAAACACTTCGTATTTGCGTCAACCTTACACGTGTTTGGGGTCACCATCCCTTCTCTGTTTCCCTGAGGGAGGGGTGGGAGGTTTAGGGATTTGAACATCAGCAATTTTTCTTCGAACCGGCAGTTTAAGAGCTTCGTACTGGATATTTCTCGCAACTCATCTTTCCTCTTACTGGTGACATTTCTGAATCCTCTCCCTCTTCGAAGCTTGCATACCTTATTACACAGCCTAACAATATTACAAACGTTTACACTTCTATCCATGGTGTTACCTTTAGATGAAGCCTCGTTGGTTGCATGTACTGTCCTAATGTCACGCAATCTACTTTAGCTTCACGGAGATCTGATGAATTAAAGGTAAAACTAAGTTATTTAATCCTCTACCATGGTTCTTAAACGTTAGTTGGGTTAGAACTGTAAGGCGAACAAAAGCTGCAGACATGACTGTTTTAGCAAATCCCGAAAAAGTAATCTGTTTTCCTAGTTGAAAGGTGGATCGCCTTATGCACAGAGAGATAAAGTTACAATATAACTGTTATTAGCCTCATTGTACATTGTGGCTGACCCTCCTTAGTTTTTACCTTTCAAGGCTTGTAGAACTTCTTCATCAGTTTCACCGAGACCCAGCATCAAAGAGCTTTTAGTCACCATGCGTGGCTCAATTCTCTTAACATGTCTTAGTACCTCAAGGGACTGTTTGTAGTTTGCTCTTGGGTCACGCACAAGCCTATAACCAAACAACAAAATTTTCACTCACCAGTAACAAGAACTCTGAGTTCCATGGAGTACAATGGAGCAGACTGATGTACTGTTACTACCACTACTACTAATAATAATGGTAATGATAACTGTTATTATTATTATCAGTTATTAGTAATAATAAGCTTTATGAAGAGTAGGTTATCCTTAAGTTCTCATGTAAAGCATGTCATTTTGAACAAAACCTAAAAGTAATTAACAGACAAGCTTAAGAACGGCAAAATAAGAGAGTCTCAAAGTTATCCCTTGTAAAGGCAAGTCTTCTGCAGTCTCAAATGATCAGCAGGTTAAACAGAAGTGCTGGGTGCACAGATGGAAATGGATCTGTTGCCAAACTTTGAATTGGAAAACTAATCATTATCTTAGACAACAGTTTGAAAACACTCCTCTTTAAAGTGGCTTAAAAAAAAACTCTCAGCTGGACAATTAGAAAACAAGATCAAATGAATTTGTTATTTAATGACTTTAACTCACAACTGCAGTCTATCCACTGTCTCCACATTGTGAGCATAAACATCCAATCCTGATTTTACCACAGCTTCTACACCTTTTAGATCACCTCGGAAATCACCGGTCAAGCATTCTACAAGTATGCCTGGATTTCTACAAAGAAAGTCAGTACACAACAAAAAGAGGGTAAGACAAATTTTCCTTGACAGTCCTTGCAGTCAAAGGAATAGGGGTTACTGAAATAAAGCTCTCTCTCCCATTCGCGCTAAATTTAACAATGTTTAAAATTTGTTTCTTACCTTTTCTTGATTTCTGTTACTGTCTCTGAAAAATGGGCAGCTCCACCATCTGACAAATCTAAATCAACACAGAAGCAATAAAATTCATTTACCAAACAAATCATATACTTTAAAAGGCAGAGAGAGGAAGTGGGGAAAGGGAGGCATTACAGCCTTGAAAAAGAACAGAAAACAATAAACCAGATAAAGTTTTATCTACTGGTTAATTCTCCCCTCTAGCTGCTACACATTCCCTTGTAAATCAGTTGCAAGAATTTGGTTTTAGATCAAGATAACAACTTCTACCTGATACAATTGAGTACTCTCAATACCAGTTTGCTGGATAGTGAATGGGTATTATAGGGAGAAGTTACATGTGAATCACCTCTGGAAGTTAAAGGGTTATTAATCTGGAGTTCTGTGCTCTAACCATACTACTGTGGGGGGCTGTGCCTAAACTTATATAACCACAGTGGTTCTGTTACACTTCAACATACCATCTCGGTCTACAGAGGTGATGACTATGTAGTCTAAACCCCAGCGACTGATTGCCTCTGCTGTATTAGCAGGCTCCATAGGATCTGGCGGAGGAGGTTTCTTGTTGGTTTTCACAGAACAGAATCTACAACCTCTTGTGCACTGGTCACCAAGTATCTGAAAGGTTATGAATTCATTTTGAATTTCTAGGCATCCAACTATCAAGTTTGTGTATAATACAGTGGCATACAATGTAAAAGGAGTTTGTGTTACTCAAATTGTATCTTAAATTTTTTTTTGAAGTGTCATTGTACAACTCAACTCTTCTGGTGGCAATTCATAAATGTTTGCTCTATCTAACTAAAGTATATATTTTGCTATGTCAAGTTTTGTGGCTTAAATCCAAATGAATCAAAGTATGTGCACCATAAAAGTGTATGCTATAGACATCAATAGACCATTTATGTTTGTTACATGCTATCTTAGAATATTCTAAATAGCCAAAAAACACTAACGGCAATTTACAAGCCTCTTTCATGTCACTAAAATATTTATAATTTTAATCTATTGTTTGTTCCCAGTTTGAGTAGCATATACCATAATAGTTGCAGTAGCTGTTTCACTCTCTCCTCCACCCCAGCATTCACCAATATTTGGGCATTTAGCCTCCTCACACACCTACAAATGAATGCGAAACAACAAACCACTTTAAACAGATCAACTTAACATATGATATGATGTTCAATATTTTGACCAAAGAGTCCAGCCTTTGAGCATACTAAAGGTTTTGAATGGTTTTATGACAAATTTACAGTACAAAGCATTTTGGTCAACAAAAATATATTTTGTGGCTATGAAGGACAAAATGATCTAAAGTTAGTTTCCTTTATGACAATAGAAATTCAAAATGTAACAACTCTTTTTTCTCTTGAAAAATTTACTCTTTTTCTTCTTTGCAAGGCTTAAAGAGCCCAATCATCTATGATATTAATTTTTAGCAAACTGAGTGACACTATGCAGAGAAACTTTGTTTTCGAAAATCATGTCTAAAGTCAATTCTAGTATTATTGATAAAATTAAATAAAGAACTAACAATTGTGTCAACTACAGGTACTTAAATGAATAGACTCACAGTAGATAAGTTCAGCTCTCTAAGTGTTTCTTTGAGTTTATGGTAATTTTTACCAGTGGGTATTTCCCTTTTGAGCCATGGTGGTAGACGTAGTCTGAAAAGAAAACAGAGTCCTCGTGACAACTGATAAGCTAGTGATCTGGGCAAGAATTACTTTATCTCTATACTTTGCAACCATCACTTCCACATATATTCTGAGATCTGCGAAACAAGCTTATTTATTTATTTATGTGCCAATGTTTACAGAGTCTGAAAACACAGAGTAGTTTCACTAGCTTTGCACATTATACATAAACATCACGATGACGGCCGAGTCGCGATAAAGCTTTAACTGAATAATTTGGCGAATCTCTTTGAAAGAAACGATGTGATAGCGCTCAACGTCCGTCTGTCACTGAAGAGTCCAATTTAAGTTTAACTAAGGACATATGATTACTGTAGCGATATAATACTGCTTCCAAAGTAACCCTGCAGCTGTACTCTAAAATGCTAAAGTTTCTCCGTAACTTCTCTTGCTATAAACTATTATACCGTTGTCCTTTCTTTCTCTTGTAGGGATTTTCCTGTGGAATAACCTCTCCTGATATAAATTCTCCCAGACTTGGTCCCTCGGCTATGAGGGATTTCTTATCTGCAGACAGAGAACTAGAGGATCTTCTTAATAGGAAACAATTGCATGACGAAGCATAGACTCCTGGCTGCAAAGTGCGTAAAAATCAAGGAGAAAATTCAATAAAGAGCATAAAGAGAGAAAAAATTATCCATATATATCAATTCACCTGGCCTGAAAATAAGTAAAACGCACCGTTATCTTGAGGAAAGTTCTTGAATTCGAAGGCATCAAAGCTAAGACTCTGTTGATGGTCGCCATTTTGAATTGCGTAATTACCAGTCTCTCTCTCTCTCTCTCTCTCTCTCTCTCTCTCTCTCTCTCTCTCGCGCTCGTCTCATAATTTGATTTCGTTCCCAGGAGCTCTCCCTTTGCAAATGTAGCTCTGCAGAATCTACTGAATAACTACCGTTAAAGGGGGTTTTGACAAAATGCAACCCCTTTCCTACACTTACGAGGCAATATCAATGGAAAAAACAAATTTCAAGGCCTACAATCCTAACTTAAGCTCTATTCTTGAGAATCGGTCTCTGTAGGGAAATCTACAAGGAAACCCAAGACTTATTAATTGGATATTTTAGCAATGTTTATATTCTTTTGATAAAAGGTTTCAGCAACAGAGGAGAAACATTAAAGAATGCTCTCTAATCTGCAGCATTCCAAAGAAAACTACTGCATTTGAAAGAGATTAATCAGCTTGAGAGGAGGATTACCCCACGTAACTACTTCCATGTACTTCAAGCTGTTCCAATTCCACCAAAATCCTAATAATCATAAAGAAGGGTCTTGGAATCAGAATTATGGTGGAATGTGAATGATTGGAGGCACAAATACTTGTTCTCTAGAGTACAAAAATAAAACTTATCCAAGTCTCCAACTAGGCACCACCTGGGTATTGGATAATTTCAAATAACCAGTCAGGTTGATTAAATGTACTGGTAAATTGTTAAATTTCTATATCCACTATGCATTGAAACACAAAACCACAGTGAAAATGATTCAATTATTGCATAAAATATCCCCAGTGGATAACATAGCACTCACTCCCAGTGAACCTCAGACACATAAAAGAAAACTCACACAACTATTTGTTCTTTTTTAATGCACACCAGATGAACAAGTCAGAATGCGAAAAGCATACAGTGTATGGTGAAGTAAAAAACTAAATATGCTATTCAATCTGAATGACTGCAGGGTACGTCTCCTTGACCCTTTTACCCCTCAGAGTGACTAACATCTAATTTCTCCTTACATAAGGTCATGAAAAAAAAGGGAATGACCAAACTAATTTTACCTGCATTTCCCTTTGACTTTCACTCCCTAATAAATACTAGCTATCAATGGGGAAAATCACGCACACAAAAAAAAAACACTGTTGTCTGGTTTATTCTGCCAAACATTGTTAAAATATGTTTTCGATGATTGTGACTAGGCTAAGCAATCTTAAAATTTCAAAATAAAATAAAATATCTAATTCTGTGAAAGACTATCCCAAACAAATCAATGCGAAGTTAGGAAAACCACATATCAAGTAACTGTGGTCTGAAAAAATTTATGCTAAGATCTGGCTTCCTTGGCCTGAAAAAAAAAAACAACAACAACAACAACAACAACAAAACATTTCTGATGTAAAAAATAAATCAAGAACAGTGACTAAACACTGGGCAAATCAAGAGTGTACACAACATGAACATACATGATGTTAAAGCACAGCTGTTGAATGACCTTACCAGACCTGCATTGTAGCATTAGAGTCAACAATTTACATATTAGCTATATAATCAATTTACTGATAAGCTGATACTGACATGTTTGTTTTTACAAAATTTAGTCAACAACCTTTAATTGATTATTCAGCTTGCTGCCAACAAAAAAATCAATGCAGTTTCCTACTGTTTCTAACTTATCACAATCTTATCAACACCACAGCAACATTATACATCACCTCCTATCTAAGTGAAAAGAGGCGTAAAAAAAATTTAGCATTGTTGTTTGTTTCATTTCTCTTTGTTTCAACTCTTTTTCCAAATTCTATCATTATTTACTATAAAATTTTGCCCCATGTCCTTTTTTGGTAAATAGAATGTTCCAAAACATTTTCAGAAACATTCCGTTTTCAATAAAATACCAAACAAAAAAATCACAATGAGTTAGATGTGAAAATAAAGGCATTAACAAGTGTAATATAACATAATGTGGAATTTCCTCTACAAAGTTTGTTTCAAAGGTAGTATCAAAATAAATAAAAATATTTTATATGGTTTTGACATCAACCAGGAAATTTGCCTGTTGGCACAATCCCACATACAAAATAAACAAAAAACTAACAAAAAAAATTGTTATTAAGAATCACTTCAGATAGAGTGAATTGCATCTAATGGAATGCTTAAATAAAATTTCACTAATTTTAGCCAAAATATTGGCCTTTTCATGCAAGGTACAAATGTATCCCCTTCTCAAAACCAACAACTTGACGACAAATACCTTAGTGTTTAAACATCTACTTTTAATCTATGATTGATTGCATCCTGTGAATTACGTAACACTTCAACATCGCAAAAGCTTCCAACAACCCCAGAACCTGCACGAAACACATGCATTGGTGCACCTTCCTCCCAGAGATCAGCCAAAGGGTTGTATGACTCAACTGAGTTCAAATATTGTTCACCATTATGGCCTCCAACTGCCCACAAGCGTCCTCCCATAGCACCAGCGCCCACCCCTCCCCTACATGTTGTCATGCTGGCCACATAGGTCCACTGGTTGGTACGTGGGTCATACTTCTCAACTGAATCCAAAGGAGAAGAGTCATCAAATCCACCAATTGCATACAAGAACTCACCCACAACAGCAACACCGACACCTGTGGAGTGACAATTTTGAGCTTCAGTGCCATTTTCAACAAACAAAACAAAATAAACAAACAATTCCATCATCTAAAATTTTGTCCAAAATTCATAAAGGCAGTTAGAATTGCTTGTCATAGCTACAAAAACAAAGTAAAAATTTTTGTCATTTATGGTTGTTATAACTGACAGAAATTAATATATTTCCAATGATAGCTATAAATATTCTTGACACTGTTCAAAAAACCCCAATCTCTTAAAAATCCATTTACCTTAACCCTAATCTTAATTTACCAAACTTGACCAGCCACAAGGAAGTTGTATGTGTTATGATCCAGAGAAGGTCAGTCAGTTAAGATGTGAATGAGTATGTCCCTCATCATAAACCCACAACGGTCCATACAATGTACTCTCCAGCATACACGATTAGGTTGACTTTGAATTTCTGAAGGAATGGTTTACCAGATGATGAGCTCTTATTTGAGAAGGTGGGAGAAGGGTTAGTGATTAAAGGACTTCGAGAAAATGAAACTAAGCAGAGTAAGTCCTTAAGCATAGACAGATATAAAAATGTCATCTAGACTTTTTTCAACCACATTCTGAACTGGTAGAAGCTCAATGCTTATACGAGTGAAAGTAGTTAAGAGTGAGTCCCACCTGCTCTTCTGCGGTTCATAGATGCAACTCGGCTCCATTTGTTGGTGTGAGGGTTGTACCTTTCCACACTCTGAAGAGATGCAGCACCATCATTACCACCAACAGCATAGAGGTAACCACCTAGCCCTGCTACACCCACTCCCCCTCGAGGCATCAGCATAGGTGCCACCATGCTCCAAGTATCATTTTCAGGATCATATCTTTAGGAAGATCAGAAGACATGCAAGGTTGTTGATTGTATTACACACAACAATAGGTCTAAAACAACTCAGCTACCCACTCAGTCAGTCAGCCAAGTCAACCAAAACTAACCCTCACTTGCTTATTTTCATTAAGAAATTTTTTCTGTTCAGATCACTCATGAAGACTACCTTGGTTTTACAAAATGCAGTTGACATGTACCTCACTATAGATTTCTGCTTGCATTTAAAGGGCCAATAGTTATAGAGACAGAATTTTGGGGTACAACAGACTTTTTGCCGCAACTACAGGTTGAGCAGTCTATGTTCTCAATAATTTGGTATCCACAATGCAATATGAGAACTGCATTTAAATTCTGGAGAAGTAATCTGGTTCTCACTGTATTTAAAATGATTTTTTAGAGCCCAGATATGCACATCTTAAAAAAATTTATGGATAATTTCTATTTACCTTTCTACAGCATCAAAGCAGGTTGTTTCGTCCAGACCTCCAGCAACATAAATCACTCCTTCCAGGACACCAGCAGACATTCCTCGTCGTGAAATTTCCATGGACGCAACTATCTTCCATTGGTTAATTTCAGGGTTAAAGCACTCCACAGTATTAAGGTGTTGACTGCCATCATGTCCTCCAATTGCAAAGACCTTGCCTGCAACAGAAGCTACTGCCACATGCCTTCGAGGTGTAGAGACTTCTGCTACCTGGAACCAACAGTTGTGAAACCAATCATAGCACTCAATACACTGAAGAGGATCGCCTGACTTTCCACGACCACCAATTGAAAATAAGGCTCCGGAAGTGGACTTGCGTGGTTGAGCTCTGATATTTACTTTCACCAAAGAAGGATAAAGTTTCACATTCTTTGCCTCGTCTATTAAATCTCGACAAGCGACATTGTTTCTGATGATCATGTCTCTTTCCACACGCTGTATAAGGTAATCGGTGGCAATCAAAGGAAGCCGCACATGACTTAACAAGTCTGACAGAAACTGTTCTCGTGAAACCAAGTCAAAGCGTACCCAGGCACTAATAGCCTCAAAAACCTGCTCTTCGCGTTTTACGTAAAGGTCTTCCCCAGAGATAATGGCGAGAAAATGTCTAAAAGAGGTTTTAAGAAGGGCCTCTGTGTTCATAAGACTCAAGAAACAACTTCTTGAGTAAGCATCTGCCGCTTCAATAAAGTCTCTACATCCATGAAGCTCTGCATACGCTCTCATTTCCAAACAATTTGACGGATGAAGATGCCGCTTCATAAACTCACAACAAGCATGAACAACGAGATCCAGTTGAAACACGGCAGCTGCAGTCAGTAAAGCTTCAATATTGTCAATACTGATCGTAATTTTTCGTGTGTAAATGAAGTTAATCAATTGAATGACCGCTTCCTCGGATAATCCCTGAATAACAACAGTGTCTTTGGAGGATTCTATCATGTCATTCGTAAACATTCCGCGGAAATATGGACTGCACGAAGACAAAACTACACGATGGCACTTGACTTTTCGCTCTCCAGCTTGAATGATTACATCACATAGCTTCTTCTCCCTAAAAAACTGAACTAACACTTCAAAAGCCTCGTTCGACAGACTGTGTGCTTCGTAGTGGAAAGTGTCAACTATTATGTCTCCCATAATTTGCAATATGCTAGCAAGGCAAATTTTAAGTCTGAAGTTCCGAAGCTCCGAAGTTTCGACGATCACAATACCGTCATCGATTTAGCAGCCTCAATTCGGTCACAGCAGCTGGTAGACACGAAATTCAGCTACAGGAAACGGTGGAGAAGTTTCAAATTAGCCTCAAGGATGCCGTGTATATCACAATGAAATGGCGGCCATATGACTGTAGTGCGGTTTTCCGGCTATTGTTGCTCTCCCATCTCCCCAGTTTCCCTCAGATCATGTGATTACGCAGCCTCGAGGTGTACGCGCGGTAAAAGCCAATGGCCATCGTCATGAAACGTTTTGAACTCACCTAAGAAACTTTGCAGTAATGCTACAAATAAATTCTCAAACTTGTAATCATTGCATAGTTAAATTCTCTGAGAATGCGAGCCAGACGGGAGGCACAAATTCCCCAGCCGGCTGTAGATCTTAAAACATAATAAATATAGTAGTCTTAGTCTCGTGAGTTGGTTTTTATTAGTAACAGGAATAAACTGTTATGTGAACATTTTCTAATATGTCATATCTTAAGTTATGCAGTAGGTAAGCTGAACGAGCTAGCGAGTCAGAAAGGCGCGAACGTGCGCGGTATGAAATCGCTGCGTGACATCTCGCTGATGCGTGGGAATTCTTCACGTTCAATTTGCGCAAATAATTGAACAACTAACTGACTTCTATTTCAATTGTCCACTAAGCGGATAAAACTAAGAAACGAAAAGGAAAGTTTCGAGAAATGGAATGTTCATTTCGTTTTTACAGTGCAGTAGAAAACTGAAATACGAAAATAAAATCTGAATGTCCTCTCCCAACACAAATGAAGTACGGTTGACGATAATATCTGATAATATAAAGGATTTTAAGGACTTTTTCACCACCACCTCAAGATATATGAACTCACTACTCTGAAAAATATAGTAAAAAAAAAGAGTAATAAACCATGCCGTTTTATTTATTCACCTTAAAAATAATTGGATTAGTTATTGAGCTCTAAGTCATACGATGAAAATTAAACACTTTAAGCGCTCTTGTAAGTCCAGACTGACCTATGCAGCATATAAATAATTTATTTAAATATCCTATTTTAAAAACAATTAAGGAAAGCCGTCTATTTATGAAATAAAATGAGACTAAAAAGATTGTCAATTATATGAAATACAAATTTCTCTCGTCTGATAAAAAAAGCTGAAAATCACAAAGCTGCTCCTTCATGATATAAAATATTAATGTTTAGATTCCGTCTGATTTTTTCCTTACAACCACATTCCCTTGCTGTAAATTCTAACAAGACTTAACACCATATTTCTCGCCGCAATTATTCTGTAAAAAAAAAAAAAAAAAAAACACTACTAAAATTTAATCATTTCAGTACTTCGATGCTTGAAATATTAAATTCGCTTGCGGAAAATAGAAGTTAGTTCAGCAGCCTCAGCACTTGCTTCCGTCTTGAGTTCGAAAAGAAAAACAAAGAAGAAAGAAAGAAAGAAAGAAATTTACTACAAAAATAGGCCTCAGAACAGGCTTAACTTAAATCAGTGTTACGTTCTCGTCGGATGAGCGGGGGGGAGCGTGATAATAATGCAAAGGAGTTATTGACGTGCGAGATTCGCCCTCTGTTTTCGTCTCGCAATTTTCTCCGCTCGCCTGAATACACGACAAAAAGGAAAAAAACGGCGCCTTTTCTGAAGGGAAACGTACATTTAATAAGCTGGTCGGTCGGCAAGTTAAGGCGATTGATCGTAGAGAGCATAGAATGACTCACAAAGCTTGCTTTTTGCATTCACCGTATTTTTGTTTGCTTTTTTGTTTTCATATTAACCTCAAACGGAAAGTTATTTGGAGATTAAAAGTTCAGTGAGAGTCAGAAAATGAACTCTGTCCGATCATCTGGCAGGTCTGAAAATCTTGAAACTGCACTCAGATAAAATCTAGGAAAATTGCCTTTTTGTCCGACACAAATACCAAGGCAGACTTAACACGTCGTCACACCTCCACATTGATTGATTATTTACCTTCATACAGTTTTCTCTTAAGATGAGGGTCTCAATGGTGTTAACCTTTAGCCGTAAAGCGGCCGAAAAATTTAGCCGTATGGGGCAAAAGTTGAAAAATTTTAACCGTTGGTTGTAAAAAAGGGAACCGTAAAAATTTTCTTTCAATCAAAAAGGAAGTTAACCGTTAGCCATAAATGGCCAAAATTTTAACTGTTAACCGTAAAAGCCATCACCCCATTGAGACCCCCTAGGATGTAGTTGTTTGCAGATATTAATTCTTCTAATTTCAGTTCGTTTAATCAACTTTTGAGTTCTATGCTTTCCTTTTCCCAAACGGCTGCCCAGTTTCCGTGATCATGATATTCTTTGAGTAGTACAGCAGACGGAATTCCATCTTGAACTAACTTCACCAATTCGCCAGCGCAGAACACATGATAGTACCTCTGGTGTAACTTGCTTTTCACTTTCTTTGGCGGCTTGGTCGATGATGATGGGGATGATGATGACAATGACGAGGAAGCTGACAATGAAGATGATGACGATGACGAAAGGGAATCTTCTGGAGCTAATCTTGATTTAGCGGATTCTTTTCCGGTTTGTCTTGGCAGTTCACTGTGGTATGATGAAAAACCTTGTTGCTACGGGTTACATTACGTGATCTAACACGGTCACAGTCCTCTGTAGCGCTTGAGTCTGATGTAACGTAATCACTGGAGCTAGAACTGTCACTCTCCGCGTCGCTTGAAGATGCTAACGTCTCCACGAGCCTCGCAACTACCCCAAAGCTAACTCCATTCCAATCATCTGCTCCACCTTCATCAAGACGGCCATCAGGTTTTTTCTCCCTCAAGCCGATGATGACATCATTGGGAGGAGACAACCCTCTGGAATGGTCTCTGTTTCCTACGTTCCAGGACTTCTCGTCACAATCTTCCCTACAAGCGACTGAGCTCTCCTCAAAGCCGTCTATATCGAATTCTTCCCTACTAGGGAACAACTTCTTTGCCAGTAAGGAGAAAAATTCACTATTTAAGTATCTCGGTCGGTTCTGCAAAGAAAAATGCGACATCAAAGCTGACAATTTGGCGCTCAAGTCCAAGTTTGTGTCCATGGGAACGAGATTACCATGTGCTTTTTCTTGAGGGTGGTCGGGCGTTGTCTCGGAATTTTTGTCATCAAATAACTTCTCTAAGACATTATTAAGGAACTTTTTAAGCTTTGTGACCGGAGTAACCTCGGATGAATAACTACAATCAATATCGTGTGCTGGATCAAAGGTTGAAATCTTGCCGCCGTTCCTAACATGCTCCAGGCGAGAAAACTTCGAAGATCTCGCGTTTTGCACAACTTCTTCGATAACATCCTGTTTACACAAGTCTTCCGCCATTGTCGACTGCGTGCTGTATCGAATCTTTTCATTCGTTGGCTCGTCCAGGGAAAATGCTCGCCTTGATTTCCACGATGAAGCAGACTTGTTTGATGTACATCTAACTTTCATCAGTGGGTGGATTCTGGACATTAAAGGAGTGGATTTCCTTCTGCGAGCTGCAAAGAAAAAAATATTCTGGTCTGGAAAAAGGTTGAGTATGTCTTAAATGCATTTAATGAAGATGAAAAATTTATGGATTGTCGAGAAAAGGTTGCATAATATGTTCCTGTCCCTATTTTCCTTTTGGAGGGAGGAGTATGGGGATTCTGGGGGAGGGGTGGGTAAATTGTCACGCTGTACCCCCTTGGACATAGGAAAAAGATAATTCCAAACACTTTAATTAGCAATTAATGCAAGAAGTAAATTATTTGGATTTTATAAAAATACCTGTATTTCTCTGGTATTGTGTAAATGGAACTAAGACATCTTGACCATTAAACTGTAAAAGTAATAAATGCAAATGTTTATAAGCATACAGTGCACCCTGCATCACTGAGTTATTTCATGGTAATTAGTTATAACTTGGGAAACCATTAAGCTGAGGTAAGATACATTAGAGCACGATAATTAAGTAAAAACTGCACAACATAAGAGTGACAGTAAATTTGCCTGGTGATATTGCAAAACAAAGCCCATCTCACCATCATATTTAGAAGCATTTAACCTTAGAATCACACAGGTAAATTATTCGAGAAATGTCTAAGATCTCTTACTTAACTCACAGTGAATGTATAATAAAAAAAAATAACCAGCAGCTGTTTAGCCTAACAGATACAAGCAAAAATTTAAGTGCTTGGTAGGTTCCTTCATACTTACATTATCTAAGTAAACACTTAGGAAGAACATATTTTTTCAATCCAAAGTATAGTAACTGGAGTGCTTTTTTCTGTCTGGAAATAACCTAAAAAATATATTTCTAGGAGAGTTGTGACACTGACTAATTCTTAATTCTTGCTGACAAACCCAGAAAGATACTGTCAAATGTATGTTGAGAAATACACTCTGAAATTTTCCTAAATTGTTTTAATATTGAAAAAAAAAATACATGGAAAGAAATCAACTGAACAAGATTTAGCCAGGCTTATGTTATATTGGAGAGCAATCAAGAGCAAATGCTTTGCTTTTGCAGTAAATGATTGTAAAATATTTTCCAGTCCAATAATGTGATGTGATGCATTGAATGTTTCTCAAACCTTTCTTTCATCTTGTTCAAATGCCCAAACATACACCAACATTTTCCCCCCAGGTTTAAGAATTCTGTAAAGCTCTTCCAGTGCTTTCATGCGCCTCTTGGCTGATGCAAAATGATGAATGACACCAATGGAAATCACAGCATCAAAGCAGTTCTCCCTGAGGGGAAGATTCTGATTGTCACAAGTCAGGACATTGTGGCCTCTTTTAGCAGCAATTTCACCAAACTTCATACAGCTGTCTGATCCAAGAGTGAAAGACTGATCTCCCACCAAGTCTAAGTACCTGCCTGTTCCACAACCTGTGAGAAAATAATTATAAATTCGAAAAGTATTTTGACAATTATTGTTATCTCTGTATGATATTTCTACTTGGACCAACTTTCCTTCAGAATAACCTTTTAACCCTTTAACTCCCAGATAAAATTTGTAATTCTCCTTACTGTCAACCATACAATTCATATAATGTTAGTTCAGAGAATTTATTATTGGATCAACTAACTATCCTTAAATTGAAACTTTTCTATATTCTCATCACTTATCTAGTTGATATTGTATTAATATTGTAAGGAGAAATTCTGTCTTGGTCACTCAAGGGAGTTAAAGGATTAACTTACTCCTGCCCCACCCTGTTCATATCACACCCTTTGACGACATTGGAAAAGCTAATGGAATAGATAAGCTTCATTAAAATTGTTTTCATTTTGGAACCTTTGTTTGTGCAATTTTCTATGAGAGAGGACTCGCAAAGTAACTCAATCAGAGTGCAATAACACAGTTATAGTTTCTAAAATAAAGTGGGCAATTATGTTTCAATTCACTTATTTATGGACATGCATTTTAGCTTAATTATTTTCGATTTTTCCGTTTCGATTAAAATTTTGGTCGGTTTTACGTTTTTTTATGAGGCCTCGAGTGTATTTTTTCCTTAATGATATTGTTATACTTTGCTGTAAAAAAAAAAAATGTCATCCGAAAACGTCAGACAGTATTTTGCTGTTTACATCGATCCTACTTATCGTGCATATCATTCGCAAATGATGTTATTAAAATAAAAGCTTAGTCATAAAGCGTCTCATTACTGGAGTTAAAAGACAATCAAGCAAATGATTTTCTTTTCTATCACAATAAACGGATCAAACAGCAACAATACTAAGATAAAAGCTCACCGGAACATGACAACCCTCGATATTTTCTTCTTTTCTTTAATTCGACTGGCAAAATTCGTAAAATTAGGAAATCATTCGGCAAATCTTACCTACATCAGCGATCAGGCTTCCTGCTGGCAGAGAAAGAAGGAATTCTTCAACTTTCGGCCAAGCTTTATGCCGTGAACCAACGAAATGAGGCGCTATTTGATTATAAACTTCGCGAACGTGATATTTTTCCAGTTCATCCGGTGAAGTATATTTTGACATTAAGACACAGATGTTTGACTATCTTTTGGATCTTTGCTCGGTTTAACCTCTCCTAGGCCGTTTGAAGAAAGAATCAAGTCCTTATGGAGAGAAGGATTTACAACTCGAGCAGGAGTTTCTCAGCAACTTCACAGGAAAAAAAAATATCAGACAGCGACGGGCAATACGTAACGCAGAAATCGATGATCCGTAACAAATAAACAGACGGCTGATCACGGACGGAGAAAAGAAGGAACGATTACGCACATGTGCAACTCCTAAATATGTTTTATCGCGGTCTACAGCCAAGTTCTTATGAAATGTCAGATCTCTCGCCGTAAACACACAAAAACCGCGATTTCAATCGAATTGAGGGTAAATTTCCTGTCACGAAAGGTGCAACTAGACGAATAAAGGAAAATTTGTGAAAATAATTGTTCTTGTGCCAAATCCGTCCAAATCAGCGACAAAATTTGATGTTGATTCCTCAAAATGCGGATCGCAAATTCAGACTTCCTTCCTTTCGACCAGCGCTGAAAAGACAATGGCGAGAAAAAATCTTCAGTTACTCTTTGTGTTTTGTTATCAAGGAGCAGATTATTCAGAGAAACTAATTTGCAAATGAAAGAGTAAACGTGTTCGATAAACAATACAATGTTTTGAAAGCTGTAAGCAACAAAAACTTTCCCTAAATTTGTGGAAAATTATATCTCACAAAGAGTTTGCTTCCCTGGGAACGCTTTTATCAAGCAAACAATTTTGAATTTGTCTACGTCTTCACGTGAAATACATTTCAACTAGAAAATAGAAACAGGTGCTGAGGGAAAAACCATTGATTCTGGACAACGACAAATATTTAAATGGAAATGAACAACTAGATAAATAAAATTGATAACTCCTTCTTGTTTTCAAAAATGAATAAACCATTTAAATCGTGCGTTAAAATGAAAAAAAATTAACACGTGTAATTTTCTACCCGTGATGTGCGCCTGATAGAACAGATTGATACGAAAAGACGCTTCCTAAAGAAAATCGACCACGTTTTCATATTTTGAGAACTAACCTTAATGTCGAAGCCACAATCCACTTGATTTCTATCAAGTAAATCATAAAAAGAAAGAACCACACATTTACTTACCATGTATCAAACCGCCCACACGTTTGAAGTTCATTCCAAATACAGTCTGCACCGAGTTTGACTGTCACGCAACCAAATAATTTGGCAAAACCAACCTCGTCCCCAGGGTTTCTCGGTCATTTTTTTTCCCCCAAGGCGTCGTCTAGCCTAGAGTAGAAGCCTGTCGCGATCGTTTATTCGACCGGCCATGTTTGATCTACAGTTAGTTAGGGTGGACGGTAAGGGAAGGAGACGGGAAAGGCATCATCCCTCAGTCCTTCCTTTTAACAAGCGCTTACCCCCTTGGTACCAATTTCTTTCTCTCCACAACCTTCTGCATTAGTAAAAATCAAAGAAGAGAGCTGTAATTTTCACCAAAAATAGCCCGGACATTCGCTCGTCAAAATCAAGCTTTCACTGCAGGTAAGTCTAGAGAAACCACCGCCACTTTGAAACTGACCAAGGATTCTCGAGGAACGAGGCTGGTTGTTGATCAAACCGCTAACCTCATTCCCTGGGGTCTCTTTCTCATCCCTGAGGCAGAGAAAAGCGAGAGGACCCTGGAAACTGTCCAGCCTCCAGTGTGATCCGCGGAAATTGTCTTTCCAAGGGCGAGACCCCAGGGAAACTTGGAGCCGCGGGTATCAAATCATACGAAAAAATTCGGTCTATGCTTTAGGCGTTTTAATTTACGCCGTGCGCAGCAAAATTTCTAAAAACATGCCCAAAAGTTTTATTTGCTGCGTGGGTCTTGACTTTTTATCCTTCTGCCCTTCGACTTTACGAATAAACTATTTTTTTTTATTCTTCCGCAACTTAAGTGTTTTTTGGATACTACCAAGTTTATAATCTCTAATTTAACTTGAATGAAAATCTTACCAAGACTATTAATATCGTATTTTAATATATACTGGAATATTTGCGATATAGTTTTTCAGTTTTAGTGTCAATTTTTTTACCGTCTGAACAAGCAGTATTCACTTGGATTTCAAGAATGACCAAGAAACTAGAATGACTAACTAGTTACGCGTGCTCCGATCTTGTTCACTTTTTAACTCAATTGCATTTTGCTGCGTGCCGTTTTCCAAAGCGTGATGCAGTATTCATGTATAGAACACAGTGGTCAGTGTCAGGCATGCGCGAGGAGACCCATTCTGGCAGGGCAGGACTTCTGGCAGGCCGCGCACTTTCCCGCGCGAGATTTCTAAAGAAAACATAAGAGACAACCGCTGATTCACAACATATAACATAAGCGAAAGAAAATTGAAACGTACTTAGAAATTTGTAAAAGGCCAGGGAAACTTTACAGAAATAGGGGAAAAGGAAATCTCGCAACTTTTCAAAGACAACGGGTATCTTGTTGAATTACTGTTATTTTTTAGCTTTACCAAAAATGTTATGCTCTTTTAAAACACCGTGACTTACTGGCTTTTGTGGTTGTTGTAATTTGGTTGTGGCCACTGGTTCTGACGGTCTGAAAGCATGCCACTTCGTGTTCATGAACAGCGGTCTCGTTTTGCGCACAACACAGTCGTTAACAGAAATGATGATGTTGCCGTTACTGGTATTTCTGTTTCATTTCTCTAAAGCCAGTTGGTCACTTTCGGTCAGTTACTCCATGTTCAAGGCCATCTTGCAGCATTCATAGCCTAAAATAAGGACAAAGTTTGAAATTTTTCTCTGAGAATAAAGTCCTCGTTCCAGCAATCCTTTCAAGAACAACGCAACCTGTGTGGCTAAATAAGAATACGTACGGTTGTCCTCTCACAATTAAGCTTTTTTGAGCCAAACGAGTATCCTTTATGGATCATATCGAGTACTACTGTCATTGAAGTACTACTGAGTAATAAAGAAATATCTATATAGGTATCTATGATGGATAGAGCAGCTCAAAAGAATCAACGGTTTTGCTCGGAAGTAACCTCGTACCCAGATCCTACCTTTTAATTGTCCGTGGGAGGTCTAATTACGAGACTGGCTTAAAAGAATAGCAACCTAAGTCAATGATTTATCACCTCTCACTTGATACTTAGATCTGTTTTTCTGTGTCAGCTGATTAAAATTTCTATTTCCCGCTCCCCAATAAAACAATCAACTAGGGCTACGGGGTTGTTTCAAAATGTACCAATGTCGCGCCAATTACCATGCATCGGGTTTTTGTGTCATCAGGAAAAGTATGCCACAGTTTTAAGATCTCAGGCACTAGTTTTTCGAGCTAAGTATTTCTTTGAGGTCTTATTTGAGGTTATTATTTGTTTTTGTAGGGACTCCTAGGTTGAGAGTATGAATTCTTAAAGAGCTTCTTCTGTAAGCCCTTTTACCGCCCCAGGGGGATAATTAGAATTTTTTGTTTTGTTTTTCGTTTTCTTTACTCTCCTAGAGGTTTTACTCTCCCAGGGAGTGGTAAAGGAATAAAGAAGTAAGTTTCTAAAGAAACTGTGGTGCTGCGTCGGTGGGAGAGTATAGCAGGTAATTTAGTGTTAACAACTGGGTTGAAAACGTAAATTAGCCACCGTAAAGGGTAAAAAAGCTGACGTTTCGAGCGTTAGCCCTTCGTCAGAGCGATTAGAGGAATTGTGGGTTGTGTGTGGATTTATATGCAGAAAGTGGAGCTACGCCATTGGTGGGAATATGATAACTCAGTTGTTAACACTAAATTACCTGGAGTAGTAAAGGGATTATTATTGTTATTTTTTTTAGGTCAACAACGTACCAAAGCTTAATTATCACGAGAAAAAAACAAACTTCTTTTCAGATCTCTATAAGGCTAAATATATTGGAAAAAAATCACAAAATTAGCTTTCGCTCTGAAATCATGATGTTCACGGTCAAATTGTTATCCAAAATACAACTAAAGCAGTCAGATCAAATTTCGTGAAATATCCTTAATTAAACGACAGAAGATAATCAGATAATCCTTGACATAAGTCATATTTGAATAGTTAACACTGTACCTCATAACAAAGAAAGCGATTGCCGCTCTTTCAGCTCGCATCTAAGGTGCCAATCGGCGGGTGTTCGAGTCATGACAAACCCTAATGAAAAAACATTAAACAAATTTAAAAAATGCATCGTAAGCATCACAATATTAAACCGATTTTTCCTTGACCAATAGGATTTATGATTTAGGGACATTTGCATTACTTCATAGTTTTTACAGGTGGTTTGATAAAAAGAAAATTTTCAAAGATTAAAACCGTGTCTCGAAAGCCTTACAGTGCTCGTATCATTCAACTTTAGCCATTCTTGCTGATGAAATCTCGCCATGCAGAAAATGAAGCACAGGTTCCCCAAGCAGGAAACCTGCCTTAGAGTGAGGTGAAGTGACCTCTTATACTTTGTTGTGGTTTATCTGGTAACCTTACGCTGATCGTAGCTAAGCTACGTTTAAAGAACATAACCTTAACTTGATATAAGATGATGGCTCCTACAGTGAAGCTGATTCTGATTCCATTGAGTTCTTCTAACGCTAGGAGGCATGCAGACATGAATGACTATCTGGATGCAGATGGATATTTTCTAACGTTATCGACCCAAAATAAATGCTTTAAATTTACAAAAATTTTTTATTCATGTTTCTTAAAATCTATTCTAACTTTTCTACTTTACGCCAAAAACTTCCAAAAAATTGCGTAAAAAAATGATTGACTTCAGCAGTTTCATGTTCTTAAAATCATCCTCGAAACTGAAGAAATTCTAACTCTCCTAAGAGTTTCTTTTCCCCAGGAAAGTACCGAGGATGCCCTGAAGGTGTGTACTGTGCAAACTTCAAGCTTGAACCGTTCTCTTATCTAAACATCACGAGAATCAGTTTGGAACTCGTCCACAGTGACAGCCAGTGTGGACTTGCTTGCCTAAAATCCGCCTCATGTTTTTCTTATAACCTGGCTGCCGTTCCTGATGTCAACGGAGAACTGTTTTGTGAATTGCTTCCATCTGACAAGTATAACAACTCGGCTAAATTCATTCCCAGCCTAAGTTACCATCACTTAAGCATTTCGGTAAGTAAAAATAAACTAAAATTGATTTTAGGCGTGATCCAATTTCTGAATTAATAAGATTTGGAATTATTTTAAAGATGAAAATATCTTCCGACGAATCGAGTATGATAATTCCTCTCGCCCTTTTACTTATCAAATACGTTTATTATCCTGTTTTTGAACTGAAGAAGCACAAAAAAATCTAACTCTTTCATCAGTTTTACTTAACCCCGCCAATAACTAACAAACTATACCTTGGAAGAGGTGCATTTATTATACATGGATGTTAAGCGTAAGCGAAATGATATCGAGGCTAAGCTGTTCCTACGATACCACAGCATGTCAATGTTCCATCAACAGAGTCCTTGCTCTAGCAATCCTTGTATGAACGGTGCAACTTGTACAGCCAAGTACAGAGATGACGACTATGAGTGCATATGCTCCACAGTCTTTATAGGAAAGCACTGCGAAATAGGTACGTTGAAAATTGCATTCTTTGGTTTCAGCTTACAGAGCGAGAAACCGGCAAAAAGTGCGTCCCTAAGTATTCCTGGCTGGTGAATGGTGCGAGTGATAAATTCTGTACAAGTTTGTGTATTTGTTCTCAATCATGGACTTTAACAAGATGTACTAAAACTTTCAAATATGGGGGAAAGAAGAGGGAGGGGCAGAAACAACATTGTTTGTACGATCAGATAAAATTATTTGAGTTAGAAGCATTCCTCTCAGAGTATGCATTTTTTCTTCAGTTTGACCCAGAAAATAGATGTGATACTTGTGGATATAGTCCTAATGCATGAATGCAATGATCTTGGTTTTTATTTATCAGCTCCAGGAGTAGATTGTGAAGATATGCAAAAGCGTGTTGATTCTCTAAAAGATGGCATGTACTGGTTGGATCCGGATGGAGGAAGCCATTCCAATGCATTTCAAGCCTACTGTGATATGACGTCATACAGTGGAGGATGGACCATGTGTTACACTACCGATGAATATGTCACACCTAAAACTGAAGTCACTTATGACGCTCAGTTTCCTTATGGAAGTGACGGCTATAGGACCAACTGTAACAACATCCCGGTAACTTAATTAAGTAGCATTTGCTATTGTCCTTTAATGGTCTGGAGAGGGTGGGTAAATTTGTCTCGGCGAAATTACTGCTTAGAGTTTGGTTCAGATTTGGCCGTGCAACACAAAAACGCCCATGTGACCTGACTTGTTTCAACAAGGTATTTGTCCGGTCAATCCCCAGTTTCGGGAGTCTGCAGACTCATTACTCAATTGCTCGTAAGGCAATTTTCATAAGAGTTTCGTAATTAATCCTAGACTAGATTGGTTTTGCTTTACTTTGCTTGGTGATTGTTTTAGAAAACTAGCACTACTTTCTCAACCGGTCAGATGCAAAAATAAACCAATGAGGACTTAGTCACCCGCGTTTCCCGCGCTTTACGGGTTTAATTGTTCTTGTGTTGAGTTCTTCGTGGCTTTTCTGGGTATTTTCTTTTATGCTGATTGGCTTTCGTAATAACTTTGGTTTTGTTTTTGTGACGTCCAATTAATATCATTCAAATGTTATTTTCTCTCTCATCAGTTTACAGAAATAATATTTATCGATCACCAAAACGAAGCCAAGGCTTACTTCACACGCCGTAATCAGGGTGCTCTGACGGCCGCTATTAATTATGGAAGTGGTGCTGCTTCCTATGGATTATGGGATAGCGTTGGAACTAGCAGCCAATATTCCTATCAGTTGCTGATCTGCCATGGTCCTTTGTTTTTTGGATTCATGATATCTGGGTATACTGGTAACAATTATAAAGTGTGTAGCAACTGGGTTGTTGATAATCAGTCACCATATTTCCGTTCAGCATCAACCAATCCGTCTTTTGGAGGAGTTGCCTTTAACGTCAATGGTTATGGAACACTTACCAAGAAGCTCATCAGTGTTGGTTTACGCTAAGAAAGTTATTTCCATAGTAAAGTTGTCTCTTCTGAGTGATCACTTTATGAATTACTAACCTTTTTAATGCTAAATCAAGGCAGGATTAAGCGAAATCGAATCACTATACAATCGAACCTGTTTTAAGCGACTCCGTATTTAGCTATCACCTTGTTTCAAACAGCCGGTTACTTAAGTCCCGAAATTGTTTCCTCTTAATCACAGTAATTTTTACCTTCATTGAGCGGTCGCGGTCACCCTTTATTAAGTCCCAATGGCCTGTTTGTATTGTCTTCCATTTAAAACATTGAATGTAGCAGCATCATTGATTGAATAAAGCACTTTGAATAAAACGTAAGTGAAGCATGTTTGTTATGTTTGTATGAGAGATGAGTAGTGCAGGCCACAATCCACTTCCACTGAGCGTCGTTTAATTATACTGACATCCTTAAGAAGGTTCCCTACGGGGCCGAGATGGAACAAGTGTGTTGGTCGATGCTTTGAACGACTACCTCTAGGTGGATTTCCCATAAAATGACTCATTTTTCAAGCACATGACTTGCCTGGACAAAGAATCACGCTTCATACAAATAGATTAACAGCAAGATTAGAGCCCAAGAGTGGCTAGAGTCTGAGATGATTACTAACAAAAGAACATGATGAAAACAGGTCTCTTGTCAGTAATGATTCTTTGTCACACCAAAGTTGAATGCATTTCTCAAGAATTATGGGTACATTTGACGATGGAAATTTTGGATATGATTTCTGCCGAAAACACTAAACGCCCCACGGTCAAATGTTAATCTGACAGTCACGGGAAAAAAATTCTGAGACTGATTAAAACGTATTGTTGGCGCAATCAGGTCGTTTCTTCTTGCTGATCTGCATGGCAAGTGAGATATAATTATATCACTAGGAAAACCAAGCCGGAAGTAGCAGTTAACATTTAAAGTTCTGTGGAATGGTGGTTTCTCTGTTTAGGAAAAATGAACTTCCCAGATCAATATCCCTTATCACTCATTGCGATGGAATTGCCACTTGTCAACATCCTTGAGTAATTTTCTGTCATGTGATATATTTACTTGGATTATAATGATCATGAGAAAAACGGAGATTACTCTTGGTAAACTGCACGACATGCTGCAATTATCATCAATCAGTTGTACTGAGTCAGGTTTGTTAATTGAGCTTCGAAAGAATTCTCGAGTTGCCTCGATGATGCTTCAGATATACGCTCTCGGATTACGGCGTCTAAGAAAAAGCTACCTTCCCAACCAACACCTAATAGTCACGATATATTACTTTACGTTTTCCCACATTTCAAGCAGTATGTTAGTTGTTACTTTGAGTTCTTATTGGCTCGGTGAGATATTCGCCTTCGTTGTGTTAGACGGCTGATGATTGGGTTTAGTTTTGGTTCAATGACACTGAGTCGAAATAGGTTCTCTCATCATTGCATCGACTCAAATACTTCAGGTGCTGTAAAGACAAAGATCTTGGGTTTACAATTTTTATTTTACATTAAAAACAGCTAATCTAGATCTTGGTTCTCTGGTAAGCTTCTCTACCCATAAATAAAATAATAGTTTTATGTAATTAAGTTGCGACAGGAGTTCCGTATAGATGAAATCTGAAAATTGAAAATCATTTTACGGACCATGCTATCTCAAGAGATTGGACTTGCCAACACAAACATTTAGGTTGACTGCAAGTTTCTCTGGCTGATTTAACGAGAAAAATCCTGACTACGAGTTTGTTGTTTTCTTTTGCTGCGGGTTCAAAAATATTATCCGGTGCTCTACAGTTAACGGCTGTCAGGTGTTGCCTGCCGTACATAAACGTTCCACCCTTCACCAGTTTTCGACTCTCTGTTATATTAAAAAAGTTACTGGAGTTTCTGAAGAATTTACCAGTCAATCTAATTACTGCTCTCGATCACACATCGTCAGGTGTTTTCAATCTCTTGTTTTTCTTTTAATTTTTTTTTAACTTCCCTTGGTTGTTATATAACTATTTCTGTTTTTTTTTCTTCTCACTACAAATTTTGCCAAAAATTTCTGTGACTTTCTCATTTATCTGCGGCTTTTTGGGTTTTCTGTCGATCAAATTATCAATTTCCTCCAGAAGAAATTTCATCATTTTTATTTTCTGTCTGAGGCGAACTGCCTGACTTAAGCCGAATCTTGATCATAAAAAGCGCCGTAATACGGCCAGGTGAAAATATCAGTTTTATGTCAATACACGATCGGTTATGACAAGAACAACTCGATAAACTGAAGTTGCGCTTACTTTAATGGGCGGGAGAGTGCACCTTTAATGAAGATTCTCAAAGAGGTAACTGACAGTTCCAATTAGTAGTTGATAAGTGTAGCCTTCTTTCAGGCATTTTACATATCAAAGTAGATAATCAAATTTGTTGTCAAATTTGTTGGTTTTTGTCGTTGCGCTGTTCGTGTGTTAACCAGAGGTAGTGCTGTCGTCATAACTTACCCCTGTTTGCATCATGGAAATATTTTCTATAGATTTTTGAATAATTTTGAAGGCCATTACACACTCGTACATAGATTTTGCGACTCACAACCAATTTCACAATCAAACAACGTACAGTTGTTATGACATAATTTCATTATTCTCGGTTGCCTGCATGAGTGCCCCGTTTGCTTAATAATTTATAATTAAAAATTGGTAATTGCAAACACTAGAAAACAAGAAATGAATAGCTCCTTTAATTCTCACCTCAAAATTTCACTTTTTGCTTTCTTCGTAACCAGCCTTTATCAAGCAGTTTCTGAGGTCTACATCGATGGTAGGAGTGGCTTGAAGCGAGACACAGGGTACAGTGTTGCCTTCGGTAACTTTGCCGCACACAAGTTTTACCATCTTAGTTTGCCGCCTCTGGTTTCCACTTCAGTCAAAGATGTCGGACACTGTGCCAGGCTTTGTTTAGATAATTCAGCATGTTTCTCAGTTAACTTTGCGGCGATGCGTAATCAAGATGGGAATATAACCTGTGAAGTATTAGCAAGCGATAAATACAACAACTCCGCTTTGTTTAATCCTAGCGCGATGTTTCATCATTTGAGTATAAACGTAAGTACATCTTCATTTTTCATCAGGTTTTACCCACGCTGTGTAGATACGCATTTATAGTTAAGGGTATGTTACACTGCAAAAGACCTTGGTAACCTCGTTAACTTTGATTTGGTAACCTCGTTAACTTTGATTTGGAAGTTTCATGATCTTTAAGTTTAAATTCTTCTCATTTTTTTTGTGAGACATTTGCTCTTTGTTTCGATTACTTACATAATTCTATTTTTGTTCGCTATTTCAATAAAGTCGTTCCCTTGACTACGTCGCAAAACTATCTCGAGAAAGCACTCATAGCTCGCATCGTAAACACAGGATTTATGAAAAATGATGCGGCTACAAAGTCGGTGAGCCCTCAAGCAGGCAGCAAAGTAGCGTAACAAGTTTTTCCAACACTTTCTGAATATACATCTTTGAAAGAAGCCAGAGATTAGCTTTTGTTTTCCTCTCCGTTGCTCAGTATTTTGAGCACCTAAGGCTTTGTTTGACAAGGAAGTATTTAAAATGTTTTTTTAGCAAATTTGATATGTCGTGCCTTCGTGTGACAAACTGTGAAAGACGCTGTCCACTGTGGCACCTCTGCAATTTTCCGTCCCTCGCTTAAAAAATCGCAACGTCCTCATATATCTCTTATTGTTGATGAGTTAAAGAAGATTGTAGGTCAGTTTCAGCTTGGTCTTCCTAGGAAACTTGGGGTAAGTTTTGCCCAGCTAAATTATCTTTAGTATAGCTTTTGTTGTAACGAACCTGTGAATATGAATGCGATCTTCGCAGTAATGAACACTACTTAAACTATATTTTGCTCGGAATTCTAGTCTAGTTCTTCCAGGCTATCAGCCGTGTTTGCGCTTGACGACAGCAGTGAAATACAGGACTTCAGATCAGCTGAAGGAAATGCAAGGTTTCAATGCGTGCATTGACAGCATTGCTGACGCTGTACAAAGCTCTACTCGTATGCTTTCTAGTTCTTCTATAGTTCGAAAAAAGAAAACTTTAAACCATCCGCACCTTCAGCTACAGTATTTTCTTGACTCCGCATTGATTTCCTCTGTGTGGCCTCTTGAACTTTGTACTCTCCATATGGTGGATTTACTTATCGGTTGAATTTCGGTTTCTTTGCAATGGTTCATGTCTTACTAATGATGGTACACATGACTACTGTGCGCACCACGTTAGCATGACTAACTCCTCACTACTTGTAAGTTTGATGGTGCAAGTGCCCTACGCCACGTCTTGATGGTAATATGGCCTCGTTGTGAACTCTAAGAAGTGGTTTGGCTGACGCTTTTCCATACGGATTGTGTGTCGCGGAATTTTTTCAATGGGCACTCCGGGCCCCTCACTCTTTGTTTGTGCTCTTGCCTTCTTTATTTGTCTATCAGAGAGGTTTTCAAATGGCTGATGTGTGTGTTTAAGTGCGTTGGCTGAGAATCTATTCGCATAAGTACTCAAGATTTTAAAGGGATCTTTCTGATAGGCGACGAGAGGGGCTTGACATCGAAAGCTGTCTTACAATTCTGCTCATGATCTACGACTGCTTGGAATAACGCTTTACCATCTCTTAGCGCCATGACATCGCACACCAGCGGGCAAGGTTCACCAGCTTTTTGAACAAACTCAGATTTTTCAGGATAGGGGCATTTTTTCCCATCAATCTACTTGCATGGGATTCAAATGTGTACAGCGTCGGCGATGGTGCTAATTGCACGCACTGAATCCTTACACTGGATCTTGGACATTTCCTCTCACTGATCTGCAGTCCTGTATTTTTCTGCTCGCATCAAGTGCAAACGCGGCTGTTAGCCTGGAAGAACTAGGCTAGAATTCCGAGCAAAAATTATCACGTTATCGCTCCCCTATTTAGCGAACGCTAATCAATATGATATTCAATACGTTTTGTTCACCTTTTTTCGCCACGAGACAGAATCATTTGCCAGAATTTAACCGTTTAAAATGTTTAGAGAATCAATCAGTGTGTTCTTAAAGCTCTGCCTTACTATATTTTCTTTTTAAATGGTTAAAATCTAAGATTTATGAAGCTACCAATATAAACGGTCGGAGTTTGCTCAATAGACTAATTTGCATAATTTTGCTGCATAATTTTGCTGCATAATTTTTTCCCACGTTCACAGGCTCATTTTATGATGTTTATTCAAACAGAGTCCTTGTTCCAGCGATCCTTGTATGAACAATGCAACTTGTGTAACCAAGTACAAAGATGATGATTATCAGTGCGAATGCGCGCTTGGATTTGATGGAAGACAGTGCGAACGTATAACACTAGGTACACAATGTGTCATATTAAATTCACTAATTTGCATATGTTTAGTACATGTCTGCGTATTTTGTACCATTGACATCGAAATTGTTTTTGTTGTTGCTAAAATATACAGAACATCTCCAGACTACCTTATAAGGGTGGATTTCTAAGCCACGGAATAATTAAGAATTAAGTTTCTCCCTGAACATATTGCCGCCATCTTGGATCTTTTAAGCGGCGGAAGGTAAGAGAATCGAGAGAAAGATGTTCCTACCGATTCCTGAATAGAAGGTTAGCAATATGGCGATCCCGTTGTGAGGCCGTGACAAACAGAGCTAATACGAGTCCCCAAGTAAACCTAAACACACGTTTTGTCATTTGTAGGAGTTGACTGCCGTGACATAAACACACGAGCTCCTTCTCAGGGAGATGGAATGTACTGGTTGGACCCGGATGGAGGAAGCCATTCCAACGCGTTTTTGGCCTACTGTGACAAGACGTCATACAATGGAGGATGGACCATGTGTTACACTACCGATGAATATGTCACACCTAAGACCGAATTCACATACAGCGCCCAGTTTCCCTATGGAAGTGACGGCTACAGGACAAACTGTAATAATATCTCGGTAGGCTACATTTTTTCAGTCACTCAGTTAATATTTTGAAAAAAGGCTGGTTTTATTAGCAAAATGTCTGAAGATAACTTTAGACCCCATAAGGAACGGATGCACGATCAATATTAATAATGTTCGGACAACATCGTGTTTTTCGCATAGCTCACTTAAACGTCATACTTTTGAGCACGAGAGAATGGAAGACGCTAATTGAGATCGTTTTGTCTCCTCTTTTGGCCCTCTGATAAATGGTTTTAAGTACAGCCTTCCATCGAAAAAGGAAACGGTTTTGATTGGCGGGCCAGATGAGCATTGATGTCCTTAGTCCAGCCGAAAAAAAATAACCTAGGTATGGGAATGAAATCAGATCACTAAGTTTGTCATCTAGATATCTTTCATTCAGTTTACAGAAATCATTTTCGTTGATCACCAAACTGGAAGAACGGCTTACTTCAAGCGCCGTACTAGTCAGTCCATAAGAGCCTCTACTAATTATGGGAAACCTGCAAGCACATATGGACTATGGGACGGTGTAGGAACAAACAACGCTTACTCCTACCAGCTGCTGATCTGCGACACATCATTTTACAGCGGCTTCTTCGTGTCTGGAAAAAACGTTAGGTTATTGAAGAAAAGAAAATCACAGGTGCAGCGTTTTCAGATAAACTGTAAAATATTCCACGGCCAACTTCAGTACGAAGAAATGTGTAACAAAGTTCCTATGCTTTATTCGAACATAAAGCTTACTTTGGCAAAAGGCTCAAAATAGTGGGTATTACGGATGAAACTATTGATAGTTGTGATAACGCTATTGGTCACCTTTCCCCTAAAGAATTCTCATGGTAAGTTTTTTTTTTTCGTCAATTGAATTATGCTTACCTTTTCGTAATTTCTTTAAACGAAGAACGCTAACAATAACAGGCTGTGCATGTACGAAATCTTTCGAATATATTGATCTTGTTTCTCATATAAAGACAGTTGATATTCTACAAAATTATCCATGAAAGGTATTCCCTTGTGGAAACATTTGCCCATGTTTGTAATCAGAAAAATTATACTACATTCATATTCATTGCCCAGCAAAAGGGCGGCTGTGGCGTTAAAATATGATTTTCAATACCCTTTTTCAACTGAAGCCTTCCCTGACAAACTAGCTAGTTTAACCATTAACAGATTAAATTCATAACATCTTGTTGTCCTGCTACTTTTGGACCGTGACATTTGGAGTTTACAATGCTGCATCTAATATATGCATACATAATTAATATTTTTAAAAAAAGAATTTCTGTCGGTACCAGACATTCAAATATACCGGGTACTATCAAAATCCTATTTGATAAAGTCTTTTTTGCCACAAGCTAGTCATTATCTGATTATAACGAATTTGAAATGTTTCTGTTATTTGTCAATTCAGGGCTCAGTCAATGTTTTTCTGGAGGAGTTTCATTTGTGGAATACATGCTTCAGAAGTTTTCCTACTTGAACATCACAAAAATCGGTTCAGAACTTGTCCAACATGGCGACGAGTGTGGATTTGCCTGCCTAGAAGTTCCTTCGTGTTTTTCTTACAACCTCGCTGTATTTTCTGATATCAACGGAAAATTGTCGTGTGAATTGCTTCCATCTGACAAGTATAAAAACTCGGATAAATTATTTAACAGTCCGATGTTTCATCACTTCAGTATAACGGTGAGTGTAGAACAAGTGAAAACAATGTCTCGCCAAAAAAGGTAAAATCCACCTGCCTTTCAGCCAAAATCACCCCTCGTTTGATGATAGTGGTGCCGTAAGATTAATTACGCCTTAACAAAACTCTTTTAATTTCACAGAATTTCTTAATTGGAGGAAATGAATTTTATTGGATATCCACTAACATTTTTCCTTACCCCACTTTTTATGTAAATACAGAGTCCATGTTCAAGCGATCCCTGCATGAATAATAGTATTTGTGTGGCCAAGTACAGAGACAAGAATTATCGATGTAAATGCGCTCCGGGATACACAGGAAAACTCTGCGATATAGGTAATGGTCTCAATAAACGAAAGTATTTTTAGCAGGGACTTCAATGTTTCTTTGTCTGATGTTCGCCAAAAATGTAGAATATAAAAAATCTTACTAGACATTTCGGCTCAGAGTTGACATACTTCTCACTTAATTCTTAACTCTCACAGTGTTTCTCAATTGAGAGCACGTATGAGTACCGATAAACTCTTTAGGGAAATCAGATGAAACTGCTTTAGCAAATAGCCTGCATGTGACGGACAATCCAAATATTTCGAGTTGCTTCGTCCCACGGAAGCCAGAATGAGTCTAGAACTGATTCTTTTGAAACTACTGGTCTTGGTAGTAAGCAACATGTTTTTCAGGTATGAACCTCATGTGCCCTCCAACTGTTGACTGTGTTATTAGACTATAACAGCTGGCTGCTATTTGAATCTCTGCGGGTACTCAGAATTATCGATAACCGTTGTCTTACACCAAGAGAGGTGGTCATATGCTATGTCATATCTTTTTGTTGATGACTGCGATTTTACGACATGTTTTCTATATCCTTATCAGGTCCATTTTTTGGAACAGACTGCCATAAAATCAAAACCCAGGGTAAAAATAAAAGCGGTATGTACTGGTTGGACTCGGATGGAGGAAGCCATTCCAACGCATTCCAGGCCTATTGTGATATGATGTCATACAATGGAGGATGGACCATGTGTTACACTACTGATGAATATGTCAAACCCAGGACTGAGGTCACATACAATGCCTCTTTTCCTTATGGAACTGTCGGCTACAGAAGTAACTGCAACAACATCCCAGTAAGTTCCCAATCACCCGTGGTTACTTTTCCGAACCCTTTTAATTATCAGGGATAATTATACCGGATAAAATTCAAATGGAGTCTTGATAAATCTCCATTGAAAAACTATATTCATTAAACAACTTGATTCACATTCGTACCTAACCCGAAGAAATCAGAAGCATTGGTGGCTCGCCGTTGCTCGAATGTCTAACTATGTTTTCTTGATGTAACGGAATATGCTTAGTCCTCTGCTGCTTCGAGTGGGGTCACCACCCTATCATGGTGGGGTAGTTTACGTGTCTCAATGACCCCTGGAGCTATGTCAGCTGGAGTCTTGCATTCTTGGTAGGATCACCCATGCCGAACAGGTGGAAAGGTAGAGACTGGACAAAGAGTGATCCCCTGATCCTCAAGGTTGGGGGTTGGGGGCAGGGTAAACGACCCCGCTCTGAAAAAAAAACACATGTTACAGAGACCGGATGCATAATGTGCTCTAGTAATTCAGTTTTATCATCCAACTGCACTAAGTGAAGTACAAATAGGGTGCGAATCAGTACAAATATCACGTGATGTTGTGCTGTTAGTTATTTTTTACAGTAAAAACCCTGTCTCTTTTTTTTCTTTGTTTCTTTTGAAGTTTACGGAAATAATGTTTGTTGATCACCAATCTGGAAAAAAGGCATATTTCAAAAGGAAATTGGATGAACCCCTCACGGCCGCTGCTTCATATGAGAAAGGTGCCAACACTTATGGATTATGGGACGCTGTGGGGGCCTCCCAGTATTATTCATACCAGTTGCTGATCTGCGACAACTCATTCTACAGCGGCTTTTTAGTGTCTGGTTATACCAATAACTGCTACAAGGGGTGCGCTCACTGGTGCTACGATAAATACTCACCATTCTTTCGCACAGCAAGTTCTGATCATCAGTACAAAGGTGTGGCTTTCAATACCAATGGTGCACCACCCAACGTGGTCGACAATAGGCTTGTCAGTGTGGGCCTGCGGTAAAATGATCAGCTTCTTCGAATTCGATTCAAAACGTCTGAGAGTGGATGCTTATGCGTTAATTCATATCTGAAGTATACACATCGCACAAATCAAATGAGCTGAAGAACCGTTCAGTCGGATGGGGGGAGGGGGGAATTCGTAGGATTTTGGTTGTGTCGCGATAAAATTCACCTGAATCCCCCACAGGGTTTTGTAATATTCCTATGACCCTATGACCCTATGACCCCTCCCCCTCACGGGCAGTTAGTTGTCTGTAGTCTATCCTTTACACAGGTGTTGTCGACCACTGATCCCTTTCTGTTCCACTTTAAAACCACGTGATCCCACCAAAATCCGCCGCCCCGACCCGTTCCGCCCCGCCCTGCTCCGACCCACCTCGTCTCGCACCCCTTCCCACCCAGGCAATAAATAAGGACTGGTTGCTAATGAAGGTGCTTTTCTACAAAAAAATGAACGCAACTGACAAATCTAGAAAAGCAGAAAGAGTTTAATGTTGACATGATGGCGACAATGTCGATGGCGATAAGGAGAAGGAGGAGTAGGTCAGCAATGCTCACTTTATATACGTGCAAACGTTGACGTTTATAGATATCACTGATGCAAAACTGATGTTAACTGATACAAGAAGCACAACCGAGAGGCACAAATAATAAATGTTTGTCAAACTCCTTTTTTTTTAGTGGTTCATGCATTAAATTTGCAAAGAAGTGACTTGGAATATTTCTCATTGGCTATTTCAATTACAGAAAGCAATTTCGAAATACCCGCCTTCCCACTCTAATCGCTAAGGGTCATAACTACGATGTCCAACTCTCTGTTACTTTTTTTTTTTTGTTCTTGTTTTTAAGGTATCCGTTTTCGTATCCAGCAAACGAAGCACTAGCGCTAGTGTTATTCTTTAGTTTTCATATGTCTATGAAAACTCTTAATCATATGAAAACGCAAACCTTTTGATGGGTATTCGCGCATTGACTAATATTGAGGGACAACATATGGCACTTTTTTGTCGCCACATTAGAAACGAAGCGCTTTCAAGACGATGCACATTATAAAAAGGATGTTTTTTACAGAAAAAAAATTTATGATGATAATGACGACGACGACGTGGATGATGATGTAGATTACGAGGAGATCACTGTCCCATTAATTCACAACTTGTCCATAGTTTTCCTCTCAAAGCTTCGAACAATCGAGGTGTACATCAAAAAACCAGCGGACTTTTAAGAATTACTTGGCCCAATATTTACTCGGAGACTCCCCATACTAAAGAAACCGTTAAATGCTAGATTTTTGACGGGTTTTTCGTTTGCATGGACCGTTTACGAAATTTTTATGAAGAATGAAATTATTCTCCCTATGCTGCAGTATAGCAGGGGTAAATTCGCGTCTGCGCGGAAGCCGCCTCGTTGTCCCATGAACACCCCCGCAATAACTGGTTAACTGATTATCGTATGTGTTATTGACCAAACCTAAAGACAAGAGAACTGGATTTTAGCCGAGTTCTTTTTGCATTTTTATGGACCAAGACGACGTTGGGGTCCATAAAAACAGAAAAAGAGAACGAGGCTAATATCAAGCCATGCTTGGTCAAAAAGGATTTATCATACACCAAAGAGATTTCACTTTATTAAGAATCAAGAATGAACTGTTTATTTCGAGAGCCGGGAAAGACACCTGTGTTTGTAGCACAATAAACCCACGAGAGTTGTTCATGTTTAGTTTTTTTTAATGTCTTCTACCTCTGAACTCAGTTATAGACTCAGCTTCCTAAATTCTTCTTTTAAACTTCGCTTTTGTCAGAAGCCACAACTAGAATCACTTGGGGGTATGATAAACAATTCATTACCAAAACTAGAGCTTTTAACAATCGGCGAGGCTGTAATAAGTCACGAATTTAGAGAATCACTCGATATTTAAAGTCTGACGGCAGAAATACTCTAAAATTTGTCATATTAATCTTCGATCGGTATGGTAAAAATAAGAAGGGTTTGTTTCGTCCCAATTGGGGAATATCAATTTTTTGGCGCAACTCCACAAGTTTCTTTAAAAGTCTTTGTATTATGCATATTTACATCATTTTATTGCCGACAGCTTAAATTTAACAAACGGCAGGGCTGTCGTTAGTCACGAATTTAGAGATTCACTCGGATGTTCAAAGAGTGAAGGAACTAAAATTAGTTTTCCCAGGAAAGCTGTCAGCAATAATATGATGAACGTACGCATAATACAAAAACTATTAAAGAAACTTGTGCAGCTGCGCCAAAAAATTGATATTCCCCAACTGGAAACAAACAAACCCTTCTTATTCTTACCTTACCGAGCGAAGATTAATTTGAAAAATAAACTGATTTTTGAGTATTTGTGCTGTCAGTCTTCGAACATCCTAGTGATTCTCTAAATTCGTGACTTATTACAGCCTCGCCGTTTGTTAAAAGCTCTAATTTTGGTTATTAATTGTTTATCATACCCCCGAATGATTCTAGTTGTGGCTTGTGAAGAATTCTTCTTATAAACTTCGCTTTTGTCAGAAGCCAGTTTATTTTTCAAATTAATCTTCGCTCGGTAAGGTAAGAATAAGAAGGGTTTGTTTTTTTCCAGTTGGGGAATATCAATTTTTTGGCGCAGTTGCACAAGTTTCTTTAATAGTTTTTGTATTATGCGTACGTGCATCATTTTATTGCTGACAGCTTTCCTGGGAAAACTAATTTTAGTTCCTGAATTCTAATCAGTATTAGGTTGTCGCAAGGCCTTGGCTCATAAGGAAACCGTTTAATAATTCATTTAGATAGCGCCACGGGTGCTTGTTTTTGAAACTTTCATTTCAGTATTGCGAAGATAACGTATAAGTTTGTCTGTCAACAGTTTAGTTATGAAGTTCCGTGCCACAACATCGCTGAATTCGCGACTACAAGAAATGGATCTGATTGTAACGATGACTGTAATATCTATCTTAATAATTTGTGAAGGTATGGTTTCTGAAATTTGCTATTTTTGTCCTTTTGACCGAGCCTATGTTTGATCCGAGCATGACTTTGTAGTTTCAATGTTTGGTGCGTAAGCATCGATAAGGACTGTCTTGAAGTAAATAACACACACTTTGATTATTCAGCACAACTCTTCAGTTCTAGAGGAAAACCATAAATACATTTGTCTTTAAAGATGAAACTTTTTTTTCGGAAATTGAGACCAATATTTGACACGCACCATTTCACCAGTCGCACCGTCTTGGTTTTTTCACGGCTTCTTTTTTTCTTCCTTTACTCTCCCGTTCTTTTTTTCTCGGCAAAACTGTCTCTTACCGAGAACTCCTCTTTTTTCGCTTTTCCCCCTTTTTTTCAGAAGTGGTTTCACGCGATGTCGAGTGTTTTTATTGTTGCGATGTCACAGAACGATCAATGTGAACTGAACGTTCAGGAGTCTAGCGATGGAGATCAAAATAATGAAAAACGGGTTCAGTTTGTTATGAGCGATGAAACAGAATTGCTTTTTTCTATAACTAAACGTATCGAAAAGGCTCGACACAGCTCAAAAATCCTTTACGGAAAGTCTGACTCGATCATCATCGCTATGGTAACAAGTGAAGACTAAGATCTTAGTTAACACCCAGGTATATCAGCTTGTAGCTTTAAATCATTATTCACAAAACGGTCACTGCTAAATTGAACTACACTCACAAAGTACACCTGCCTCAAAATGTTTTAGGAGGGTTTTTAATGAGGTTGAATTTAGTTGTTAAGTGTAAGAATCGACAAATTTTTAACCTTTAGTTGCATAGAAAGTTAACCATAAATTTGTTTTTCAATCGCAATAGAAAAGATTAAATAACTTTAAAATGGCCGAAATTTTAATCGTTATTTAGATGTCCTCTATTAAACATACTTTGTCGAAAGGATGTAGCTCTGGAAATGATGATGGGGGATTTTTTTTGCTTTTAAGAATATTCATCCCCTCCACTATAATTCCGAATATTACAGCCCTGTTAAATTTCTTCCATTAAGTATATTTGAGCATCATTTTGAATAATAACAGTAGGACTGAGCTAAACAGTTTTAATTCAGTCGCCGGTTTTGCGGAAGGTTCTGTCGCACTTTAAAATGCCTGTCACACTTTGTAATATAATTGTCGCACTTTAAAATGCCTGTCACACTTTGTAATATAATTGTCGCACTTTAAAATACCTGTCACACTTTGTAATATAATTGTCGCACCTTGCAATACCTGTCGCACTTTCTATAACACTTGTCACATTGAATAACAAAAATGCTGTCGCACTTTGTAATAACAGACCATCGCTCTTTGTGATAATAGAAATAAGCTGTCGCTATTTTTAAAAATACTTGTCGCACTTCGGAGGGAAAAGGTACTTAAACGAAGTAACCTGAAACGTCCTAGTAAAAACACAGCAGTTGACTTCTTTAAAACTGTTTCTGATTTAACGGCGGGTTGGAATAACTCGGGCCAACTCAATATTGTGCTATTTTACCAGGACTTTGATCAATATAAATTAAGGGTTCTCGTGCATTTTAACCTCGCTGCTTTGGTATATCCTGTCTCTTACGTAAGATTACACTCAGCCACTATCCTGTCTAAAAGTGTTTCAGAAAGCGCACTCCTTTAAGATAGATTTTAGATTCAGACAGGAAATCATTTTAAGAGATTTTTCCACAGCTTTGATGAAACTAACATGAATTTAATTCCTTCTGTTAAAGGTGTTCGGCAAGATTTTGATGAGCCAGGTGTATCATATGCGAACTTCAAGCACGAACAGTTTTCCTACTTAAACATCACAAGAATCGATTCAAAACTTGTCCAAAAGGACATCGAGTGTGGATTGGCTTGTTTAGAAGTCACTTCATGTTCTTCTTTTAACCTGGCTACATTTCCTGATATCAACGGAAAACTGTTGTGTGAACTTCTACCTTCTGACAAGCACAGGATGCCCAATGAATTGATTCATAATCCGATGTTTGATCATTTCAGTAAAACGGTGGGTGTAGTTTGAATCGAAAAACACTCTAGTAACATTACAATTATCATAAATGAAGATTAACCTTTTCAAGAGTTTTAGCAAATTCAGAGATTAGAGCAAGAAAATTATTTTGAAAAGACGTTATTTCGCGTGATCGGCAGTCACATTATCGATTTTATACGTTATGATTTTCTGGCTAAGCTTCATAAAAGATGGGTATGTGAAACAGTTCTGATCATTGTAGATTAAGGAGTATACGACGTGAACATGGCCGATATATTTGTGAAGTTTGCAGACTATAATAAATCCAACTTGTATTTGGGGACCAAAGAACGGCTGCGATCAAGGAGACTATCTACAACTGCTTGTGCCTGGTCTCCTTGATCACAGCTGTTGTTTGGTCCTCGTCAAGCAACGCGTTCAGTAGTTGGAGTGGGGGGGGGGGAGAGTGCGTTGCATTTGGAGACCCAACAACGGCTGCGAAGGAGACTTACTTGTGGCCCAGGGCTGTTTTTGGAATAATGTTCGGAGAAAAGTCTGAATTGACAGCTGTAATATTAGCTGGCAACTTCAATGGGGCAAATGAAGTTATGGTAAGAATAATTCCTCGGTTAACTTAGCACGTGTGTTAATTTCACTACGCCGCCTCTGAATGTTCTTATTCTTGTGATAATGGGCCCAAAAGGTCTTGAAAATGAGTAATGCATTGATTATTGTCAAAAGGCATTTTTATCTGGAATGATAAAGTTACCTTTCTCTTGTTTTGTGGAAACAGAGTCCATGCATCAACGATCCTTGCATAAACAAAGGAAAATGTGTTGCCAAATTCAAAGATGGTGATTATTACTGCAGTTGGTGTCCTCGGTTTTACAACGGAAAAGATTGCAAAACAGGTATCATAATAAGAAATTCACGCCTTTTCTGTTCCCTTTTTTCTTATTGGTTACAATTCCCTTTATTTCCATCTCTTTCGTTCTCAGTTGAACACAAATCAGGTAATTTAGTGTTAACAACTGAGTTGAAAACGTAAATTGACCAACATAAAGAGTAAAATAGCTGACGTTTCGAGCGTACCCCTTCGTCAGAGCGATAGGGTACCTGCTATACTCTCCCACCGACGCAGCACCACAGTTTCTTTAGAAACTTACCCCCTTTATTCATTTGAACACAGTTCAGCCCCGTGTTATTTCCCTCTGATGGCCTACAAAGGGTTCCAATTTGGTTTCAGAGGAAACTGATTTGGATGCCTTCACGTATTTGGCGCCTTTTCACGGGAAACAGTGATAGCAGACTAGGAAATAGTTTAGACTCTGTGAGAGTAGCTTTCATAGGCCTTTTATCGATATGCCTTTGCAGACATTGCTGATTCTTCGTCATCCACAATAAGTGTCACAATATATGCATCTTGTATTTCAATGTTTCACCCTGACGAAGGGGCATTGAATGTTCACTCGCCGCTGCTCGACTTGCGGTTAAAAGCGCATCAAGGTATTTTTCAAACGGGGACCCATTTTCTCACCCCATCGGTGTAAAATGTACTGGCATGAAAATCAGGAACTGAAATTTCTCTTTCCTTTCATAAAGATTAATAATTAGTTCTATTCAATCAATAATCAGCACCCTTTGTTGGAAAAAATTGCTTGGACATTAAGGAGCGAGGTCTCTCACAGGGAGATGGCATGTACTGGTTAAACCCGGACGGAGGAAGCCATTCCAATGCATTTCTAGCCTACTGCGACATGACGTCACACAATGGAGGATGGACCATGTGTTACACTACCGATGAATATGTCAAACCGAGGACCGAGGTCACATACAACGCCTCTATTCCTTATGGAACTGTCGGCTACAGGACCAACTGCAACAACATCTCTGTAAGCTGATTGAATAATCCCTTATCTCTATGAACATGGATCGCCTAGTATGTATGCGTATGGATCTCGAAATATTATTTCATTTTTTTGTTTATTGCATGACGCACAAATAGGTGTGTCGATGTACCTAATGATTTGTTAGTATTTTTGTGTTAAATTCAAGAAAATTTTTTAAACAATTCTCTCCTCATAATGCATTTCATATACTGGTATCTATTCGTTTACTGAACTGAAAATAGCTGCTGCACTGTGCCTTCTTATCTAAAGAAAATACTTAAGCACATAAAACCTGGACTAAGGCTGTAAAAAAGGTCGGAATTTCACACCTTATAATACGAGGCTTTGTCTCCTTTTCCAGTTTACAGAGATTATGTTCTTGGAACATCAAACTTTGGCTAACGGGTATTTCAAGCGAAGACCCAACCAGCCCATAAAGGCCAATTTGAATTATGGGAACGGTGCTTCTACTTATGGATTGTGGGACGGTGTGGGAGTGAGCGACGCCTACGACTATCAGCTACTGATTTGTGATACCTCATTCTACAGTGGCTTCTTCGTTTCTGGTTACACAAATTGTTACAAGCAGTGTAATTCCTGGTGTGGCGATAGAGTCTCCCCATACTTCCGTACTGCAACTACCAGTTCGAGTTACTCTGGTGTGTCCTTTAACATCAATGGCAACCGACCAGTCAATAAAAGGCTCATCAGTGTCGGTCTGCGCTGAGACATTTACGGACTGAGCTGCATAATTTCCTTCTTATGTATGTCATATTTAAACATGAACATAACAGATTAATCGTATCTAGGCTTGTCCCGATTGTGCACGGCAACTTCTGAGCAACTTTTTGTGGTCCAAACAACCTCGAACAATTTTTGCCTTATTGCGCAATTTTTTTGCAAAATATGGCTTTAGAGCACATTTCAAGCACAAAAAAAGTCAACAGTTTTCACAGAAAACTTTAGTGTTTGCAAATTTCTGAATGTTTATCAAGACTTGACAACTTTTCTCATGCCTGCTGAGATTCTTATCTGATATTGTAAGGTGGCAAGACGTCAAATGAAACATGTATGTTGTTCCTTTAGGCATAAGAATATCCTTAAATTTCACCCATATTTGCGAGCAATTTACTACAGCTAAGTTTTAAGCTTTTTTCTTGACGAATGTTTGCAATTATTGTGAAGAATGAAAATAAAGATTTGGACTAACGTTTGAATAAAATAACAAGAAATTTAGGTAGTCACTTTTTGTATAAATTTACTATTTGTCAGCGACAGCAATTTGGTATTTCAACGAGTAACTTTCCAGAATTTTACGCGTACAATCAAGATAGGCCTAGTCGTATCTCCAAAAAGCCCTGCCACATCAAGTAATAATAATGATAATAATGATAACAATAATAATAAGATACATATTTTTCAAGAGGAGATCTCCATCACTCTAAGTGGTTTTCAGGGGCGTATGCCGAGTACATCTGAGGTAGGTGTGCTTTCGATGTCCTTGGCTCCATAATCTAATTATTATGACGTGGTGAACCAATCCTTCAGTACATCTGAGGTAGGTGTATTTCTGATGTCCTTGCCACTATAATCTAATTTCTATAACGTGGTGAACCAATCCTTCAGAGTAACGCTGGATTCTACGTATTTTGTCAATATATGAATATGTTGGTCTGCGAAATGTTCAGAGAGTGAGGCATGTAGCATAATATTTATCCACTATATAAATTAAAGGATGTTCAGAAATGGCTTCTCCACGTTGGTTGGGCTCGTAATGTCAGCCAAACTTTAGGTGATCCCACGTTTAGGATGCATAAATTTGCGAATTAAAGGTCATGATGTCCATTATAAAAGGCGCATCAGAGTTGGCTTACAAGAAAAGACAGCTTTAACTTTAAAAACTTGTAACTGCATGTTAATTGTATCTTTAGCTTAATGTAACTCAGGATGTATATATTACTAACACACGCCAAGATTTGCCCATCTTACACCTATGCGCAGATTGTATAAATGTGGTGGAATCTGTGAGGCAATACAGTAAAGGGAGAATTAGTATTAGTAATTGAAGAAATTTACAGTAGAAGAAGAAGTATAGTAGTAGTCGAAGTAATTTTCATGCTGATTTAGAAGAATCTGTGTTACTATAAAGTAAAGGAAGTATTCGTAGTAGTAGTTGTAGAGGCAATCTACGTGTAACATCCCTCTGTCATTAACCAACCAAGGTAACAAGAAAAGACAGAGGGCTTCATCTTAATATGACACCAGACTCTCTTGAGAGAATTTTTCACAAGTATTAATGTAAAGAGTGATTTCGGTATTGTTGTAATTTTATAAATGCAACATTTTGCAGCTAGTTGTCAATATATAATCCATTGGAAAAATAGGTAAGCAGGTGGAATGATTACGAAAACAAGATTTGTTCAGAAAGAAAGTAGAAGGATTATGTATTTTTAATTCTACGTTTACGTACATTCATTGGCTCAGCAAAGCAATAAACAGTGAAACCGAAGTAAACAGCTGATATTTTGTGTTGGCATCAAGCCTCTGTCTAAAGGGGAAAACTGAGATGACAGGTTACAAAAAAGCAATGTTGTAATTAGTTTGTTTATAGTTTTTTTTAAAAGCGACATCGCAATCTTCTATGAACGGTCTTGATTTTAACTTTCTGTGCCTGCAGTAGATCGAAAACGAGTTCGTAAACATCCATCTGTATAATGAATACATCGTTCAATTCAACTGATAATCCGCAGTTCCATTAGTAGGACGAAGTCGAAATTGCCAACCCGCGTAACGAGAGGTTATTCAGTTCTTGTCTTAAGTCATTCTCTTATTGGCTCCCGCGGTCAGTGTCGTTGTCAGGTGCAGATATTCAAGTCAATATATCATTGGCTTCCTAGCGTGAGAAAAGTTGTTTTTGTTTACGAATTAAGGACGGTGACTGTTATGTGGCTTAAAAAAATACAATCAGAGATGCATTTCGAACTCGCCTTAGAACAATGTCAACAAAAGATGTGTTAATGGTTGTCAGTGACAACTCAATGTGACCACCTCGCTACTAGGACTCCACAAAAAAGCCGTCTATAACAACTACCTGTTTGTTCGTTGATGTCAGTGCTGTTCAAATTTATTGCTAAGTTCCTCTATCTCTTTTAAATTACGTTTTTGAGAGACTGACTACTCCATTCTGTATCGATTCTCCTTACTCTGCTTTCCACCAGAGTTTTCGTGAATTGAATATATGTATTAGTTATTAAGGAAAAAAAACAAATGGCGCTATTAAGTTTATTATTTCATTATGATTATTTCAGTTCACTTAAATCATCTTTGAGGATCACCAAACTGGAAAGAAGATTTACTTCAAGTCACGAAACAATCAAGCTGTTAAGGCCTCCCTCAATTACGGAAAATCTGTATACACCTATGGGTTGTGGGACGGTGTGGGGGCTGATCCGGCTTATACCTACTAGCTTCTGATTTGTGATGATCCGCTCTACAGGGGCTTCCTGATTTCCGCCCACACAGGGGGTTGTTTTATGACGTGCACCTATTGATGCTCCGAAGTTAGTGCGTCATTCTTCCACACTGCATTCACTAACTCACATGGAAAGAAGGGTGGCGTGGCATTTGGTGAAAAAGGTCATGAAGTCCATGATAAAAGGCGCATCAGTATCGGCCTACGATGAACCTTTCTCCTTTCTTGGTCCCATGGTAAACACCAAGGCAGACCTAAATATAACATGCATTTATTTCAAATGTTTTCTGGGCGTTTAATTAATAAGAGTTTCTTCTCTCCTTGACGCCAAGTTATTCATCGTCATTGGTCATAATAATTGTGTTAAGAGATTCGTCGCTGCTTTTCTTTTTTGATATTGCTTACTTTTGAAGTATAAAAGAACGGCCGTCGCCACATTTTATAACGTTAATCCTCAACTCAGCATGCGATCAGCACGTAATATCTCGATTTAACACGAAAGTCTGAACACTTAAACAAGTGTTTAGTTACAGTTAGAAGAACTATAGACTCTTATGTGTTTGTATAGATTTGTCAATACGTCGCCACCACCTCTAAATATAGAAGTAGTGGTTATTTAACTGAGTGAAGTGCAATTTGGTCTGAAATCATACGCTTGATTTCAAATCAAACGAGCGCACAGCGCACGTTGTTGTTTCCTAACGATTTAGCACCAATTTTGTGATATGTCGTGACCACTACACGATGACGATTTCACAATAGAACCAACACGAGGAGCGAAGTTAACCGCTACATTTTATAACATATTTCGTGATTCTTACGGAAACTTACACTATCCTCGTATCAGCATTATCTTTATTCATTTTTTACTAAACTGCAAAAGCAATAATCTCTCTCCATAATCGTTTTTCTTTTGGACGTCGAAACAACCTTTCGCCACACATTTCTCTTTAGCGAGTTGCAATGTTTGCTCCGGGCGATTCTAGAAATCTGTGTGCAAACGCAAGGATCCATTACTGGCAACTCATTTATTGCATGATATGAAGTTCAATTACCACTTTATCACATCTATTTTGAATCGCAAAATTCAGTCGCTCAATACAAGAATTGTTTCAGCTGTAAAGGTATTTTATTGATCCTGTAAAATGAGCTGGTTTGTAAAAAGTTGCAAAATTTGTCTTTCATTTTCCTGTAATTTGATTGATTTCTTCAAATGAACCTTGAAATTTGTTTGGTTGCTGTGTTTTAGTAAAGCTGTCTCATTGGCTGGGAAAAAGACGCGATTAAGAGTATAAAATGGTGCGATTTGTGATTTAATCGCACCGATGAGAGTGAATCAGTTTGCAAGGATCACAAGTGATTTCAAAATGGATGTAATAAAACCGCATGTCCGTGCCGGAATATACAGCAGTTCAGGGCGTGGTTTTATCTCACGAACAGCCTTCTAAACACAACGTCTTTATTGATCGGGTGAAGAACATTACAAATTGCTGGCACAACAACTTTTCATTTTAGCTTACGAACTCCTAACAAGCCATACTAACCTGTGTAACAGATCAAAGATTACCTAGCGAAGCGAAATTCGAAACAGAAACTATCTAAACTTACCACTGATGAAAAGAGGGAAACAAGAGAGACAAATCACAATTTCAGAGCAAACCAACTTCACCACGTGCGATGGAAAAAAAAAAGATGAAAATGAAAAGAACAAGCTACTGAGGCTTCATGGTCTTACGAATCTATAGAAAAACGTCAAACAGTGGAATGGACTTAAGGACTCCTTGAGGAATAGCCTCTACACTGCATATTATTCTGTGGGGAGCTTGTGAATGGAAAAAATCTTGAGATAATTATATAGAGATCCTTTCTTACTTTGCGAATCATACCAGGTAAGCGAGATGAGGTCGGCAAGATTTTGGTGTCTAAGTTTTCTTAATCTTAGTACGTATTGAATAAATAATTTTCTGCGTTTTTTCAACGAGTACATAATGCAAGTTGGTCACTGAAGAGAATTTCTAGAGCTGACAGTTTGAATGTTTGCTGTTCGTCAAAACGCTCTGAATACTCGGGATTGGTAGTGATGATTATACGTTGAGAGCATAAAAACATTTAGATACCTAAACCTTTACGGCAGTTCTATCCTTTAAACCCTGGTGTGCATGTGCACTTATAATCGCCATCGACGCGCTTGGCAACACAAGTTAAACCATTCCGACAAGGACTGCTGGAGCAAGGGTTCTGTTAAGAGGAAACTA